ACAATATGGTTTCTCACTTGAAAACTGATACGGTTACAAGAAACACAAAACTGGTGTACATTATTCGTACAGCAATTCTCTATCAGAAGCTATGTTTTCAACAATAAAGCCAGTTGTCTTAGAGTTTGCATGGATGTACACAAAATCTGAAGAAGTTTTAAATAGTTGTATATAGAAATACGTCCTCAAAACAAAATTTCCTCAACTCTTGGAGTAATTGATTGGTTGTTGCTAATGGAGTATATTTGTTATGCAAAGGTGCTGCAGTTTATAAAGGAAATTTTCTTGAAACAACATGAAAATAGCGTTTTCCAAAGCAGACATATTTAAGAATTTGCGAGGCAGACCTCTCAGTGTAAAATCTGTCGAGAAAAATCTGTTGTAAGCTCTGAAATTAAGATTCAGAGGAAAAGGAAATAGATTGTTAAACGTTGGGAGAAGACAAATATGATGCAGTAATATTTTATTTCTTAAAAGTATATACATTTTAAGTGATGAAACCTTTTTTAAAAATATTTTTTCTGAAAATGCTTTTTTTTTTTTTTTTTCAACTTTTGGTACGCTACGGAAACACTGTTTCATGCAGATAGATAATCATTTAACATAACATAAGATTAGCGATTTTCCGTTCATTAAACTTACTTTAGCCTTTACTTATTAGGCCCACCAGCGGCCGAGCGGTAAAGACGCTGAACACTGGTAGTTTCGGCTCGAGGTTCGAATCCCGCGAACGGGCTGGCTGCATGGGCGTTTTCGTGGTTTTCCCCATGTGTAACGTGTATACGAACCAGTTTCCCTTAGAAAGTCCTCCCCGAAAGCATCCCTCCCTTTAGGCAGATAGCCCTCGTGTGCTTTGCCATAATTGAATAATCCAATCCTTTATTTATTATTGTTTTACATTGCGAATTTTATTTTAAACATGTTTGAAGTAGCGATAAATAAAGTTTAAAATATTTTACATATTTATTAAACAAAAATAAAAGTTAAAACTGATTCATTAAATTAAGGGAATTATTTTCTGTATTCTGAAGTAATTTCAAGGTAAAGCTTTTGTTAATGTTTTAAAAATATGTATTTCATTATGTACTTAAACTCTGTGATTATAAAAAAGTATGCTATGCCTACAATGACATTTTAAAATTATTTAGAAGCCAACACGCATGCACATTACCTGCCGATTTTTAAAAATAAATTTAAAGTCTCATAAAAAATTATAAAGATATATATGCGTACTTAAAGAAGAAAAACACATTTAAACAACAGCCAAATTTACAGCTTTTCATTTACCGTACACGTTATTTATTCCCCTTTACCTTTATGTACATTTATCTATAATTACCTCATTATTTTGCTATAAGAAGCTCCTTTTTCTTATCCTTTATCCTATCTTTGCATGTGGTTCACCGTAAATTACAGTTATTTGCAAGTTGATTACAAATCTAAAATGTTAAGAAACTCTGCGTATTAATAGCACTAGCCCTAGAAACTAAACATTTGGTATGTTTAAAATATTTACAGTGCATATGGAGCGGTTTAACTTCTCTTCAAATATCACGAACTTTCTTCTGCTTCTCGGAAGTAATACCTGCTTAACTAAGTGCTTTTAGTTTGCGAATTATTGTGTTATTTAAAAGCTTGTAGTAATGAACTGAACACAACGAAATTTAACCAGTGTTGCGAAGGATAACACTTACTGCAGCGACATAATTTACTGAATTGAAAAATTATTCAGGCAAACTTCTTAAGTCATTTTACAAGAACAAAAATAAAAATGATACAATACTCAAGTGGAATGAACTATGCAGGAATTCTACTACTGCCTCTTTGACTAAACTATATTTTCCTTCCATTCCTCACAGACGAATAATAAACCTTTTTCTGCAATTTTGAAGCTACTCAATTTATAACTGGACATGGTAAATTCAATTCTTATCTGAAGAGATTTATATTATCTAGTACAGACTTGTGTTCATGCAGTTTCAGGGAAGTGCAAATGTTTGTGTTCTATTATTCAAAGCTCAAGGAAGGACGAAAGGAACTCATTCCTATGTTAAAATCTGTGAATATTTGCCTCCCCTCTTCACGTATTTGTCCAACATAAAATGGCTTTCTCTTTTTCCTGTAATTTTATCTCTTACGTGTCATCTCTGAATTTGTAAGTTTATTTTATTTTGTGTTCTGTTGTTGTATTTGTTTGTTTTTTTACTTACCTCTGTAAACCTGATCTATGTGGTGCACAAGGAATTTTAAATTTTCAATAAAAAAAAAGTTTACGTAGTGCTCTTTGCAAACGTAAACTGTACTGAAGTTCAGCCTTAATATACAAAGAGCAGAAAGTAATAGAAGAATTATCTACATTTAATGTCTTCGTTTATCGTACATTTATGTGCATTTCAGGTACTACTAATGTCACCATGTGAATTTGCAAGCTAAAATGTTCACCATAGATTTTAACATTTTACAACATATTTGGGTTTATTTCATAGCAATAAACGATAAAATAAACTAATATCTAATAGGTAATGTCATGAGTACCTGAAGTATAGGATCTGCATACATGTTTTACACTCATGACACATTCAATTCTTTTTTGGGAGGTGTATTTGTGTGCTATGCAATTTGTTTGCTAATTCTTCAGATTGCTGCAAACTTCAAAATTTTTTCCAGTATGTTTATGGATAAAAATATGCGAATCTGCAAAACCTCTGCGAGTTTGAAATCCATATCATATATATAGAGAGAGATAATAATACGCAAAACGCTATCTGGAGTTTCTACAGAGGCTAAATATTAAGGGCTAGTGTCACTAATAAAAAGTCTTAATAACGTAACGTTCAGACAAATATAAGAATAATTTGACGTAAGTAGTTGCTTGAATGTGAACAGCCGACGTGCAAATCTTCACTGTAGCATTGTTGTATTCAAAGTTAGTAAGCAAAGCAAGGTTAATCTAGAAGTAAGAGCACAGTTCCACGATTCCTTCTGCTGGCAGTGTTATGATACTAATAATCAAGTTGAGGAATAGACTTGTTGTCAACCTTTTCAATATTGTTGAAAAACTTAAACCTTTTGTAAGAGAGGGCTTATCTAATTCCGTGCAAACTTCTTCAGTATCTTCTATCATGAAAGCAATCTTTACTCTCTGTCGGGAGCTAATATGCTGTTGATTACTTTTTCATCCCTTGATATCCACCTGGATTTCTTTGACCTTAGCAGTAAGTTTTATATATTTGCTTCTCCTACATTATCATTTATCAATATATAGCTAATCACCTTAGGTGACTTCTGAGCATCTAAAGTACTAGATTTGAATACCCGCTAAAACGAAAGTTCTGTTCCTTCATCTGTTGGAAGATCTTTTTGCCTTTTTTTTCTATTCATAAATGTCAGCTGTGTGCTTTACAGTTTCTTATTAATAAACTCTGGTTCTTAGTTTTTTGCTTTATATAACTTTATGCAATCGAAAAATGAAAGAAAGTTTCAATGCGTGCAACGTCAAGTTAAAAATTGAACTGGTTTGAATGAATTTAAATGGACATTATTGCTTACTGTAATGCATAATAAATTTTAAAGAGGAAAGGAGCCGATAAATCATGTTCCAAAGCAAGGTATAATTCAAAATTTAAGCAAATTGGAACAGTTTGATATTGAGTAATTTACTATCGAAGTTTAAACATTCTTCTGTAAAAATGCATTATGCTTCTTGCGTTATGCAATCGAAATCTTTTATAGCTTTCAGCAATGCTGAGCTTAGAAAGGCTTCAGAGGTACTTTTTATCATCGTGTTTCAGCCTCCTATAAGATTACATTTGAAACAGTAAAATTAAAAATCAACTGTATTTCTACAGTAAATCAAAACAGAGAAAGTCAAGTGTCATCTGGATACGCTAACTGCTACACTAAAACGGCAGGTAGGATAAGTGTCATATTTCTTACTATGTAATTATTTTGTTTCTCAATCATATTATTTAAAAGAGATTTAGAGTATAATGAACAATGAATTAGATGTTTTTTAATTATTCTCCACTTACTAAAATCTATCAACTAATAGTAGTTTTAATTTCACTTATAATTTTTCAAACCTGCTTATGCTGCTCTCTATATGAATTCCTCTTCCCGTTTCTCTCAGCTTCACTTTTTAATAATGAAGATTTATGTATTAAAAATAATTAATTGATTCACTTAATGAAATCATTTGCTGTGAAAAAGGCAAACTGAGGCATTCAAACTTTTAGCTGCCGATTGGGAATATTTAAATAAAAAAATATTTAAATTAATAATTTTTCAGACTTACGTTACTGCAGGTTTATTTCGATAACTATTTAAGTGTAAATAATGTTTGAAATAATTAGTCCAGCGGAAAGGTAATATAATATTATTTATTGTGAATAGAAATGTCCAGGTGCTAATTTTTTAATGTTAAAATTATACAACTTAAATAAATTATTGAATTTTTAATATTCAAATTAAAATTAGTTCGAAATTTAAAAAAATTACGTGATAATCACTTAATAAAGCTCGTGAGCTAAATTAAATTTATTGCATGTATCGTAAATGAAATTATTAGAGAAAGGATTGAGTACGCATTAGATCTTAGTATTATCAAATGAAATAGGCCGAGACAGGCTTTGCGGATTCCCTCTTGTAAGAATTGCATTTTCAGATGATAAAATTAGACAAAAAGAGTAAGGGATAAAATTCTAATTATAACTGAATTTGCTGGCTAAAAAAAGGTGTCAGAAAAAATTGGCGATGTTCAAGTTTAAGCGTGTAATTTTTAATTAGTGTTACAAGTAAGTTCAAGCAAATATATCCTTGGAGTATGTCACGGCTTTTTCACTGAAACTCTACTTCAATAAAGAAATAATTCTAGACTCTAGATTTAATCTTTCCTTTTTAGACGGATATTTTTAGCATATAGCAGACTTTTATAAGATTTATGAATGTAAATTTTGCTATTTATAACATTATAATATATTATTTTTTCTTCCCTTTTGTAGCCAAACCGATGGCATCCCTCCGACATTTGCCAAGAAACCGTCTATTCGCCAAGAGGACGAGGGGAGGCGTCTTCTCTTCGAATGTCGAATTTTAGCCGATCCTAAACCTACCGTCTACTGGTTCCACGACAATAATGCAGTTAAGGAATCAGCGAGGTGTAAGGTACGAGTAAAAGTATTCTGTATTGTGTAATATATAAATTAAAACTGTTGAATTCCAGATCTACGTTGCAGATAAAATTAATCAATTGGTAAAAATTAACCGATCCATGCTTAAAATTAGAATCTGGAATATACGGAAGATCCGTCATCCAAACTTTTTAATAATTAATATTTCCGAATAATCTCGAAGAATATTCGAAGAACGTATGGAAATAAGATACAGAAGTGGTGCGCAAAGATATTGGAAGCTATCTCACCACTTTTCTGCTAAATGTTTTTGGTTCCCTAAAATTTCTCATAATCACTATTCCTGTATTCACCTACATCAACCAGCTTTCAAAATGAATCCTGAATTCAGATATTTATTTCTTTTATTCCGTCTTCTTCATATTTTGGTTTAAGGACATAAAAACAACCTGCTATGTGTGTATATTAGGTTAATCTTCTATAATCGGGGTGAGTGTCAAACTTGGCGCGATTTTCATTTAATTATGGTTTTCGGCTCTGTGTTTTCCTGCGGCAAACCTAGAGTTTTATTTCGGTGCTTGTAATGAGTGCGAGTTTAGTGTAGCCAGCAGATTCTTCTTTTTAATTTAATTTTGAAATACCGTGTTTGTTTATAAAAGTTTTACTATTTTATATTTGCAGGAGGTTAAGCAGTTGTTGGTGGGAGAATGTTGGATTTCAGATGACGGGAAGTTTATAACTTATGAATGTTTTCATTTAATTTTATTTAGTTAATGTTTTCCGGATCAGTTAATTATTTTTTTAAATTTTCCTTCTTGCAAGTGGCTATCGAAAGATATGGAATATTTAAAGTTTTGAACGAAAGTTGTTTAGTGTGTTGAATTCCACGAAATAGTAACTTTTATATTTTAGTAAGTATGCATCCGTTGTTAGTGAATTTGAATATATTTACTTAATTGACAATTTTGGAGTTCGAGGAAAGTGTAATACAATTTATTATTTTATTATTCAGTATAGTATTTTATCATGAATTACATATATAGGACTATGTTTTTACTTGCAAGACTGATGGACTTTGTTTTACTCATCTAGTATTTTGTCATCTCGTCTAGTATTTGTCATTACTTTTCTGTTTACATAAAATAACGGCATTTTACTACTGCAAAACTAAAAAAATACTATTCTGTTTACGTTTAAAAATCACAACTTTGTGCTCTCATTCGCGCCAAAAATTCGCCAAATTTTACAAGCCAAAATAGTTTGGCACCAACTAATCCCGGTTATGGTTCATTAGCCGTATATTATCCATAATTTATGTTCCTAAACATCCGTAAAAATTATGTACTTAAAATTAAGACGGTTAGCAGTTATCCATTATATAAATAAGTGCTTTTAGTTGGTGACTTTTCTATGATTACGTAGGAGAATAACAAAGCTAGAAAATAAATTTACCTAAAGTAACATAATGCTATAAAAATTAATTCTTTACTAGGCACAGTTATTTTTAACTATGAAAAATCGGCAAATAAAACACTCTAATCCTGCTCTCAAAGTAAATAATCCAAGTCCTACTGTATTTGGAAAGATAGCGACCTATTAGCTTCAGCTCCTTTTATAAAATTGCTGCGTATTTTATAAAATTGCTGCGTCCTTTTATAAAAATATTCTAGTCTCATCTGAAGTAGCGATTACAATCTAGTAATCGCTACTTCAGATGAGACTAGAATATTTTTTAAATCGGAATCACTAAGAATCAGCTATGGCCTCAGTGAGGCTGGAAATCCGGCTTTCCGATGGTAGCCGGACGTAGCTACCATCGATAACTTTCTAATTACGACACGGCCCACCAGCGGCGAAGCGGTGTCGTCCCTGAACACTGGTAGTTCGGTCCGAGGTTCGAATCCCGCGAAGGGTCTGGCTGCATGGGTGTTTTCGTGGTTTTCCCCATGTGTAACGTGTATACGAGCCAGTTTCCCTTAAAAAGTCCTCCACGAAGGCATCCCTCCCTTAAGGCAGAAAGCCCTCGAGTGTTTTGCCGTAATCTAATAAACCAAACCAATTACAACACGTATTTTACACGATAAGGAATGGGAATATTCCTTACTGTTTAACATTAAATTGTTTACGGAAAAGTTTTCCCCTTTTGTTTCTAAGGCTGCGATTTGCAGATTTGGCCCATAACATTACTATTTTCCTAATATCTATGTGCATAATATCTCTTGTACATAATTCTTAAATGTTTAATATTTTTTTGTACGCTTTCACTATTCTTTATGGTTATATAATAATGACTGCAATGTCTTCAAAAAATGTTGTATATTATTGCTATTTTACCATTCTAAGTAGTAATATAAGCATAAATGTTTTTAACTGAATTTTTCAAAACTGAAGAATGAGATCTTTTAAAAATTTTATTTTCCTTTTAATTCGTGTTTTCCATATAAGTATTACCATAAAAATATATTTCAATAATGTCTAAAAGTGTTGTAAATTTTTTATTTTCTTAAAGTTTTAGCGAATAAAATACGTATTATGCTTTGAATACTCTTTCTTATATACTCTGGTAATTTCCCTCACAAATGAAAAAATGTTTTTATTGATAATATTTTTTGAATTTTTTAATCTAAAAACATATTTGTATAACGCTCTAGGAAATGATATTTTGTGTAAAAGGAAAGATTACCTGATTTTAAATGGTTGATTGAAATCGAAACCAAGCTTTTTGGCTATCCCTTACATAATCCCTTACATGGGCACATTTCTCTCTCATTTCATAATTTTTATAATCTACTTTATTTAGCGAAATTATTTCAGTTTTAAAAATTTATTATATAAAAAATTGATTATTAACCGAATTTTTGATTTCAGTAAGCTATGTAAACTACCCGACATTGAAAATGCAACACCAAGAAAGTGTGTGTGTGTGTGTATTGAGAATATACACACACACACACACTTTGTATTGAGAATACGGCAAAGCACACTAGGGCTATCTGCCTAAGGGGAGGGATGCCTTCGTGGAGGACTTTCTAAGGGAAACTGACTCGTATACACGTTACACACCACGAAAACGCCCATGCAGCCAGCCCGTTCGCCGGATTCGAACTCAGACCGAACTACCAGTGTTCAGCGGTTTTACCGCTCGGCCGCTGGTGAGCCAACACCAAGAAGGAGTGGCCAGAAAGTGATGAAACTTGGCAAATAGAGAGAAAATGGCTGCGAACTATAAGGGATCTTTATTTCGAAATTATGTGCATAATATAGTGTCGGGTCAGTAGGTTGTAGGGCACACCTTGGACGGCGACATACGAAGCAGCACGTCTAAGTACAGAGTAAATGAGACTACGGGTGATGTTCTGAGGAATGGCTCTTCATTTCCTGTCAACCATTTGTCACAGTTTCCTCCTGAACGCGGCAACGGTAGGGTATGCAAATGGCGTTCAATCACATCCCAAATGTGTTCGATTGGTGAGAGAACAGGAGAGAGCGGTGGCCAGGCAAGCATCTCTACATCTTGCAGAGCACGTTGGCTGGGTGCGGGCAGTGTATGTGGTCGGGCGTTATCCTGCTGATAAAGGGAATTGGACAATCTCTGAAGGTACGGGAGTATCACCGGCCGCAGCACTTCAATCCACGGCTTGTAGAGCCGTCATAATGCTCTGAATTCGAACTAGAGGTGACCTGGAATAGTACGCAATTGCGCTCCAAACCATGATGCCGTGTTGTCACATGGTGGGGCGTTCCACTATTGCTGTCGGATTTGGACCTCTCTCTACATCGTTGCCACATTCGTACGCGGCGACTATCACTGGAGAAACAGATGCGTCACTCAATTGAGAACACACCCCTGTGCCACTCTGTTGTCCACATCGTTCGAGCCCGCCACCATTGCAGACGTTGGCGTCTATGATGTGGAGTCAACGGCAGTCTTCTTAATGTATTTAGCGAGTGCTGGCCACTATGCACTAATCAACGGCAAAGGTTCTGGTCAATATGGGAACATCCAGGATGTCTTGAACATGCTGCAGAATGGAGGTAAAAGTGTCTTGCGGGTGCGTCACCGCTTGTCGGCGGATGCATAGATCCACGCGTACTGACGTCACTCTGGCTGCACCGGCACCTCTCGAGCTTGTCACATTTCCTTTTTCAAGCCATCGTCACCATAGCCGGTGCACTGTGAGGTGTGTGTCAACGTAGATTTGCCGTATGGAACAATCTGTCCTTCTCAGTCCAATCACGATACCCTTCCTAAAATCGTCTGTCTGCTGGTACTGCCTACATTGACGACAGCCTGGCATTCTTTGCTGTTCCACGTGTCCTCTGAGGCAAGGATAAAATTTTCTAGGATGATTTCCTTAGCAGAAATAACGGCACGAAAACTGAATACTCTGTAGGTTCTTTCCCTTATATCTTCTTCAACGTGCGCTAGAGAGCTGCGTATTTCACTTCATTCTGCACTCGGTGACGTGCGTCTACCCTGAAATTTGCGTAATTTTCGAGCCACTTCTTCTTGGTATTGCATTTTCAATGTCGTTTAGTGTACTTTCGATATTTTCGTATACAAACGGGCGGGACTTCGGAAATTCGATAACAGTATTCGAGTGATAACATTACCCGCAATTACATTATCGGCGTTTACTGTGATGATATTCTGAAAGCATTTCTTATGTGTATGTAAACTTGCATATTATACAGAGTTTAAATTTTCTTTCCCAGGTTAAGCTAGACAAAGATGGCAACGCTTATTTTTCTACATTAGAAATCAATGACGTCACCATCGAAGATGCAGGGAAGTATAAAGTAACTGCCAAAAATGAACTTGGAGAAAGCCACGCGACCATTAGTCTCAACTTCGATAGTAAGTGCATTCAAAACAGTTTTTAGATTCGAATTATAAATGCAATAAATGTTTAGAAATTATATCTGCTATATCTCCTGGATAAAAAGGGTTTACAGAATTTTAAAATGTTATATTGTAATAACATGCTCGATATGTCACGATTTCGATTGCGTCTAAATGTATGTTGCCTAAAAAACCGTGCATATAACGCAGCCTAGGAATAATGTGCTTGGTAATAAAGGTGATAATTTACCTCTTAAAATTTTTCTCTAAGAGTATGTCACGTAAAAATTCTTATGAAGCGAGAATATAGAAAATAACCTCCGTCTGAGATAGTTTCAAAGAATCGCACATATTCCTAGTTATTTTATATCAGTGGATTTTCAACGGGTGTGTCTTGAAACTTTAAAACTATTTTCGAAAAATAAATGTCTGGAAGCTTTTAGATTTTATATTACCCACAAAAGGGCTTTTTTTAACGTTTTATGTGTTAACTTTACGTATTAAATACCATGTTCTTCGCACATAAAATTCAATTTAACAGCAATATCACAAAATATTTAAAGACACCAAAGCAGCATATCTTTAGAATTTCCGATTGACAGTCTCGCGCGCTGGAGATAAAAATGTTTTTGTTTTGTGAACAGTACTGCCATTCCTCGCTTTGAAATCATTGAGTTTGTTAACCAAAAATTCTAAAGTTTTACAAAATTTGAAATAGGTAATAAAACTAATTGGAAATTCAAAATTCGGGCTTCCAAAAGCCCGAATTTTGAATGGTGTTGGTTGGAGGATTAGTTGGAGTTATTTAAAATTTGATGGCTCTAGGTACCGTTTTTTTTTCACCATGCGAGAAACATTCATGCATTCATGCGGATTCTTCATTATTTAATTTCTTTAAATATAATACATGGCGAAAATATTTGGTGGCAACAGTTTGAAAAGTGAACTAACGCAGAAAATGAAACGCAAAAGGCCGTTTTGAGACTTATAGCCCTTTGGATCTAACGCCGCCCCTTAGGGCTAATCAATCAATCAATAAATAATAAATAAAGAAATGGAATGGAAGACACATTACAAAATTTCCCGTGGGGTAGTGGCTAGTGATGCTGACTACCGTACTTAAGTGCCCGGGTTCGAATTGTGCAAAGTCGTACTGTAACCTACAGGGTGCTTAAGGCTCACGCCAACGACACAATCTTGTACTATTTACCAGGATAAAATTCGTGGACTTTTTCTGATTGGATCAGACAAGTTGAGATTAGCAACAGCGGCAACAACTCACAATACAATAAATGTTATATAGAGTGCCGGTAATAAATATGGGGGGAATATGGTGCGTTGCAAAGGAAGAAGAAAGACTGGTTTGTACAAGATTTATCTGCGTAAAAAGATACCGCTTGTTGGTAACAAAAGAGTAATTTTAATAGTAAAAGAGGTTTATTTTATCCCTTACAATGCTTCGTATTCTTCATAAATCGGTTAATTTTACAAAAAAAATTTGCGAAATCTATGCAGTTTATATTATTTGTAAATATTAATTTAATCCATGTATTATAAGGTTTAATGAGTTTCCATGACTGTGTTAACCAGACTGAATTTCGCTGAAATGAGCGAACAGTATCAAGTCTTAGTGAAGACTAATGATAAATTATTACAAGATGAATTATTTCATGCTAGATTTCAACACTAGATTCATTACATCAAATCTGTTCTTTAGTCATATAAGATCTTTTAATAAAAAATGCGAAAAACTTTAAAATTTTTATCTACACCTATTACTGAGAAATTTTGAATAAGTAATTTGGTCTTTTACAATAATATCTTATAAAAGATTTTTAAATGTAAAACCGCTTTGTTAATGCCTAAAATCGAACTTAAGATAATCTCAAAATTATATAACACTTTAACTCATTGAGAAACCATAGATTTTAGAGTTCATTTAAAGTTAAATTACACTAAGTATAAAATTATGTATTTTCCCACGTCTACAAAATACAATATGAAATTCACGTTTCTGTAGTAATTTATTTTCTATATAAAAGTGATATTCCAGAAAATTATTTCAAACTTTCCTACATATAGTTAGCTGTCTTAGCGAATAGTTTTATATTGTCAGAAAATTTAACGAATGATATCTATAATTTTCAATGAGTAAGAATAGATTTATTCTGTCTCTTTAATTCGGCGAAGAAAAATAGTTTTCGCTTTAAGTATAGCGATAAAAATAGTAAATTTAGTTTGTAGTAAATTTTTAATTGAAGATATGAGATGAATAAAATTATCACTCTCTGACAGCTCATTTAGATTTATTTCTGAAATTTAAACTAATTGTAATTTTTCAAATTCATTCGTAAATTTTAATTGTTGATGCATAAAATTCGTGACATATTTAGTCGCGTAAATATTTAAAACACTTTGTTTAATATAATATTACATTATTATTATAATTTATGACGTTCTTAAGTTCAAAAATACAGGAAATACTACCGGTAAATCGTGTACTTTCGTAGTTCATGTACCTGTTTTACATTTGCAGGCGAAGATGACAGCGTTCCAACCGAAGGGACCAGACCTGTATTTACAGAAAAGCCCATCATCAAGGGGGCTGACAACTTCAGTAAAGTTACTTTTGAATGTCGGTTGGTGGCCGATCCAAAACCTACGATAGAATGGTAGGAAACATATATTGGTTTCTATTCATTATCAGTTAAAAGTTACTACAAAAGTAATTGCCTTTTACTAAAGTAATTCATTATCCATTTTGATGCCTTTTATTAAAGTAGTTCATTATCCATTTTCATTAAACAATTTAAGTCTTAGTTTTTTTTTTTTTTTTAAAGTAAAAAGACTGTTGTTCATGCTTCCATTTCAAATTCCATATTCAGATAATAATTCAGTTAATGGATATATATTTCGATAACAGATCTTTTACTCAAATATTATTTTATTCAAGTTATTAGAATTTAACATCCACTAAAATATTTAGTTTCGCTTTTAATAACCCAGAGAGTGTTTTTAATATTAATTCTATGCATTTTACATGTTACATAGATATATTAATACTTCTATTTTCTTTAGTTTAATGATTCAAAATATGTAAATCAAATATAGTATTTCGAAGAATTTTCATTGAATATTAAATAAATGTTAATGTAAAAACATTAATTATCAATACTTAGAACTAGCGTTTCTCAAAACTAGTTTTTGAAATAATGACCATTAAACACTGACATGATATTAACAGGTTTCACAACGGGAAGCCAATTTCTGATGGCGGAAGGTTCAAATATGGGCTCATTTCCGACAAGCATAACCACATTGTGTCCTTAGAAGTCCAAAACGTCACAGCCACAGATGGCGGAGAGTATAAAGCAGTAGCTAAGAACAAGCATGGAGATGGTCATGCAAATATTACTCTCAACTTTGAAGGTAAGCTTCTGAAACATTTTAAATACTTAATGTCACTTTATAGTGTATTTTCTAATCTCCATATTTCTTTAGAATATAAAATTACTGCTTTATTAATATTGTTTTAAATGTATTGCTCGCAAATATAAATTATATATTGATTATGATATGATATGTTTCCTTAAGACTCTTGACATCTATCTGATTAATAAAAGATACATTTCCATATAGAACTGTCTAACCGAAACATGTTCGACTTCTCATTTGTGTTCTGAATCAAGAGAATACGCGCATCTTTCCCAACTCCTCAAAACTTACCTGCCAATGAAATTTTTTATGAATTCCAATATATATATATTTTTTTTCAGAAAAGAACCATCAACTTATGATTGAGTTTAACGCTCATGAGAGATAAATGCCTAAACCTGATGATTCCAAATGGCATCTATAATAAGGATAATAAAGGATATGGTCATTTCTAATGCGTACAGGTTAAGCAGCTATTCGATTTTATGTTAATGATGTAGTTGATGAGTCCTTGTAACAGCCGCATGTATTCCTGCACCAAAGCAACCCTTAGCTCCTGGATGATTCTCGGAGACGGTTGGTGAACTACAGTTTTCAAGAGCGTGCCGAAATATTCAGGCAGATTAAAGTGTAAGGATTCAGTAGGCAGATTCAGGAGGTGTAAAATCTATCCCGCTAAAATCCTCATTTTGAAGGTATTCGGGCACCATTTTAGCTATGAAGAACTAAAGAGAAAAGGAACTGTGAGCGTGAGCCAACTGGGATCATGAGCACCTAGGGCTCTAATTTCTCATCGCTATACCTCTAAACTGTCAAGAACCTTCTGTCAAATACGAGGTGTAATGTGTCGCCAGCCAGTCTCATGCCAGCGTAGACCATTACTTCTCCTCCACCGTAGTGGTTCCTTTCTTCCAGTTAGAAAAATGGTATCACGCCCGAGGTTTTCTCTAGATAAAGACATGTTATAGATCGGCGCCTAAACTCCATATTCTTTATTGAAGAGAATATGAGCTTAACGCAGTTTGGTTTAAGAATGCTTTCTCTGCGCTGTATAAAACGTGTCGGGTTGTGTAAGGCCGTGAGTGGAACGCAAACAGCGCATCTTTTAGCTAAACGCCTTTTCTATGAAGTGTTCTAGAAACGGTTTATCCTTGGAAATAAATTTCCAGAGATGCAAACAGCTTACGATAGAAATATGTAGTTGTAATGTTTGGCTGAAAATGCCAAATATAGACCTTCTCGATGGTCGTGGCTCTTGTAATAGATATGTTGATTGTGTGGAACAGCAGTTAGGCTAACGGGAGTAAATTTGCTGAATTTGTTTCCACAAATGGCAGACGACACTAATCGTTACACTGAATCGCTACATTGTAGCTTTAACTTGAAGATGTCTTGACTGGAATCGACCAACGATTTTCATTTCATCGTCTGAAAGTTGGTTCTTACTCATCCTAGCGCAATGATCATGAAATTTAAAAAACTGTTTAAAAAACAGTATAAACACTATTGTTGTGTATGAAACAAACGAAAATTTTTTATAACTACTGCTGCCAACATCACCTACTCTGCATGTACAACTATATTTATATAGTCGACACATGAGCTATTGCATTATTACTTTGCCGCATACTTTTAAGTTTTAAATATGCATAAAATTGCACAAAATGAAACTGTACTTTCGATGAATGTAAAAGAAATTCTTGCTGGCTTGAAAATTCAATATAGAGCAGTGTTTCTTAACCTTTCTAGTGAGTCGTATCCCTTTGAACCTGGAAATATATCTCCCGCACCCCATTGAAAAATGTGTTTTATTTTTTCTAGTCTAGAAATTTTTTAGTCTAGAAAAATACATTTTTTTGCGAAACTTATTGTTTATTCAAAAACATTGTACATTTTATATAAATACAAAACAATATTATTTTTATTAATGACTAGTCTGTTGTTGTTTGTTCATTATTATACTGGCGAAGCGAGGTTCCTTTTTTGAAAGACATACGCGTAAGTCATCACTTGCATTTAAGCGATTTCTCGCTTTAGTTTTTATATGCAAAAGCGATGAAAATCCCATTTCGCACAAGTAGGTGGTAGCAAAGGGTAAGAGTAACTGCAGTGCTCCGTTCGCCAACTCTGGATAACGTTGTAACTGTGAACACCAGAATTGTTGCAATTCTAATTGTTCGAATTCCATTTGAACATGTCCACTTGCTCGCATTTCAATAAGTTGATCTTTTTCAGATCACTATCATCCATCAAATTAAGTAAAATTAGAAATTAATAGAATTAATTCATTAATAGAAATGGATCCAGTATCCATCTCTGAGTTTTGGTAATATTTCCGGTAGAAAAATATCCATTGAATGATTCGCTCAATCGTCTCAAATGTATTACAATGTCGGGTATAATTGTATTCTTTTCATTTTTCGCAATAACAGAATCAAGCAAGGGAAAGTTTGCAAAATTCCCCCTTTTCTACTCGACGTATCCAAATTTCTAATTTTGCGATAAATGAAGATAATTTTTTCACTAGATATTATTATATTTATACCAAATCCTTGCATTGATAGATTCAATTCATTTAAATGGCTAAATATGTCTGCTAAGTAGGCCAGCCTCAGCATTGCATCATTACTCTCAAAATCTTTTACTAAATAACAGTTTTGACTAGTCAGTAATTGAATAATTTCCTCACGCAATTCAAAAACTCTGTTAAGCATGCGACCCTTAGATAACCATCGTATTTCGGTGTGATATAGGAGCACGGTATGATCAGCACCGATTTCTTCGCAAAATGCACGAAAAATGCGATGATTAAGCGCTCGCCCTCGGATATATTTTACTACATTTACTGCTGTAGTTAGATGTTGTTTTAAACTTTCTGGCAATGCTTTCGACGCAAGTGCATGACGATGCAACATGCAATGCGTTATTATAACTTCCGGTAATTCTCTTTTCATGTGTGGAAAAAAATCCTGAATTTTTGCCTAACATTGCTGGGGCTCCATCAGTGCATATTGAGCCAATCACATTCATTGGTAATTGATATTTAGTAAAAAAATCTTTGATGCGATTGAAAACATCAATTCCTCTCGTATTCACCTCCAGTGGCTCACAAAATAGAAATTCTTCTATCACCTCTTTTTCCTTCACATACCTGACAAATACCAAAAGTTGGCTACAATTATCAACATCAGTTGACTCATCCAGTTGCATGCTTATTTTTAGTGGACTGATTTTTATGTCTTCAATTACTTGCATTAAAATATCTTCACTGAGATCTTGTATTCGCGATCATATAATATCATTCGATAATGGAATCTGTTGGATTTTTTTATGTGCTTCTAATCTAAAACTGTTTTAGCAATAATTAAAGCAGAAGGTTTAATCAACTTTTCAGCGATCGTGTGAGGTTTTTTTTTGTTTTTTTGCACATAAATATGCCACTTGATATGACGCTTCTAATAAAGGTTTATGAATTGCTGGTCCGCACAATTTTAGGATAGTTCCACTGGTATCAAACCGAGCCTTCTTTGACTTCAAGTTGTTCATGCTATGCGCTTTTTTGCCACCATGCAGATTGTTGAAATGCTCTATTAACTTTGATGGTTTGAGATTGCTGTTTGAAAATATCTTGGAACACAAGATGCATTGCGGTCGTTGCGTGCCATCTTTTTCGGTTGTGCAGGTAAATCCATAACCGGCATACTTATCGTTCCATTGTCGTTTTTTTTTGACATAGTGGGGTTCACTATAATCGATTTAATTATTTAGAAATAATGTAATATAATATATAAAAATGTTCTTACGTTTGTAATATCACTGAATCCTATTCGGCTTGAACGGGCAATTAAGAATGTATTAGTCTCAAGAGGTTTCTGGACAAGTCAGAATACACAATACACATGTCGCAGACACAATAGTTGACTCAACTTGACTCAACCTAACACAGGAGCAGTAGATGCAGATACAAATCTGTAAATCCGTAGATTCCATTGGAGCAGCACATATTGAACTCAGCGCATGCGCAAACTGGGATAACGTTCTCCGCTTGTATTCCCAGAAAGTTTTTTTTTTTCTTTTCTCCGTCACGTCCGAGCGTAGTGTATACGCTCATCGGCACCGGCTCTTTCCTATGTCTTTTGCCGATAAGTGAGCTAGGTGCTACCAATTTTTATGAGCTTCAATATTGGGGAAACTAGTGCAGATTTCAAATATTTTATTATAAGAAATCTAATAAATGATATTTAATAATTTTTATGGTTAGGTAGGGGCTTCTCCCGGACCCCCAAAAATACATTCCCGCACCCCCATCCCCCGTTAAGAACCACTGATATAGAGTAATTAAAGTTTCCTCATAGTGGATTCATATTAGTTATGTAATGAAATTCATGTTTTATCCTAAAACCTAGATGTTTTTATATTGTTACATACACGTCATTAAGTGTAAAGTACGATTTAAATCAATATATTCATCCTATAAGAAAGAACTCACATTTAAATTTTGTATATATATAAATTAGAAAGGTAATCTAATACATATGACGGTAAATTGTACTTATCCATAATTGTGAATGATTAAGTCATAAGTTAATATTTGCTAAGAGGATGCAATATTCATCAAAGTGTCATTATTTGTATGAAAAAGCAAGATGCATATTATATTAATTATATACATCATAGAAGACCAAAGAATTTCAGGAAATGCCTTGAACTTTCCTGAGTTCTTCTTTATACTGTATAGAATGCAGAATTTAAACTGGAAAATGGAAAGTAAAAATTTCTACCGATTTTAAGAATATTCCATTTATGCTGAATAAGTAAAGAACGACATAAACTGAGCACAGTGTTTTATTATTTATTACAATAATATTGTAAATTATATTTTTTCTGATTCTAATAACGGAGTAAAATATATTCTCAAGTCTCATAGCTTATATACTATATTTAATAATGTATGTATATTAATATATATTTAATACATTAATAACATTTTTATTTTTTTCTTTTTCCCATGAAACAGACGACAAGCCACAGTAAGTTGCATTTTCTTCTATTTCAATATAATCTACGAAGAGTATTTTAAAAATTGACTAATATCTCAAAACCTGCGTTTTTCATTACTTTTACATCTGAAAATATTAATCCTTACAAAACTGTGCATGTAGATTCACTCCTTTTTCAGATGAGTATTGCATTGTTTTCTTTAAACGAAAATTAATTTATTTGCATTTAAAAAAATTTTTTTTCTTCTTTATAAAGGAAATCACATGATTTTAGACTTACCGATTTCGTCCAAACTTCTCACCGTTATAAGAGACATTAAGAACTATGTATTTAGAAAGTCCTAATGTGAGCATTATTCAAAATAAGGGGAAAGTTCAGAGTAAATCGTATATTATTTAGATTCACGTGATTGCTAATAAGTAAGAGTAACGAGCGAGAATTAGAGCCAAAATGTGGACCTTATAACCTTTTTCTTTACGTTATTTTTATTTATATACACTTCTGTGAAAATTTATTTGCAAAAAATGATGCATCGCTAAAATTTTAATGAACGTGAATGTTTGTGTTTTGTGTTCTCTTTTATGGTGCTTTTAATATAAATTTATTTATAATTAATACGAGGGAGCTAAGAAACATTATTATTCCATCATGAAAATATAAAAAATATGAAATATTTCGGCCTTATGTTCGCTGAATAAATGATAGTTTATCACTTAAAATATTTCGAGACTTTGTTGCTATAACGTTCCAAGGAAACTTGTACTTAACGCTTATAAGAACTCTTGTTTAACGCTTATAAGAATGTTGCTGTCTTTCGCTAAGCTTGATTAGTGTTATGGATGGTTTAAAAGCTATTCAAAAAGGAATACGAGTCTTAGATGCTTTAGAGTAAGTAATATTTTGTTACGAGCAGTGTTCGCACTTAAGGACAAATCAACAAAAACTGGTCTTGTATTTTTTGCATAAATTGAATTTCGTTTTTTTTTATTTTTTTTATTTTCCCTCATTGTGGCATAGCAAGATAAGTAAATATTTTTTTAAGATAAATTCAAAAAAGAACACCTTTTGGTTTTTTTTAGCAAACGATTTTTTAAAATTCTAAATTAAAAGCTAGCTCAGAACTCCGCATTTATGTTTTCAGAATTCCAAAGGGGAAGACGCCTCGATTTCCAAAGAAACCGACCATAAGACAAGATGGTGATAATTTGATATTAGAATGTATCCTTGAGGCTGACCCTATGCCAGACATCACGTGGTACCATGGTACTAAAAAAATTAAGGATGGCAAGAGGCACAAAATACAGCAACAAAGTAAAGGAGCTGACACATACCTCCTTTCACTGGAAATCATGGTATGTAAAAAGTCTCCATATATTTACGGTTATACATTGAAAAATTTTAAGAAGAATTATACATAAATTATGTAATCTTCAATTTCATGTCAAACTTACTTCTTATTTCAAACTTTTTTCTTATTTTATTTCCTTAGTATTTTTTATCTTAATCAATCTTTTCTTTTAAATGTAAAGTTTTCTTCTAATGAGGAAGAAAATTTTTTGAAATAGTTTCTGTTAAGCAGATAAGAAGGACTTTATAAACATAAAATCTAATTTTTCGTATAGCAGCAAAGAGCAAAATATATAATTAATAAGACTTGCATCATACTTTAACTAGTTACAAAATAAATGTTTTTTATTTATGTACAAAATTTGCAGCTAAGAATGTAAGTAAGACATATGCATAATAAATAATTTTAAAGGATCAGCTTCTAAATTCTTAAAGAATGCTGTTTCATGTCAACAGAATTATAAATCTTCATTAAAGCAATTATAACTTTATAGTTATAGTATCTTCAGTTACTAGGTTATAGTCATGCAAAAAATACCTCAGCCATTAAAATCTTTCCTGAATATCTCAAAGAGTTTTGCCATTTCTTTGTGTTTGTTTCAAAAGACACAAAAAAGTACCTTAAAGTAGGAATGTTTTATTTCAAATTAATTAAAGATTACTGAAAATTTTACTAATTGGAATTTTCCTCTACGGGAGATGTATAAAGTTATATCCTTCATAGGTCATTCTGACCACAGCGATGAACCTATTTCATACATTTTTAAAATCTAAGCAATTTTGTAAATGAAAATATAGGTCTAAAATTAATGTTTAAGGAAATAAAGTTTCTAGACAGCATCTAATGAAATAAGTAAAAAGTACAGTTTACTAACATTTTTGTAATAGTAATTAATTTCTTAGAAAAAAAAATAAATTAAAAAATAATGAGTATTTGACATTCATTTTGAATAAAAATAGCTCCATGTTTGACGTTTTATGAAATTAAAATTAACTTTTAGTAATATAATATTTGACTTGACTTATTTGAGTACATTAATTAGTTTCATTTGTGTATCTTTACGTGTAATTAAGTGTCACATTTTTTAACGAAATTAGCTTGTTTGCGTATATATCTTTAACTTAAATAAATGCGACTAACTATTTAAATAAATTAATTTATTTGCTTAAATGTAATGAACTTAAATAAATGTCCCTAACTTAATATCAGTAACTTAAATATCATTGATAGTCTGTAACTAGGACTAGGAAGAGATCCACAGAGCTCCCTTTTGGAATCGAGCTATCCTAGACTGTAACGTTACATTTATTTCTAGTCCTATGCATTCAAGAATAATCAAAGAAGAGCGTTTTTAGTGCTCTTTACCAAAACGTTCAGGAAGTTCTCAAACGTAATTCTTTCAGCAAAACGAAGTAGAACCAAATGGCTAGTTGAAAGGATGCACAGCAATACCTGATTACACGAAACAACATCACGTAATGCAGTAACTTCTAGTAATTAACAGTCGCGGCATCAAATTTAATCCGATTACAGAATGCATTGCTTTAACTATTAAACACATATTTCTGTCAGATCTGATGGTGTTTCTCTTATAATAAGGTGAATAGTCTACATTTTCAAATCTACTACAATACTATTTCTACGGGTTCGTGGATTTGGAGTAATTAATGATAACACTTGATGAAGAATTTAAACACAATTTATTCGCCAGTAAGCAGGATTACAAAGAACAGTTCCAAAGACACGCTTACACTCGTCCAAAAACTACGACAAAGACGGAATAATCAGCAGCACAGCCTTCAGGGAATAACGGTGAAGACAGCTTCACGGCAAAGTACTAAATTACAGCTCCCGACTCGGTCAATCGCTCTCAAACTAATCTATGAACTCAAGGTACCACTCCTTTCTCCCAGTATAGGCAGGCTATAAATAATATAGCTTTAACCTACCTTGGAGAATATTCCCGAGAAAACCGCTAAGATTCGTTCTAGAATTTTTTCGCTCCATCTATGACAAATCACCAATTTTATCTCCAAATATCGCCAAATGGACGATTTCGCGTCAAATCCTGCAACCCTGTTTTCCGCCTACCACTTTCTAGAAACCCTAAGTTTGCCAGCTTTGCGGAGAAGCTACCTCATCGCGTAGCTGCTGGGCATTTCGCAACAATACTTTCTTTATCCACATATCTCACTTGATCATCAGCGTGCGCGACTTTAATAATATATATCATCTTAATATGAAAATTTCAGCTCTTATTTTATATATATGTATCGATTCTTTATAGTAGTAAAAACGATTAGGGAATAAAATTTAATTATATTTATTTTTCAAGGACCCCGTTGCAGAAGATGGTGGAAATTATAGATGCAACGCTATAAATGACTTGGGAGAGAGTAATGCTAACATTGCACTCAACTTCCAAGGTAAATTCAAACTTTATATTAAAAAATATATATTGAAAACTAAGACAGAATTTTAATAATAATAATTTAATATACATTAAAATAGTTTATATATGTATATAATAATTCTATATCTAATATATTATACATAAAATAATTATAATAATTTAATATATATTAAAAAGTAGAATTGTTTTAATTCGCAGACCTGAAAATTATATTTAATTTTAAATAATGATATCTTGCAATCAAAGACAATCATTGGAGCAAGATGGTAAAATAAATTGTTTAAGAATAATATAACGTGAATGATATTTACTTGAACATGTTAGTGTTGTTGTTGCCAGTCTACTAGTCTCACCTGTCGGACTACGGTCAGGACAAGCCCACGACATTTATCGCGGCAAGGAGCCAAATGGTCTGTCATGGTCAAGAGTCTTGAGCACCACATAGGTGACAGACCGACTTTAGTTCAATTACATTTCTAATTCTGAGAGAAGCCCCGGGTTTGAGGATCTCTCACCCCTCTTAATCTACCACTCACTACTCGAGAGGACATTCGGCTCGCCGCATATTTAGAGTGCTTTCATGCCGTACAGACATTATAAATTTAAAACATTAGTGCTTCTCCAAGATTCAAACCCAGGCTCTTCGGTACAGCAGTCAGAGTCGCTAACCACTATTCCGGTTGGGCGACACCTGACAAGTTTATACATGTTCTATGTAAAGGAATTTTACTGCCGCAATAATTATTTAGATTTGCAAAGGATTTGATGACCTTTATAAATGGCAATAGAACAAATTTTGGCAATAGAACAAAATGGAATTTTCGTCTGATGTTTTTAATTTTATTTTTGTTTATCTGTGTTGAGTGTGTTGCGTTAACCATGAGGCCGATTATTATCGGCCAGGAGGGTTGCAGCACAATCGTATATTACACTGCATTACAGATTACAATGTTCTTTGTATAGCATGAATTTTGTTTAGTATGTCAGTTAAAGTTAATTAGTGCAGATAGATCAAGCGCATCACCATTATTGTGAGTAGTGGCGGTCAGGGCGATGAAGTGTTAAGCGTAGTTGTTTTTGTTGTAATTCCTTCTCCGTTATGAAAGAAATATCCGGGTTTTTTTTCTGTAATACTCAGTCTTTCAGTCATTTTCAGTCATAACGTTTAAACTATAACGCATATATTTTCTTCACGTTGTCTAAATCGTAACTTTATAAAGATTATGTATATATTTCTGCGAATTATTATGATTTTTGATTACATTCACTATTTTTATGCGTTTGTATGAAACTGATGTAAATAATCCTATAATTTATGCAGTATAACTTTTAAGTGTATAATATACTGTTCGCATGTAGCAACATAGGATTTTGTCTCCCACTATTTTTATGCATTAAACTTATATATAAAGTTTCTTAAATTGTTAAACTTATATATTGTTAAACTTATATATAAAGGTTCTTAAATCTTGTATATAAAGTTTCTTAAATTATACAGCCTTTTACCTCATTTATTTTGCCATATCATAAGTAAATGTTCTTTATGTAGGTGCCGAAAATGAGAAAGGAGAAGGCTTAGCCCCAGAGTTCTTAGAAAAACCTAAAATCATTCCAAAAGAAGGTGGTAAATTAATAATAATGCAATGTAAAGTAAAAGCCAAACCGGCTCCAAAAATCACATGGTACCAGGGAACCAAACTAGTCAAGGAGACCAATCGGGTGCAAGCCAAAGTGATCGAAGGTGCAGGAGACGAGTTTACAGTATCACTTGAAGTTAGAGTAAGTCTACCGTTTTCTGTTCTACATTTTCCGAACTTAGAATATGTTTTATGTCTTCGAAACTTTACCTGAGTGCTTTTTAATAATTTTATGACTTTTTTATAAAACAATAAACAAATTGCATATCTTTCGCTTCGATCTTTGTGATTGGAGACACAAATTAATGTCTTTCAACAAATCTCCCCGGTTATTAAAGTACTATGGTCAAGAATATGCTATTACAAAAAAAATTACATCACGTATGTTTGTTTAAATCTCCGTATTTCCCTTTTACTTAGTTATTTTAGAACTAAATTCAAATAAACGAATGCGTTATCTAATACGTAGCATTAGTTTTATAACGTTTCAAATAAAACTCAAAGCTTGATGACGCTTCAGTTTAAAAAAGAAAAACAATAATCCATTCACATATTACCTGTTTGAAATGCTACAATTTTTTTAAATATGCTTATTTCTTTATAAGTTTTCATTTAGCTTATAGTATTTAGTTATTTTTTGTATTTTATAAATTATCAAGTACGTTGTTGGTTACAGTCTCGCTTCGTCAAAGATAGTTAATAAGACATTGATCTCGTAACACAGATTTCTGTTAAATTGCTAGCATACATTGAAACTTAAAATACTGTAAAAACGAAACTAATAGCAGATGATAATATGCTATTGATGTTTCCCATTTGTTGTAAGTGTTCGTTAATGTAAACAAATGATCTGTTTACATTCATGAACATTTTCAATAAAGAAAGGTACCCGAATAATAAAAAACGAAATTATTTCAGTTTTCGGCGATATAATAGCTGTCATTATTTTCGCTTTTAAGATTGAATAAACTAAATAAGAAGTGAACAGTATATTTCCATGTGAAAGTTTTATAACTCGAAAAGTTCAACATACAGTGTACTGTCGATTATCCGGGCTAATGGTAGGGAAGCAGGTCACGGATAACTGAAAAACACGGATAACCCAAGCTATCAATTTTCATGCTTATTGTACGTGTGTATTTCTTTAAAAATCAGTAATTATACTTTGAGAATGGTTTGTTATTTTTCGAATTTCACTGCATATGTTTTGAAGCGCTATTTTATCATTATATTCGAATTCCCTCTGATGACGTCTATTTGAATTTCAGCGGAAGTCATTGCTGTCCAGAGATTAAGATAATTGTCAGTATCTTCTTTGCTTGTATTTTCAGTATCACTGTCTGCTTTTCTGTTCTTGTCACATATGAAACGCTTAGTATTTGTTACAGTGTTCTTTATTTATTTTTAATTCTAAAATTTTAAATAAATTTTTTACAAGAATAAAATATGCGCGAATATACATACGAAACAAAATATTCCTAGTGATTAACCAACATGATGTCTTCGATTATGCACAGAATTGTACGAGGTAATCGTTGAAACTAAATATAAAGACATAATTCAGCTGATTTTAGAGTACGCTCGCACTTGTGCTTGTTTGGTTTTTTACACTCACGTGTATGAACGTGGTCACAGCCACGTTCGGATTATCTGCAAACCGGACAATCCATACTCGGATAATCGACTGTGTACTGTATTTCGTAGGAGCATTAATGCTGTTATTCCACTGGCAAAGTTGGAGATGTCCTTCTTTTAGGAGTTTCGCTTTCCATAGAAATGGATACAACACTTCTCACGTTTGCATTAATATTTATCATTTTTTACAGGATCCGTCCAAAGATGATGGAGGAGCTTATAAATGTCACATGATAAATGAACATGGCGAGCTGAATGCTAACTTGAACCTTGATATACAAGGTAAGCAAGAGAGGCAAGCCTGAATAAATTTCTGGTATGCTAAAATGAAAAAGATTTTAAACCAAGATTTATCTCTTTAATTCAGTACAAATTCCAGCAAATAGTTTCTGCTAAATAATTTAAATACGAAAAAGTTTACAAAATGAGTTCTTGAGATATTAATGTTTCCAGTCAAATTATCATCCAAATAAAGTCACCAGAAGGCGATGCTAAACTGATTTTAATAAAAGATTCCGCGTCTGTTAAATAAAGGGAGCAAACTAGTTGTACGTGAACAATGTAAATACTTTATTACAAATGTAAGTATCACAGTACGATGTTAGAAAATGAAGCATGAGGCAAATTTAAAGGACATGGCCATATAAAAAGTATGGTTTATGTATCTATACGATACTGTAGGTTGTAATAAATCCTGGATTACGCTGGTAGCAGCTGAATTCATATTGCTTTAATATATTTGTGATAATTAAGCAGAGATAATAGCGTATATTTTGTTAAGAGAACCGTTTGTGTCTCTCATCGGGAAGAATCCCGGGGTTCATATGTTGAGCCTTGGGAACACCACAGAAAACTGTTAATACAGTCCTGCACAGTGTGTGTCTGTTTTGGATAGCTTTATATATGGCTTTCCTCGTGATCACGTTTATTGTGGTCCAAATAAAAGTATGCAGTTACTAGTCTTAACACGATGTCTTTCACAGCTTGACATCTGGCAGTGTCACTCCAACAAAAGTGGAGAAAGGGATACGAACGTTCTTTGAGTTCCACCTATGATACATGCCTTTATATGACCATTTAAGTATCATTTTGATTCATAATTTGCCTTTTCGAAAGTCAAATAACGAAACTTTTGCATGTGTGTCCCCAGCCAACTACATGAAACATATATTCGATTCAGTCCTTTCTGTACGGTGAACTAGATTTAAACAAATTAATGCTGGAAAAAGTGTTTATATACCTTCAAGTCTATTACCATAAAGCAGATATTGATAATACACATGTGAAAATACGAGTAGTTACTTTAAAAAATTAAACAGTGAATGTATTTTAAAGATGAAATACGATTGAGTAAACCTGATCCGATCGATAGAGATGTGTCGAATTCTGCTGTGTCTAGAAGCCTGTGTCTGTTCTGCAGACTCTACTTGAAGCGAGTTATCACTTAGACGGAAACGAAACAAAAAGTCCAACGAAAGGTTAAAATAATCTTTTTATTTAAGTCTTAATTTAACAGAAAGCCAACCGTATACTACAAACGAACTCCCGTTAACTTGTGAGTGTTTAAGTTACTCTAACAAACGTAGGCTAGCAAGACGCTAAAATCGGAAGCCAGCTTATGTAGAGCTGGCCCTACTAAATAACAGCAAGGTGCGGCTGCCTGAAACTCTGATCTAAACATTCAGAACCCTCAACTTAAATATACGAACAACTAAGGTGGAATCTGGTGAGGTCTTCAGAAAGGAGGAGCTATCTAAAAGCTTACATCATAATAATAGTTTAATTAAAATAAAATGCTTTACAGATGTTACAAATGTATCAATTTGAAGTTTTAATATAGACAAAATCAAATGTTAATTTAACAGCAATCAAATTTATTGGATTAGATGTTTTGAAACGAACCATATATCTGTATAGTTTCATTCTAACGCGTTTGAGAGCATTCTGAAAAATAAAATCTGATGATTCTGTGTTCATTTTCCCTTGTTACTAAACTTTAACTAGAATTTTCTGATGTTATGCCTAAAAGCTTTCATTCCGCAAAGATGATTACGAAAAAATTAGGTTAAAACATCAAGCATGATTTTTTTTTTTGGGTATTTAGCGGAGAAGCCACCAGCAGGTGAAGCTCCTACTTTCGTTGAGAAGCCCACAATCATCCCAGAGGATGGTGGAAACCGAATAATAATGGAATGTAAAGTGAGAGCGAGTCCTAAACCTGATATCAAATGGACTTGTGATGGAGCTGATGTTCGGGAAAGTACCAGAATCAAGCAGACGATCAAACAAGACAAAGATGTCTATCACATCAAATTGGAACTGAAGGTATGTTCATATAAATGCCATAAGTTTTATGTTAGGATTCGCATTTGTAAATTATTTAAACTATGATAATATATTTGAGTTTGATAGAACTAAAATAAATTAATTTGCTTCACTTTTATTTACTTTTTAGAATCTAGAATTTACCGATGCTGGATTGTACAAGTGTAATGTCAAGAACGTTCACGGAGAAAGCAATGCCAATTTGACTTTAAACATTGAATGTGAGTGAAATTTCTTATTACGCGTGCTTTATCCTGTTATAAATTTATTGGGTAGATACACCAATGAGAAGGAATAACCCATTCAATCGCTGCACTCGGAAAAAAAATTCAAATAAAATTATATGCACTCTCTCAGTCTTTTCTCCTAGGAGTAGACTACCTACACCCTCATTCACTATATAACAGTTTAAAATTCCCTTTTTGGGGAGGATATTGCCAACAATACAATGGCACTTGGGAAACACCGCTTTTTCTCGTTGCAGTAGATCCGTCATTTCCATCACGCTCAGTATCAGTCTGCATACAGCCTCTTTATAACACGTCATAGACAGGAGTACGTCACACACATCGTCGCAGTCGAAAATCGGTCAATAAATCTGTTATGGCTGCAATTGACACGTTCAAGTCTCTTCCTATCACACACTAAACAGAAGTTGAACAGAGTTAGTACTGAGCATTATTCAAGGGGCAATATAATAGGTATTTCATCTCGCCCAATACTTATTGATAGGTAAACATCCCATGGATCATCATAAAATTCAGACGCCTATATTCTTAAGTCTTCTAAGGCTGGAATTGGCACCTTCCATCACACACGAAACAAAAGTTTCAAAGTGTACTAAATAAAACTTTAGCTCAGCTGATCCTCGTGCGCGTAAGTCATAAAGCAACAGTACACCGCACGCCTTGGGACCCATAACCTTTGAGTGGCAAATGAAAGAAATTCCCCGCTTACACCACGAAATATGAACCTGTGAATCTGGAACTAGCTTCATCATCAAATTTACTATACGCCAGACGGGGCTTTCGACACCGACTAACGGGATTGTAGGTCTTATATTACTCCCGAAGGATAAAGGAACCTCAGATTCATTTATTCTACAGAGCCAAGACTGTCAAAGTGCTGATTGATCTCAAGACAGTACAATAAACGATCCCGGGGTTTTCTTACTACAAGAGAAAGAATCTTTTATTCACAAATGTTTTCTTTATTTATTTTTCTCAGCGCCTGTCACAAGAAAAATTATTCGCCTTTCCTTTCGCGGTATCTGGTCAAACAGTCAGCATTATCACGGAAGCCAGATTGCTACATAACACTGTTAATAATAATGATACTTTAGAAGTTACTATCTTAGTAGCATCATATTTATGCATCTATGAACCATCTACTGTAAATGTATTGCACTGTTATTCTTTCAGTAAATGTATTGCACTGTTATTATTCAGGATATTAATAACATTAATCTTTGCTGATTTTCTTAAAGATTAAAAAAAGTCAATAATAGGATTTTGAGAACAATTCTGATGAGTTATGAAAATTTCTTTTATGAAACATGAAGTGCAGTGAAAGATCTGACTAGACCTGAAAATAAAAGTTGCAAATATAGATTCTACTGGAAATGTATACATATTTAAAATTTTTAATCATGAATAAGTACGGAAATTACTTATTTTTTACGGTGCATAAAAATTATTTAAACTTTGCTTAGAGTTAAATTGCTTTTTCTAAACCTTGCTGTGATAGTTACAAAATCCAATAAATTTTAAATAATTTGAAATTGTACTACTGATTTTCCATCACATAATAATAAGCAGTAAATGCATTTACGTATGATGGTAAATATAGCAAAGTATTTTAAAGTGAAGAGCTATTTCGAGCGTAAATTCTAAAGTAATAATTATAAGTAAGTCTTTGTGGTGATGTGGTTTAAAGTAATTAGTGCATATTAGAAAACGCATGACAGGATATTAATTTCTTTATTTTAGATAAATTAAAACAGCTTTTAATTAGTACTTACTTACGCATTTCGTTTCCCCCCTCATTTATCTAACATTATAATATTTTATTTGTGTAGCTAATTGTAATTAATTGGGCAAAAGCTTTATATAAATATATTTGATAATCCTGATACAAAAAGTGAATTATCCGTGGTTAATCTTTATTTAAGGTGTTTTCAGTCACGATTATTCGCTTAATGCTATTTCGTAACTACCAGTTTCAGGAGTATTTATAGCGTACAGATTTTAACGTACAACAGAGTACGTTAAAATCTGTACGTTAAAGAATAAATGAATACAAAATGAAACTCAATATATCAAATGTTAAAATAATATTCACTATGGTAATTTTACAAGTTGCAATAATATGCATAAATACGATGCTGTTAATAACGTAATTTTATTGTTTTTAGTGGCACCTGTGATCAAAGAGAAACCAAAGATCATCAAGAAGGAGATCCACAAGAAAGTCGTTATCGAATGCAGAGTAGCATCCGTTTCCAAACCCACGTGCACATGGTTCAAAGAGAGTAGCATGGTTTCAGAAAGCAGCAAACATACCGTCCGCATCACAGAGGTGACCAAGGGTGAATTCGCCGTTGCCCTAGAGATAGACAAGCCTACAGGAGATGACAAGGGTAACTACAAGATGGTGGCCAAGAACGAAAAAGGAGAGATCACTTCTACGGCTGTACAAGTTGATATTGAAGGTAATTATTAATAAAGATAAGGAAAATCATAAATATTTCAGTCATTAATGCATGTTGATGATATGTTGAGAATAAGACATTATTGCAGTTACATTATTTTGAGCTAAAAGGTAATCCTTTTTTTTTCGTGAAAATGTATTATTGCATGCTCTATTAAAATTTGAAATTCAGTGTTGATTTTCGAAATTGCATGAAAAAAATTAAAAGCACAAATAAATTTATATTCCTGGAAATTAAAAATCTAATATTTTACAGAGAAGAAAAAGGACACCTAACTTAGATTTTATAACCTAAGTTGTTATTTTATCACAGTTTTACGACTATTAGTAAGTAACATTTAAAAAAAAAATTATACACATTTTTCTAAATTATAGCTGTTGATGATAATCAAAAGTGAAATTTCAGCAAATGTGTTTTTGAAAACGAAAATACGTATTTACACTCCAGTTATCTAAATATACACGCTATTCATATTATTTTCTGATTATTTCCATATTATTATAAACAGTGAAACTTTTTTTGGTATAACGAAAGACTACAAAAAGTTTTTCTCAGAATTTAGAAACCTTGGTTACTATTATTCATCTGACTAAGCGCAGCTATAAATTAAAAATTTCAAAGAAGAAATTTAAAAACACTATTCTTCAAGAAAATGTACAATACAGGGCTTGACCTGTAAGATAATATCTTGTAGATAAATTCACAGAAATTTCAGGGCTATGCACAGAAGATATTCATAATCACATTTGGGAGACTGGCGGTTCGTAACCATTATTTTTCATGGAGAAAGGAATGTATTGGATGAAGGATAGTCTTACACAACAGACTTCCAATTAAAATGAAGTTTTCAATTGCATTCGCAGGAAAAGTTTTTATAATGCATGCAAATGGGATTTATGCAAACTCATCACGACAGTTAATGTGTTTTTGTGAACGAATTATAATTCTAAATTATGCACATACTTTTGTATGTTTTTTTTATCGTGCAACAAACTATGTACATTTATATTTTCACATGCATTTTTGCTGCAGTAAATCTTTGAAAGTAGCTTATATCATAGTTTAGCGAAAGTATATAGTTCAAAATATAAATTACATGTAAAGAAGACAGAAAATGTATAGTTGCAGGGAAAAAAAGTGAACTAGGAGGTAAAAAAATTAACATTTTAATCTAAAGCCCTATTTAAATATTCTGCTAGTAAAGAGCTCTTATGCATTTTTCTGAAAAAAGAACTATTAAAATAATTATACAGGGCATTTTAATGAACAGATTTTATGTCGACAGGTACTTTTATTAACAGATACTTATTTCCCTTAACTGACAGTATTTACATATTAAATATCTAAATTGAGCTGTTAGTAAATGTTCCCAAAACTGATATGTTTCGTTTTCGTCTAAGGCGGAGTCTTAATTCTTATTTTTAATGTTAACTATATAACTATTTTTAAGACATTATTTAAATACACATTCGTATAAATATTTATGAGAAGAACTTAATATTATTCCTTGGGCACAGTAATGTAAATTTAAAGGAAAATTATATACTGAATTAGAATCTTTTAGAAATGACTTAACTTATAACTTATCTCGTTGATTTTCAATTTTAATAGGGTAAAAATAATTTTAAAAGTTTAATGTAAATTGTAATTATTTCGTATCTAATATTTTTTTTCTTTTTCAGAAGAGAAGAAAGAAGAGAAAAAGTTAGTATGCTTTTAATATGTATTTGAATTAAAAAATAATCTTTATGTTTTTACAGTGCTGAAAGTTTTCATATGCAAGCATCTATTTCATTGAATTCATACCGTATCCAAAAATGCAATCCCTATATATACTTCTTATTCCTGAAATAATTACTTCTTATTCCTTCTTATTCCTTAAAATAACAAATATACATTTTCATAAGCATTGTGTTTCAAAGATTGATTGATAATTAATAAGTTTTTAAATTCATTTTCCGCAGGAAGCCGACAGGAGAAAAACCTAAAATCGTCCAAGGATTAAAATCAATTGTAAGTAAAGTTTAACGCTGAGTTAAAGTAACTCTTCTTCATTTTTACTTCATTCATTTTTTTATCATTTCACTTTTTTTTTTACCTTTTATATACTGTTTAAATCTGAATTTACAATTTGTAGTCAAATGCTTTTTTTCTCACGAAATATAGCGCAATAACGATCTTAAACCTAGCATTTATCTATCTTTTCATTCTGATATGAAAATGAATAGAATCTCTTATGAATATGTTTTAAAAAATTTGAACCAAATTTCTGTTTAAATATATATTCAAAAGAATTTAACTTATTAACACCGAATTTATTTTTGAAAAGAAAAGAGACTAAGTAATTTTCTTTTATTTAATAACACAGACTTTACATTTTATGCTCGAAGTCAAAAATAATCTCCTTCTGTATATTGTAACGTTATCATTAAGAAAGAAATATTTATTTAAGTTTTGATTTTCACTTAATACATGGGAAAATTTCAATAATTACCTTCAAAATTTTAGAAATTTTAAATCCTTCGTCAGCTATATCATTATATTATTAAGCGAAAAATTTACATGAGTAATATTATCATATTAATAACTGAAAATTTAAATTAATTCAGGTATCTGTCATATTAGATAGAGTCCATCTTCAAAATTCTCGATGACATGAGAAAAGGAAGATGAACTCAAATACTAAAAAATTAGTCCAACAATTGACAAGCTTTGCTAAATGCCGTGTGAGTTAAATATAAAGGTACAGCTTTTGATTTGTGAGTGTGCTGATATAGCTCTTGATTAGTAACTGACACTAGTAACCGAGTATTTTTAATATTTCTCGTTTATTCTCTTTGACAGACATTTTCAAGCTAACACAAATAAAGCGATGCAACGTGCGCCTGCTCTTGTAGTGCTTGTTACATGGGTACCGTATGGAATTTTGGAATACAGTTATATTATCAGCGGCAGATATTAACAAGCTGGCAGCAGCAAAGCGAGAAAATGAATACGTTGTATTCAAGATAAAAACTTGGTTACTGACTATTAATAGCTTTCATTACCACGTTTGAAGCGTTCTTAGCGTTGTGTAGGATTCAATGAGATGGATTAATTTTGAAATGATGCAGTTTAGTGAGATTTATTATAAGCAGTTACTATTTTTTAAAACTGAAAGGGGAAATATCCAAATTAAAATTTAGAGTTAAGGAACTATTGCAAATTAAAGTTAGAATTCTGCCTTGCCGTACATGTTTTATTATAGATATATATAAGTATAATTAGTTCAAAGCTGACAACTGTCTTCACACATAAAGATAATTTCATAATTCATAATTTCTTTCATTTTTTTTTTTTTTTTTTTTTTTTTTTTTTTTTTTTGCAACTGAAATTTATCTTGCACAGAACATAAAAGAGACAAAGTAAATAAAATATAATTCAAAGAATTTCCAGATAACAAATTATTCTGAATGTCTGTTTTAATTCCAATCTACGAATGCTATAAAACTCTCATCTTTAATCCATTTAATTTTTATCAAATATTTGCGAAATGTTGAGTAAAATTTGTTCTTTGAAAATAAAAACGACAAATTTCTCTTTTAAATCCATCCTGTGAATTATATGGAACATTCGTCTTTAATGTGTTTAATGTTTTACGAGTAAGTTGCCAAATATTAGGTAAACTTTGTTCTTGGAAAATAAAGACGACAAAGATTCATTAAGTTTTTAATATTAGAAAACTGAAAAATCCTTAAATCGTTTTCTTTTGTTTTCTTTATAGACAGTTGAATCTGAGAAGAGTGCAGAGTTTACATGCAAAATTGAATCTAAGACCAAAACTACAGTCACATGGTATAAGTAAGTTAAACTATCTAATATTTCTAAATATTCATTTATAATACCGTATTTCCTCGCGTACTGTTTCCTCATTCTTTTACTAATTTTACCGTCCAAAAGTAAGAATATAATAAATGAAAAGTAGTCACAGAGAAATTGCAGAATACCATCACAATATTATTTCTCTAGAAGAAATCCACATGCCAATAATAAATCATAGTAATATTAATCTTGCAATATTTAATAAACTATCTTCATTTCTTCTTCACTATAAGTTGAATCTTTCCCATTTTTATAGATGTATCTTCTACGCCTTAAGCCTGAAATCATCCGTGAATAAATTGAGGCGGCGAGTCTGCCGCTAATTCAATAACATCGTAATCTGAATGTTCGTTCGTGTTTTCTTTATTATGATGGGTCGATTCTTATATTAGGTTGGCATTCAATTCAACAGTTAAAAGGGGATGTTTTGACAAACTTCCACAAACTATTTTCATAGGATTTGGGAACCGTATTTGCTGGTAGTTTGCAGAGGTTTGTCGAAACATTGTTTGTGAAGGTTTGTCTTTGATAGTAAGACGAAAACACTCACTACGTGGCCGAATTCTTTTTAAAATTTAGAGGAGCTTGCTCTCATTAAGGAAAAGGAAAATTATTTGAGTTTGGGTTTAGATTTTCAGAACCTGGCACTAAAAAGCTGAATTAAGGAGGGGCAAATACGCGAATATTTGTAAAATTTTTAGAACATAGAGCTAAAAATTTAGGAGAAAAAATATGGTATTTTAAATATAATTTGTTAAGAAATTACAGATTAAAATATTAAAAAAGAATATAATATATGAATTATGATGCTACAAACTGGAAATTCTGTAATGCAAGAAAAATTTTAAAATAAATAAACTTAAAAAATGTTGTATTTTCTATGTGAAAGACTTAATTACGTTTCATAATCGGTATTACGGCGAAGTAACACTCCTGAGAAGGATTCAAATCTTTGTCTTTGATGAAAACATTAAAATACATACTAAATATTATTACTGAATATTTGTACAAAGCATTATTATGATTTTTTTCAAAGTTCGTAATTTCATAAACATTGTAAAATGCAAAGAAAAAAACCTGAAAGCTTCCAGATTTTATACGACGCCCAAAGTGGGATTTTTTTAACGTTTTGTGTGTTACGTTCATTTATAAAATATCATGTTCTCGCACTCACGCCACATAAATTTAATTCAACCACAAAATATTTAAACACTGCATTATTTTTAGAATTACCGATACACAGTCTCTTTTTTTATCCTGTACAGTGTTGCCATTGTTCGGTTTGAAACCGTTGAGTTTGCTAATAAAAAATTCGTTAAAGTTCTACAAAATATAAAATAGAGAAGAAACCAAATTCCAAATTTCAAATTTGGGCTTCTAGATGCCTATATTCGAGTGTAAGATTACGATATTCAAAATTTGATGTCTCTAGGTACCGTTGTTTCTTCGCAATGCAAGAAAAATGTATACATGTATACAGATTCTTCATTATTTAATTTCTTTAAATATAATACAAGGTGATAATATTTGGTAGCACCACTCTGAAAGGTGATTCAGTGATAAGACTGTTTTAACCATAATTTTAGAAAATATTCTATTTTCGTCCAAAAATGCATTGCTACAAATTTCAGTTGATCGTAAAGTTCATCTTGTTACTAACTATAAATCAGGCAGGTTTTATTAGAATCTAAGTTTTTCAACACTTTGCGACTGATGACGTTCTTAGAAAGGTAAAAATACATTTTAGAGCAAGATTAGAACAGAATTTGTAGGGGTTATTACAATCATTTTTCACTAACCACTTATTTTATGTTTTGGATCGTTACTGTCACTTCTGGTATTCGTTTCCCTACCGGAATGTAAATGCGGTTTAATAAAACAATATTTACAAGAAGATGCTAGAAATTAAATTCAGAGCGTATTATCCCTCTCGAGGACACGTTACTAAATTAGCTAGGTATAAGATTGCATTATTCGGCTTTTCATTATAATTTTCGATATTTAAATTGTTACGCAAATAAGAAGTTTTGATCCAACTTCTGACCAATGGCTGATATGTTTCCTGGTTACTACAAAAAAATAATTTCTACATTCCATAACGTAATTCTAATTAGCTTTTTCCGTTTACTAAAGTATTAAAAAATATTATCATCCATTTGTGTGACTTAATAAAAGTAATGATAGTCGGAAATTCTCATTTATCTGAAATGTCATTTAAATATTACTCTGCATGAAGTAATTTTCGTAAACGGGCTTTCATGTACTATATATATAAAACTTAAAATTTAATTTTCAGTTTTCAATTTTACAATCTGGAAAAAGGAAATAATAATTAATTGCCTTAACATTACGTTTTAGACTCTTGTAAGTCATGCTAACAAGAAGCTTTAGGTTGTAAGTTCTGTAAGAATATCAAATATATCAAAATTGTATACTTTATTTTCTGATACAAGATACTGAAGATACGCAGATACTGAAGTTGTCATGCGCATTTCTTTTGTTATGAAGTTTAACTCAAGTGCCATGTGTCTCAGATGCTTATATCACTAAATTTTAAAGTCTCCTGACGCGATATATTTTCACATTCTGCTTCTAGTTGTAAGATTATGTGACTCCAATCTCATATACCATGCACTTAAAAATGTACACGAATAGCTGCATAAGCTAGCTGCGCATAAGTTAAAAACTTTAGTAAGAGTTACACAAATTTTCTACCGATTTTCAATTTTTGAACGCTTAAGTTTTCTTATTGCGTTTTCAGCAAAAATGTAATCGTGAATTCAAAAATATGAAATTTTAAGATTAAAAATGTTTATTATATCTTCTTGCGTTCACAACTAATTTTTTGAACATGCATTTAAAGCTCTGAAAATAAATGTCTACGATGTTATTATCATGTGATAATTTGTAGGGACTTCACTTTTTCCCATGATATTTTACACAGTAATGTTTTAAACCTACCAGGTTTTTGAACTATTTTATTTCTTACCATGACGTTTTTCACCACAATGGTTTGGAACTGTTATGTTTTCTCCTTCCTGTTTTTCTTTCTTGCACCTTCTTGTGGTTTGTACAACGGAGTTTTTTCCTTGCGTTGTTTTCTTTTCCGATGTTTTCGTCTGTAGAGATCAAAACTGCAGCTTACGGTGTGTAGTGCTTGGCTAAGCGCGAGCTCCGGATATTGTATTTGGTATCATCTATAATATTTTACGTTTTAAATATTGTTTTCATCTTATGAAACGTAATGGAATGTAATGAGTTATCATTAGAAGTAGAAAGATAAAGAATGCGAAAATAACTTATTATCACTACTAGATAATAAAAGTTTGTATTAATGCTGTATAGAAAGCCAGAATTACAAAAACGTAATAAAGACTTATTTTCAGTTGCTGATTCTGTGTCTAATAATGTCATTTCATTTCTTAGAGGTACTCAGGTTATTAAAGAATCTAAGGAAGTCAAAATGAGTTTTGATGGCTCTTTTGCAAGTATGACTATCATCCAAACAACCACAACGTCATCTGGAAGCTACAAAGTAGAGTTTGTGAATGAATTTGGTAAAGCTGAGAGCTCAGCAGAGTTGACTGTAGAAGGTAAGTAGTTATTGACGTTTTTCATTGACTATGCGTTCTCCGCAGAAAGAAATTTTAGAAATTTTATTTTAAATTATTAACATTTAGTAAATATATTTTGCATTCTTTTACTAGTCTATGTTATTTGTATTACAAACTAACCAATGGAATTATAGAAATCTAAAATTTTGGAATGTACCTCAAGTAGCGTTACTCTGAAAATATAGGTATTTTTACATGGGAGCTACACTGCCTAGGATAACTTTAATTCAGACAATGAAATAACACGAGAAATAATACCTTTCGAAAATGAAATCGTGCTCTTTGCTGCTGACATTTCCAAATACATTTATGCAATCAAAGTGACCGTAAATAACTATACTTTTTAAATATAATTTTAATTCTAAACGGCTTAAATGTTTGTTCTGAAATGTCAAAAAATGCTTTCAAATGAAAATTCACGCGAGAATCTTATCTGATAAAAATTGAATATGTCTTGATGATAAATGACTGTAATACTGAAAAAAAAATAAAAGATTATATCAGAATTAAATGTTTTGTGCATATTTTATAGAAAAAAAGAAAGTGGAGGAAAAGAAAGAAGAAAAGAAGGAAGAGAAGAAAGTAGAAAAGAAAGAAGAGAAGAAGGAAGAAAAGAAAGTAGAAAAGAAAGACGAAAAGAAAGTAGAAAAGAAAGAAGAAAAGAAAGTAGAAAAGAAAGAGGAGAAGAAAGTTGAAAAGAAAGAAGAAAAAGTAGAAAAGAAAGAGACTTTGAAAGTAGAGAAAAAGGAAGAACTGAAAGTAGAAAAGAAAGAACAGAAAGTAGAAAAGAAGGAATCGTTAAAAGTAGAGAAAAAGGTAGTCAAATAATTGTAATTACAAAATCAAGTAAAATATATTGATGAATCATATTTAAATTAGGTAACGGATTTCCACTTTTACTTATTTGATACAACTTTCACCTGCTTGTTTAAAATTTCTATCATTCATGTATATCTGATAAAAATTCTTAATGTTATGTGAGGGAAATGAGTTTTACCTAACAAATTAAAAAAAAAAAAAAAAAAAAAAAAAACTGAAAGTAGAGGATGACCTTTCTTAAAATAAATGAATTTTTTTGCTTGACAAGATCAATAAATATTTTATGAAAGCTAGAAACTAGCTATGAAGTTTTATAAAATTCATCATTTTTAAATTCATTATATTCATTAAATGTAATGATGCTTCTTTAATTACGAATTAATTTATGAAAACTGGTGCTATTGTTGTAAGATTACAATTAGAATAAGACTTAAACTGTTCAGTCATTATGAAAAAATTTATTGTTATTCCAATTTATATTTTTTCTTCTCTAAGGAAGAGAAAAAAGTTGAAGAGAAGAAAGTTACTAAACAAGAAGCCACGAAAAAAGCTGCTGTTCCTGCGATCTCTGTTGAAGAGACGCCAGAACCCAAAGGCAAAATGCCCCAAGTTCCAGTCGTAATTAAAGAGCCCTCACCAGAACCCGGTTCAAGGAAAGGTTCTACAGATGTAAGTGCCGGATATGGTCGTAGAGGTTCTTATGTAGATATCCCGAGTCCTGGTGGTTCCAGAAGGGGCTCAATCATAATTGCTGACGAGGTGGGTTGTCTAACAGCAAGACCTGGTTTTTCTTTCTAAATTCACTTTTTTACCTATAATTTGGAGGATGTTATCTGTTTTATGTGTGTGTGTAGTAGAATGGCCATATCCTTGGTCTTCTCTTTTATTCCTATCTTACAATTTTGGAACATATTTTAAATGGCCATGTCACCTCAAACAGGACTACAGGACTGATCGTGCCACGCGATTATGATATCATCATCTTAAATGGCCTCATTATCATTCCACATTAAGCATGGGTGAAAGATCCAATAAATCATTTTAGTCATCAAAACATTCTTCCTAATATAATCGCGTGTATTGAAAGATTCTTACTACTTAGTTTAAGAACATGATAAAAATTCAGAAAGCAGAACTCTTATCCTCATATAAATTTTAAGAACTATCGTATAACGTAGAGTGTACTGTTGGTGGAATGGTTTAAATCTGAAACTACAGATTATTCATTCCGATTTTGATCATCGGTTCCCAAAAAGTGAAAGGCTAACCGCTTAACGTAGATACAATCCACTTTCTCTTAGACTTCTTCCGATTTGGCAGATTTGACAATTGCGATTTCCTTCTTGATTTGCGTCAGAAAAGTGGTCAATGCTAATTTATTTCAATACCTGAAAGAAACGGTTTTTAATCGTTTGATCAGAATAGTATGCTTGTGATCAATGTTTCAGTTCAGCAACGCATTGATTTGTGTGAGGCTTCTGGTGCTGCATTTTTTTCAACCCCACGCACAGCTAACTACTGGGCATCTACGTACGCATACGTAGATGCCCAGTAGTTATAAAATACGTATAAAATAGTCATAATCACACATTATTTACAATGATTGTGATTAAAAATTGCAAAATGTGAAACTGTAAAAAAATTAAACTTGTTATGAAATTAATGAGTAAAAACTTGAATGAATACAGAATAATTCAAACAATACCATTACAAATTCTTCCTTGCGCACCAATAAATGTTAATTATTTTTCAAGTGAGATGGGACTGCCATTGCCACTGTTATCAAAAAAGGTTAATTTCATTTACGATGCTTGATGAGTGAGAATCAACCAGTGGCTTCCGGGCCTGTTTTAAAATAAATTATTATTTTTGTATTCTTGCAGTATAGTTGTTTATCAGTATTATTAGATCATCCTTATATATAATTATTTCTTCATTCTTAAGCTTCATGGCTGAGTTCAAAGAAAAAAAATCGAAAGAACGAACATTGCTTGTAATATTCACCAAATACATCTTCAGGAAAATATTGCGTTTAATGTCATACATTTTCAAAAGTAAATAGCGTATTTCTCCTAAAATGCTAGTACTAAAGTTTGTTGGAGTATAAGTTCTATCACTTAATTAATTTTCTTTTTAGAATACTTTTACTATCGTGAAATGAGTAACTATCTGTTTACTAATTGCAAATAATTAAGAAATATTTCTTTTAACCAATCTTATTTATTTCGTTTTCTTTTAGAAGGAACTTGAGAATCTAAAAACAATTTATAGTTTGCAGATTCATTTTTTATACTTTACGAAACTTTGCTTTAATTAAAAATGAAATACAAAAATGCGAAAATTTTAGTTGTTGAATTTCTGGGATTAGTCGTAAATAATTAATCAATATAACGCATATTTGTATCTCTATGTTAAGAAAATTTCCGTGTGACTAGTACATCATTTTGATGGTTAATAGAAATGACGAGGAAACCTATATCTAAAAAGAAATATTTCCTGTCACATTGGATCCCATTCTATAGTGAAGATCAAGGAAAAGGCCGTAATATTAGTAGTATATAATTTAGAGAAAAAAAGGTGTCGAAAATGTAACTTTAAATTTTTTTTTCTGTTGAACATTTTTCTAATTTCCAATCGTTTTAAATAGTATGCTTATGCTTTCATGTATGTTAGTCAGTTTTAAAATAAGATTTTAAAGTTACATTTGAGACAGTATAGTAATGCAGTTTGTTGAAATATATTGCGTGTTGTGTTATAAGTTCAAGTTATTAGAATTGTATTTATTGTATTGTAGAATTGTATTAGAAGTATGAAGTATATATTGCAGTTTAGAGCTGCAAGTGATGTGCCTAACATAAATTCATATTTTATGTGTTATGTAGATAGATTTAGTTAATGTATGTGTTATTTTCAAGTTTTTTTTATTTTTGATACCTTCAAATAATTTCTCAAAAACTATATTTTTTCTTAAAAAAAACTAAACACGAATTCATAGTAAAATTTTCAAGCGCATTTTTTTTTATCAAAAATTAAATACTGGAAGGTTTCTTTATAATTACAAGGGAAATTTAAATTTCTAAAAGTACCAAATATTTTCTCTTCTTTCTTACCTTCATTTTGATTTTTTTTATTTTGCTTTTTTCTGCTATTGCTTCTGCATTTTTAATCTTCTTTTTTCATATTAACTATATATATAAGTTTTTGCTGATTTTTGTTTTTATATTCGTTATATTTTTGTTAATGTGACTAACGCATCTAGAATGCAAATGCATGCTTTGTCTTCCATCTGTGAGTGCGAGTGTATGCTGTTAATGGATATTTCGTTTTAAATCTTTCAACTTTAAATTCAGCTGCATATATAGTGGATGTATTTTAAATTAATAAACATTACTGACTAAAATTAATCATTATTATAAAAAAAATGCACACCATTGCAAAGACATTAACAGTAAACCAAAAAGAAGATTTTATCTAAAAATGAGACATTTTATATATTCTGAATTTAAAAATAATGACTAAGGATTTATTTTACTTATTGAATTATTTTCTGATGTACTTCTGTAAAAACAAATTACGCGTATCTGTAATTTTTATTTTGAAAACAAAATTTTAGTTATTTATGAAATAATTAAAATATAAATTACATTCAATTTGAATGTCTTATAAATAATCCAGTTAACAAATTTTAAAAGAATATTTCTCAGAAATTGAATTCAAGGAAAAAAATGGCGATGAAAATAAATCAGGCATTCCCCCTTTTTATTAAAAAAATTAGTTTTATTTTCAAAACGCTGGCTGAAATTTTACCTTGAGTTTCAGTGATTTAATAATATAAGTCATATATTTGTTACAAGAAGATTTTTTAAAAGTAGTGTTAAATATTTTTAATATTCATCATTATATCTATAACCACTATTTTTACTTAGAATTAGACATTTGCAGTTTTTTAGTCTCCTTGGAGTAGCCTTAGAACTTCATACATTAAATTGCATTTATACAAAGGACAGCGTGCCCCTTTTCATCTATTCATGCAAGAAATAACTTAATAGTTTTTAAAATAAGAGTAGTTTTAGTAATAAAATATGCTTTAATTATACTTTATTAAAATTATAACTTTCTGCTTTTAATAAAGGACTCTATGACATAAACTAAATAAGAGTAGTTTTAGTAATAAAATATGCTTTAATTATACTTTATTAAAATTATAACTTTCTGCTTTTAATAAAAAGACTCTATGACAAAATTTATTCTTTATATATTGGAAAAAGTTTAAATTGTTTTTAATTAAAATACATGATAAAGCATAAGAAAGTTTAAATCTACAAATTTTCTTTTAAATGTTTTAGAATAAGTTAATTTTATCAACTAATTTATGTTTTGTTAATGTGAGAATGAACCATGAGTGTGTGTATTCCCCTTCTTTTGTGTTTTATGCCTCCTATCTCTTTCTATTTAGATATCTTTATATACCATTTTAAAGAATGTAATTTTCCATGTTATTTCAATGCTCTTTTTGCATGAATTTTTAAGCTATTCCAGGTCTTTCTTCCACAACCTACCTCATATCATGCATATCATTAGCATGAATGCTTTTATTTTCTTTATCAACAGTTATGCTGTTTACATTATCTACTGAAAAATGTATGTAAGTAAATATTTTTCATCATTATTATTTGATTTAATAGTTGATTAAGAAATAAGATTGTACTTATGTGTAAGTAATGTACTGAATTCTGACCGCTTTTGCATTTGATTTTCAATCTATACTTTAATTTTTATAGAAAAATAATACATGCATGCTAATATTAATTTCATTCCACCCTTGATTAATTTTAGGAAACTCGCATAAATATATTGAATTAGGTTTTTTTTTCCCCCTTGTGAACTCGAAATATAACTGAAATAGTTTTTTTTAACGTAAACCAAGGAATTCAGGAATTTGATTCGAAATTATGTAAAAATAATATTTGGTTTCATAATTTATTTGAGAATTTAACATTTATATAACGTGTAACAGCACTATTCTAATTTTCCTTTTATTGAATTGCAAAAGTTACCACCAACGTGTTATTCTTATTTCTTTATAAATTGTTGTAATAAATTTGAAGAAAATTCATTTTTTTTATGCAAACGACGCACAGATTATGCTCTAAATGCAAAACCTTTATAGACATAAAAGCCATTTCATTAATGTGCGGCTCACCAGCGGCCGAGCGGTAAAATCGCTGAACACTGGTAGTTCGGTCCGAGGTTCGAATCCCGCGAACGGGCTGGCTGCATGGGCGTTTTCGTGGTTTTCCCCATGTGTAACGTGTATACGAGCCAGTTTCCCTTAGAAAGTCCTCCACGAAGGCATCCCTCCCCTTAGGCAGATAGCCCTAGTGTGCTTTGCCATATTCTCAATACACACACCCAAGAAAAGGGGGGCTACAAGTCAAGTCATTAATGTGCGATTATTATTAATATTCTGAAAGAGTTATAGGATATATAATAGACTGATTTGCAAATTCTTGAATGCTATTTATTCATATGAAAAAGAAATTTGATTAAAATTTTCGGCTATTTTACCACTAAAGATAAATTTTGATAATAATGTGCTCGTACTGGACAATTCAGCATAGCTGTAAAAATGTGATTTCTCAAACTGTTCTACAACTGAATAATTGTTATTCAATTCTCGTACAGCTGATGAAACTGAAAACAACTTTTTATTTCTTCTTAATTAATATATTTTTCTGCTTGACATTTTACTTGCTTATTTTTTAACTCCCTTCTATGTTTTAATCAGGAAATTAGCTTCGCAAATAATGCAACAATTATAACATTCGCATACTAATTTAACTCTTCTTAGTAACATTTTAATTTAGTTTAACATTGCAAACACGTTTTAAATGAATCTGCAAAAGCTGATAAGTTTCCAGTTTCTTCTAATTCATTTTACTCCTTTATTAATCTAATACTATATGATAAGTGCTGATTCTAAGGTATTGTTTTGATTTGCAGTGTTAATAATGTAATTCTTTCAGGAAATTGAATGCTAAATATGATGGTACCTGTCAAAATACACTGATGAAAAATGAAATCACAATATTAAAAAGAAATTGTTTTAGATAAACGAAATTTGAGAGTCGTATTTCCGTTTCTAAAAGATGACGTCTATTTAAATTCCACGCTAGACGAATAAGTGCAAGTTAGTCGCGTCGCTATGAACATGCAGATCACGTTTCCTTTAAATACGATATTTAAACTTCGTGTGCTCTGTTTACCTTCCGTACTGGGCATTGTGAGCGAGTTGAACGAGGCCGTGTAAGGGCTACGAGAAAGTCGATTTATTTTGTGACATTACTGAAAGACTTGGCAGAGATGTAGTCAATATCCATGCGTATTGGCAACAGTAGTCTGGGGAAAATATTGTTTCAAGAAGGCTGGGTCTGGCCGCGCCTGTGCCACCACTCAAAGGAAAGACCACCGTATCCGCCTTATATCTGTAGAGCTTCGCACTGCATCTGCGGCAGAAATTCTAGTTTTTGTTGGCACCAGAGTGATACGAAGAACTGTAGCAAATGGATTACTTGGATACTTACAAATGGAGGGGCAGCTCCGAACCAGATGTCTTATAACGGCCACATCACTAACTCAAAATCATCGCTGTCTGCTACTTTGGTAGTGTCAGCCTAGAGCTCGTTGGAAAGAAGATCTGTTTTGTTGTTGTTTGGAGCCGTTTCTGTCTTGGTGCCAGTGATGGCCGTATGTTGGTTAGAAGGCGGTCAGGTGAGCGCCTGGAACCAGTACCGCTGCTGTCACTCAAAGTACTCTACAGAGCGTCGACAGATTGTCTTGGCCTGCGAGATAAATCGACCTTTCTCCCATCAAGCACCTATAGAACATGATTTGATGACACATCCAGTATCATCCCTCCCAAAAAAAAAAAAAAAAAAAAAAAAAAAAAAAAAAAAAAACACGAACCATTGCTGCTCTTATTGAGCAATTGCAACGGGTATTGTACTTTATCCAACAAACTGGCATACGACACCTGTGCGACACAATATATGTATATATGTATGTTTGCATTAAACATCGTGATGACTACAGCGGTTATTAATGTATAAAGTATTTTCTTTCTCCTTCCAGCATACCTTCGTGGTGTAACAATAGCACAAACAGCGCGTATCCGAGAGGTCCAGGGTTCGAGTCCCAGCAATGGCATTGCTCATTTTTCACCTTCCTGCTTTTTTTTTTTTTAAAAAAAAGCTAATCATTCTAGTACCCAAACTAAAAGGTGATGGACGATAATTCATCACCAGGATATAGCGACTGGGTCCACTAATCTCCAGTCGCCCTTTAAAAGGGGAAGGTATTTTATCCCTCCTTCCAGCATGCCTTGGTGGTGTAGCGGTAGTACACATGGCGCGTATTCGAGATATCAATGTTCGAGTACCGGCGAGAGAATTGCTCATTTTTCACGTTTCCTACTTAAACATTACCTAATGACTCTAAAAATGTGTTATCATTTCACATTTGAAATGGCTGTCCTCGCGCATACTTTAATCTGTGACCTTGAAAATTTAATCAAACAAATATGCTTCCTAGGCAAATGCTTTGCTTGTGTTTCATTCCTCTAAACTGGTTCCTTCTTGGTGTTGGGATTTCATTTTCAGTCAGTGTATAATTGGCACATCTGTAACATTGTCTTAAAATTTCGCTTTTTATGCAATGCTAAAAAATTTTAAATCAGGGTATCAGGGTTATAAATCTACTAATAAAATTCAATTTTTTTAAACTTCTGAATTATGTTTATTAAAGACTTTTGAATTAAAAAAAGATCATTTTTTATTATTTACGTATTTTTGTTGTCTATTTGTTTAGTACAGCTCATAGGTGATTAAAATTTTATATGACTTTTATAGACATCTTTCAAAAAATGACTAAATTATAAATCTTTCTTTGTTTTATCATTTTTTCCTCTTTGTTGCTTTTCGATAATTTTTCAGATTTTTTCTCGTTCTTCTGTAGAATGAATTTTATGAGATAACCTTCATTATTTTAAACTATTTTGCTTATTAATATTTTTTTCTATTGTAAACAAAATGATGTGTGACTGGGAAACGATAAAATTCTGAAGCAGTAACTGTTGAAATATGCTTGCAAAAGAAAGCGTATTTGTCACTTTAAATAAATTTTTCTGTATTTTTTCCATATTAAATTATTTGTTTAACTTTTATTTTCCTTTTAAAGGTTTGGAAGTATTGTATTATATCACTACTTATTACAATCATGCACTGATGAGTATTTCATAACGTTATAATTATATTAGAGCAATTTATGAATAAACGATCACGGTAGTAGAACTCTATACAATGTTAAGCACTTTAGTTACAAAATTTGAAGCTACGGTCAAAGAAATGAAATCCAAAGCGTTCGAGAAAAATGGTGGGAAAGTCCTGCAAGTGAAGTCATGCGTTTAAATAAACACTATATTTCTAAACGAACAGCAATTTTAAGTCTTGTATTTTACATGAATGTCAACATTAATAAAAATAGTTTATTCGTAAATAAAATTAATAAATTTAGAGTAAATTTCTCTATTTGGTTTTTAAATTTTCAGACAAAATAGCTCGAGAAAAAAAAAAAAAAAAAAGGTATTTCGAATACTTTTAAACTTGTGGGATCTCTGGTGCGCTAATAGGGTGATTTCATATAATGATTGATTGATGACTGATTTGCGTTTTCGTTACGCTGCGTATTACTTACAACATCAGAACTACAAACACATTCATTATAAATCTAAGAGAATCTCTACTAACAATACAATAACGACAATTAAAAAGTAACATTGAATGCATGGAAACGAATTACCTGGAAGATAAGTATTATCTTCGTTATGTGAAGGTGTTACTAACGACCAGTCTCTTTAGCCTTCTGTAATATTGCTGTGTTTGAACCTTCTGTAATATTGCTGTGTTTGAAATAGTTTTCAGACTAAATTAGTCATACCCTTTTCATTTTTCAGTTGTATTTTACGTCTTCTGATTCGTTATAGTTCAAAGAGATATCAAATGAGCTAAAGGCTCGTTGGTTGCTCGGCCTCGAAAGGCTTTGATGACAGAGTGCAGATCGCTTAATTCCCCTGACCCTGGGCGTAAAATTAACTTTCTTGTAATATCAAGTGGAGGCATTACTGAATAGTAATTTATTGCTCCTGCAATGTCAGAGAAAACAAGTCATCTCATACCTCGTAACAGCTCGAAGAGTGCGATGCGACTTTTGAGGGGACAGCTCATATGAATCTTATCTTTGTGTAATCCACCGCAAACTAAACATTGTTCCTTGTATGGACATACCCTACTTCTTACTCATATAAAAATGTGTTCAAACAATTCGATGTTTGCGTTTTCAAAATGTCCCTGTGACGTGCAGCTCTACGCATTTACACAACTCTACGCATTTACGCTAGGTACACAACCTAACCGGAAGAATTAAACTTATTCTCTCCATATCTTTAAAATTCTTGAAACATGAATAATTATATTTACTTCGTAATTAAGGTAGAATTTCTGTAGTTTAGGTAATTTTAACTTCTCAGAATATATTTCCTACCTCTTCACTGTAGAAGTTTTGTCTCCTGTTAAATTTACAGTTGTAAATTTGTATTAGAAAATGTCAACCTTATTATGATTATTCTATAATTATAACGTTATATTTTATTCTAAAGTATACCGAAGAAATATCTTTAGCAGTTATTAAAAATATAACATTATTTCCGTTCAACTTTATTTCGAAGAACATCAGATTTTTAATACTTTCTAAATTTGTTGACATTTCCAGAAAACATATGGATACTGTATCAACTTTAACCAACCGTTAATATGAAATGTATTACTTCGAAGTACTCCATAATAATTTTAGATGCAGTATAATATAGTGTCTTTTAGAATTGATAGGCAAGATATGAATAATTTTGTGCTGTTTCTTACAATGCGAATCAAGCATCATAACTTATGTTTATTGCGTATTAGAAGTAGTAGTACTGAAGCTACTTAAATTGCGTTTGAAAAGATCAATAATGAAATTATTTTCCATTATATTTCAGTAACTCAGTATTTTTCTTCATAAATAGTAATACTGATAGATTATCGTATCTTTTATTAGAAAGGACTTGTCGTGGATGAAACAGGAAAAACCAAGAAATTGCGTCCAGGTGAGGTGTTGGAAGTCCAAACACAGAAAAGGAGGAGAAGTATTGATGTGAGAAGAGTCAGGTAAAAAATAATGAAACAAAAATATTTATGAACCTCAGATCTATTTTTAATGCAATATTTTAATGCTAAACCTTTAAACTAAAGTATGATTATTTGTATCGAATTCTGATGAATAAACTTGAGAATCTTTACACTGATTGGTCATGTAAATATCAGCACAAATTATTGTCTATAATTCATTATTTCTTTAATAGTAATAATTAAATATAATAAAAATATAAGCATATTATTGTTACTTTTTCATTACCAATTTCTACAGTTTTATTTCGCTAGAACATTGCATTTGGTGTATTTCCGCAACTACTTTACGTTATAATTTTTTTTAATATACTATAAGGTATTTCTCCCGCCTTCTTGGCATGCCTTCGTAGTGTGGTGGTCTGCACGCTGGGCGCGTATTCCAGAGGTGCATGCTATGGAAATGCAACATTGCAATAAAAATATTTCCCCTAATAAAATTGTCTTCGGGTAAATATTGTTATCTACGTATAAAACATACAGTAGACCGGTCATCCGACCTTCCGTTTAATCTGCCCTGGTTGCCCCCTTCCCCCCCAAAAAAAGGAAAAAAAGTAAGTGTTTTATCCGATGTTTTCGGTCCCCCTCCCCCTCCAAAAAATAACCACAAAGTGTTGAGCATCCACTAAAAAAGTGGCGTGAATGAATGAACGATTTTTTCAAGATGCAAACGAATATGATGTGACTGACGAAGAAATCGTTATTATGGTGTTGAACGAGAAAGATACAGAGATATATAGAAGGCACTTAAGATGAAAAATATTCGCAAAAATGCGGAGACAGAATTTCTCGCATCGAAGGACCCAAAGCCCTGGAAATAACATTGAAATAGTTAGAACAGTTGAAGGAAACTTCAACAGTGGAGTTTTACTTCTGCGGAGATTGCGAGATTTCTGACAGGAAACATCAAACATCTGCCAAATAAAAGCTAATTACCAACATTTTTCATCAGGTTTGATTGTTCTTTGTGATACATGCGATATAAATTTATACTACAAGTACAAGTTATTATTATGTGATTTTTGAAGTAATGAATGCATTTTGTCAGTTTCAAATGCTGGATTTGTTACTTTCCGCATCATCCGACCTTCCCGATCATCCAACCAGGCCGCGATTCGTTTAGGTCGAATATTCGGGACCCTACTATAAACACAATACTTGATACAGATCTCAGAAAGTTAAAATCGCAGACAAATGCACTGCTATGCTATCCATTCGAATTGCTTTGAATAATAAGTTTATTTTTTCTAATCATGTATAACATAAATATGTAAATCCTATAAGTGACAAAATACTTATAAGTAACTGAGCTACGATTAGGCTGCGCACATGCAAAATATCTACATACATTATTGAAAAAGAAACTCCTAAGACTTCCGTAGAATTATGCTTTAGTATTAATTAGAATTAGAAGCAAACTTTTGCTGTGTCACCGTGATAATCACACGAACTGTATAGGGATAAAAATAGCGCCATCTGGATTACTAATTAATGCCCAACAGATCAGCGATAAATTTTATTCTGTTACGTTACTTAATTTACTGCTAATTAATAATAATTTCTTTCTATTTCTCCTTTAGAATGTAAATACGACGAGTATGTTTTATTTGTTGTTATTCTTGCTTTCTAAACTTACATTACATTAGATATGTTATAGGTTTAATATAAAATAAACCTTAAAAATGTAAAATATAGGTTTCCAACTGTCGACAGTTTAAGTTAATCAAGTCTAATATAAATATGTGGTTTGACTGCCTACGTGCACGTTTTTCTTTCTATATGTATATATATGTATGGACATGTATGTATGGAGAAAAATGTATACGTGCGTCTATACCAGATATTTAAAGGCTAATAAGAACATTAATATTTCAAAGTTTCGGGCAATGTATATGCAAGATCAGTTTTGTATATTTTATTTCTCGTTCCTCATGCATATTGTTATTAATTATAATATTTTCCGTTAGCGTTTCTGAGCTTCAAGAGATGATCGATAAACCCTGTTCTCCATTGAGACCCATTCCAGAAACTGAAAAGTGTGCTCCGTCCATAATTGATTTCCAACAGAATTATTCTGCAGTGGAAGGTAAATTTAAAACACATATTTCCTGTTATATATTACAAACAGTTTGCGGTTTCGAAAAAAATTAATGTGTAACCTTTCCTTCAGCATTATTCATATTTTAAATAAAATCTTAAAAGTATAAAAGATGGGGAAAAATTCCTTTGAGGAAATTTAGGTTATGTACTTTTCTTTTATTATTATTGTTTTCTTATGTTTTTAATGTTTGAACTTAGGTTAAGAAATAATTCTTCTATTCATGTAATTTTACAGTTATCAAAAATTTTACCTAACTTTTAAAATCCTAAACTGCATTAAAAGCGCAATTTTTATTTTTCTTTAATCTGATTACTATTTTTTGGATGGTGTTAACTACTAGCGGAAGTACCTGACGCTAGTTAAGTTAAATTGAGAGTAATGTATTTAACAACAGAAAGAGCGATACCGCTGGAATTCTTCTTTAATAACGATGCTACAAATACAATTCATAGTCATACATTTTTCACTCTGATGCGATATGGAACCCACATAAAACATTTTGATAGAAAAATAAAGTAATTCTTTTTTATTTATTAGCAACAATGGCATGCAGTTTTAATGATTTTCGACTTTCTAATCAAACGGTCGTAAAAATTCAAAGTTACATCCGATATTTCACCCATATTCAATTTTAGTCGATTAAATATGGCAAATGATTGATCATAATTGACCAGAACTCAATAACGCGAACAAACAAACAAACACACAAGCGGGCATTCTTTTTATATAGAGAGATTTTGTAAAACTTACAAACCTTTGATTAACAAACTCTAGGATTTGAAAGCGAACAGTAGCAACACTTTTCGAAATAAAGCATTTTTATCTCCAACACGCGAGAGTGTTGCCACTCGGAAAAATGAGTGCGAAAATTCGTGTTTTTAGAGTTTTTAAACTAATATCTTGGCTGATTAAAGTCGTACGAAGTTAGCAGTAGTCGAAATGGCTTCCCACGAATTTTTGGAATCAGGAATAATGTATTTAATGTTTGACAATGCTGTTTTTATTTCATTGTAAAACTTGGAATCTTTTTATTACATAAACTTTAGGATTTGAAAGCGAGCAGTGGCAGCACTACTCGAAGATAAAGCAGATTTTTATTTCCAACGTATGAGACTGTTGACACCCGGATAAATGAGGGCGAAAATTAGCGTTTTCAGAGTTTTTAATTAATATCTCTTATTTTAGCCTTTTTTTTTTTTTTTGTTGAAAAAAGTGCATGTCGGCCTTTTCTAGGACTCAGAAAAGAATTGTAGAAAGTTTGGTGACGATAGCTATAGTAGTGACTGAGTTAATCGCGAACAAACACACAGACCTTCTTCCTTGTATAGTATATAGATATAGATATAGATAAAGGTATGCTGGATTAATGCTGTAAATAAGGTTTTATTTCCATGAGCGAGTTTATATTAAAATTTTTGTCGTAGGCTTATTAATAGTAATTAATTAGTTGTTATTAAATTTACTAAAATATATCAGTTTTTATTCATTGTTAAGAGTAAATATATATTTATAGTTAAGAGTATTTATTGTTAAGAGTAAATATTTAATTTTATAACAAACTCTTAACCTTTTAAAACCGAATAGGAAAAACATATATTCAAGAGTTTCTAGCTTGTTTAAGGGAAACGTTTTGTAGGATTATTATGATTATTTTTCCTTCAGTTATTTTGTTTTAAAGCTTTACTGCCACTTCTTGTTTCCGTTTCCTACCAGAATGCAACTAAGGAAGAAAGAATTAGGATTTAAAGAATGGTTTCGGAAGTTTAATTCAGAACGTGTTCTGCCTCTGGAGGCCAGGTTACTATGTTGCTGCTAGCTCAGTAAGATTTGTAGTCTTCGACCTTGCATTGTCAAAGCGATTTTTGAATATCTTCGCCGGTTTGCTTTCTGAGCCAACTTCACGTTCAATTGATTTGTGTAGCCTTTGGCTATTAGTTCACTTGAATTTAAATTTTACATTTAACAGTTATTTAGTTATCTCACCACAAGTGGTTTGTTGAGTAAGCACGAGACGTGCAGCATTTATGTTCAAGTTTTGATTTAATAACAATGTTTCCTTTAAAATCTTCTTACGAGTCTTTAGTTAAATTTTATTCTCAGTGATAATTCGTAGTATAAATAGAGTTTGGTTCCAGTTCATGATAGCTAAGAAAACCAAACTTAATAGTATTGCTGAAGAATGCGTATTTCTATCGCTTTTCTTTAAGAAAATGTCTCAAGATCTTATAGAAAGACTTGACCGCGTTTTTGCAGTTGGGCATCAGAGGAACCATGAAGAAAGGGACAATTAAAAGACCCGGATTTCGTAAGATCTAAAGATTATCAGCAGTAGACAAGGCTACAAACGTAACTATATATTAATAATTGAAGTAAGGTGAAATTATATGTTTGGGAAGTCTCCTAAGTATGAGAACAGGTACCTTGTCCAGATAGCTTAACGAAAAAGCTGCACAAAATACGCTTAAAATAATAAATACAAGGGAACGTAAAATGGATGAAATGTGAATGCAAAAATGAAAATGCAAACTCAATAAACTGAATAAAAATCAAAATAATCAAGGGAATACAAGTTACCTTTAAACTAGCTATCAAAGGGAAAAATTATGCGAATATTTTTCAAATTTTTTAGAAAGTAGCGTAAAATGTTAAGGGGGAAAATACGCGAGTAAATACGATAATAACTTAATTTAATGTTTATTGATGATATATAAATAGATTTTAATGAAAGAACAGAAGCAAGTGTCAGAAAATGGGACGTTAAGAATGAAATTTAATAGTAAGGAATAACAATTCATCCATGCTTTTTTATTTAACTGTTAATTAAGTTTATCTAGGAAATAGCATTATGCTATACTTTATTCAGTTGTTTATGTTTGTCAAAAAGTATATTTCCTTATTTAGGTGCGACGGCCTATTTATCATTCCAAGTTGAGGGCAATCCGGCTCCGCAATTCCACTTCTACAAAGGAATTTCTGAAATATTCGAAGGAGGACGTTATAAAATATTTACAGACGGAAATTCTAATACTGTAGCTTTGTGCATCAGAAAAGCTAAAGCTCAAGACGAAGGAAAATATAAAATTGTCGCATATAACGAAGTTGGTGAAGATTCCCAAGAAGTCAGCCTTTTCGTCAGTGGTGAGTAATTTCATTTCTTTTGGATAGTTTCCAACTCCGTAATATTTCGCATGATTTTATGAAGGAAACCGAAACTCATGCCTGTAATATTTAATAACGAATATTCACTTTGCAAAATAACCACAGAAATTTTAAAAGTAAAGTACATACCGCTTAATGTGATCGCGGTTAGTGTTATCATTTGGTTATTGTCATCGTATTGTTGAAGTTCTGTCCTGCATATTCAGGAAACATAGAAAATACACCATATATTATTATCAACAGTTCGATTAATATGATCAAATTATTAGAGAATAAATTTTTAAACTGAAATAAATTCGGCAAATGAAAGGTAAAATTGCTAAATAAGTTTAAAATAAATTACAAAAATTGCCAAATGGCACACAAATATTGCCAGGTAAGAAATCAAGTTGTCTACCAGCCTGGTTTTGATTTTAATCACGCATTACAAATTAGGCAAAAAAAAGTTTGTTTGGCGTACATTTTTCAAAACTCAGTCGATTTTGAGGGCTCAGGTCTCTCTTGAGAATAAAAAAGTATCTGCAGAATTATTTTTCACCTAAACATTTTTCTTCTGAAATAAATACCAAATTAATGTTGCTTTTTTGCCTAACTGTTAATTTTGCGTTGGCATGTTCTCTTCCAACGTGGGATGCGTTCCAAGCACTAAGATTAGGTGCACAGAATCGGGCAAATAATATCCAGAAACGTTAAGCATGAAAAAGCTTTGGCATTTTCCTAATTTGCCATAAAAGTACCTATTTATTTGTTTCTAATTATGATTATATTAAATAAGTTAAATTTCATTGCTATTTTGAAGGATATTTTTTCTCATTATTTAATGTTATCATTCGAATAATTATACGGAAATAGGCCAGGACAAACATGATCACATTAAGCGGCACCTACAGCAAAATATTTAAGTTTCAATACTGTTTAAGGTCGAAACTCAAAGCTGTGTTAGGATCTGATAAGTTGCAGATCGTAGATATAAGTGTCCTGTCGAAATAGGAACTTGAAGACTGTTAAATACTAATTCAGAAGTCAAACAACAAAAATCAGCGTTATACCTACAAAATTTTCACAGGACTAGTTTCGATAGTTTTACCGAACCATCATCTTCAGCTGCAAAATCGCAAATGAAAAAGATAGGAAATAATGATTAGATAAGATAAGAAAGCCTGGCTTAAGCCAGGCTTTCTTGTTCATTTCTTGTTCCTATCTTGTTCATTTGCGGTTTTGCAGCTGAAGATGATGGTTCGGTAAAACCATCGAAACTAGTCCTGTGAAAATTTTGTAGGTATAACGCTGATTTTTGTTGTTTGACTTCTGAATTAGTATTTATTCGGCGTATTATTGTGTCTTGACTGTTAAATATTTTCCTGCGGCAGCATTTTCTGAGATATGTTTTATGAAGCTTTTGTTTTTCCTCTTGAGTAATTGTTAATACAGATTTTGAAATTAACTTCATTAACTCGAATAACACTCTTAAAACTAATTCCATACATTCTTTATAACAATTATTCAACTTCGGAATATTATATTTTAAAATTAGATCTTTTAGTGTTAATGAAAAACATAATTCCTTCTGAACAACTTCAAAATGTGGGTTCTATAAAAATAAAATAATAATATAGACTAAATAGATAAATATGTTAATAGGAAGCAAATAACTTTTAACAATGTAAAATATTGTTATGTAATTTTCTTTTCCTTTACGTTCGTATGTTACGGGGTTCGCGTGGATTTGGAGTGAATAACGACGACATTTGATGATGAAGTATCGAAACACACTTTATTTACCAATATCAATCAGGACAGCTCCGAAACACTTTTACAGTCGTCGAAGATCTACTGTAAACACACTGGAACAATCAGCGACACAGCCTTCACACTGTCAGGCGATAACGGTGGAGGCAGCTTTACTGCAAAGCACCAGAATACAGCTCCCGACTCTGCTCGGTCGTTCTCGGAACTCCACGTACTCTCGAGACTCTCCACGCTACAACTCGAGATACAGAGCACAGCTCCCGGCTCTTCGGTTCAGTCGTCCCCGGAGCTCAACACGCTCTCTCGAAGATGCACTAACCGCGATATTCGAAGACACTCTTTCAATGAACTCGATGACACACTCGGCACTCGCTGCCCGGCTGTCAACTCGATCCACTCGAGACACTAACTATCTCAACTCTCGAGGCGCACTCTCACTGACTGCGGATCAGCAGGGTTTATATAGCTTTCGGCTTGTGTTCGAGAATATTCTGGACTAAACCGGTAAGAATTCGTTCCAGAAGGTTCTTCATCCGCCCATGGCACATCGCCAATTTGGTCGCCAAATATCGCCAAATGCGCGATTTCTCGCCAAATATGGCAATCTTGCCATTTTATGGCTACCCTAAACCTTCTTTGCAGGAAAGCTATCTCACCGCGCCTGTACATTTCGTAACAATATGCTTTTAGCAATATGTCACAAATAAACCTAAGCAATATTCTTTCACCAATGTTAAATTATTTGAATTTATTTAAATACACTAACTTTAAATGTACCGTTTTGCATTTGCTTTTATTGCTGATAATATATTGATACGTTATTTTTTTGCTTTACAGATGAAAGTGGGATGGATTTCAGAGCAATGCTGAAAAAGCGGTGTGTTTTCACGTCTTGTATTGCATCTTTTTTTTTTTTTTTTTTATTTTTTATTATCGTATATCATAGTTTATAATATTTAAAATTTTCACTACAGTTTAATGTGCTCTCGCTTTTTATGTCCTTTTTTCTTTTTAAAATGTATTTAATACGCTTAATAATTTACAATACAATTAAGCATTCTTGTAAACATAATTATCGGCTATGTAATTAAAATTCCTTTTAAATATTCAAAATGTGGTTAAAATCGTTTGCTGGCAATTTTATCAATTTTTTATAAAAATAGATTATTATTTCTTATACCATGTAATGATTGCTCACATGAGCAGATGTTATTATATATAAATTTTTGTGCTTTGAATTCTTTATTGTTTTGGAACATTAACTATAAAATGATAGTTGCAATATTAAAAATATAAATTTTTGTCCTTTTAATTATTGTTTTGAAACGTTAAATATGAAATGATTATTGTAGCGTTAAAAATTAAGTAAAATTTAATGTTTAAGTTTCTGATAATAGTAGTATCCTATTTACTGTACATACGAGATGTTTCAAAAAGATTTCACCACAAACTATTTCTTAAACAATTCGTCATAGACCCAAGATTCTAATTTTAATAATGTTATTGATTAAAAACTAAATACAGTGAATGTTCCAGTGATGATCGCCTATCTTAGGCAACCACATATGAAACTAATCAGTATTTCTGACACCATAAATAAACACTATTTTTAAACTGTACTTCTGCAAGTACCATCTTCATTGCAGACGAGAATTATATGGAGCCGTAGGTTATCATCCTAGAGAGAATTTCCTGCAAAATATATGATTTAAACATTCTGCATATGATTTAAACTGCAGAATTTAATTCACACATCAGCATTTTCGTGCAAAATTCCATATTCACCAAATTCGTAACGTACGTTGTCATACTTTGCTTTTAATTCATGAAAAAATAATTGATGCCCAACTGTTATTGAAAGTAAATCTTTTCTGATAAGAAGCAGAGGTATCCAACTATGGGTGCTGGCACTCCTTGACGGTGGGAGGCAACATTCTAGGGAGTGCGAGATAATATTTTCATTTTTTGTTTCAAATAAATAATTGTTTGAAAAGTTACACACACATCATTGGTACATGTGCACTCTTGTGTATTCATCTATAACAGATTTGCTGCTCATATTATTAACGTTAGTCTCATATTGCAACATAATGTACGCTAATTAATTCTGAGGGCACTCTGTAGGAACACTGTGTTCGCGCTTTTCTCATTTCCCTGTCGCTAATAAATTAAGAGTATACTTATGTCATATTTTTTACCTACCGTTGTTTTTCTTCTAATCCATTTGATTCATATTTTTATTATTCATATTTTATATATATATTCATATTTATTCATCTTTTAAATATTATTAACGTTTATGATATTAAAGAGAAGAAAATGGAATAATGACTGTGTGAAGTTTGGTTTCACTTGTACCGGAACAACTGATGTTGTGCAAAAACCTCAGCGCGTACTTTGTTTCGTTGTCTTTTGAAATGCAAATCTGAAACCATCTAAACTGTTAGAACATTTCAACAACCGGCCTGGTCGTGCATATTTTGCAGGCCATGATGTTGAATCACTGAATGCTAAGGGATTCCTATTTGACTCTCTAGCAACCCTTCCAAAATTAGGCTTTAGGGAGTGCGAGAACAAAGTAAAATATTTAGTCATGCAAAACATGAAACAGGTTGCGAACCGGTGATCTAAAGGAATATGTTTTGAATGAAAGCGACAATTGACAGTTTAGGTTTGGATACTGAATTGTACTTGTAGTTACAGTGTGCTGTCTATTAACCGGATGCGAATTATCCAGTTTACGGATTAAGGGTTCGTGACGGTGCCCACGCACGCACATTCAACGCTATGCACGACAGTTGTGAAAAACGGGCATGCTCCGAAAACCTTTGAATTGCGTCTTTAGGGTTATTTTCAACGCTTACCTCATACAATTTGTTCTGCATGTGCATAGTCGACCAAAGGACTTTGTAGACCAAAAATGATTTGAACATAGTGATAAGATTTATACTTCGAAAAATGTACATTGAAATTCGACAAATATTTAAACATTCTCAAAAAGAAAGTACTATCTTTTAAGAAATAAACATGTACAATATGGATGAAAATTGATAGTTTGGATCATTCATGTTTCTCAATTATTTGCAACCTGCTTTCTCGGCATTTGTCCGGAGAATCGAAAGTACATAGTATTATATCTCTAAATGCCGTCGGACAGATTTGGCTGTATGGGCATTTTCATAGTTTTCTCCGTGTGTAAACTGAATACAAGCCAGTTTCGTTTGTCTATGAAGACATTTTTTCCTTTAAGTAGTGGGCTAACGAGTGCTTTGTGTGACTCAAAAAAGCAAACAAAATCTGAATTTTATTTATCAATTCTGAATTGCTTCAGACATCAGCAAAATTTTTAGTTTATCATGAGTCTTTAATGGTTTTATTCTAGTTACAACTAAACTGAAATATTTATGCCTTTAGTTATGTTTCTAGTCTGTAAAGAAATAATATAGCTTCTGAAAGTTACCCATTTATTTTCACATGAAAAAAAAAAAAAAAAAAAGGAAAGAAATAGTATTTTACGGTTATTTAGTTTTGTTGTGAGGATACAGATACAGATAAGAGGTGGAAGGAGGATACTGATCTCTCTGAATTCTGACTTATAATGACATGCCGAGCAACGATTATTGGAGGTGCTAAGGCAACAAGAATCCGTGTAATATTCATAAATTTGTAGGATTAGATATAGACCTTCTTCTTCATCTGTAGAAGTACCAGTGACGAAATAGCGGGATGCGTTCAGGCTATAATAGTGACAGGAAGGAAGACAAGGTACTGGTGCTATTGATGAAAGTGACGAAATTCTATTGATGAAAAATAAAAACCAGCTATGAAATAGAGAGTCCAATTCCAATCCATCTTTACCTTTAGGCTCACCATTTGCACTACTGCAGCTGAATAAGAAGGTTCTATATTTCCAACTTCGAAACTAGTCTCGCAAATTTATGAATATTAAGCTGATTCTTGTTGCTTTAGCACCTCCAATACGTACAGAATCCTGCTCAAAATTTTGATTATTTTTTCAATCCAGGCAATACGCGAAATGGAAAGAAGATCAACAAGATCCAGACTGGAATCTTAAGCCTCCAGAAAAAGAACGAAGGCCATCTCTGCGAGAAACAAAGGTAATAAATGCATCGACAGAAAAAATTTCAATCTGCGTTTTTGTTAGATTTAATTTTTATTCTGTGGCGCCTTTTAACCATTTTTAATGAAAACATTATTAATAAAGATATGGAATTTACATTACGTTCTATACATGTTTCATTATAAATGTTAAAATTTTCTTTATGTATTATTTTTAATTATGAAATAAGAATTGGAAAACTTGCTTCCTAACAATAAAGTTTTCATTTTTTTTTTTTTTTTTTTTTTTTTGCTTTTTAATGCAGGATGTGCTCATTTTATTGTACTGGAATTATCTGGAATTAATATGAAATGAAATTTATGTTTATTGTTTATGCATATATTTATCTGCAGCACACGGATATGTGTTTTGTTTAATTTTAAAATTTTTACTTCCAGTTTAAGTTCTCACAGTTACTTTTAAAATGTGCTTTGACGTATGATTCATTTTAAGGACATGATGAATCAGACTAAAAGTTTAGTTAAAAATATATAGGAATTATTATAATTTGTTTAAAAATCACTATAGATATTTGTATTTTAACCTTAAAATTATGAGTAAGAATTTTTTATTTAATGTAATACTAATGAAGAAAATTTTTCAAGCTTCAACTTGGAATACAGGGTACGTATGCAATTTATTCTATAAAATCTTCCTAAGAACTAGAAATGTTGCAGTGAACAATAATATTAATTTTGTAAAACGTGAAAGAAATATGAAATATTAATTTTAAATTTATTAAGTTTTCAGTATTCCAATTTGAATATCAAAATATTGAAGCCTACCAACGGCCGATTGGTTAAAGCCACAAATGCTGATTATTATCGAGATACCTGCAAGAAATTTTCTTTAATATTCTCATGTGTAACATAAATATCAGACAGTTAAGCCCCTCACAAAGAATCTCTTCCAACGGAGAAAAGAAAGAGATAGTCCTAGACCAATTTGCTGCAACTGAATAACCTAATCCAATTCCATCAAATAATCAAGCAACATTTGATGTTAAAAAAACACATATTTGCTCTATCTTTAATTTTCACGCAATTATTCTTCAAAAAATAACACTCCCACGAATTTATTATCATTTAAAACAAAGCACTTGCAGTTAGTTTATTGGTAAAATCATTCATTAACATTTCAGATTTAAATAAACTGATTAGTTTGGCAATATAATTTTCAAGTCATTTAAAGTTTAAAATACATTGACTGCCACAACACCTTGCATTCATAACACCAAATTATTGTGCAATTCTTTTCATAAATAATTGATATTTCATTTAATTGTCGAATTGATGATATTATTACATTAGCTAATGATAAAAGATGTCACTAAATGTTTATGTAGCAGATGTCTCTTTGTCAAGTATGTATCTTTTACATATTTTATATTCGAATATCTGTGTGTGTCTGTTCATGTATTTCTGTGTATGTTTCTCGAGTTGCCCAATCTATTTCCATTAAGTTGTTATACTATAATAAATCAGGTTAGTGATTCACATCGTTAAATAACACTATTAGCTAGCAATTATTAAATTTTGAAGATTTCTGGATAACCGAAAATAAATTGTTAAGAGATAAACTGCATTTATATGTTATGTTCCTTTTCCCTTATTTTAAGAGTAAATTTTTAATTTCATATATCTGAGAAAGGTTTAGCTTATAAAAGTTTAGCATATAAAAGTTTTTTAGGCTGTAGATCTGATATAATTACTTATATTAAAACGTTTTAATGTTACTAAAAATGAATGTTTCATGATGCTCCGAAACGGTTGCATTACTTGTATAGAGACTTTAGGTTCATTTCGAAGCGAAAAACATGAAAAAATGAGCAGTGCTCTCCGGGATTCGAGCTCGGGGCCCTCCAGATTGTTAACCGAATGGACTTCCAGTTACACCACGAAAGCAAAACATTCCATACAATTTGCTACTTTAGTACCGTTTACAAAGTTTACCATTCTATTAGGAAATTCACATTACGCCTAAAGTTAAAATTTAATAAAACAGTGATATTAGGATACTGAAACATTGATCCTAAAGTAAATAATTAATGATTAAAAACTAACCAACTACAGCGAAATTCTTATGATATCCCTCGTGTTTTCAACTACATTTTTTTATGATGTCCCACGTGTATTCAACTAAATTATTCGTTTTGTCCTATTCAGTTATACATAAGCATTCAATTAGAGACAAATTATTAACAACTGATCTTTTGTGTTGTGTTGTGACTTATCTCACTCGTCTGACAGTGATATCAGAACATATTCGAACATTCCTTGCCACGAAATTCGTCGTGGCAAGGAGTGAAAGATTGCGCCTGTCATTGGCAAGAGCCTTGAGCACCATACTGGTGACACTACGACTTTCTCAGTTCCAGTTTTGCATTCCGGGAGGGATGGTTCCGAGGGTCTCTCACCCCGTTTCGCCTACCAATAACCTCTCGAGAGGACTTTCGGCTCCCGCCCCATGCGGCACAGACATTATGTTTTACAAACATCCATGCCTTTTCTGGATTCCAAACTGGACCTTTTCGATATGGCAATCAGCATCGTTAACCCTTATCCCGGTTGGGCGGAACTGGTCTTTTATTTGTATTTGTCAAGTCTGGTTCTTTTTATGTAGTAGAATATAAGGCACAATGTAATCTACTTGGAACTCGCACAAATCTTATCCTTACAATGTTGCTTGCCATTTTTCAGAATACTTCTAGGACTTTTTTTCCTGTTAATTTGTTGTATCCGGTTAAAGAAATTCAGAAAAACAATACATTTCGGAACCGAAAATAAATTACCGTATAAAAGCGTGAGGATATGAAAATAATTCAAGATAATAACTCAAGGAAAACAAATTTCACTAATTTCATTAGCACTTCATATACGATCTTGCCGTAACATATAAATATTAAAATTCCTAGAAAAGAAAACCTGCAAATGTTTGTATTAGCATTCTGAGTTAATAGAGGACAGTAATAGAAAAGACGCTTACAACTAAGAGCAATTTAAATTTCCGCCACTTACATTCTTGATACTATTTTATTGAAATTAAATTTTTAAGAAGTTCTAAATAGAATATTTATTGGTAGTTCATTGAACAGTATTTAGAACCTGCTTGCTATAATAGCAGTGAATAAAAAAAAACTGATACATGTAAGCAAATTCCTTTCATTTATGGAAAATTGAATCACTAATTTTGGAACGCAATCGATATCTTTAAAAAGAAATTTTTAATAACTACAATTAGACATAAAGGAACAAAGAGGTAAGTGTTCGTTCTACTTTTATTCACATATCTATCTTTTATCAATACGTTAAAAACTATATTGCTATTTATTTTCGAACTAAAAAAACTTAAAAATGATAATTTGTTTTAAAAAAAGAGCATGCGTTCGGCTATTACAATTCAAAATTTTAAAATGCATTTTACCGTCAAAGATGTTAAGTAAATAAATAAATTAAAAACAAAATTTAATAATTTTATCACCTGTTTTTAATGATGCAGTATTATAATACATCATGTTACATAATTCACAAAAGTTATTAATGTATTTTCACTCTTATATTTTACGTTTTTATCACGAAATTTGCTTAGATATAGGAAAAACAATAGGGCAAAAAATTTGCAATATTTTAAAATTTGTAATGAAAAGTTAAAGTTGGTAAATACCTATAGTTTGTCAGAAACACCCAGAGACAGCAGATACTGAAAAACGGATTCTTCGAGCGTTCCTTTCTCAGTATCAACAAACCATTTTTAACGCAACCAGTTATTACTGAAAATAATAAATACTTTTTTTAAAGTACAATATCTTTGTGCCTGTAGTAAATGGCAGATCGATGTTTATTTTATAATTTTCCTTTTGGCACTATATTACAGACAATACTTTTGTACAAAATATTATTTAAAATGCATCAGTTATTTTTTTAGCCTATAACGGCAACTTTAGCTTTTATTATTCTTGTAATTTTTTAATGTAACATGTAAAATAAGATATTCTTTTTATTTTTCTGAAAGTTATTTTTTGAGTAGATTTTCAAACTCCTATTCTTGCTATCAGTTTAACGTTTGATTTTTTAAAATTTATATCAAAAATAATAATCTTATAGTAATTTTGTTTTGGTTAATAAAAACAGAAATCGACAGAGACGTGCATACAGAGAGAAATGACAGCTTTTAAAAGTATTTAAGAGGGAAATTATAAGAGCCTTCAAAAATAAAAGAACAAAATTATCATGAAAAAATTCTTAGTCAAATTTTCAAAAGTGGAGAAAAGTAAGTGCAAGTTTCAATGAAACATCATTTACTTTAAGGGAAAAAAAAAAAAAAAAAAAAAAAAAAAAAAGAGTACTCAAGACTTTTCTTAAATAAGCATTCATAATATAAATACTTATTCCTTAACTTTCTGAAAAATTATGTAAATGTGATAGTAATTTGAATTACTACAAAGTTATGAAATAAATAAAACATTTTTGGTAGTTTTCTATTATTGGGACCGGATTCTGAAATATGTATGTATGTATGTATGCATTGTACGTATCTACATACATATATACATACGTTTCCGAATCCGGTCCTGATAGCATAAAAGTATCGAATTTTTTTTCTGTTTGTTTAGCACAAAAGTTCTGCATTTTTTTCTGTTTGCTGTCGTTATTCAAGTTTTAACGTAATAAGTCTTCTATCATTTGCAATATATTAAATGTGAAATTACAATGCGCAGATTGTAGAGGAATAAATAAATCTAAATTGTAAATGAAAAAAAAAATTATATAGAAATAAACAAATTCGTTAAGATTTAAGAGCCTAGAATTGTTATTTATAGCTATTCATATCATAATTTTTTTTATTATTTTTAAGTTTTGCAAAAAAATGTTGTTTTTATGAAAAAAAAAAAAAAAAAGAATTATTTCTAATTTTATTGTTTTTTTACTAAAGGAAATTTTAAAACGTTTACAAGAAAGTCATTTGGGGGCGTCTACGTTTTTTAACTTTATACCTACTTACATGTATAGCAATTATTAGTTTTGAAATATTTTTTAAGTTATGGGAAGCCCTATGTGAATTAAGATGCTCCAACCAAATTTCATTCATTTTAAAACTTAATAGTTAGTTAAATGAAGTGTAGATTTGAAGAATATAATAAAGCTAATAATTTTATAAAACTGGAAACTGAAATATTTTTGCACTTTATTTTAGATTTGAAAAACGTATTTCAAGCTAATCATTTTAACAAATAACAGAACTGAGTGTTTAGTCATTTTGCATTTAAAAATGTAACATTTGCTTACTTGGTATCCTAAATTGCTTCCTCAATCAAATAATTTCATATATCTCTGAAAATTCTCAAAAATTCATGCAAATTTATTTATATATGTTATGGCAACTCTGTCTGTTATGTGTACTATTTGTTTATTTGTGCTGAAATGTGATTGCTATATGACATAGCAATATGTGAATTCAAACTTTCAGTGTTAATTAACTACAGGAAGACAGTCCTATTTTGTTCCGGAGATTGTCATTAGCGGATGTCATCCCTGATTGGCCAACACTGGCGAAAGTAGACATTTTCTCATTGGATGAGGTTCGGACATTAAGTTATCATACGCGCATACGCACTGACCAGCAGCAAAACTAGGAACTGTTTTTGTCCAAAGCTACCCAGATTTTTTTTTTCTTTTTGTCCGCTGGCTTCAAATTATTGGTGCTTTCTGCAGAATTTTTGCCGGCTACACTTTTTGTATTTTCACGTGCTCTGTGTCGTATGTGCTTTATTTGTTTGTGCGTCCATCCATGTTTCGTGTTTGTGATTTCAACTTGGGGCATTTTGTATATTTTGTATTTTCTATTTTTTTTTTTTCATTTTTGTTAATGTTTTTGAAATTTACATTATCCTCCGTTTAACAAAAGTATCATTTAATTGACTGAATGTGGGGTTTTTATATATATATGTATATATGACCCATTTCTTTTTTCCTGATTGACATTTTATTTTTGTTATAGAAAACAAAAAATTCCAGTGTCAGTCTATATAAAATAGAAAATAAAAGTCTTGTTGTTTGCACTGTTTAGATGTACTATTTTTCTTAATTAGCAAGTAAATTAAGATTTTTTGAAAATTACTTCTATAGTCTTATAAAGTTATAGAAACCCACTGTATTATAAACACGAATTACAATTTCATGACGCATCTATAGCTTAAAACAATTAATTCATTTCTAATATATTTGCTTTTGTTAGCAAATAACTTAAGATCTGTGTAACATATCCAAATTTATCTGCAAAAGTGGTACCTTCCCATTGTTCATCTTCATGGCATATTTCTGTATCACTAATTAAATTACAGTAGACGTCGCTTAATGTGATCGAGGTTAATTTTATCATTCGGATATTGTTATCGAATTAATGAAGTCCACCCGTATGTATATTAAAATATGAAAAAAATATCGCTTATTGGGATCAACGATACGGTTAATATTATAAAAGTTTTATAGAATAGTTTTTTTAAGCTGAAGAAAAGTCGCCAAGTAAGGTCAAAATGCGTTAAAAATTTGCCAAATAAGAGAGGAATATCGCCAAATAAAGGATTAAATCTAGAAGCAATTTTTGATTTTACTCAGCCATTTGAATTTAGGCAAAAAGGCAAACTTAGTTTCGAGTAGATTTGGAATAACTCTATCGATTTCGAGAGTGATCAGACACAAGTCCCCCTCTTCTCTCAGCAAAAAAAACACTTTTGCAGAACCCCCCGTCTTCTAGCTCCTAAAAAAAAAAAAAAAAAAAAAAAAAAAAAAAAAATCCCCGAAATCATCTATGTTAAACTAAAATTGCTTTTTGCGTAATTTTATATTTTACATTGGCATGTTCTCATCCAATAAATGAGGGATAGGAATTTTAATATCAGGGTTGAATTACCGGTTGAATAATTTCCAAAAACGTTATGAATAGTTCATAAAGGAACTTTCGAAAGACATTATGAACAATTCATAAACAAATTTTTACATTTTCCTAACAAAAATTGTGCGAAAGTGCGGATTTATATGTTCCTAGTTATTTTCTTTTTTATTAATTAGATTCTGTTGCTATATTAAGAATATCTTTTCTCATCGTTTTAATGTTATCATTCGGTTAAAATATGAACATAGACGTTGGCAAACGTGATCACATTAAATTTAATCCCGAAAATTCTAAAAAAAAAAAAAAAAAAAAAAAAAAAAAAAAAATATATATATATAAGCACTTTCAATTTAATAAAAACAATACGTTTTTTAGCTATACGTTTTAAGATCTTTTTTTTTTTGTTTTGTTTTGTTTTGGACATCAATTACCATTTTGTTTTCATCAAGTATTTTGATGTTTTTTTGGAAGATTTATTTTACCTCCCAATTCACAACTAATTGCTTGCATGCTAGTTTGTATTGTTAATTTTGCTGTGTGTTTTATTTCTGAAGCAGAAGGGTCCTCTTTATGCGCTTTTATTTGGCACTAAGAAATTAAGAGATAGATATACAAAGTTCATATAATGTTCATATAATTAACTTTTAAAAGTTAAAGTGTACGTTAAATTATAAAAACATAATTTTTAAAAAGTAAAAAGATTGAAATTAAAAAATATGTAGCATTTATATATCATTTTCTAAGGTTCTAAAATTTATTAAAAAATTAAGTTATTAATTTTAGGTATAATCGTTTATGGAACAAGAATTTTGTTAATATTTGTAGATAAGAATGTGTAATGTATTATAGAAATCTAACTTGTTTAAAAGATAATAATATAAATATCAGTAATTTTTGTGTTTTTGCTTGAGCAGCGTAATCAGTAAGAAAATAAAACTTTCCTGCATATTATACATTGCAAGCAGAATTAACTAAAAAAATCAATGGTTATATTTAAATTTAAAACTTCTGAAGTAAGATTTCAAAATTACTGAGCGATATACTCTTCATTAAGGGACAGAAATGGAATGAAATACATAGAAAGAGAAAAATTTAACATTTAGACCAGAACAATCAGAAATTTCTGGTCTTAATGTGAATTCAGGATTGTTCAAAACACTTATTCAATTCGATTGCTATTTTTGAACAGTGCAGTTTAGACTCTTCAACTCGTATTTATTTCCTTTAATATGAGCTAATATTTTCAGTAGCTTATTAATCAGAAAAATCAAAGACGAGTATTTAGAGTGCCCTTCTGAAATGGATATCTATTTAATGTGTAGTAAAATATCAAATGCAGTTTTTCTTACATTAGTTAATAGTTTGATAGCAGTCTTGTCAATTAGCTCTATAGAAATAAAATAAAAAATAATTTCTAGTGCCTAAAAGTGTGATTTTTTTCCACTAATTGTAAACTTTAATTTCAATTTTAGAGTAGTGTATGTGTAATATTCTAACATATGTAAAACTGTAGCATCACAGATGGTGTTTTGAAATGATTGCAGTGCGGAAATAAATTTTAATGATTTGATACAACGTTGGGAAACATCAAACTGATTACAAGGAACATCCAAATTCTTTGCAGTCATTTGAAAACTAGAACCTATACACAAAAATCTTTTGGGTCAATTAAAATTATTTATTTATTATTTATGCATTTTTCATTAGTGCATTCGATAATACGTTCTAATATGATATTTTTTTATAAAAATAGTATTAAAATAAGATTGCCCGAATTAAATGCTGTCAGACTTATTGAAGTCAAGAGAAATATTTAGACGGCGAAAAATTGTATATACGTATGATTACAAAACAATTTTTTAAAAAACAAAATGTAATAGACATGCCTAGTATTTTCGCGCACTAAGCTGCTGACAAATTATCATGCAGACATAAAGTATATCTAAAATTCTCTAAGAAGATAATGCAGAACAAGCAGGATAAGATACGCTAAAATAAATTTAATAATTGAGAAACATTTTGCTATTTTTACTTGATAAAACAAAAAGAAGAACACGTTATATTAATATTTGTAGACTGCACTTAGAATAATTAGCCTGCCGGCACCTTTCACTTTGGCATCATAAACCTTAAATATAACATTTGTTAAATTCGCAAGAAATATAAAATAAATAATTATATATAATTAAATTTCGTGTTCCAAATATATGCCAGACAGAAGACATACATTTTATATTACAATTAAGCGGCTATTAAAAATAAAATTAAAAACTAAATAAAGTCGTTTAATAATAAATATAAGCACCTAACCTAAGTATTTTACTCACTATACAATTTTTTTCAAAGAAAACATTTTTTTTTTTTTTTTTTGTATTTATATTTTTACTCTATGTCATTTTCAAATTTTAAATTCTTATGTTTCAAGGTCATAAAATATGCGTACCCATGATGTGCTTGCGCATAAATAAAATATAAATATGCATTAATTATAAAATATGCATTAATTACATAAACTTCATAAATGTTTTAAATAAAAATTGATTCAATTCGTGCGAAATATAAAATAAATTAAAAATTTTTGGTTTTGGAGTACACAAGTTCAAGTGCGCAGAACTACGTTCGTTCAAAATTTGGTGGCTTCATTGTCACCATCTTTCCAAAGTGCAATGATAATGAACTCATATACACTTCTTTAGTATTCCTAAATAAAGATAATAATAATTATAATAACAAATACAGAGAGATATAAGGTATTAAAAGTCGTTTCAGAAATACACTGTTAAATGCGCTTATTCTTCTTTTACTCTGTACAGAATGCAAAATATCTAATTAAAACAGCCTTTAATTGAGACAAATCTTGAAAATTATCGTATAAATTGGTTATTGAAAACTCGCTAATTCAATTAATTATCATTAAAATTTTCCAAATAATTTTAAGCATTTTTTTTAATGAATGAACCGTTTTTAGCATTTAAACAATCGATAATCTATTTTCTTTAAAAATGGTTTACAGTTAAAATATTTAATGTAATATTATTTGAATAATTGTCGCCTGTGATGCTGCAGTTAAAAATTAATATCTTTTGTTTTGTTACTGTGTGTTCCTTTGTTCGAAACCCATAACATAGAACACCTGTGTTGTATTGTAGAACGACGAACGCAGGGGATCACGTGAAAGTCGTCGGCCATCTTTAGCTGAGTTGATTCCTGATTGGCCAACGCTTCAGAAGGTCGTCAGAGACTCTGAGGTTGGAGGATGGATACAAAAAGAGTGCAATATTATGTTTAAGAAACTCTCTTTCCTCCTCATCCTCTTTCTCTGTCGCTTCATCTTGATCATATTCTTCTGGACCTTCTTAAAATATCTCGTTCACTAAGGTCCCTGCGAGCTTGCTATCTTGCAGCTGCTGTAACAAAATGTAACAATCAGGCAAAACAATCTAGTTAGAAAAATGTTCTTAAACAAAATTCAGTTTTTGCCTAGTTCATTTGTAACACAGTGATCTGTGCCAATCATGAATTTTAACTCTAAGCAAAATATCTGAATTTCTTATAACTATGAAGCATCACCAACTGCAGAACTGCGCAATATTTTGTAGTTGCGAACTTCTAGATCAGCATTTTAAAAAGCTATTTTATCATTTAAGTAACTACTAGTAAAATCATAATATGGTATACTTGAAGTTTTTTTCTGACTCTGAACTGACCAAACAGAAACGGACTCACTTTTTTTGAATTTAAAAAATAAAACGTAATGCATACTTCTATCTTTTTATACGACTAGTGACGTTCAAAATTGATAGAATTAGTTTATATATTCAAAGACCAGGATAAGAGTGTTGCTTATTTTCTAGTAAAGGTGTTTAGAAACACCCTTACAAGAAAGTAAAGATTATTTCTTGAAAAATGGCATATTTAAAACACCGAATTAAAAAAAAAATAGGAAAATACTGAAATTAGTAAATATTGTTCTATGCATTAAGCATTTTGCTTCCTTTGTAATGAAATGTGTATGCAAATAATTTTTAAAATGAGGTGATATCTAATAGTTTCTTCTACTGTATGCAATTATTTATAAATTTCATTAATATTAGATCTTATATATGAATTTATTATACCGAGAACTAAAAATTCCTTCTCAGTTGTTACCTAATTATATATACTGACATGTTATAAAAATATTAAATTTATTCATATTTATTAAAGATATTTCACTTAATGAAAGACAAAAGGCAATTAAATTTTTTATATATCTATTTATAAAATGAAAATCTATTTTCAATATTAATAACCATTTAGCGTGACTTTGTAGCTTCCTTTGGCGTTGAAAATAATAAATAAAATAAAGAAAACCACATTTTCTTTATCATTAATTTTTTTTTTTTTTTATTTTCATCCATATTTGAAATTGCAACCGGAAAGAAAAATTTCGAATAAGTTACCTTATTCATGATGCTTTTTTATGTCTAAATTTCGGCAGCTTAGAGAACAGTCTGATAGAATCTCATTAGCATATTACCACATATAAGTGATATAAAACTGAAGAAATATTCTAAAATTCCGTCTTATTGAAATGATGTTTGAAAGGCTTATGAGCTAGAATGAAAACATTTAATTAACAATTAATTACTATAAAACATTTAATTAACAATTAATTAGTATAACAATTAATTATTATAAACTATACTAATTAATTAAAACAATTAATTAGTATAGTTTGCCTGATTGTTACAATTTACGATCTCATTCTGCGGCGCTTTATCGCTTTTGTGCATTTGGCTATGTTTAAAGATGTATTTCATATTGGCACAACATGCTACTTCTGAGAACTATTCTTTAACTTCTAAATACAGAATTATTTCTCTCCAAGGATTTATTTAAATTAATTTTAAAATGAGGAATTCTGTCTAAGTATTTATTTAAATTGAATTTACATTTAAACATAGCCAAATACATATTGCTTTTCTATGAATACAGCTCTTCTCTTTCAGCTCTTCTAATGTGGATATATTTCGAGTGGACATTTCGGCGGAGCTTTTATTAACAATAAAAGAATTCTTTGATTTATTGTTTAATGTGCAGCTATGTTTCACAGTTGACGTAACAATAGAACATCTTGATGACACTTTTCACGAGTTCAATGCAACTCGGAAAAAAATTCTTATATTTACCTATATAGCATTAAAGACTTAATTTTTAAAATTTTTTTCAGCTTTAAATTGTCTAACTTTTTTCAAGATACCTAAAGCTAAAATAACATAGAGAATATTAATAAATCGTGGTCAGAAAAATAAGATTATTTATTATTTTAACACCTAGACTTAAACATGAAACAGCAACAGCATCAGTATAGTATCAGCACCTATGTTCTATTGTTTCTTAAACGTACTTGAAATTTGACAGCATAAAAGTTTATTTTTAAAAGCATGACTCGCATGATTATCTGTATACTAAAGTGATATGACTCAAGTAACATTATATAAATTACTTACAAGTAACATAATATAAACAACTTTTTATTATTTATTATTTTTAATATGTAATTTATGACTGAATTTTATTATGCTTTTTATGTATTTTTTTAGTTTTGCATGGGAATGTCTATATATACAGAAAAATTCGACTGTGAAGAAAATAACAAGTTAAGGAGCTCGTGTTTGCAAAGATTAAAATTAGCTATTGCACTAAGTCAATCATTTCAGTTTAGCTCCCTAGACACTTTTATAAGTATAATTTGCTTCAACAGACTCACATAATAATTTCTCAAGGAATAAGAACATTAATTAATAAGAATATTGTTATAGGATTTCTACATGAATGGCGACAGTTTGCTAATAAATATTATTTGCATTATAAAGATCTAACATTTCAATTAAATTTTAATATTCAGTCACATTTTTATATTTTTGTTTTGCTATTGCACTGCCTTTAGCTTCACTTTTAACGTAATTAAAATTTTACAAAATATCTTATGAAGCAAAATATATATATCATATTCAAAAAATTCATTTAGATGCTGAAACCAGTCTGAAGTTACCAGCAGACTAGCGATAAGCTACAAATGATAATATGAGCGAACTAAATTTGGTAGCTAACCTTTAAACTGGTAGCTTTCATATTTCCAAATATGCGTATTTTAATTTTATTGCACTGAACGGATCTTATTTGCTTCTATTGGTATTATCTGTTACCCAGCGGTTTTTTTCACTTCATCTTCCCATTCTGCTTTAAAATCGTTATATAAAGCTATAAAACGTATGCATTTTAAATAATTATTACGATATCAAAAATAATGCTTTATTTCAAACATATAGGCTACGATATAACAGTTATGATAATACACTTATAACAATTTTTATATCTATAAATTTACATATAATCCTTTGACATTTAAACATAACCTTTTTGTTTTCAAAATTATATGTTCAAAGATATTTTGTCAAAGAAAATAGTTCTTATAATGTAGTTTAACTATTTTTTTATTTAGGAACCAAAGAATATGATTATTATAATATCTTTTAATTATCTACGAATTTTTCTGTATTTTCATGGTATCAATGACAATTGTTTGCATGCAGTATGAAGAATCTGTTTTGTAAAACAGAATTTTAAGCATGAATAAGCATGAAAATTAATACATTTTTAATTTAATTTTTATTTATTTACTTTTTGTTTGTTTTTGTTTTTGTAACATTTTTGAAACATTTACAAATTTTTGAATTTTTTTCAAAACTAAAAATGTTAGATCAGATATAAAAATACCAGTAGTTCTTAGTATTACATCGTTAGTGTTTTAATATAACTGAATTAAATTGGCTTTTAATAATTTTTGATAGCAAATTTAGAAACACTTAAATCTTTTAACTTTAATGTACTGAATGTTTTCAGTTACTGCTGCATATTCTCTAACACCCTGCGCAGAAAAGAAAATTTTATAATGTGGCATGGTTATTATTAAAATAAAATCTTCAAAGCAGTCTAAAGAGTTTACATTTAATTTCTTTTTTAAGATGTTTAAATATGTGTTTTATAATTCAAGTAATTCTTTCTGGAATTTGAGTTTATTTAAATTTAAATTTTAGTTTTTATTATAAAATTCAGTAGTCAAGTTTCATGAGATTTTAATTACAAAACATTTCATACAAAAATTTATTATACGGCATTATATAAAACAAATGCACTTATAATTTTTGATATATTTAAATTTGGGTAGTTAATTTTAAAATTTCTGATCAAAGAAGATTAATTCTTTTCTTTCAAGTGTATAAGCACTCTTCGGTTTTTTCCGAAACATTTGAGCTTTGTTTTTTAATTTTTTTTTTCATTGCAATTTTCATAACCATTAGCCAACCAGATTTTGTTAACCAAAATTATATAATCTTATTTAAAGTATTTAATTTAATTGATTATTCAGAATAAATTACTTTACTATTCCTAATTTTAAGAATTTTTCCAAAACTTTTCGTCATTCTTCTTGCGTTACTATTATTTCGTGCACACATTAATAAAGATTCATTGCTATTTATTTAGGAAATAAAGTGCTTATTGCATTTTTGAACATATTTTATTTATCCAATAGATAAATTAAATACATATAAGAATCGAATTTAGACTATCAAATTTTAAGTTCGATACCCACATTCAAATACGTACAACATATAGGTAGACAAAACAACAGACAGACCATTTAAAAATAGCAAATAAATTGTTTCTTTATTATACTCGTATTTTTTACACATATTAGTTGTGTAAATTCTTTAAACTTGAAGTTTAAGTAATAAAATATTTCAATATAACTTTACTGTATGCTCTATGATTTTGACTTATTACGCTTCAGATACCTTTTAAAACACACTGAATTTGATGCATATTAATTTTTATTGCATTAAGAAGTTGTGATGTATTTATACTCAGAATACATGGACGCAGCAATTATAAATATAATTAAGCTACAGTCATAAGATAGTATTTTTTGGAGTGTGTGATTTTCATTTCTAGCAATTTATTACGCATGCTGTTGTGGATGGTTTTCAAGAAGGAACTGTTGCAGTGTGTGTTCATTTAATTCGTTTTGGAACGTTTTCCTCCCGGGCTCTTTCCAGCAGCAGAAGCGTATGGCCTGAATTGGCTTCTCTCATTGCTCATTTTACTCTTTTCTATTGCAGGTCTTTTCTGCTCTTCATATTTCTATTTTCTATTACTATTCTTTTAATTTTGCTTATTATGTGTGTGTATATATATATGTAATTCTGTACGTTATTTATTAAATATAACTATTTTGATCTGTATATAAGAATATAGATGTTTATGTATTGTAACATATATTAATTATAATGCTAATAAATTTGAAAGTCAATAATTTAAGTTTTTAAGGTCAAAACTTTGTGTATAACTTTCTCATTGCTTGAAATATCGTATTCTTTTCATGTGTGTTTATTTAAAATTAATATTAATTCAAAAACTGATAATAATTTTTCTAGAAGCAATTTATGGTTCAACAAATTCATGACCGATTCCCTATTTGGTTTACATTTCCTTTAACAGAAGTTTGTAACTGTATTTTTAGCTTATTTTTGGATGCCTCGTAATATCGTATTTATGGAAGCTCAATAATTATATAAAATTTCGAGTGCAGTATTTTGTAAACTGTTTTGGCCTACTTAAAATAAATGTTTATAATTTTCAATGGCATAAATGCATGTTCAACCGCTATGTGAGAGCTTGGAAGTTCCAGTCACATATACATGTCTCATTTTAATGTAGCTTGCAAACATTGAGCTTTTTTATTAATAGTCCAACCTTTGTGGCATTCAATAGGCTTCATTCGCCAATGGCATTTCCTTGCTTTGATCAACCATTTCACATTCTAATCTTCAGAATATTTCAAATATTTTCAATTTTACTAGATTAAACTTAGACCAAATAATAAGCGTTTATGAGTCTCATCAGTGTCCAATGTCAGTAGTTCTGAATGTTCATTGTATGTGATGTGCGTAGCAACTAAAATGTAAAAAATAATTCTTGCCAAATTCCTTCATATTCTAACACAATCATAATTTTATAAACACTGTAACGCATTTATAAGTTAACAGTCTCATCTTTAGTTAACAAACTATAAATATTTGGAAGCAAAGTTCTCTTTGTTTTTCTCAAATAAATGCTGTAATTTGAGTGAAAGTGTATGTGTGTTAGCGTTCCTCGATAACCTCTAATTTTTGTAACAGTTTAGCTAAATTACAGAATAATAATAATTTTTTTTTTAGTTTTTTGTTTTGCTTTCGAATAATTCCCAAAATATTCCTTCTTTCAATTCGAAACTGGTCAAGATTTGTTGTTGCATAAGATGCATCAAAATGTTACTTGATGTTTTTGAAGCTGGATTTACCTTGTTAATTTAAACGGTGCCTAGATTTTGATATAAAATTATAGCTTTCCTTATGCTTTTAGAAAAAAGACGAATTTGTGAAACCCTTGGTTGATTCTCGAGCTAAAGAAGGTAAGGACAAAAAATTGCGTCTGGAAGCTGTATTTTCAAAGATGAATGTGAAGGCCAAGTGGTATAAGGGAAAAGAGGAGCTCTTTTTGGGCAAGAAATATCATATGCAGAGTGAAGGAGATTTACATGTGTTAGTAATCAACAATCCAACTGTAGAAGATTCCGGGAGATATAAGATCGAATGCATGGGTATAAGCAGCTCATGTATCGTAGAAGTTGATGGTAAGTATTTAATCTTAGAGTGGTAATTTGTTTCATGACCGGTAAGAATTTTTTGTCACAAATTTCATACATATTCATATTTTCATGCATAAAGCAATGTTTTGGCTCTTTTATTGATATTTTCTAATCGCAGTTAGTAACTTTCGCATTAACAACACACCCGAGGAAGACTTTAGTGCCAAACTGCAAATCATCGACTAACTGTGATTATGAATCAAACGGAAGATCACTAAATGCAAAATAGATTTACTTGATGGAACATTTTGGCCCCTTTTTATGATAGTGTTACCGATATAAAAGTACCGTTTACTTCAAAAACGAAATTCTTTCGATCTCAGATACTGAGCAAGGATTTTCACCTCTTACTTAACATTATGTTCTAATAGTATATGAAACTTTAAATATTCGACAAGACTTTAGTCAGAAGATATAAAGAGTTTTATTTGTAACAAATTACTTAGCTTTAATCTTTGAAAGATGTGCTTATAATCTGAGTTTTGGTAATTGCATATTTCTGGCAATCTTCATTTGAGAGTAACTATGTGATCAAAAATCTATTGCCATTGTCTTCTTGTTTCTTTGTTGTGATAAATTTTGTTATTGCAGTTTAATATCCTGTCTGATATTTTTATACTTGGTCACAATCATGCCAGACATAAGCGACAGTATAATAGCCTTTTAAATCTATGTTTCCGACTTCATCGACTCTTCGAAAATGCCGTGCACAATTATCAGTTTAGTGATTTTTATTAAGCCTGTACTTAATTCTCTTATTGTTAGCAGGAAATTTCCTCTTTCTATTAATAAAAAAGTTACGAGTTATTTTAAGCCTACATTTTGAGCCAGTGGCTCCTCGTTTAGGGGACTAGTAGGCAGAAGAGACGAATCTATGTTACTAAGTTTTTAATAGAACTATTCATGATTTACACTGATGGCTATAGTTACTTACAATGAAGTATCAACAGATGAAAGTTAAAATGGAGATATTACGTCTTAAAGTCGTCATCATTCTTTCACATCACCTCTCTTCTTAATCCAAGCCCGCCCTTCCCTCATTCTCTTATTTTGCGCTGTCATTCTAGTCGTGTTGTGTTGTCGCATTGCTGATGCGTAAACTCGTTCATCCTAATGCGACAGGTCCTCCTGAGATAATGAGTATACAGCAAAATCTAAAATAAGTAAATTAAAAAAAAAGGTGAAAACTTTGTGTTCCACTGGATCGTCTTTAGAACGTCTTGAAGAAAAAAATAAAGAATGTCTTTTCTCCAGACCATCCTAAATCTTCAAACATTTTAAGGAGCATGTCTGGAACATCAAAGGTGAGGGGAAAAAATTAACATATTTGTAATTTTTCATATATATATAAATTCTACATAGAGGGAAAAAAGGGAAAAAAGACGAGAGGTCTTAAGAAATGAATGAATAGAAAAAAGTAAGTAATAAAAAAGAATGAAAAATCAAAAAAAAAAAAAAAACATATTGAAGAACAGGGATACTAAATATAAGATGTCCGTTTGTGTGGCACATAATTCTAAATAAAGTGTTAACTGTGGAGAAGTCCATAGTTACATCATATCAGCAGCTGTCGAAGTTGTATAGGGCCTTCATTCCAACTTTCTGTACTTCACAGCGGTCATGTTGCTTAATACGTGTGACTGTAGGATCCTAAACATTTTTCAAGGAGATTCATTCCGGTTCCAAATTGAGTGCAATGAAGCGCTGCTTGCTCATTAACTGTATATATACAAGGTTGTTTACGATTCTTGTCATAGTAACGTCTGTTTAATTTTCTTTCTCTTTTGGGATGAACTGGAATTACTCGTCTTCAAGTTATATGTGTAATTTTGATATCTTCTTTATTTTTCATCTCGATGCCAAAAATTAGCTCAAAGGGTGTGAAGTTGGTGGTTAGAACTGTAGTGCTATGGATTATTCTGTGAACAGAGGCAACGTGTTTCAACCAATTCTCGGGATCTTGTAAGGATAACGTGGTTAAGACGGAAATCAAAATATCGTGCATGCGTTCAATTTGTGTCTGAGATTTCTAGCTTTTTATACGAAAGATTCAAAATTCTTTTGGTTTTCTCTCATTCGCCTTCGAATCGCTGAATTTGTGCCTTAGGTTTTCATTTCTCATCTACTAGGAGAGATACTTTCGATGCACTGTATTTATCTCCATTCGTATTTGATCTCCTTCAGCTTCTGCAGCCTTTCTTGCTCTATCAGAATTGGTCAAATCGTTCTGAAGAGGAATTAGTTCTGCTTCCAAATGTCTTTTGTTTTTTCTTCAAATCAATGTTTTCTTTTTTTGTCTTTTCTTTTGTTCTTTCAAATGCCTCAGCTTCTTTGTACTTGTAAAGCGATTTATTTCTTGGCTAATAGGGCTTCCTCAACTTCTCCTCGATAATCTGTCATTTGAATTTGTAGCTTTTTCAATTGCCTTTGAGAATCGTCTTTACTGGCAATTTCTAACTGTTGTTCCACAGCTTGATAATCACCCTCAATTTTTGTCCTTGCCGTAATTGCTCCAGCAGGTTGCTTGCGTTCATATTCAAGTTCTGCTTAGTGAGAGATTTTCGTTTTGCTTCATTTTGTTCATCTATAGTTTGTAAATCTCTTTCAACTGTGCTTTAAATGCTTGAATAATGACCTCTAATCTCAGTTTGGAATTTTCAGTCAAATGTAGTTCAAGTTCTTTTATATGTTCTTCTCTTTATTCAAGATCTCTAGTGAGCGATAATATTTTAGTTTCTTTTTCTCAGGCTTCACGTTCTGCATTGTCCCTTTTGTGTCCATTTCGTTCAGATACAGCTTTCTCATTCGTTCATATATAGCAAGCAAATTATTAACTTGCGTTGTCAGATACTTTAACCTTTTGGTTATCAAGCTCTATGGTTAAGCCTGCAATCTTAGACTGCAGTTTTCATTTTGATTTATCTAATTTATCGCGGATTATCTGAAGTTCGTCCAACTTATGCTGCAAGACATCAAAATCTTTAGAAAGTTTCATTTTCTGCTTTTCTAATGAAGCATCTGCATCAGCTTCTTCTTCAACCTTTCTCTTGTACCCAGTAGTTTGTACATAGAGCAGAGGCACTTGTTTGTCTGCTGCCTTCTTTGCTTCTCCTTCCTTACCAAGGTGTGCTTCTGCTTTTCTAATGAAGCATCTGCATCAGCTTCTTCTTCAACCTTTCTCTTGTACCCAGTAGTTTGTACATAGAGCAGAGGCACTTGTTTGTCTGCTGCCTTCTTTGCTTCTCCTTCCTTACCAAGGTGTGCTTCTGCTTTTCTAATGAAGCATCTGCATCAGCTTCTTCTTAAACCTTTTTCTTGTATCCAGTAGTTTGTACATAGAGCAGTTGCATTTGTTTGTTCTCCTTCCTCACCAAGGTGTTCTTTCAAACATTCTTTTAACACAATCCTTCTATTTTCTAACAGCGTGTAGCCTGGATAGAATCAGTTCCGATAATTGCGTCATCAGACAATAAAGTTGTCATCAATAACATAAATATCAGTTTGAAAATTTGTATTTTGAATTTTGAAGAAACCTGTGAAATATCTTGCTGGGTGCATAATGCATAATCGTTTCATCACTAAGTCCTAATAATGATATAGAAAACTTTTGAAAGCGCTGGAGAACCAATTTCTTGATGTGTTGCCGTGTTAATGATAGTAGCTTGACTACCAGTGTCAACTAATGATGGAATGATGAAATCAGAAGTATTGAGTCGCATCGTTATAAAATGAAATGTGTGTGACTGTACCACAACTTCATCGAGAGCTGCCTCTTATTTTGAGACGATGCAGGTGATGAACTACTTGGTTTCTTAGTACAAGTAAATGATTTATAGTTACGTGAATCGCAGGAAAAACATCTAGGTTGTTTACGACAACAATTAGAACTTTTGTCGCCTTTGTAGCAGACTATAGATTGCTAAGCTTTTGAGAAATTTTACTGAGTTATTTATGAGAATAATTATGTTTAAGTTTCAAATCACTTGGAAGTAGACCCGTAAGTAAATAATCATAAGTCTTTAACTCTTCTTTAATCTTTAAAGTTTCTCATAAATCTTTAACTTATCTTTGAATTCACTCATAGTTTTACCACCATATAATAAAATTTTGTTAGAGTTTTCTGGAATCCCATTCATCAAATTATCAAAAATTAGAAGCCATCAGGTTTCCCTCTGCAACCAATTTCTCTCATAGCAACAAAACAATGGAATAACCATTCGTTTGGTTTTAAACGTCTTTTAAACAGCATTTTATGCAAATTTTCACTATTCAGTTTAGAGGAAAGTTCTTCCAACAAATATTCTTTTAACGCATCAAAAGTTTTAACACCCAGTAAAAAATTTACAAAAGTTTTAGCAAAGTCCGATAAGTACATTCTTGAAAATATAATCTTGCGATCGTCATTCGTAATTCTATTAAGTTCAGTTCTAAGTCATTTAATTATCAGAAGAACCGTCAATATATTCGCTTAAGTCACAAAGGGGAAATACTGAAACCCTTTTTGTTTCCCTCCGATGACATTCCATTCATATTATTCATTTGCTGTTTATGTAGGGAAGCATCCCAGCTGGCGGTTTGCGAATTCTGCTAACAAATTGTTAACTGCCCAGTGTTCTGAGACTGCATTTTATTTTCGGGAATTATTTTTTTCTTCTGAGTTTCGTGGTTCAACATAAGAATCGGAATTCGACACTGTAGTTTCTAATAACTTAAATTAAAGCATTCCTGATTGTTTTATAATCAGCGAAGGTAAAACAGTTTAAATTGAGAGCACTGAGAACTGAAATTAGATCTGCAGGAATGAAAATATTTAATAAGCGTCCCTTAACTTTCGGAGTTTGAAAAGAGTGACTTCCTGTGAATTCATGAAGTCGTTTACGACTTTTACTCTAACCTTCTTGACCAAACACAAATTTATGTAGTAATTTAATTACTTTGGTCGACAAAGATTTTAAAGATCTAGGTATATGTGGTAAATCATTTAGGGTTGACATCAGTTCTGGTTTCAACATAATAATAGTCTGGCTTCAAAAAAGAGTTGATTTCATCCAAATTCAGTTCAAAAGATTTCATCAATGAATTCTTAATCAATAATCATATTGAAATAGCTTACCTTCACTGAGAACTTTATTCAAGCCTGGCCGAGCCGCCATGTATGTGGCTGAGTCTAAGAGATTAGTAGATAGAAGAGCCGAATGTACGTTATTATATTATTTAATGGAATTATCTGTGATGTACACTGATGACTGTGGTTATTTACAAAAAAGTAGTAGCAGATGAAAGTAGATAGAGGAGGATTACGTCTTTAAGTCGCCATCAATTTTTCACGTCATCTCTCTTCTAATCGAAGAATGCGACCCCTTCAATCTCATCATCCTTTTGCCTCACACTCTTTGTCCAGTCGTGTTGTGCTGTGGCACTCGTGATATTATTTTATTGTCTTTCCTTTCTCTTGCAAAAGTCATCTTTTTCTTCTATATCAAATGTGTACTTTCACTTAAAAGAAACCATTTCATATTAGTTTCTGTGCAATTAACAGCATTTCTTCCTACATAATTTATCATTCGTCAAATTAGAAGTGTATTAAAATGAGAATGAGATAAGGGGACACTCTGAGATGGAAGACTGAGATTCACAATTGTTATAATCACATACAATAAATTTATATTCAACTCTGCTTTTGAATTTTAAGAGATTCTTAATTATACGGCTGTATTGGAAATGCTTTGTATTTATTCAAATTAGATTTCATATCGAAAGTGAAAATTTCTTACAAAATAATTTATTTACATGTGAATGTGATTATAAATGTCTGTAGTCATACTTCAGAATCTGAAATATAATATACATACGATAAAATTAGCATAAAAAGTTTTTTTTTAACATTTTTCAATCATAAAAGTTTACTTTTAAACAAAATAGTAATCTTCTTTGATCTTTTGTTTTTTATTCATCTGGAATTCATCTATCATTTTCCAGAACCAGACCCCGTGTACAAATTTGTCAAAAAACTCCCAGACACCACCGAGGCTTACACAACAAAGGATGTCGTCTTGGAATGTGCTGTCAATGATTACAAAGCCATCGTCACGTGGTACAAAGATGGGCAAAAAATTGAGGTATTATCCTTTTTAATAATTTTTATAATTATATTTATAAAATTGAATTCTGAAAATGTTGCGTTCGATAAACCGTGGCATCAGGAAAGTATTCTCAGATCGAATAAGATCCATTTGAAATTAATTACAGTGAATTCAGGGAATATAACATGTTCATAATTTCATTCTTTAGAATGAAATTAATTTATGTAAGTGAATTAATTGATTGTCTAACTTATCTAAACCCATCAGATGGGCTGAACGTAAGTGCCAATTCACCTTCAAATTACATTCGAAAAGTAGGGATGACAGTATTATATAAAGACAGAGGCATTTTGGTCTCTAGTAACTTATTTTTCTCAAGTCTCCCATCTTTTACGCATTATTTGATGATTCGGCAATAACACAGCAAACTTTACGTCGGTTCTCAATTGCGATAACTATTCTTAAGCAGTCAGAATCATCCCCCCCGCCCAATTTGTTTTCTCGCTCATTCGAATAAAATATACAGTGTTACGTCAGTATACGTTTTAAAATAAGTTTAACCTGGTATACGTTCTGTTTGGACATGAAAAGTTTTGCTTGGTATCCGATTTTTGTTTGGAATACGACTCGAGTTAGATGAGTGATGGATGCGTGCAGTACCTTTGTTTAGCTCTTTGAATGGAAGTGAAAAAAGACATTGTTTAAAAATATGAAGATGAAATGCATATCCGAGACTTGTCTATTGCATACCATATGCTGAGAACGACAATACCTATGAACTGTCAAAAATAAAGACGCTATTAAATAGGCTAAGGTTGAGAGGAGTGAAATCGATTACCAAACAAAAAGCGTAGACATTAGAGTATGTTGAGAAATTGCTTTTGATACGAATAGCTTGAGGCCACTGCATTTGTGCTTCCAAATTGAACAGTATTGTAATAATCATAATAAGATTTTTATAAGAACGATTAATTATTTATCTTTATTTCTCACTGGTACAGTTCGGTTGGTATACGTCCAATTTACCGTAAGTCCAAGGATTTGCAATGGATTAATGACGCATATCGAGGTACCACTGTAATTTACATTTCTGCTTTACAGTTAAAAGATTCGAGGACAGAATAAAATTTCCATATTTTGCTAGGTTTGAACTGAGAGATAGTACTTCTGCTGAACAATGCTACCGACGCGATAGAATTGAAGATGATATTATCTACGAAGTATGAATGGTAATATCAAGGATTATGATATTCGCTGGAACTAGCCTCAAGCATAGATTTTGGAGAATTGCTAGAAAGTCGGACAAGAATATTAAGAAATGTGATTAATTTATATTAGGATTAAATGAAATAAAAGTAATAATTCTTTATTGTTTGACTTATAATATCACTGTGGTCTATTATTTGTAAATCATTTTGAAACTGTTAATGAGCCAACCCCTAAATTTTATAATCAAATATTTGCTAAAATGTCTCGGCTCATACATGGAAGTATACCATAACCATTAAATAAGTGTTAACGTACATGTATAAGATGTATTTATTGGAATAATTATTTTTAAAATTTTTCTAAAATTAAAAATTAATATTATGTTTTATATTCAATTTTGTCTATTATTACGATTTATTATATCCAAATAAGATTAATGGATCATCAGTTCAAAAGTTTATGTATCATAAAGTTATTCTCTATCCACTTCTCATAAGTTATCAAAATTTATATTACCTTTCAGGCTTCTGACAAGTATATTATCGAGGCAGATCCTTTGGGAAGAAAGCTTCTTAAAATAGTGGACCTAAAAATTAATGATTCCGGCCAGTATCTGTGTAAAATAAATGCTGAAGAAAAAACAGAAACTAAATTAGTCGTCACAGGTATGTAATTGTGACATTTTGATGAAATTATTTAATTTGTTAATTGTAATTCATTTTATACTTCCTTGTACGAAGTGAAAAGGAAGTGTTTTTTATTTATTCTGGTATATAATTAATTTATGGCTTGGTTATTTAATAATGCTTAATCATATTTTCATTAAATAGTTAGGAGGCAGTATTAGTTTTGTCGAGTGATCTGCTTTTAAAACGAGAGCTTTTTGGAAAATCACTTATTTCCATTACATCTAATGAGCAATCTCGAAGCTTGATTGGCATTAATTTCTAAGTTTCTGCTAGTTTGCTACTAAAGTGTTTCTAAAAATAATCCACTGAATTCTTTCTATTTTATTCATCAAATGGATTTATGTTTATACCTGAGGAGTAAGAGGAATTTAAACCTGAAAAATACCGATAAACTTCATGCTTCGGTAATATTTTTATAGATTACAAGGGTTTCACGAAATGACGTTTAAGAATGAATGCAGATTGATATCTTTTAACACTTATTATATTCTAATTACTATTTCAGAATTTACATTTTCCCCTTGTGATAAAATTTTATAATTTCTGTTTTAATTCAAATTACGTTGCTCAAGAATAGTTAAAATAGCCTTTTAAGTCCCTTTTAAATAAGCTACATTTAAATTTTTCTGCGCCAAATATAATATATTTTTGAAATAATTATTTTCTTTCTATTACAATAATACACTTCATGTTTTTCAGCGCTGGTTCTCTTTACTTCGAATATTTTAACGCTACTCTTAAAATTTGAAGTTTAGTTTCGAACTCATATTGAAATTTTTGCCTCGTTCATTAACCTTGAAAGTGACTAAAAATTGTATATAAAATTTATAACATAAAGGCAATCAATGTTATATTTCCAATAGAACTATGCTAATTTCTATGATTCATAGCTATAAATTATTAATATTAGAAGCTTGTTCATTTGCCCATTATTTATTACAGAACAACAGTTTAAGTTTACAAAGCCTCTGAAGAGTATTAGAGTAACAGAAAACCAAGAGGTCAAGTTGGAATGTGAACTCGATGACTGGGAAGGCAAAGTCCAGTGGTTTAAAAACGAAAAGGAATTAAAACCTGATCCAGTGTATGTATTCCATTCAAATTTCCTTTCCTTTCAATGGTTATTAAAAAATAATGAATTACGATACCAAGTTTACAATAAATTAAAATAGCGGCCATATGAATTAATTGTCGTAGTGAATGTAATTATTGTTCGTATATACAATTTTTACACTAAATATTTATATGAATGATAAAAGGGAATAAAATATTGCCCTTCGATAACTGTCTACAACCCAATAAATTCATTATATATAGAAGAAATTACTACCAGCATTAAAGCGGATGTCTCATTCAGAACCAACCCAATAAATTCATTATATATAGAAGAAATTACTACCAGCATTTAAGCGGATGTCTCATTCAGAACCATGTTAAAGATATTATATTTATGACAGCAATCTGCTGCTTGGTTCTTAAAAGGTTTGGTGTAGACTTTTAGATGAACTGGAACAGATGTTGTTTTAAAACCTTCTCAGAGAATCGAAGATGAAAAAAAATTCTCACACACACACACACACACACACACAAAAAAAAAAAAAAAAAAAAAAAAAAAATAAATAAATAAATAAATAAATAAATAAAAAATAAAAATAAAAAGGGTCTGGATTGAAAGATAGAAACTCCCTTTTCATTTGTGAGTGTCTAGTTTCTGCTTTACGGCTTTCGCAATGAAAAAGAAAAAAACGCGCACCGTTGTGTTCATCGGGTTAGTAGGCTATCTCCTTTAATGATATTGCAAAGGTTTTGAGTTTTAGTAGATGTACTTTCTAACCGAAAGGTTAGAGACCTATAACATATAATTTAAAATTTCATTCTTTTGTGGGCAGAAAATATGTAGCTGCATTTTACGCTGACTGGAAATATCTCGCATCAAAGATACAGGTACTTTTAATGTTGGGAAGTTTTGAGTGCAGCGAATGTTTCAAGGTTACTTTACTACTAGGTTTACTCTTGCCGACCAGAAATTTTTGAGTGTGTGACGTCACTGACTATAATAATCTGCTCAAAGTAAGTACTCCGTACTGCCCTTTTTGTCTTCGTTTCTCTTACTTCTGTAAGTGAAGTGACATCATTGAACTTGAGCACTGAGCATAAGCTTGTGCTTCTACTGGCCATGAAATGTCTTACTAATTACTTCTATATTTCAAGGTCTTTAATACTGATACACCATAGAAACAGTACATCTGATAGCTACATAAACCTATCAAATAGAAACCTGTGCTATCATCATACATTACACTAAAATGCCAATATGCTGTGCTTAATATTTTGATCCTAAAAAATACATGTGTTTTTAACAGATACATAAAAATTGCCTATTTGAAATACAAATACTTTCTTAAGAATTACGCAACTGTAAAAATTACAGAAATATAACTAGAAATCAGTATTAGGACTTTAAGATATATTAAGTCTGAATTAATTCTGAATATATTTAAGATATATTAAGGTTTTAGTAAACAAACAGAATGCAACTTTTACATACTTTTACCATTTGCCTTTCACAGTGACAGGAATATATATCTTCAGTGAAAATAAGTAATATAAATATTCTGAATATTATTAGAATCTAAAACTATGAATATAATTAGACTTAGAGACACTATAAATGAGAGGAATTTTATTAGAATGTAAATCACTGGACATTACTAGTCCCAGAGGAAAATTATGAATTGAAGGAAGAATTATGAATAAATTAATATATAACGTAGGTATAAGTAAACAAGTTTACACTGTGAAATTCAGTCGACCCTCTTAAAAATAAGCATCGACTAACGATTTTGATCGTTTATAGAAGTAAATATGATATAGATTTTTATAGATATTATAGTTTATTTTTATCTTTTATAGAGGCTTTTGAGAAACGATATTCAACAGAAAGTTTTATTTATGTTTTCAGAATTTGGATAATCTTCAAAAGGGGTTATATTAGGAAAGTGAAAATTACAAGAGGGTTCATTATGCATTAAATCTAATTTGCTAAACTTTTTAACCGAAAGAAAAAATTGCAATGAAAAACAGTTATGAATAGATTAATTAAAAATATAGGTATAAAAGAAAACAAAGCGTATAATATTTTGCATTAAAGCAGTTATCTAAAGCAACAACTCATATGTCTGTAATAATCTGTACTTTGTCTTCAAAACTTACAATGTATTTTTAAGAATTGAATAGTGACTCGACATTCAGAATGCATAGTGAATTACAGTTTTCATTCTACATTTGTTTTTCAACAGCATTGAACAGGTTGCTGAAATCAGACGAAGAAAACTGGTATTCAAGGGAGTCCGTTTATCCGATGAAGGAAAATATACTTGCAAATCAAATGCTGACAGCACTGTCTGTGAAATGATTGTTGAGCGTGAGTATAATGTTTCTCATTTATACTTAAAATGATAATACCTTTTTTATATAATTCTTGGATCTGGTGTGAGGTTTATATCATGTTTCTCAAAATTTCGTTTCTAATATTAATTGATTTTAATTTTCTTTATTTCATAGATTGTTTTCTATAGACTATTTGTTAGAAAATTAACAAGTTTTAACAATGCTTGGTTACTTGCATTAAACCTTTATAAACAGATTTAATAATTCCTATGAATAATGAACTTTTATCCACGTTTTGCGTATCAGCAAATCATTAATTGCTATGTAACTTTCTAATTTTTTAATTTAATTCACTTTATACATTTAAGAAACATTTTTAAAAAATCTCCTGCCACCATCGTGTGGAATTGTATACAGTCTGCTCACATTGACCTTCCCTACTTGTTTACTAGAACTAGTGTATATTGCCTTCCAATAATAACGCATTTCTGATACCTCAGGATCAACTGGAGGACAAATATACATATACTCCCTTTCATAATGCTAAAATTTCTGAGAGGCGAGCCCTTGAAGCTTGCAAATAAGTCCACTTTAAGGTAATATATCATTATGCAAAGCCTAAGATCGTACGCTCTTGTGAGCTTCGTCGGTTCTTCTCAGTGTCATCTCTGCAGCCTATCCAGTATCCAGACAAAAATAAAACATTTGGGTAACTTTATTAAAATTTGATGCTCTAATAATTTCATAGTTTTCTAATTGCCATTACTCCCAATAAATATATTTTAATTTTCTTTTCAATGAAGTGTATTGTAAATGATTTGCTAAATTATGACCAACATTTAAGCATAATAATGACAATAATTTACAACATGAGGTAATGCTTTTAGTAATTAATACTCTTGATTTAGTAATCATAAAATGTTAATAACATTTGTTAAAGAACTGAATTATGACCACAGTAACCCAAAAAATGTATGCATAAGATTATACTTTTTAGTGTCGCGATAATTTGATTAGGAATGGTAATAAGGAAAAAACATTTTACGTATTGAATTAATGTATAGTGCCAGGAATCTATAGCTCGGAACGTCACGTGAAAAACTGTTTATTATGAGAATTTCATTAACTTCGTATTAACACTGGAATTGATTACAATTTCTGTAAAAATTCCTGCACAGTCCGATAAACATTTTACTTCATGGAATCTATTTTTCAGTCCTAATACTGATGCTGAAACATTCTCGATCATATCACACATTCGAAAATACAGATAAATAGAAATTATGTCACAAATCTGTTATCCTCCGTAAAATTAATAATATTGACCAGGATAAAAAGGAATATAAAGAGAAAATTTGCTCTGAGTGAGTCATTACTAATTATTATTCCAATTCTGACGAAAGAAATACCTGCCGATAATTTCTCATCTCCGGTGAAGCACATTGAAAAAAAAAAAGTAAGGAGGTGGATATAATTTCTCTTTCATGTATTCTACAAGAATTTAGCATAGACATTAAGGGCCACAACCACTGGAAGTTATCAAAGTCTCTTACTTAGCTGACGTTTTAAGAAAATTCACTTCTTTATTCTTTATTCGAAAAAATGCGACGAGCACGGCAGTCCAAGGATGAAGAAAGACTCAAAGCGCGGACTTCCCTACTTTGATTCTCCAATCGAAGTGGTAAAACTAATCAACAAACTAATCAACCGAAGTGGTAAAACTAATCAAAAGTTTCTGATCCTCGTAGTATGACGCTGATTACGATGAAATGCGGAGCTCAAATGTTAGGCTTGTCCTCACAATACCGTGATGTGATTTCATAACGGGAGCGTATTTATGTTTATGTGTGTGTATTTATGTTACAATATAATACATATATATTCTAATATTCTGTTTAGCTGCGAATAAAATTGTAAAGAAGCTAAAAGATTGCACTCTGCTTGAAAGAGCCAAAGGTGTCCTTGAAGTCGAAATGTTGGACAAGAAAGCACCAGTAGAATGGTTCAAAAATGGAGAACCAATTATACCAACAGACAGGTATATTTACAATTTTTATTTACACATTATGTAAAGGTTTTAAACTTTAATGGTCAACTACTTGTCTTATTATTAACATTTCATCAATTTCGCAATCTTCATCAAGCAAAACGAGTAATCGATCAAATTGCTTAGACTTTGTGATAATAATTGCTTATTACTATTCCTTGCATGCATACGGTAACTGTTATTAAAGCTGAATCTGAATTTGTAATAAAAATAGAAACTAAGAATTTTTTTTTACTTGTAATTAGCTATACATATTATATACTTTGACTATAATCAGTGAATATAGCTGGGGTAAAATGCATAACTTGCTGTTCTGATCATATTTTCGCTACATCTCATATGTGCTATACATATGCGGTACAAAGTCCGAAATCCAGCCGTTCAAAGTCCAGACAACTAGCCAAAATAATAAATAAATAAATGAAAAAAAAAATCCCCCACTCTCTGTAAGGCTGATACGGCGTTACAGATTTTTCAGTTATAAGATGCTGTAAGTCTGAGAAAGGAGTAATATAAGAAAAAAGAAGTCAGATGTTCCGTAAATGTGATTTTTCTCCGGACTAATTGAGATTCTTGTATGTCACTTTTAAACACCTGCTGACACACCATGGCCAATAACAATGCACTGATTGAAATTGTATTGATGTTAGCCAAGGAGTGGTCCTTAAGTGGTTGTAGAGAGGAAGGAAGGGGTCGCCCGTTGCAGTCTCTACGGGTCCTAAATTCTGCTGCCCTAAATTCTAAAAATTTTGCCACCCCTAAATTCTACTGCTCAGTGCCTATCCTAAATTAAAAAAGTTTAGCCATCCTTAAGTTTTGCTGCTTGGGCCGAAGACCAAGGCGTATTGGTTACGGAGTACTTTGTAAAAAAAATTACAATAATCTCCACACCATCGAATAAAACTTAAATAAATATGACAGAAGCATTAGCTAAGAAGCGAGAAGAAAGTTGTCCCCAGGGTACAACCTTAAGCGATCACTCACAGAGCAGCAATTAATCTCCCGTGGCGAGGCACGCGTCAGGAGTCGAAAGTCGAAAGTGGACTAACAATTGGCACGAGAGCAGCAAACCCGTCTTCCCGAAAGGGTAAGTTTCTCATAACCTGCGGTTTTCGCTTAATGGTTTGTTCGGTGGTCGTTGCTACCTGGTACTCTTTTAAATTCAAAAATTTTGCCGCCCCTAAATTCTGACACACAATTAACACGACAGCATTTCTACCTACTCTGGCCCTATGGGAAGGAGAATTAGCATTTTTCTATTTGGCTTGAACAATAAGCTAAGTGCCAGTGTTACCATGTCTACATGTCTTCTTATTACATTTAAATTAATGATTTAAAATTCGGAAATTTTGGATACCCGGAATCGCGGAAGTCCCAACGGTTCCGAATGTTGAACTTTGTTCTGTAATCTTTAATCAGTATATTAATTTTTACAAGAAATGTCTATTGTTTCTATTGCACGAATATGAAAACTATTTGAAGATGATTGCCATATGATCCAATATTGCGTAAAAATGCACATTTTAATACTCATAAATGTAATGAATAAAATCCATTAATGATTATAAATTAGCCCTTTATTTGTCATTATTGCTTAGAAGCTTGCGTTTCGTAAGACTTTTAAGTGAAATCTGCAGATCGAAAAATCTCTTATTTGACACTGTTGTTTTGGTTAGGTAAAATAGTTGTTATATTGTAGTTATATAAAACAGTAAGTTACGTAACTGTCGTCCTCTTTCCACGGGCTACCACTTAGTCGCACATACTATACGCAACCTTGGAAGAGTTTTGAACCCAAATAAGAATTTAAAGCCAAGTGCTAATATAGCCTTACAGATTTTTCAGTTATAAGATGCTTTAAATGTAATTTAATTATCTGTTTTGTGCCTAAAAGAAACTAATTTACGGCATTTCATAATAAAAAATAAAACTTGTGACCAAATGTTTTTACAGTAAGAGTAAAGCTTCTTAAAAGCAATGTTCTATGCTTTTAAACATAAATAAAAGTTAGTATTTATGAACAGGTATATATATTTATGAACTGTACATGCTTAATATTTTCCTATAACTTTTTAACCATTTGCCATTTACAAATTTGTATGCATTTTCTCATTTAATTATTTTGTATTATCTTTCCAAGAATAGATCATTTGTTAGCTCAGGTAAATTGAAATTCTCAAAAAATGCAAATGGACAAAATAACGGAAATTTCTTATTTTCATGTTTACAGAGTTGTAGCCTTTAATATTTTTTATCATTCTATACGTTTAGATGAGCAAATTGATATATATATATCTTAAATTACATAAATAAATCTACTATTTCTAAAGACAAAGGAAAAAATCTTTGATAAAAAAATATAATCTTAAAAATGTAATGAAAATAATAATAAAAACCCAAATGTTTTCACGAAGTAATTAAGTTGAACCGAAAAGGAAGGCAGCTTGCTATAAAGATTTTTTAAAAATAAGCCTTAAGCCAAAATATTTTACAAATGCAGAACATTTTATTTTGTTAACTTTATCTGTTTGTAAATAAGGGGCAATGTTAAACTAAAGAGTCAACAATTCATAGCTTACACTATGTAAAGCTGAATCTAACATTCCCAACAGGAAAAAGTACTATTATTATTTCATTGTTAATGGGTGCTAAAAATAAGTTATTAATTTTCAATGCTTTGCAAACAATATGTTTAGGTCATATTGTAATTAAATCCATTTATGCTGAAGATTGATATTTAAGCTGACGATTATTATTTTGATTGCGAGACTAACTTTTCTACAAATCAGCCATTTTTATTAATGAATAATTGTTAAGGTATTAATAAAATTTAAATAAGCATTTTTTGTAATTTTCCATTTTTCCTGTGATTTGATTAATTTAGGTTTTTCAACATATAATCATTAGAAACATGAACATTTCTCTGAGGTCATGGTAGCAGTTACCATCAAAGTGATAAAATTGTCTTTAACACTGAATTGGATATTCTATCGAATTTATCATATAAATATAAAATTAATATAAAGCAGTTATTTTTAAAACAATATCTGGGGAGATAACATTTTTAAAAAATTAATTGTTTTTTGTTACGTCTGGCACCTAAATAGAAAATGTCTTTTATAAACTATAAAACAGTATTATGTACATGTTTATTTTTAAGATTCATAAATTATTTTTCAGAGTTAAAAATCTATCAGGTAGATATTGCTTGAATCTTACCATGGCAGTCTAACCATCCTTCCATCATAGCTTCTTAAATGACCGCTGAAAAATAAATATACGTTTCTAAGAAATTCTCTGAAGTGAAACTTCAGACAATGCAGTATTCAAAAGATTATAGTTGTATGTATAACATAATGTAAAATCATTTAATATTAAAAGTTAGCTTACACAGCTTCTGTTTTTTTATAGGGTTCATATCAAAATGTATGATGATGGCAAACACCACCTTATTTTCACCACACTGCAAATGGACGATGCTGGAGAATACACGTGCCAAGCAAAAGATCTAAAAACATCGTGCAAGCTGACTGTTGAACAAGGTAATATTGTTTATTCATGAGGTTTCCCCCCTTTCATTCGTTTACTATTATCGAATTTGTAGATTGAAAAACTTCATAGTTTTTCAAATCGCAGAATCAAAGAAAATATTTATATATTTGTTGAAGGTAACTAATTCGAAAGAAAATTATCAAAAAACAACTAAAGATGGGGTACTTGCGTCCATATTAGTCAATAAATACACAATATGGAAAAGCAACTGAGGGCAAGCGGTGAAAAAAAGGATAGGTTTCTCACATCAAACTATCACTTAGTCAGAAATATATAGCAAATATATAGTTTTGAAGCTTAGTAAAACTGATTTTAGTTTCCTTTTCTGTATTTCAAACATTTTCAAATTATTAGTCAGATTAAATTACAGCCATCATTAAAACGTCTGGATGAGTTAGTGCAGTTTTCGTAGCTTTAATATTAATTTTGACGGAGAATTAAACGCTGAACTTCTGAATTAATAATGGAGTTTGATTACAGTTTTAAACCGGAAACAATGATCAGTTGATCAAAGATTTTATTTTAGAGCCATTTAAACCAACAAATTAATGAATTGGACTTATACACTTCATTAATTTGAAAAATTGTACCAAATTCTTTTTCGAAACCTAACTGTTACGAAATCAGTTTCATTTCGTATTTCAAACTTTCCTATTATGACTGCGTCCAAATCAGGTACACCTATGTTGGATAGAGCAAATAAGAAAATTTGTAACGTGTAGTTATAACGATCTTTAACCGCCCTTCTCCTCAGGCATTGCTAGCTGATTGATGGTTTAAATCGAGATTACAATAATAACTCGCAGACGTCTAGTACCTTGTGCCAATTGTCACAGATTCTCTCAAATAATATACTTAATGGAAAAAACTACTAAATCCATATATTTTTGCCATTTGAGTAGGATTTTATGTGAAAAATCGGACTAACTTTGTCCCGCAACATGGGAAGAAAGTCCAAACAAAAATTTATGTAACGGGAACTGCTTGATAGGCTGCATCTAAGAAACCATAAAAGGTTCTAATTACTTCAGCAGAAAGAGTTAAATATTATAAGGAAGCGAAAATGAATGGCTGTTTTCTACTGACCAAAGATCAGTGCGCCCGCGTTTTGGCTAAATCATTGTGATGAAACAACCGCCAACGACACACCAATGGAATTTCTCAGAAGCGAGAGGGACATCATACTGATAGATTTGCCTGTAGTATCTGATGTATTATACCAGCTAGCTCTACTGGACAAAAAGATAATTTCTTTAAACATTGGATTATTTATTAGCTGCACCCTTTTCATACTGATTATTTACTGGCAACTTTTTATCTAGAAATGCTGTACCTGGAATACTGCAAATATAAAAAATTATCCAAAATGTTTCCTTTCTCCTTCTGAGCTTAAATATCTTTCTGGCTGTCATATTTTAGAAATACCTGATTTAAATACGTACTAAATCTTATAACTGCGTTTAATCAAAACATCATCATCATTAAGGATACTATCGGTATCATAACCCTGTTCGATAGGGGTTGCTGAAAGCGGCGTGTGTTAATGAATCTTCATTTAAAGTAGGATATTTGGGATAGTTGATGATGCGTAATGGCACATTTCTAAAATAATCGCTCCGAAAATTCTTTTTTGTGATAAGGGGGTACTACTTTCGAATGCGGTTCTATTGATCTTTTTAGATCCAAACTAGACGTATTTATGGGTAAAGTCTTGTCACAGTCCAGATGCCATGTTATAAATCCTAGTGTTCACAAATCTATGGTCAAGAATATTTTCACTTATCTCTCATTACTGATTCATCATGTATTTGTCTAAATTTAGGAACGGCGAAACTAAGCAGCTAAGAGATCATCATCGTTATCGGAGTTTGGGTACAAAAGAAATGTATGAAAATAATTTTAAAATCTTTGAAAATTTACAAAATCTGCTTATTAATAAATATGTGCGTTCTGATATTAGTAAAAAACCTAACTTATAATTACAAATACGAAAATAAAATTAGCAAGGAGATAGTTCAAGTTTTAGAAAAGTTCATAATTTGTTTTCATGAATTCATGTTAATGATTATGTCAGATTGAGATGGTCTGAAATGCATTTTTCAAAAGATTTTTCTTCTGTTTTCGTTTTTTCCACACTGATAGATTTGAGTAAAAGATAAATATAATGTTCAAATGTTCTGCAATTTTCTAAGTAACCATTCATTTTGTACCGAAGAAAAATATTAACATTTGATTTTCTTTTCAGCTGAAAGAGCTCCTGTTATAAAGCTGGAAAAGTTCGATTTTGTGGGAGATGCAGGAAAGCCATATACCATCGAAGTTCCGTATGAAAGTAAGTAAACTAGAAAATGATTTGCAGTGTAAATTATTTTGACGTTTTTAAACTAATTTCTAGTCAATTTTTGTGCTTTTAAATACTCTGATGTGTGTCAGTTTTAATATTTCCCACTTCAAAACATTTAATTAGTTTAACTTTCAAGTTATAATAATTAATATTATAAATTGTTTGATTACAGAAAGAAGTCTGTAAACGTTTATAATGAGCTAAAAATAAACCCGTTTTTTATTACAAATAAAATGTAAATGTAATTCATGTTTAGAGATGATGGAAAGCGAAAGAATGCTTGTTCATTTATAAAAAAATAATAAAATTATAATGTTTGTTACTACCTTAGTAAAATAAAAGTACATTAAAAAAAAGAAGAAATGAAACGAATGAAAAAGCGCTCATATAGCTGTGATCTTTCAAAGATATTTATGCATAGAAGCTGATTCATCCGTACTGTTCTTATATGCTATGTTGAAATACATTCTTTCTATTATACTAAATTAAAGTCGTAACTAGCGGTATACTATCAAATTATAATACGAAATAGTGATATTAATAAAATATGTTAATTATCACATTCCTATATATAGTAAGTCAAGTAGACAAACAAGATAATGTAATTTTATTCAAATCAATTTTGTTATTAATTTGCAATTTTAGTAATTGTTTGGGTACTTTGAAAAATATCGTATTACATATGTTGCAAATAGCTGCAAGAAAGAAAAAAATCACCTGATTCCTAAATAGAAAATGTTCATGTAACTTTTGATGCATCAAGTTACTTTTATAGATGCTTTCAAAACTTCAGCGATTTTAAACATTTAAACGCAAAATGCAAAAAATTCTGCAATGTAAATTATGTTTCTTTCAGAGTTTTATTCTACAATTCCGTAGCCATTAAATTCATAATGCATTTAGTTCCAATTGTAAAATGTTAAAATGTATAAATTCATACAAAGGACGGGAATAGTGGATGTAATGAAACAAAATAATCTAAACAGCAAGGTAAAATAACAATAAAATACAAACCCGAACAGTAAAAAAGCAAAGGAAATCTGCAGATAAAGGTTTTATTGTTGGGTATCTGCAGAAACTTTGTGTGAGCATCTTGTGTGGTCTGCTTTTGTGGGTGTAACTGACATATTTACGAGAACTTAACACTCTTTTCGCTGTAATTCTTTGATTTCCTATCCTAGCTATGTTTTCTCCTGGAGAAAACCTCCAGCAGCACATAAAGACAATGATTTATTTCCTGTAAAAGTTAGCGAAAGAGACCATGGTGTTTTTTTTTAATAAACAAATATGTAATAATAATGGAACGAACTGTTAAGTCTACATTTACTTCCGGTTCTAAAAAAGATGCTGAAACTTTGGATGTGTCCCCTTCGCTTGATTTTCTTGCTGTTGGCCCTAGCGCATGGCAATGGTGACAGCTATACGAAGGGTGTCAGAATTTTATTAGCATGATCAAAAATACTAAGACGAGTGTTCCAACAGAACAAGAAAAAGCAAATTAAAATAGTGGGCGTGATAAATAAATTTTAAGAAGAAAACAGACTAGTGTCTATTGATATGCACAAAGTTCCATTTTCTTGAAATTAATGCTAAATTCATATTGAGTTACACATGATTTTACCCACTTAGAATTTCAGTCATCTAACTTTTATTTCTTATTAGAATGGATTTGCTATTAATAATGGCCTTATTATATTATTAGTGTATTGATTAATTAGATCCTATTATTAATGTCTCTAACTCATTCCTCTTCGACAGAAATTAAATAGTATAGATTTTTGCAACAGGTAAACTACCGCCTGTGAACCAAAATCAGAATCAATGAAACTAATAATATTATTATATTATACCACGCGAAAACATAATTAAATAATAATAGTAGTACATAATTAAACAAATAAATAAATGCAAAGAAATTATACGTATTTAATTTTATTACATTACCAGATTATCATGTTAAATTATATAACATTACCAAAAGAATGCTTTAATATAGTCCTGAGAAGGACCATTTAGATCCATGTATGTGAGAAACCGATTTGTCTGATAGTATACTTGGAATGGCTTACTTTTTCATGTCATATTCGGATATATTTTATGCTGCCCACTGGCATAAACTTTTCTTCTAATAACTTTCTTCATTTCACCACTATACTTACCACATCCTGGTAAATTATATATATTACTTAATAAACATTGAATAGATACTGTATGCAGATTTCTCAATTGCAGTTATACAGTTCTGCTCTAATTTTGATGGTACTGATTACAATTAGCAAATTGACAGATCTCACTTTCACTAATTTCTTTTGCAGGATTTGTGTGAGGTCTTAGCGATAATGCGTTCAGTAATCCCGACATAAAATGGCTGAAGAAGGAAATCTATTATCTCCAGAAGTTCCTAGCCCGTAAAGCTAAACTTTTCCCCGTATTTTGTTGGAACGGCATTTTACATCTAGACAACAAGTTACTCGTTTATAAAACCATACTACGCCCCATGCTCAGTTCTGCCGGCCCTTTATGGGCATACTCTTGCAAAATTAACCGGAAGGAACTTCAGACTGAGCTAAATTGCATCCTGAGAAAAATCGCCTGTTGCCCGTGTTTTTTTAAGAATAATGCAATCTATGAAGAATTGGGCATAGCAACAATTTCGTGCCTACTTCCATAAACTGGCACACAACTTCCATTTGAATCTTATCAACTCAAACAATAGTCTCTTTTCTATGTATAATTATGATGACAAATCTCGTTACTATGCGAAGCGACGAATGGCCATCTTAAGTAATAATTTGTAGATAATTCATTATGTTCCTATGTTTTTTTCCTGCACTAACAAATTATGTACCATTTCTTATTGCTTCTGAATTAATGTATTGTGAATGTTGTATAAAAATTATTCCACTTGCTTGTGTAACACCTATGTGCTTTGATCAGAACTTTTAGCTTATTCCCTAAGAACATTTACTCGTAACCTCATGTCATCAGCTGACCATCACCTGTTAAATTTATGCCCTCGACGATGTCCTTATATTTCAATTCTCAAGTAACGCTTTACCATTAACAATTAATCGGATTATACAATATTTCGTAATAATCAATGAGTTTTGGTGGAGGTTGAACCTCGTGTTCGAGCCCTATGATTTATACACATAAAGCCATCGTCTACTGTCTAGGTCACCTATTGCAAAAATACCAATTAATTTTCGTATTTAATAATAATTCAAATTACAAGTATGAAAATTACATTTTATGCTGCTTTACAAAACACTTAATTGTAATTCAAATTAATTATTCAAATACTTATTTATACAATGATTAACTATATAATTAGCTAAATAATTTAGTTACTTTACCCAACATTTACCTGCAATTTTAGTACTTAATTTTACGTTATTCTACCTAATATTTTAATGCGAATAATTTGCTTTTACAGTCATTGGTACGAGGACATCAAAAGCTGTTGCAAAATTACTACGCAATGGCCAAGCTGTAACGCCCAAAGAAGTCGACATAGTTGTAAAGGATGAAAAGGTACTTATAACATTCCGGAAAGCACTGCGAGGGCAAACTGGAAAATACCATTTCAGTTTGTCGAATTCCCAAGGAGAAGCTGAGTGTGAACTTGATGTCAATATTCAAGGTAAGCAGATAAATTCTTATTGTAATTGAAAAATAACCACTGCTGAAAATGATTAATAGAGAATCATCTTTTCTTTAAAATTTAAACTTCAGTATCATTGCAAAAAAAAAAAAAAAAAAAAAAAAAAAAAAATCCAAAAATGTATTAATCGGAAATATCGAAATACTAGTCTGTGTGAATTATAAATTTTCCTTAAATTCTTTGTACGCAACAGAAACTGGAAAATGTTTTTAATAACCAATTTAATAGAGTATTTCTCTAAATTTATGTCGCGTAAATTTTTCCCCGTGTAATATTTTTCCCTTTTTTCCGTGTTTTCATTTAAAACGGGGTGCACCTTAGGAGCGTTGACATGTCACAATTTGCAGATTTTTCTGAATTACGTTTTCTTCCTCAATTAAATATTAAGGATTACTAATTTCACCAAGAATAGTATTTATGTTATTAAACCGGAGTTCATTATTAAAAAATACTTGTTATATATTTTTATAATTTTTTTAGAGTTTGAAACTAATCATTTTCCCCGTTTTATATAATTTATTAATTAGGAGTATTATTTTAACGTAACTTTTGATCTTTCAGTTAGAATTATTTGTTATAAAAGTAACATTCGCTTGAGTGTTCATTCACTTGTACGGAATAATTTTATACAAGATCTAGGTTCACTTGTACATTATATTAACACATCATTTGAAAGATTTATTTCGAAACACTTACGAATGTCTTTATACACTACATAATCAGCATCGGCCCACTTCGTTATGGCGGTTACGGGCGCTATGTGGACAATGGCTACGCTCACGTGTCCTGCTGCTTGTTTGCTTCACCATCTACTAAGTATAGAAGGAAAGCGCTACGCTACGGAGCCCGCGTTGTTGGAAATGGTAAATCATCTTGTGGTGCGATCATAAGTCTACTTCGCGTCAGTTACACACCTTGACTGATGTCGCTAAATAGGTGAAGAGCCGTCGTGTATCGTATGCATTCTGATAGCAGTTCCGGATATTTGAACTGTTTCATTGTACGAGCGTACGAACTGTTCATCGGGATCGCTGCAAGCTTATAAACTGCCCTCAAATGTACACTAATTTCAAGAACAAACCATAATTATTTCATAAATACACTTTTAGTTTTAAATGCAGATAATTTCCTTTTTAATGAAAGTTTAATTCAATTCACTGTTTGTTTACGAAAAACTTATGAAAAAAACTCGAAAGTAAATTCTCCCTCTTCTCACAAAAAAGAATAGGTGAAAAGAAAAATAATGCTTAGTATTTTAAGCTATAAGTGCATAAAGTGTGATTTTAGTTATGTAAGATTTTCCAGATTTAGACCATTTTAAAAACGCGCTTTAAAATGTTGCGTCAAGGCACATTAGTCTTATGTCTGAAGAGTGGAAACAAAGAAATCATTTATTACACAACATTATTGGTCTGAAAATTACAAATTCAGTTTTGCTTCTGCCGAAATCATCCAAGAAACTTCCTCAGACGGTAAATTAGTTTTTCTAATATACCATCTGAGAGCACTCATTAATATAGAGAAATTTATCTTATAAATCTATCTGCATTAGTCAATGATTTGAATTCTAATCCGTATTCCCCACCATTTTATAATAAATTAGCTTTTAATCTGATTTTATTTTTCAACCGTAGATGGCACCATTGCCTTGGATTCTTGCCGTTCTTTTTCGTTTTATGACAGAGGATTGTACTGTTTAGCAGCTCATCAGTTCTTGAAAATGTTTTTGTCTGTATTTCTATTTGTGATACTTGTTTTCAATTTAGCTACAGTTGAGACAGGCAGCAGAGTACTACCATTTAAAGTGCATCTGCTAAAATAAATCTGAGTACCAAATAGCAGTTTATATATAGTCAGAACAAACACTTCAGTCATAACCCTTGTTTTATGAAAATATAATATAAAGAGAGAGAGTGAGAGAAAGTATATAATTTTCATTGTAAACTTTTTTATGCTTATTATCTAATGCTTATTATTATTTTATGCTTATTTTATCCAGATGTACCAACACCACCTGAAGGTCCACTAGAAGTATTTGACATTTACAGAGATCGATGCAAATTGAAATGGAAACCTTGCAAGGATACCGGTGGAATGCCTTTGAAACACTATGTAATTGAAAGGCAGGATCTGGGTGCCAGAGGAGGATGGGCCGAAGTAGCTACCACTGAAGACACTAAATTTGATGTGACTGATCTTACGCCGAAGAAGGAATATAAATTCAGAGTAAGAGCGGTTAATGAGAAAGGATCATCACAACCTCTTGTGGCACCAAAGAATACATTTGCCAAAGATCCTTATGGTAAGCAATAAAACGTGGTGTATATAAAACTCAAAACTTGTTTAAAAATTACTTGATTAATTTTTTCTATAAAGAGGAAATCTAATTGTTTTTGCATGTAGAAATATTTATAACTACTCATGCAATGTGCAGTATGCATTACCTTTTTATGAAAATGTGAACAAAATTAGTCAATATTCCTCAATATGATCACCTTTACGTAGCATAAATATAAACGTGTTATAAAAAAATTCAAATTAAATTTTAAAATATTAAATTTTATTTACTGCAAAATAAATATATTACTTAAAATGTTTTATGATGAATAGCGTATAACTTTAAAAATCTTAAGATAAATAGTATATAAATTAAATACGGTAGGCACCGCTTAATGCGATCACGTTTGTCTACGGCTATCTGATAACATTAAAAGAGGAGAAAAAGTACCTTTGAAAAAAGCAATGGAATTTAACTAATTTAATATAAACATAGCTAATAAAAATTAAAAAAATTTAATTTTAATTCATCAGCGGCAATTTCCGTAATTTCACTGACCCCTAATGTCTTAACATTCTCTAATAATCGTTATCGTTTTTACTTAAAATCAATTTTGAACTTATTTGGAGACTTTACAGTTTAAAAAATAATATTTTGACCATATTAACCGTACTGTTAATCACAATAAGCGATGTACATTCCTTTGTTTCGTATACAAGTGGTCAGAACTTCTGCAATTAGATAACAATACCCGCGATTACTTTAAGCGTCGTCTACTTAGGCCTTATGATCTTATAACAGATAGTATATAACGTAAACTTTAACATAAAGTTTTTATGACATATTAACTTGGAAAAACAGATTATATTGATTATAATTTACTGAAAACTAAACTAATACTCTGTTCTTGAATTAAATCTACCAACCTTTCTTTCTCATAGATGAGCCATCGAAACCTGGTAATGTAGAAATAGAAGACTGGGATGCTGGCAGAGTTGACATAAAATGGCAGAAACCTGAAAGTGATGGAGGAGCACCAATCACGGGATACATTATTGAATATAAAGATAAATTTTCCGGAGAATGGACAACAGGACCTGTGAGTACTTTTTTTACTATACTTAAAGCTACGGAAGAGAAATTTTTGCATAGTAGGAGTTATTCTATATAAATATTATCACACCGAGTGTCCCACTCGAAAGGGGCCCAAGATATTGTCACGTCATTTCGTAAATATTTTACCAATAAATCAAAATAGTTCACTAAATATTTAGCCAAATTTGGGAAGAGGGCAGTCAATGCCATAAGAAAGTTGACACTAGTAACACTGTACTTCACAATGTCTAACCTGTATACAAGCCAGTTTTCCTTAGAAAATTCTTCACGAAGGTATCCATCTCCTTAGGCTGCTATCACACGTCGGTTTGTTTCGGAAGAACAACTGTTTGGAAAAAATTTTCTGCTTTGTCACAACAACCAATCACCATAGATCGTTTTGGGAAAACTGGTTCCTCATTACAAACAAGCTGATAGCTGATTGGTTGAAAACGAACAACTTGCAATTTTTTTGGGAAAGGAAGGAAAGAGTCGCACGTCTTTCTTTTAATAGTAAGCCAGGCAGAAAAATTGTCCGAAACAGTTGTTCGTGTGAAACAAAACGCCGTATGATATGGGCCTTTGGCAAAAAGCCTTCGAGGATTTGTCATAATCACATAAATCAAACCACTGTACTTCACAAACAATGAGGAAGTGTGTCAACGAAAAGTCTCCGCGAGTCGCCTTTTTTTGGCTCTCATGGTACAATGACGCGGTAGCGGTCACCGGATTTGACATCACCTGACTTAAAGAAAGCCTACAAGGGAACAAATACCGTATCCTTTAAGGAATTATGACAGAACATCCGCTATGAAATCCGAGTAATGACACCCGAACTTACCACACGAGGTTCTGGCTTAAATATTCATTTCATAAATTTAGTCACTTTGCGAGTTATTGTATTATTCATTCATTACTTCCCTTTTCAGAAATCTGATATCTGACAGCCAGTTGAACTCTGTCAACAGAGTTCAATTTTAGAATATTTGTCTTAATTTTATGCTTTATGTTTAAGATTTCTTACTGATGTTAAGAACATCTATCGTTCACTTTGTCCATTCTGGTGGCCGTATGTAACGTCGCCAGTTTGTTTATTTGTGAGGACCAGCCCGCCCACGTGACCCTGTGGCTTAATTAGGCTATCCCAGTTATAGATACAAACATAACACAGATACTGAGGTATAATTCTCGCTATTGATGGTTAAATATCCATTTATTGGTGTAATATAATTTTTCTTTCTTGATAAAATCCATAATTTTTCTTGTTAGACTTTTTGACTTGTCAAAACCTGATGAAAGCCATTCCCTGTTAAAAATTCGATTTATGATCAAATATTTTATTATATTTTTTTAAAAGTGAGCAGGTCTTGACGAAGTGTTTATCATCTCCAATTTTATAGCAGCTGCCGAAGTTTTAAATATTAAAGCTTTTTAACTAAGCAAAAAAACAGCAGTTGTAATAATGTAACATGAAAATCTAGAGCGATGAAGCTTGCTGGAAAGTAAAAATACAGTTTGGGGAGATATCGCCGAGCTGGCAGTGGTTTTAAAAACTTTGTCGCCAAATTTGGCGAGAAGTCGCCAAACGGCGATATTTGGGACCGGTCTCTGTATTACTGCGATTGGTATTGTAATTGAATAACTGTAATTGATTTCACATGCAACTGTAACCGCATTATGCCTTTCAATAACTTCGAAAAGTACTAGACATTTCTCGGTGGCTGAGTGAAAACTACCTAAGGCCGGAGAAAGCATCTCTTTCAGTTGTGAGTTGTTGTAGTTGTTAGTTCAGCGTCAGTCGGAGTACTGATGTATCTCCGGGTTAGATTCGCTCTTTAGATGCCTTTTGCATTGAGTTGTGTTTAACATTCTTAGTAGTATGAAGTGTAATTACTGATTGTACTCTGTGATACTGTGAAGAGTTGTACGACTATTTTTGTGGAAATTTTCAGAACTCTGAAGTGTTTATTTTTCGATAAAATAAATTTTATCAACCTATCATCGGAGCTGTGTGCGTTCAATCTACCAACCCGTACGCGCACAACAATATTTTCATTTAAATTCCTTTTTAATGAGTTATTTGCAAGGAGGTTCCAATACTGCGGAGACACAAAAATGAATTTTTGTGCTTTTCAGATTTATTTAAAGTGTAGTTTTATCTTAATAAGTGCATTTCATGTGCTAAAAAAATTTTGCGGGGGAAGAGACAGTTAAATAAAAAACGTGTTTTCATACTAAAGAAAAAAAAGATCGTAATATCAGTTGTTTTTCTTTATAGGAAGTGGGACCAGATGAATTAAAATGCAGAGTGGATGGTCTTAAAGAAGGAGTACAATATCAGTTCAGAGTTAAGGCTGTTAATAAAGCAGGACCTGGAGAACCTAGTGATCCATCAAAACCGGTTATTGCTAAGCCTAGATATGGTAATGACGAAATAATTCTACTGAAAATTACTTGATTGAAATATTAAAGAATATAACGTATTTTCTAGTAAATTGCATACTTGTCTTCTAATGAAATCAGCAAGAATCTACTTCTAAACAAATAAGATCGATATTTTTTCCATCTAATTGCATACTTGTCTTGATGAAGTCAAAAGCAATTTGTTGTTTAAGAATATTTATTTTAATAATTTAATTATCTAGTGCAAAATATGTACAAATCAGCATTCTATCTTTACCAAAAAACGTGCTCTTGCTTTCAATTTATAATTATAATTGATGTCTGATTAAAGGAATCTGATGAATTGTTGCACTAAATCTCAAGGCTTAACAATCACTAAAATTAATTTAGTTGCTTAACCTATCAGAAATGCAGAGAAAAAGTTCTGATTGTTACATAATGTTTCATTTAAGCTGTTAACATATAGCGATATTCCTAGATGCGGTAAGATTTAAGAAATTGACAACGAATAAATTACTCTACAGATTAATACATTATTGCGCTGAAATAGAGATAAGCTCTTCGATTTTTTTTCCATATTTCAGAAACACTCAAAAGTATAACCTTTGTTGCTACGATACCATGTTCGTCATTAAAAGAATTTATTTGGGTTAAGCTGACTGATGCCACATTTGAATCAAATCAAAGGTTATAAAGAAAAAGTTAAATCAGAGGTCCTTCAGATTTAACCTCGTGTGTTTTTTTTTTTTTTTCTCAAGGGGTGTTTTCTTTGTGCTTCCACTGTAGCTCCATCATCTTTCAACCTCATAATTGTATTATCGCGATGTACTGGCGCTTGTATAGGACAGAGCGACTTATTGGAAAGATGTTTTCCATATTAGTGCTGAGCATTTGTAAAATGGTTTATAAAAATAATTTGGTGAGTTTATCGCTATTTCAGTGCAGTATAATTTGGTATCAATTTCATAACTGTTTGTTATGAATTTAAAAATATTTAACAGAATTTTGAATAAACATGAATGAGATAAAATGCTGACAAAATGGTAATTTATTATTTTATTTTTGAACTTGAATAATTATTTGAAATTAGTTTGAAACAAATGCTACATTTCTAAGCTATATGAGTATGGTATCGTGTCTGCTGTATCCTTAAGTAACTCAACTAACTTTTGTATCATTTGCTGTACAAAAATGTTAAACATAGCTCATGCTACTAAATCTAATTTTACATTTGGAGTATTTCGGCAAATATTTAAAATTATTATCAAGTTTTTCTTTATCAAGTATTATCAAGTTTTGTTTTGTTTTAGTCTACGACCTGAGGAAACTTTATATTCCTGAATACTCATAGGTCCAAATTTATACAATAACCGTAGAATCTGAGAAGCTATCGAAACATGGTGACTTTCTGTCCACATTCCTTGTTTTAGTTTATACAGCAAAAATTATTTTTCAGTACCCTAGTATTGCTTTGCCTTTACCTTTTAAAAGTTAAGCTCTCTCTATATATACAGCTTTAAAAAAAAGAAGAAAAGAGAGAGAGAGAGAGAGGAAAAGAAGTAGCAGTGTTGTTAGGCGTAGAGCATAGATCCATATTTAAGAAGAAGAATACTGATTGCGTAGAATACTGAAATGCCGATGAGCAATGAATTAAGAAATTTGGCAGTCGAAGGCAGGTTTGAATTCCATTTTTATTTAAATTTACATTTAGAGCCACAGTTCACTTGGCCCTCTAATCAGGCCTATTTTCAGAACATTTACATTTTTGAATGCAATTACGACAGGAACAGAACACAGAGAAATGACGTCTTAGCAGCAACAAAGTTACAAGCGAAGTGAGCGCCCGTCCAAAATGGCAGCTCACCAAAGAGGAAGGTTTTGGTTTACAAAGGTTTCAGTTTAGGTTCCGAAATAACTACGTCATGAGCGTTATGCAGGCTTTGTGGCATAGATTAATTAAAAATGGCGCAATCTAGAAATGTTATTATTATTTTTAGAATAAAGAGGAAATAACCAAATTAAAAATGAGGTATTAAGAGGCTATTATTAAATGTAATTATAAAGCTGAGTTATATATTTTTATCTTACTTATATATCTATATATAAGCAGTTCACATGCTATAAAAATATAAGCCTCCTTTAAGTGGATAATTGAATCGATGAATATGGTATTTTAAATTAACTAATTTTTTTTTAATCCTTTATCTTTATTTTTTACAGTGAAGCCTTATATAATCGGCGACGAAGTGAAAGGAATGGTTGTTAAGAAAGGTCAACTTATCAAATTCGAAATTCAGTTTGGTGGTGAACCTCCGCCGACGGTGAAATGGTCACGTGATTTGAAAGAGCTGGAGCCTTCCAAAAAGTAAGTAACTATTAAAGAAGTTATAGAAACATATCACAGTAATCTGCTGTGAAGGATATTTTTTCCGGGGTTAATACCTAGCAGCGACGCAAATTTATAATTTGTGGCTAATTTCAATTTCAAAATTGCTTCAGATTTACTAAAACTGAAGCAACCTTTACTAAATAAGCAAAAATTTATGTTTGTCCCTGCTAATGTTATACAAAAATTTCACAATGAACAAATATCGTAATTTTATTAAATTAAAATTACAGAGTTCCTCCTCTTATTCTGTTAAACTAAGTTTTGAGGAACCTAGTGAACTGCTAAGCGAATAATCGCTTAAGTCCAAGTGTGTTTGTGTGTGTGTGTTTGTGATTATGGCAAAGCCTCGAGGGCTATCTGCCTAAGAAGAGGGCTGCCTTCGTGGAGGACATTCTAAGGGTAACTGGCTCGTATACACGTTACACATGGGGAAATCCACGAAAACGCCCATGCAGACAGCCCGTTCGCGGGATTCAAACCTTGGACCGAACTACCAGTGTTCAGCTACTTTACCGCTCGGCCGCTGGTGGGCACTTAAGTCCAAGAACAGAAAACGTAAACTCAAGAAGGGTTAATTACCCTTTATTTCACTCAAAATAAGATTTAACTGTCGGCCCTTTCTCAGGGCATATAGCAAAGCCTCCATTTGGGCTTAAACTCAAAATGTAAGAAATAAGAACTAACTAATGACTAACTGAGCGCCGCCTGAGATAACCAATGACCTGACATTGTTGTAAAAGTCTTACAGTATTAATAATCATTTTGACAGAAGGGATTATTTCTTCCATATAAAAATATAAATATAAATATTACATGGGCATACAAGGCCTGTATATAAGCATCGATATGCTAATTACAAACATTGTCTTGTACAAGTTACATGTGATATTTACATAAAAATACACATTTAAACATTACCTGAATTCATATTTACAATACTTTTACTGAGATAATCAAAGTAAACTTGTAATTCATTTACACATTGACTGGATTTTCAATGTCATTTTTAACTGCTTTACAACATTCTTTTTAACAAGTACATACAAAATGGATAGCAATAAGCTTACATTATAATACTTTTAATAGAATAGTAACAGTCCTGTTACTATTCTGTTAAAACCTAGAAATTAAATTACATTCACCCCGTAGAATAGTAACAGTCATGTTACTATGTGACTCAATTTTCTGGTATTTTAGCTGAATTGCTTGGAAAACGTTGCAACTGTTTTTAAAGTTGTAGTACCTAATCAACGGAATATCTTTGTTATTGTTTAATTACTTGGATATTACTGCAAGAGTCAACTACACTAATCTGCTGCTCCGGTAACTACGAGTTGTCAGTTCAATGTACTTCACTTTTGTGAAGCCTCTCTCCACCGCTTTGATAACTAATGACTAACTAAAGAGATTTAGTCGAAGCTAACCCAATTCTAAACTAATTGACCCGTAATATTAAATTAACCAGAGAACTATCAAAAGGAAAGTAATACGGCCGAGCGTAATAATAGCTAAGAGAGACGTAACTGAAAGGCAAACGGGCTACTCAGGAATCCTCACTATCTAGCGAAGTCAGTTGAACTATTCTTTTTCTCATTTGCATTTAACGCGATACTAAAAACTTATTCTAGTTGTAAGCCGAAGCTATAGGAAAGACAGGAAAGGTGAACTAAATTAAAATAACTGTTATAAAATTAAAATATACCTTATAGAATCTTTATATGCGTATCAAAATAGACTCGAACACATTTCCTGTACGTCTACAAAAATTTCTATAAATTTTAAAATATTGATTAATTATTTACTTGTGAAAGCCGAATATCGCACTTTCGAATTGTCGAGGCATGAAAAATCGTGAAAATGAAATAATATAAAATTACTACACTGGTGTGAAAAAATTAAGGACGAAGTCGAAAAATTAGCATATCAGCTGAACGAAGAGGCAGAGCGGACAGAAAGACCAATCAGGAGATTAAGTAAGGTGATGTACGGTAGCACATGCGCAGATATGCAGGTAGACGTAATGGGGGAGTGTCTGAGTAGTATAAAGCATGTTGTCGGTGTAAGATCAGTATTTCTGGCAAAGAGATTGCACGTCGTATAGCAGTTAAAATCCCACCGAGTTGCTGCCTCAGCGAGAAATGGCGAATAATCAATCTGTTAGACGACATCTGGATGCTTTTACCCGAGGTCGAATCATTGGGAAGTTGGAGGAAGGCCGCAGTGTGACAAGTGTGGCTGCAGAGTTCGGAATTGCTCACAGCATCGTTTCACGACTATGGAGACAATTTCAAACTACAGGAACAGCTATCCGAGGGTTTAGTAGTGGTCGTCTACGAGGAACCACACCCGCAGATGACCGGTATATTGCCTTACAAGCCAGAAGAAACAGGCGGCAGACAGGGGGAGAAATCGCTTGACACATGACACAGGCGACTGGACGACCGATATCGCGTTTTACCGTGGCCAGAAGACTGCACGGTGGTGGTCTGTTTGCACGACGCCCTGTACGGTGTGTACCTCTAACGCCTGCCCATCGGAGAAGGCGTTCTCTGTGGTGCCGGGAACACCGGAAGTGGAGAGACAATGAATGGGGACGAGTACTCTTTACAGATGAGAGCAGATTCAGTCTGAGTAGCGATTCTCATCGCATACTCATCTGGAGAGAGCGGAAGCCGCAGTCATCCCTCGAACATCATAGAAAGGGACAGGTATGGAGGTGGCGGTGTTCTCATTTGGGGAGGCATATGCTTGGTAGTCGTACAGACCTTCACATCTTCGACGCAGGTTCAGTCAACGGGACCCGTTATTGTAACGAGATTCTTCTTCCATATGTGCGTCTTTTTAGAGGCGCTATGGGTCCGCAGTTCCTTTTCATGGACGACAATGCACCATGTCATCGCACAGTAGCTGCCGAACAGCTCTTAGGGAGTGAGGATATTGAACGTATGGATTGGCCGGCACGATCTCCGGATCTCAATCCCATCGAGCATGTATGGGATTTTCTAGGCAGACGCTTGGCAGCTGGTACCTTACCACCAGTAACGATTCCGGAGCTTCGATTGGCGCTGCAAGACGAATGGGCAGCAATGCCTCAACAACTCATTGACACCCTCATTCTCAGCATGGGCAGACGCTGTGAAACCTGCTTAGCAGTCAGGGGAGATCAAATCCCCTATTAAAGACCGAATGTTTCTTGCTGGACACCCATCACAGGGATGTTTCGGCCTTCAGTCGCATTGCGCTCCATGCTACTTTTTCAATAAAACTTCTTTTTATCCCTCTGATTTCTCTTTTAGTAAGTGTTGCTTACATTACTCATGTCCTTACGTATTGGGGATCTTACTGTATTAAATGTGTTGATTTGGAAAGCTTTTGTACAAAGTTATATTGAAAAAACCGTCTCGTCCTTAATTTTTGCACACCAGTGTAAATGCAAATACGAATTGATACGAGTATATAAGATAACGATCTGAAATATATCGACAATTTCAAATAATAGATTAAAAGTTAAGAAGACCAGAACTGCTTGCTTGAAATGAAGTTTACTAAATCTGCCTTTTCTCAAATGTAGTTTGTTTAAGTGGTGGAAAATAAAAGAGGCGGTACAGAAAGGTAGTTGTTTATGTATTTATTTTGCTTTCTTTTCTGAATTTTTACAAATGCTTGGCTCTAGCAGTTTTAATTTGATAGTCTTTTTTGAGAATGGCATCTAAATGCTAAACGATTGAGTATATTTACGTCAATGTACATTAAAATAGAAAAGATTATGTTCGTTAAATTATAGAATATCTTGTTTTGAAATAAATCTAATACTAATTATTATGTAACTTAGAGTTGCTACAAAATATTTTGGAAGTTATTCCGTAATGTACTGTTGAAAATGTACATAATGTAATTATACATTTTACCAAAAAAATATTATTAATTTTGTATACAGTGGCTCACGTTTGTTTTCGGACACTCGTATTTTTGAAGTTTATTTGCATAGATCTTGCACTAAATATTGAAATTTTTCCGAGTAGAGTATTTTTTTATCTCTTCTAAGCCTCGTTTATTAAAAAATAAATGTCATAAATATATTTTTTATAATGAAATCCGAATGAAGAATTGAAACCGAAAATCCTATTGCCTAAGCTCAAGCTTAAATGTGGACGCATAGTAGTTTGGGTATGTTTCGCTGCCTCTGGGATTGGAAACTTAATTTTTATAGAAAATAATATGGGTCAGTGTAAACACATAAATATTCTTAAAGAAAACCTGAAAAAGCATCTGGGGGGGAAGAAAAAAAACCCATAAAATGCAAAAGACATTCAAGTTCTATTAGGATAACGATCCTAAACATACAGCTCTAAATGTTCCCTTCTGGTTATTACACAACTATCCTGAAATTATTAAAACTATTCTATATGTTTCAGGTTTAAATCCTATCGAACATGTATGGAGTGAGTTGGAGAAAAGAATAAGGAAACATGACTTTTCCTCGAAGGCTGTATGCTATCGAAGGAATGAAACAAAACGGGAATATTCTTACTTGAAAACATTAATTAAATCCTTGCCAAAGCGCATGAAAAATGTAATATTTTGCTAAAGGATATGCAATGAAATATTCAGTGCCCCATGAGTTTCATGTTTTTATTAAATATAAACTGTTTTTATTAAATATATAAATAAATATAAACTTAAAAGTGTCCGAATACTTATGTGAGTTCATTTCCAGAATTGTTTTAAAAACATATTTTGTTCAAATCTTTTCAAAACAATCAGGTTTTAAAAAAGATGATCAATAACACAAGAAAAAACCATTTTCGCTAATATTTAATAACTGGAGTTTGCAAATAAAGTTGTAAATCACAAGTGTCCGAAAACAAATATGAGCGACCGTATTCTGATAATATAGTTTATTTATTATTCAAAAGTTTTCAAGCTAAGCATGTGTAGTTTAAAATGTTAGCAAATAAGATATTTTTAAAAATGTGTTTTAATTCTCCTGCAGGAAAATTCAGTAAATACTACATTAACCCATCTAATTGTAAGCCTATGTTAACTTTTTTTTCCAGAATTACAATAGAGAAAAGCACGAAGGATACAACACTCCTCGTCAAAAGTGCTGAACGCTCTGACAGCGGGAAATATACTTTGACACTCTCAAATAGCACTGGTTCTATATCATCATGGGGAGATGTCATTGTATTAGGTAAAGAAACTATTACTTCCTCTCAGAATATGCTGATTTTTTTATCACTATTCTCATTATTTTTTAATCTTTGAATTTCTATAATTTCCCATAAACTTAAAAATTTTATTAAGAAGCTGTTAAATTATGAATATAAATAAAAGTGATTTAGGATGTATACTTTTAGCTTTTTTATTTATTGGAATTCCTCTAATTTATTAAATAGTGAAATTTTGTTATTTTAGACAAACCAACTGCTCCTCGAGGACCACTAAAAGCTGAAGAGGTAAGAGCTGATCATGTCAAACTAAAATGGAATCCACCGGATGATAATGGTGGCCAAGAACTAAAAGGTTACGTTATTGAGAAAATGGACACAGATACAGGACGTTGGGTTCCTGCAGGGGAGGTTGGCCCACGTGAAAATACCTTTACTGTAGATGGATTAACGCCAAAGAAAAAGTACAAATTTAGAGTAAAGGCAATCAATAAAGATGGTGAATCACCTGCGTTAATTACCGAAGAGCCTATCGAAGCGAAAAATCCATACGGTGAGTAGTGATTAAAATACTGTACCATTTCTCATTAACAAGTGGGAAACGCTATTCGACTTTCTACACCAGGGGTTTTCATCCGGGGGGGGTGGAATCAGTTTCAGAAGGGGATGCTGTCAGACCTTTTATTTACCTATTAAGTATTCAGTTTTAGTTTTAAAATATAAAAAATTACTTTTATTCAAGTTTTTGGTATTTATTACCAATTTCTACCATTTTTCTTGTTTAATTTATAAAACACATTAAAACATAATCTAAAATTTCTAAGCTGGAATTGAAATCCTGCAGACCCTAACAGACTGATAGCATGTTATCGCTGCTTTTTAAACAGCTGAAGAACATTAAAATAACATTTTCATTTAATCTTAAATAGTTTGATTTGGTTTAATTTGATAAATTATGACAAAACACACTAGGGCTATCTGCCTGGGGAGGGATGCCTTTGTGGAGGACTTTCTAAGGAAAACTGGCTCGTATATACGTTACACATGGGAAAAAACACGAAAACCCTCAAAAAGCCAACCCGTTCGCGGGTTTCGAACCTCGGACCGAACTACAGGTGTTTTTATCAGCGGTTTTATCGCTCGGCCACTGGTGGCCCTCTTAACTTAAACAGAATAGGCGCAACTTATGCTACGGATGGTATTTCCACTACTTGTGGGTAACTAAAATTAACAAAACAGACAGTTGAGTTCAAATGTAGATACCTATATATCTACTTAATACTAGTAAAACATGTTACTTAAACTGGCTTAGAATTTTACCGGCGCGTATTTTAAAGCATCAAGCAAGATGCTAAATCCGGAGCATAACTTTGAGCAGAGATGGCGAGCAAGACGCGGCTGCCAGTTCTAATCTAAAGATTCAAAGCCTTCAGCTTAAATACACAAACATCTAATTTACATTTTGGTGAGAAATACGGAAAGATGAAGTTATATTAAAAGCTTAAATCATAATAATTGGTTAGTTAACATAAAGTACTTTACAATTTAAATAAATAATAATAATAAATACTTTAGTAGTTTTGGAAAGGAAGGAGGAATAATCATCTAGCAAAAGTGAAAGGGTAGCGCGTGTCAAAAAGGGTGAGAACCACTGTTCTACATTTTCAATGATAAATAAGGTAACAAGAATGTTGGCCTAAACTGATGAGGCTATTTGATGAAAACGTAGTTTTTGTGACTAAAAATGTTATGCAGTCAGGTAGAACAAAATATGAAGTATTGATTTCTAATACTTTTGTATTTAGATAAAATAAATTTTCTTGTTTAAACTTATTTTAGATTTTGGATATATAAAATTACATGAGCGAATTTATTATTTATATATTATTACAACATTTTAAAAAAACTTTGTCTTTGCAACCACGAACAAGAAAACTTAACGAAATAAACTGATATCTGCTCACTGACAAATATTAACTATCAAAATAGTTTAGATAACATACTTATTTACCTTTTAATTTAAATGATTTATGTACAATATTTCCAAACTGTAAGTCTACTCTTATTAATTTTAGCATTCTTAATTATTAAGCATTCCTTTAAAATTTGACAATAATACATAATACGCCTAATGTTGTTTTGTTTATTTTAATTATATTAATGCATAGTCTAATTTTATATTGATTGGTCTCTTATGCAGATGAACCTGGAAAACCACCCAAGCCGGAAATCGTGGATTATGACAACACCAAAGTAGAATTGAAGTGGGTGCCACCAGACAGTGATGGAGGCAGGCCTATACTGCACTACATCATTGAAATGAAAGATAAATTCAGCGTAGCCTGGTCACAAGTACTGAAGACAGAAGATGCTAAATGCAGAGGAGTTGTGGAAGGACTAAAAGAAAATTCTGTAGTCCAATTCCGCGTCAGAGCCGTCAATAAGGCAGGCATTGGTGAACCAAGTGATCCAACACAAAATCATACGGTCAAGCATAGACATTGTGAGCTCTATTATTTTGTTCTGTTATGAATACTGCTTATGAAATACATAGTTATTATTAAAAATATTGTAGTAATTCTTGAGTTGCTGATGAAAACCATGTATTTTTGCAGTGAAGCCGTATATTGACAGAACGAACTTGAAAGCACAGATGATTAAGGTGGGTCGATCCATCAAATTTGATGTCGATGTCAGAGGTGAACCTCCCCCGGAAATTGTGTGGTCTTTTGCAGATCACAAAGTGGTACAAGACGACCATATAAAAGTCGAAAGTAGGGATTACCATACTGATTTTAGTATCACAAAAGCCAAGCGGAAACATTCTGGAAAATACACCATCACTGCAACGAATGCTTCTGGAAAGGATACTGTGTCTGTTGATGTCACAATCCTTGGTTAGTTCATTTACGTTTTCATTAAATTTTCTGGTTTGTAATGGTAATAGAAATATGTGAAAATAATCAAATATCCAACTTAGAATAAATTATTGTATTTGGCGCAAAAGAATTTTAGAATTTTAGAATGAAGAATTTTGATACAATATTAATATTAATTGAAATATTAAATATTTAGTGAAAATCTCCTGAATGTGCAGGATATTTTAAAATTAAATTCTTTAACTGAAAGTTTCGTCTTAAAATTACATTTTCTCTCTATGTGGTGGTTTTAATAATTTTTTATATTTTCGTTCTGTATACTTCTTCTGTTATCTTTCTTTGTGTTAGGTGAGTAAATACACAACTTTTCTTCAGGATCTCAGACGTCATGGCAATTTAAAATCTTATATGAGTTTTAGTATTATTTTCCAGAATCGATACTTTTATAGCTATTTCGATAATCTTTGAAGTCACAATAGTAATCCGCATGATTTTTTTAATTAAAATCTTTATTTGAGACGCAGAGTTTGAAGTTTTACAAATACATTACTTCCAAGCAGGTGTTTATTGCCTATAAGTATGAAACATTTTCATTACTATAAAAACTTAGTCTGAAACATTTCTATGTCTCTTTCATAGATTGATGATTTTTCCCCCTTAACGCTTTAAATTTCCTATCACAAGAATTATGTATATGTATAAAACACTTTTATTTTATTAATAATGTAGCTTCAATTCTATTTTTTCAATGATTAGGTTTATGGCTTTTAGAGTGCAGATTAATTAAAACTATAAATATTCATTTGCTAAATTTATTTATAATTCACATTATATTTTCAGAAAGAAATTATTCGTGTAACTGAATATAATATTTAATTCTTAGAATATTGTCTTGTGTAGCATTTCATTTCATTGAATGTTTAAATATACAGCGTTTGATCAGAAAGGTTTAGTTGAAAATTATGACTATTTGGAATCTAGCAATGTACTTGCTCAGATTTCATTTTTTTAAAAAACTTTTTCTGTCTATCTGTGATTATACGCTGCATTTAATAATTGATACTTAATATCACTGACTTTGAAATACAAGATATTTAAAAAATAGAATTAAGAAAAGGTTTTTATGTAATATATTTTATTTAAAATGTGCATATTATAACTAATACATTAAAAGGAAAAAATAATTTATCATATAATTTAATATGAATAATAGATTACATATTTCTATTTACAGAATTTATCTACAATTTTATATATCAAATAATAAGAGCGTTGGGCGTTCATGATAAATTAAAAGATTTAATGGCTTATAGTACAATTAAATTAATCGAAAATTTAAAAAGTTAGCAGCTTTACATTTGACACAGCAATTAAATTAAAAGGTGGTGTGGTATGGTGTATTTAATTATGGCAAAGCACACTAGGGCTATCTGCCTAAGAGGAGGGATGCCTTTTGTGGAGGACTTTCTAAGGGAAACTGGCTCGTAAACACGTTACACATGAGGAAAACCACGAAAACACCCATGCAGCCAGCCCGTTCGCGGGATTCGAACCTCAGACCGAACTACCAGTGTTCAGCGGCTTTACCGCTCGGCCGCTGGTGGGCCAATTAAATTAAAAGATTTCGTTATTTAGGCGCCCCACGCTTTTAATATTCTCGATATAAAATTGCAGATGAATTCTGTAAACAGAATTATTTAATGTATTATTCCCATTAAATTAAATAGGATAAATTATATTTCTTCTTTTAGTACATTAACTATCATATCCATTTTATATAAAAGCTTATTGCATAAAAACGCTTTTTAATTCCGTTTAATTAATAAACGTTTTATTTTCTGTTTTTTAGCCTCAGTTATACGTTACCAGTGATGAAATTTTAGTCATTATTAAAACACAAGCAATAATTTGTAAGGGATTTATGAAATAAAGAGATATAACTGAACGTCATTCACAGAACGAAGACATTGATTTGAATATTCATATTTCGGAAACTGGATGTATGACAGTAAGCGTCAACGAGCATTTTACATAAAGCAAAAATGTTAAAAATTCATCATTAACTGCGTCAAGATGCAAACTATGGCAAATTGTGCTCATCAATCATCAAGTGCTCTACTATGGCAAATTCGAAAGTAATTTTTCCGCTTGAAATGCTTTTTTCTCACGCAAACTGCAACATATTTAAAAAATATATATAGAAAATCGCTTAATTAATATTTTTTTAAATTCTTATTTAAAAAGAGGGCGAAAAGTTTGTTTTGTAATCTGTAAAAATTCTACAATTTTCTATATACAGTTTTAGATGTTAAAATTTTAATATCATAAATGTCAAATAGTCTAAAAAATCGAGAATTTTCAAAAATTCGCTCAAAATTAAGCAAATAAGTTAAAAGTTCTATGCAAGTTTCATTGAAAAAACATTTTTTTGCCCTATTCGATGATGCAAACAGTAAAATTCTGATATGTTTAATTTGTTCGTTAAACAAAGATATGTGCGATAATCGTTTAAACATTAAATAATAAAAATCTTATTCGAAGTTTGATAATATCGTTTTACCATATTGCATTGTTATCGATAAACAGTGTGTGTGTATAAAATGGGAACTCTATTGATTATCGCAAAGTAGGTTAAAAATCAATGGCAAAATTCCACTCACAATGAAAAGCATGAGTGAAGTAAATAAAAATTTATAAAAAGGAGAAAATTTACTGCCTGACTTCAGTTTTGCATCATTGTTACATATTACGCTCTTTCTTACAGGAAAACCATCGAAGCCAGAAGGGCCTCTCGAAGTTTCAGATGTCCACAAAGAAGGCTGCAAACTTCAATGGAAAAAGCCTGCAGATGATGGTGGTGCTCCTATCCAACAGTATGAAGTTGAAAAGTTTGATAAAGAAAGTGGTAGATGGACTCGGGTTGGAAAAGTGTCCGGTGATAAGCCAGAAATGGAAGTGACTGGTTTGACTCCTGGTAAAGAATATTTATTCCGAGTGGCTGCTATAAACGAAGAAGGAGAATCCGAACCGCTAGAGGCACTAAAACCTATAATTGCCAAGAATCCATACGGTAAGGATCACGGCGATCTCAAATATAGTTAGTTTAATATTTTAATATTTCTAAAATAATTTCCATTTATATTCCTTCTTTTTTATGTTGATTTACCTCAGTGATTTATTGTATATATGGTTTTCTTCAAGCACTGTGAATTAAAATTATTTTTCAGGCAGAAATTCATTTTTAAAATATTTCAAACTTAAAACTCCGCATGTTAGCAATTGTTTTCACTTGGCCTTGATTAAATTTTGTATTCGTTAATTGAACTCGTAAAGTTTCAACTTGATGGAAAGACACCGTCAATTATTTGACCTCTTTCATTAGCCTTTATCATTTCCAATGTTTTAGTTATTTTGTAGTCGTTAATGCATGCCTCTTGATGATTGTTATTCATCAACTAAAGAAAATGTTGAACAAAAAAAAAAAAAAAAAAAAAAAAAAAAAAAAAAAAAAAACTAATAATGTTCTTTCTTTTTTTCTAAATCAATATTATAAACTTTTAATATTATTTGATTTATAATGCTCTAACTGAGCTGTAACGGAAACTGACGCTGTAACTAAAAATAAAAGCATCATCACTTTTAATATGTACCGCTAATAGTAAATATGATTAATAATATTCAATAAATACTGAACTGTTTCTGAAACAATATGCTAATTTTACAACAATTTTGCCTCATATATAGGGATAACTTTACCTTTTCATTCCGATGATTACTTAAAATGATGCTTACTGATTATCTTAAACTAGGTCTAGACCTCACTTATAAATAAAACTCGGAAACCATTAGTATAGTACCCTAAAGTAAATCAAACGCGTTCGATATATAGTATATATATAAAAAATAAGCATTCATTTCTATTTGATCATTTTATTTTATCTGAACACAGTGAAAAATAATCGAAATTTTTCTAGAGCATATAGTTGACGAGTCTTGCCGCTGCTGTTATTCATTTTTATGACCTTTTTTTCAGATGAACCTGGAAAACCAGGAGTTCCGGAATTCGTTGACTGGGATAACGCGAGTGTAGATCTGAAGTGGGTTCCTCCAGCGAGTGATGGTGGATCTCCAATCACTAAATACATTGTGGAGAAGAAAGAAAAGTTCTGTTTGAATTGGGAGAAAGCCGCCGAGGTGCTTGGCGATAAACCAGAAGTCAAAGTTTTGGACCTCAAGGAGAAAGCAGAGTATCAGTTTAGAGTTATTGCAGTTAATGCAGCTGGTCCTAGCGAACCAAGTGATACCACTAAACATCACTTGGTGAAACATCGAAAATGTAAGTTTCTTTTTCACTTAATTCGTATAACTATCTGATAGAGAATGGGATTTTTGAAATAACGAATATAGTCTTTGCTTACCTCATTACTACGAAATATTTTCTGTATTTTAGTGAAACCGTACATCGATCGAACGAACTTAGAAACGACTACGCTTCGCAAGGGCAAATCCTTGAAATTAGATGTCAATATTAGAGGCGAGCCTCCACCTAAAGTTACATGGGCATTGAAAGGAAAGGTTCGTAAATATGTTTTATCTTTTTTGTTTGAATTCAATATGCCTTCGTTTCTTAAGAAATGAAAATAACCTTTATTTCGTATTGCGTAATACTTCTGAAGGAATACGTCATTGTTTGGTTACGTTCACGTTTACAATTATGGAATTTTAACGCTTCATATTGTTTTATGATACCATTTCAAATGATACATTGTTTTCTTTGCATATGTCAAGTACTATCTCTTATCCTAAATGTTCTCGAAAGCAGCTATTATTGGTTTTAGAAGTTTTTTTCATTTGAAAACACTTTTTATTTATCAAATTCAACAGCGTTTTGTTTGTAGTAAGTTACTGACAACAAGTATCAGTTAGATTTTATATCTGGCAGAATTTTTTCCTAAGTAAAATATAATAAATTTGTTTGCAAATTAGCTTATTGGTTCTTCTTCTACACTTCTATTACTTAAATATAATTGGAAATGTTATTCTTATTTTGGCGTCTTTTGAAAAGTGCCAAATGTTTAATTTCATTAAATTTTCGCTTATAATTTATTTAAAAAGTTAACATATACCATTCAGCAAACTAGTTCAGAAAGGAAGTGATTTCTCATTTTAAATGTCATAATTATAGTTATCTAAAATTATTATTAATTTGGCTTAGATAATACGTTTAATATTAATACGTTATGTCAAATCCTCTACCTGAATTATTTTGCTCCCAAACGTACATTTAATGTTGTTATCACAGAAAGTTTTATATACGTTTTTGATGTTTATAATAGATGTACACATATTAAAAATTCCAATTATGTATGCTTGTATATCTCTCAACAACAAATAGAAAAGCAGTTTTTATTGAGATGGTTCGATCTTTAGGAGTTTTCATATTTAGAATAACTATTCATTAAAGTAAATTCATTTTTATTTACAGATTTTATTCCAGCATCGCATTTGTACTCTTTGAATTAATGTTCTTAAAGCTAATTCTATTTTATCAATTATTTTCTCCATTTCAGATTGTCGAAAGCTCAGAGAGCAGGGAGATCGTAAATGTAGATTATAACACAAAATTAATCATTCATAACGCACAAAGGAAGCATTCTGGGGTTTATAAGATAACTGCAGAAAATGAGCATGGAAAAGATGAAGCTGAAGTTGAAATTAATATCTTAGGTATGTTCAGACGTAAAAGAAAATTAAACGCATCATATGAATTAGAATGCATTATTGTTAGTCACGCTAGATGTTAGAGAAATATATGATTTTTCTTGCTTTGTTTCAAATTATTGAGCACTCTGTCTTTTATTATACATATGTGCTTTGACATCATTTTTTTCTTGATTTCTTGCTATTTAGGTGCTCCTTCCAAACCGAAAGGTCCTTTACAAGTGTCTGATGTACATGCTAAGGGCTGTAAATTGAAATGGGAGGCACCTGAAGACGACGGTGGAAAGCCAATCAATCATTACCAGGTGGAGAAAATGGACACTGCAACAGGTACTTGGGTACCTGTAGGTCGTGCAGATGCTGACAAACCTGAATTTGATGTTCCAGGATTAATACCTGGCAAGGAATACCAATTCCGCGTCAAAGCTGTGAATACTGAGGGTGAATCAGAACCTCTGGTCACAGACAAACCAACCGTTGCTAAAAATCCTTATGGTACATCTTATATCTAGAATAACTTTAAGTTTCAATGCACTATTAAACGTGAGCATTTTACCTTAAACAGTTTTATCTTTTCTCGTTTTTCAGAGCCTGCTAGTGCGCCTGGAACACCTGAACTTGTAGACTGGGATGAAAATATGGTAGAACTGAAATGGCAACCGCCCAAGACCGATGGCGGTGCACCAATCACAGGATATATCATAGAAAAGAAAGAACGCTTTGGTACTGTATGGGACACCTGTGCCGAAGTTCCTGGTGGAAAACCAGAAGGAAAGGTTACTGGCCTCGTTAAAGGGCATCAGTACGAGTTCAGGGTTAAAGCAATTAACAAAGCTGGTGAAAGTGAGCCTAGTGAACCAACGAAGCCTCATATTGCAAAGGCTAGGAACTGTAAGTATAATTTGAACTTATTTTTTAACCTATAAAAGGAATACAGATATTTTTCTAGAAGTGCTTTTGTCGGACCAATAACTAATTATGTTTTAAAATCAGCTCCCGAATTTTTGTAAAATAGGATTGTCACTTTATTGTCTGTTATAACATAAGTAGTATTATTTTATAAAATTTCAGAATATGTATTTCAATTGAAATTAAATGAAATTTTGTTGAATTACTTGTGCGATTTGTGAAACAACAAATCACAGGAGATGCAGGGTTAAAACTAGATACACCTGATTGTTGGGAAGTCCCTTTCCGCAAAAGTTTCTGAAACAAATTAGTGTTTATATTTTATATTAGAAAAGTTATAAAATCTCCAAAATATTATTTTTTTATATGGCAGTAAAATATAATAAATATAAATATGGTATATACAGAGAGAGATCGATCGATACAATAAGCTATAATAAATATATATTATATGGCAATAAAATACACTGCTCGATATTGAAAACGCAGCACCAAGAAGGAGTGGTCAGAAATTTATGCAAATTTTAGAGTAGACGCACATCACTGAGTTATGTGAATGATGTGAAATGCACAGCTCTCCGACGCACGTGGGAACGTGCAGAATGGGCAATATTCGTGTCGTTATTTTTGTCAGACGAATTATCGAAGAAAGTTGGTTTTTGTCCCGAAGGATACGTGTAATAGTGAGAGAGTGAGTGACGGAGGACGTGGGCACCACCCCTCTACGATATTTGTTGATTGGTGTGAGAGAATACCAGGCCGCCGTCGACGAAGGCACTTCCAGCAGATAGACGATTTTACGAGGGGTATGGTGATCAGACTGAGAAGGGCGGGTTGGTCCTTACGTCAAATCGCAGCTGATACTCACATGGATACGAGCACAGTGCATCGGCTATGGCCAACATGGTTGGAACAAGGAAATGTGTAAAGAAGGAGGGGTGCAGGTGCAGCCAGAGTGACGTCAGCACGCGTGGATCGACGCATCCGCCGAGAAGCTGTGGCAGTCCCGCAAGTCGCTTGTACCGCGATTCTGCAACATGTGCAAGATACCCTGGATGTTTCCGTGTCGACCAGAACCATTTCCCGTCGATTGGTTGAACTTGGCCTGCACTCACGGCGTCGTCCGACTGCCATTGACCCCACAGCATAGACGCCAACGTTTAGAATGGTGCCAGACTGGAGCGATGTGGATGACAGAAGGGCGAAACGTCGTGTTCTCAGATGAGTCACGCTCCTGTTTATCCAGTGACAGTCGCTGCATACGTGTGTGGCGTCGACGTGGAGACAGATCTAATCCGGCAGTAAGTGGTGAACGCCCCACGCGCGACAACGTGGCATAATTGTTTGGGGCGCTATTGTCTACGATTCCAGGTCACCTCTAGTTCGTATTCAGGGCACTATGACGGCCCAACGCTACTTGGATAATGTACTGCGGCCGGTGCAATCCCCTACCTTCAGGGGCTGCCTAATGCAATTTTTCAGCAGGATAACGCCCGACCACACAGTGCTCGCATCTGCCAACATGCTCTGCAAGGTATACAGATGCTTCCCTGGCCACCGTACTCTCCTGACCTGTCACAAACCAAATATGTGTGGGATGTGATTGGACGCCGTTTGCAGACTCTGCCCCTGCCTCGTTCAGAAGACGAACTGTGGCAAATGGTTGAAAGGGAATGCACAGCCATCCCTCAGGACACCATTCGCACTCATATTGACTCTATGCCTAGACGTGTTTCTTCGTGCATCGCTGTCCGCGGTGGTCCTACATCCTACCGGCATATGAGGCTGTTCGGTAACGTTCCTCATATGCCGTTGTGTGTCGTCCGCTCTGGCGGCAATTCCAAGTTTAATATCCTACTGAGCCGACGGCGTTCTCGCTCTGTATTCTGACTATCATTTTGAAATAAAGATCACTTATTGCTGCTTGCTGTCTCTGTCGTTTTTTCCAAATTTCATCACTTTCTGACCACTCCTTCTTGGTGTTGCATTTTCATTGTCGAGCGGTGCATATATGTATAAATATATAAAGTATAATAAGTATACATATATAATATGTCAATAAAATATGTACGTATGCATAGAGCTGAGACAAGGGTAGGCAAGTGAGGCACTTGCCTCAGGTGAATCACTAGAAGGGGCGCTAAATTGGCTATAGGAATTCGAAAATTACCTTAATTATGTTTTTAAATTTGTCAGTTATTGTTAGCAAGCTTCGGCAAACTTAAATTAATAAAACAAGAGGGAGAATTGCAAGAAAACATGGAAATTATGTTATTTCTTTTTTATCAAAAAAGAATTTTTAACATTTTCATTCGAAAGGTATAAATAATTGGCTATATTATTTTTCTGAATTTATAAACTACGATTAAAGAATACTTTAAGAACTATGGTATAATTATGATATAAGAATTATGGTATTTTGATTTAATGCATTTTCTTTTTTTTAATACAAATATAGCTATTTTGATATATATATATATAGGGGTGCGCATTGACCTTTTTCTCTCAGGTGAAAAAATATCTGGGCACGGCTCTGTGTTCAGATATATAAAGTATAATAAAGCTATCATTTTTCTACGATTTTTATTCTCCTCTAAAATTAGTTAGAGATGGAAAAAAGATATGCTAATAGATATTAATTACATTTTAAACCATAAAGAAACATATTTAAAGCATTAATTACAAGAATACTTGAAAGGGTGTCAGTCTTTTTGCAAGAGGTTTGAACATAAGAATTAAAAAATTTCTTAATACGCTATTTTAAAATTACTACACTATTAAATAATTTTCACTTAAAAGGAGGGAGAATATTCATAATCCAGTGAAAAAAATATGGGAGCAGCATGAATATCGTGTCATGACTCTATTTTTATCGACAGTACCTAGTACTAATAATTTGGTATAAATATATCATCCAGCAGGCAGCAAGTATATATTATATAAATTTTATGGTGATAAATAACATATCTGTCTTATGTATTTAAAAATATATATCTTTCGAATTATGCAAGAATTAAACTTAATGTAATAAATTTAGAACGTAATCTCTAAATTTCACTTTTAATGTTTATTTTCAGTGGCTCCGAAAATCAATCGTGCCAATCTGCAGGACATCACAATCAGATCAGGCCATTCAACCAAACTTGATGTTGAAGTTGAAGGTGAACCGGCTCCGACCATCACCTGGATTTTCGGAGAAAAGCCAGTTGAACTTGATGATGTTATTCAATACAATAACGAGGATTATGCAACACATATCAAATTCACCAACCTGACACGAAAGTACAGTGGAAAATATATCATCAGAGCTGTAAATAAAAATGGAAGAGATGAGGCAACTGTGAACATCAATGTACTGTGTACGTTAATTCGCTTATTCTAATTTAGCAGTAGCTTCTTCTAGTCAATCATGTATTATAATAAGTTCCTAAAATTAAGACTAATTAACGCTTTAAAATAACTATGTATATAACTAACACTCTGAAGGTTAGTTTGTGTAAAGCAGTGGGGAGAAGACTAAAGCCGGCCCAAGGCCCATCTACCTGCTTGATCCAGCCGGTTATGAAATCCTCTGCATTGGCATTTTCATACCTTTCCTGTCCGATTTTGTTATGCAGACTGCCGAAATCAACAGCACAAGGGCGAATCCTTTGTTGCAGTGTATATGCGCATATATACTCTACATACATTACAGCATTAGATGCGCATATACACGCATAATCACTGTAAAAATAATGCACCCATGACTATACTAGAGACCAACCTAAGTTGAGAATGCTAGATATGCTAGATAGTATATGCATCCTTCGAAGAATATAGTCCTATGATTTATAGGATTATAGCATCTTTAATTTAGAAATTAAACAATGGCATATGAATATTGTCGAGGTAAAAAGACTAATCAGAATACGAAGCTTAGGGGAAGAAAATTTCACCCGTAAATTTTTATTTGAAAACGAAACAGTATACATGTCAAACATTCAATGAACAATAGGAAAAAAAAACCTGTTTTTAATGAATTTATGATTTTTTTTACATTGTAATTTTTTTAAATTGTAATTTTTGAAAACTTTCTAATGGGGTACCGCAATTACGAGGAATCCCTGAGTTGCGCCCCGCAAATAATAGCGGCAGTGCAAATGATCGGAACGTTCTTGGCCTCATGATGCATTAAAAAAGATTTTTTTGGCCCTGTGGTTAAAAACATTTGCCTACCCTTGATGTAAAAGATATCTGTGTTAATTTACTGCAGGTTGAAGTTTTATATTTTTAGAAAATCAGAAACTTTAGTTCATCTTACAAATAGAAGTCCTAAAATATATAAATATTGACTCAAAAATAATTAATATATGTATTATTTTAGTATAGTTAATTTCATAAAATGTGGCAAATAATTTCGTATGAAATCATCTCATTGCAGAACTACATAAATATATTTTGCGGTCTAAGATTATTATCACGTTATTCAATCCACGTTAGATTATTATTTAATTACTAATCTTATTTAATTTCTAAACTATTTAATTACTGATCTTTAGATTATATTTAATTACTATGCGTGTACAAAATTGACCATGTTTATCGAAGTCCTAGTAAAGATCAAAAAATGATTTCTATATTATATAACTTTTAATAAAGTTCATTTATTATTTAAATGCATATTCACTTTTATGGATCCTCGATGCTCCTTGTTTTGAAGAAGAATCTACGAAATTAAAAAAGAGAAAAAAACGAAAAATCTGAAAGGGTTCAGTTTCTAACGATCGCTCAAAAGGGTTTGTTAAGATTTTTTACGCTCTCGGTTTGCTCGCACTCTGCCAGTCTGCTGCTGCACTCACTCTTGCTAACTCATTTCTTTTTTCTCTTTTTAGCTTTATTACTAAGCATCTTTTTTTTCGGGTTTACACCATGTACAGTTCAGTAGCAAAATTGCAAAACTTTTTAAAGCAATATATGTTTAGAATTTCTGATGCAGTGCTAAGTATTAGCATACGTGTTTCTATTTTTGTTCAGTCTTCTCTCAGTTTATCATATTAATGCTGTGTTTTCTTACTGAAGATTTCTTAGGCTTTCAAAACTGTTTTTGTGTTTTTATTACTAACATTTCATGTGTTAAGTTTGTTAATTAAGTACCATGTTCTTCACATTTACGCCACATAAAATTCAATTCAACAACAAAGTCACAAAATATTTAAGAACAGCATTAATTTTAGAATTTCCGATAAGACAGTCTCACACGCTGCAGATAAAAGTGATTTATTTCGTAGAATGTTGCCACTACTCGCTTTCACATTTTTAAACTTGTTAATGAAAAATATGAAATATAAAATTCGAATCTCAAAGTTCGGGCTCTTAGGTGATTATGTTTGATTGCAGGACAACATTATTCAAAATTCGATGGCCCTAGGTAGCGTTGTTTTTTCACAGTGCGAGGAACTTAACATACATACACGCAGATTCTTCATTATTTACTTTCTTTAAAAGAATATAAAAGAATATTGGTGGAAACAGTTAGAAAAGTGATAGATATGTTTGTAATGAATGACGCAAAATTCGTTTCATGACTTGCGGCTCATTCGAGTTCATGCCCTTTTAGGCTAATAAATATCCCTAAACTAAAGCTTATTGGAGCTAGAAATATCAGCTTATTACGTATGTTTTGGAAATATCCATTCATGAACATTCAAGCTGACTATATTAATATTATTCACGTGAATGAGAAAGCTATAATGAATTCATGTTAGTTTTAAATATACAAATATATGTTCAAGCTTTAATACTACTATATTTTCTAAATATCTTGACAAGTCCTTATTTCTCATAAATGTAATTATGCAATCGAATGTTCCTAAATTGTTACATAACCGTAAGAATAAATGTAAATAGGCATAATTACTTAAACTACTTAAATGAAACTTAAAAGCATAGAAAGGGCTACAAATAAAATATTACAAAGAAAATAATGCATGCAAATTACAAGCGAAATAATAATAATCTTATTAAATACTTAATTAATTGTCAGTTACATTGATGAGGTTATGAGACAGAAAAAAAGTTTTTGCTCGTTCTCTGTTCTTTCTTCTTCAATTCGTAATAATAGTTAGGAAATTTGATTTTATACGAAAATAGTAACGATTTTCCTTTTTCATTATAGCCAAACCATCCAAACCAGAAGGTCCTCTGGAGATATCGGATGTCCATGCTCAGGGTTGCAAGTTGCAATGGCAACCTCCGAAGGATGATGGTGGTACACCATTAGAAGGCTATCAGGTTGAGAAGATGGACGTTCTGACAGGTCGATGGGTGCCAGTTGGTAAAGTCGATAAAGACAAGACAGAAATGCCGGTGACGGGTCTTGAACAAGGAAAGAAATACCATTTCAGAGTAAAAGCAATTAATAATGAAGGCGAATCGGAACCACTGGAGACAGACAGGTCGACATTGGCAAAGAATCCTTTTGGTATGTTTTGTGAAAGTTTTCTTGACAGTTAATGCAATTTGCCTATCCATATTGCATATAGTCTTTCTGAATAATAGTAAATTAGCATTTAGTACTATACAGAAATGTTTATAATTATAGTGCTGAAAGTTGAATATATGCTTTAGTTCTTTTACTTCCTAATTACAGACATCAGCGTTATAAAGCATTGTAATGTACATCCTAAATAGAAATGTATTGCACATTAGATCGTTTATAAGTTTTATAAAAATGTTTATTGCTGTAGAAGATTTATGATAATGATTGTGTTTGGTTTCTAAATTTTTATATTATTTATTCTGTTCATTACAGAAAAACCAGGGCCACCAGGAATACCAGAAATCATTGACTACGACAAGGACTTCGTGCAACTAAAGTGGGATAAGCCTGCTAAGGATGGTAATGCTCCGATCAAAAGTTACATTATTGAAAAGAAGGACAAAATAACAGGCCAGTGGGTGAAAGCTGCAGAGGTAACTGGACCAGAAGGAAAAGTTGGTGGATTAATCGAAGGGCAGAAATATGAGTTCCGTGTCATAGCAGTAAACAAAGCCGGACCCGGTGAACCCAGTGAAGCAACAGCTCCACACTTGGCTAAACCTAGATTCTGTAAGTTTGAGTCATTATATGTATTAAAGAAAAAAACCTTTTAGTATTCTCTTAAACTTGATCAAAATTTAAAATATTTGTAACAGTTCAAGTTTTTATTATTATTAACGCAGGTCTCTTAATATCTTTTTTTTCTTTTCAGAAAAAAATTAAATTATATCCTAATTTATTTAACACAAAATTTCGTTCTTACAACATACTTTTTTGTTTCAGGCCTTCCTTTAATATACAAATTTGTGATATTTGATTTGAAATTATAATCCATTACTTAGTTCATAATCAGTCACTATATCCAGCTAATTTTCAAAATGTCATCTATTGTTTCGCACTTAACTTTCCACGGTATCTTTTCAAGGATATTTCAGATTTAATCATTCACGAACGTTTAGTATTTTTCTATTACCTGTTTCATATTAATTCCTAATTCTTGTACTTTTAATTAGTGTGTGTAAAATCCCCCCCCCACACACACATGGTTGGTGTCTCGCGCTGTTGTGGGTGATTGTTCACGGGGGAAAATACCTGTCTTCACAGTGACTAGAACCGTCATAGCGCGGCAAGAACCTTACTGGTACCGTCCAGTTCATCTTGGTCAGATACTTCAAATCTTATAGGGCAATCTTCGACTGTTTAGATCAGAAAAGTCTGTCTGCTGGAGTTCTTTTTTTCTCTGCATAACAATTGATGTGCTTGGTCTTATGTAGACAAACTTAGCATATTGAAACCGTTCTTCGTGCCATTCTTAAGTATTCTGTGATCACAGTCACATTCCTTATTATTAGTTATCATACATTACTTAAATTATTTTCAAAACTTCTGTAAAACAAAAAAATACAGCGAACTGATTACGTGCTGAATTTCTTGAAATAGTGGCATTTATCCATTCGGTTACTTTTTACGTTATTTACCTTCGACTGAGAAAACAGCAAAATCTTTATTAATTTTTTTTTTAACTGAAAGCTTTACATTACGCCCAAAGGGGTTTTTTTTTAACGTTTTGTGTGTGACCTTTATTTATTAAATATCACGTTCTTCGTACTTAAACCATAAAATTCAGTTCAAACAGCCATATCGCAAAATAATTTAAAAATGAGTATATCTTTAGAATATCCGATACACAGTCTCGCGCGCTGGAGATAAAAATGTTTCTTTTTCGTGCAGTGTTGCAATTTCTCGCTTAAAAATCGTTGAGTTTGTTAATCAAAAATTCGTTATAGTTTTACAAATTATGAAATAGATAATTAAACAAATTTCCTAGTTTTAAGTTCGGGCTTCCAGATGCCCATATTCTAGTGGAGGACAACTTATTGAAAATTTGATGTCTCTAGGTGCCGTTATTTTTCAAACTATTCTACTAATACACACACAAATTAACCAAATGTGTACTTAAATTAAATATATATGTATTTATATATAGAATAACTAAAATTATATATGACATAATAAAAGCATGTAAAAGACGGAGCACTGTCGATGATAAGTTATTCTATATTGAAGAGAAAATATTCTGATTGCGTCGTAAGCTAATGTGTTGACTTCGTAAATAAAACTTGGCAGTCGAGGCGATTTTAATTCCATTTTTATTTCCAACTGACATTATGTGGCCACAGATCACTTGGTACTCTAGTCGTGCCTGTTGAAGAACATTTACATTATTGCTATTTTTGCAATAGGAAGCAGCATAGCGAAATGGTGTCCAAGCACAGCACAGACAGAAGCTGAAGTGCGTAGTTATGAAAGATGGAAGCACGCGATGAGAAACGTTTAGCTTTACAAAGGGGGTTTCAGTTCTCAATTATTACGTCATCAAAGCTGCGCAAGCCATAGAATGATCTAGAAATGACGCATCCAGACAAGCTATTGCTATTTTTAGAATAGAGAGGGAGAATAAATGTTTTGCCGTTAGTTTAAATTATAATCGTGATTCACATATTTTTTATCTTACATATATATTAATAATAACTAAAAGAATTAATGAATTCTAGAATTATTTTATATCTTTTGCGTAGTAATTTGATACAGTGTATATATATTTGTTTCATAAAGAGAACTATGTAGGTAAACTCTGCATGACATGGTGGCTAGATTTCTAATGGTGTTATAAGGTTTATCCTGTAATGTTTCTAACAGTTATTTTAAGCTCCTTTCCTATCCACCCTACCTTCAGCTTACAATTTCCTACCAGAATGTGTTTTTAGAATCGCGTTTAGTGCAAATGAGTAAGAGTAGTATTTAAGTCGAACTTCTACTGACTCCAAGACTTCCTCAGAGTTTCTGACTAGCGCGCGTTTGCCTTTTGGCCACGCCTCTCTAAGCTGTTACTATGCTCGGTCGTATTAGAGGCCCTTGATAGCTACGCTAGCTAAATTCGATATTTAGGGGCCAACTACTTAGAATTGTGATAGTCTCGGCTATATCTCTTTAGTTAAGCATTAGTTAAGTTCTTGTTTCTTATTATTTTGAGAAAGGGGCCAACTGTTCATTTTTATTTTGATCAATAAAGGGTAATTAACCCTTCTTGAGCCTTGCGCTTCTGTTACTGAACTTAAGTTATTATTCGCTTAGTAGCTGTTCACTAGGTTCCTCCACATTTAGTTGTTAGATAAAAGGGTGGAACTCCACAAGGTTATCACATTTAACGTCGCGTGAGGCTAAAGAAAATGTTTCCGAGAAATGAGCTTCTTCTTCTCCATTTAAGGGTTCCCAACCGAAACATTTTTCTCTGAAACCCATGTTCCGACTAGTTAAACGAGACATTTTGTAAATGAGATGGAGATCTGGGGTCAAGAAAAAAGTCTCGGTTGTAAAAAGGGGTAATGTATGAAAATATATAAGAAGGGCTAATTTGGATAAATATTAGCGAATATGTATTTTGATGCTCATTCCCTTTTAAATATGTTTTTTCGTATTTAAATGATAGATACCTTTCTTTATCTAGCGAATATTTTCAAGCTTATTAATTGTATATATATATTTTCCAGTGAAGCCACGTATTGATAGAACGAATCTGAAGAATATGGCTATTAAAATTGGACAGACTGTGAGCCTGGATGTCAATGTCATTGGTGAGCCGCCACCAGAGATAGTTTGGAAACTGGACGACAAAGAAGTACAGACCACAGATATGATTAGAATTGACAACTCCGACTATAACACGAAGTTTTATCTTCTCAGAGCCACTCGCAAAGAGAGTGGTGTATATACCATCACAGCTACTAATAAAATGGGAAAGGATGAAGCTCAAGTCGAGATATTTGTAATGGGTAATATTTAATTTCCTGTTGAATTTTTTCCTCGATTTTTCAAAGACATAAATCAATATAACACATGCTTTACATTTGTGTTTTAACTTACTTTCAGGCAAGCCTGGTAAACCTAAAGGTCCATTAGATGTGTCTGATGTCCACAAAGAGGGCTGCACCCTGAAGTGGAGTGAACCAGAAGACGATGGAGGATGTCCTATTGAATATTATGAAGTAGAAAAGATGGACGAAGATACAGGAGTTTGGATTCCAGCTGGAAAATCTCAGACTCCGAAATGCGAGCTTAATAATTTGCAGCCAGGGAAGAAGTATAAATTCCGAGTACGTGCAGTTAACCGAGAGGGTGATTCCGAAGAACTGGAGACAGAAGATTCAACTTTGGCCAAGAATCCATTTGGTAAACCATTTTGTTTATTTATGGTTTTTGAATTAGCGCACTACAGTGGCGATTTCTTTCGATATAAATCAGAATTAATATGAGAAGTTTCATAAAAAATATTTTATTTATTGTTTATCTATATCTGCTGTTACGTTATTAAAATGCGTTAACGTTAAGGAGAATCTCAGCAGTTAAAACTTTCTATGCCTATTTATTTAATGATCTCGATCTGCCTATCAACATTTTCAAAACAATTTTATATTGTAATTCTGTCGAAGACTTATTATATCTACAGCTGTAGATTTAAGAGTGACAATATAGAGAATAGATTTTATAATCAAACATGGTACTTACGTATTAACTGACGCAGTTTGGCGATATTTTACTAATGGAATAGTAAACGTTACTTGCCGAGTACAAGTTGGCGATTTTCGCGACATTTTAAAAAAAGATGAGTAAATTATTGATATTTGTCTAAGCTCACAAACATTACAACCATATCAAAAGAAAGCACACTTTAGCAATTTAAAACAGAAATTGCTAAATAAGGATTATATAATACATTAAAAATGCTTACCTTTTCTGTAGTTTTCCTAGCTGACATCAATGTGTTTTCTCTTCAAAAAATTAAAGAATTGCAAAAATATCCATCGCGCACAACCCCGTCATTATGCTCACTGGCTGTCTGCCATCTCTTCATTGTTCCTTTTAGCGCTTTTGCTGCAAAATATTGTATATATTATTAAAATATTGCTGCAAATATTGAAGGCCTGCCACCTCAGGGCCTTCGTTTGCTAGCAAATTCCACAAGCACACTTTTTACAATTAAATTAAAGGAGAAAAATATCACGATTTGTCTATAGAAACCGTCCAAATTTGGAATACAACAAAAGAACACTTATAAAAATGTCGATGCTGCTTTTGACTAAAGAATTGCGATAAGCATAGTTGTATGAAGAATGGTGATGCGCATGGTTAGCAGAATTTGGCCCATTCTGAACATTTGCCGTCTTCAACTAAGGTGGTTGCAATTATAAGATAATAAGTACTCCAAGAATAATTATCAAATATATTCTTAAGTATATTCTTTTGTAATTGTTTACCTTTTGGTCAATACAGAGGGTTTTTTATCTTATCTATATAATGTTGTAATTCTAATAGCTCTAATCGCAGATAGATAGAACATTAATTTATTGTTCCTAAGTTTGCTCTTTATTATTTTACATCATTAAGTATTTAATTTCTAATCGTAAATTTTAACACAATATTAACAAAATTTCATATTATGGAAAGGCTAAAAAAACGTTTTTCCTCCCTTTTGCTTATTGATTTGTAGGAAATGTAGAAAGAAGAATTTAATCTAGAAAGAAGATATAACTAGCTAATATTACTTATTTTGAGTCTTTGTTTTCTCTTTGCTTATTAAAAATCATTTATTAATCATTTATAAATAAATAAATAATTATTAAATTTCCGTTAACTTGATTAATAGAGTTAGCAGGAGATTTTGCAATAAGTTAAAGAGAAAAGTTCATCAAATCCGCGCATTTTACAGAACTTAGAAATCTATTTGCAGACACTGATCAAAAAGTGTTTTGTAAAATTTATCGAGAAGAATAATGTAACTGATAGTGTATATTGATTAAGATAAAACTTCATGTTCCGATTATCTTCAAACTGAAGGAACTCAAAATGTGATACAAAATAAATGGTTCAGTCAATTTAAATTAGCTGAGTGATTGAACAGCTTTAACTTAGTTAATCAGATAAAGCGTGTGAACAGTTTCCTGTTTTTAATATATTATCAGAATATTCAAACATGAGAGAAATTATAAAATCTTTTATATCGAGAGAAGATTAAATCCATATTCATCATCACTCACCGTTATCCTGTAACATCACTTTTCGAGAAAAGCTTTTTAAGCTTTTTCTATTAGAACTCTGTCTCAAAATTTGCTCTTTGCTTTTAATTAGGGCTCATCAGCGGCCGAGCTGTAAAATAGCTGAACACTGGTAGTTCTGACCTGGCTTTCACTGCAGGCGGGTCTGGCTACATGCACGTCTTCATGGTTTTCCCCATGTGTAACGTGTATTCGACCCAGCTTCCCTAAAAAATTCCTCCACAATTTCATTCCTTCCCTTAGGCAGGTGGCCCCCGTGTGTTTTGCCATAAACAACTAAACAAAACCTTTTAATTAAGTGTCCTTTATTATTCTTTTCAAATTAATGTTTCGAAATTACATATTACATTAAAATTACATATTTCGCTTTTTACTTCCTTGAACGAAGTACAGGAAGTATTGTATTAACCGCAAAAAATTTCGTGTACCATATTTCAGAGCAAAAGACTTTTTTTCCAAAATAGATTGTAAAATAGGCTTAAAGTGGATTCAAAAGAAATTTTTATCGGGATTTTTATTTCGGCAATCGTTGGTCGTAGTCCACTTACAGAAGTGTTTTAAATGACGAAAATAATCATATTTCGCTGCGTCAAATATTCAAAAAAATTAATTTTTGATAAATATAGAAATCTAACTTTTAATGCAGTCTTATATTTGGGAAAGTTTTATGCTCGTTATGAAAAATTAGAAGAAGTTTGACTCCCGTAAACCAAAAATTGACCGTGATATTTATTCTCGAAATTTCCAATTTTTCTATATCCTTTTTAACTTGCCTTGAGAGATCGGTTATTCAGGTTAGAATAATTCGAGAAACTAAGTTGAAATGAAGTGAAGCAAAAAATATAAATTTAATTTAATAGACCGTGCAAAGAACTCATATAGTGTCCACATCAGATTTTTTTTTCACATATTTCAACATCAGTGTTAGGAAATTTTAATACATGCACTGAGTAGACTCTTTACTGAGACCAACAGAAAGTCAAACAATTAATCGTATTTAAAACTGTTTTGACATTTTAGGGATATTAATTTTGCGAAACTTTTGTTTTTTTACTTCAGTTCCCTACTGCGAAACAAATTAGGTTTCATCTGAGGCATGCTCTTATTTTGCGAGCTCTTACTTTGATATACAGCCTTCTGTAATAATCTTATATTAATTTAACAATTAATAATATTTCTCATTCAAGTAATAATTTTCGGTTTAGATGAACCATCGAAACCTGGTCGACCTGAACCAACTGACTGGGACGTGGATCATGTTGATCTGAAATGGACACCTCCAGCGAGTGATGGTGGATCTCCAGTTACCAAATACATTGTAGAGAAGAAGAAGAAAGGAGCTCATAAGTGGCACAAAGCAAAAGAGATTCCTGGAGATCAAACTGCTGCCACTGTAGGTGACCTCGAGGAAGGAGAGGAATATGAATTCAGGGTCATTGCGGTCAATAAAGGTGGCAAAAGTGAGCCTAGTGAAGCTTCAAGACCCGTTATTGCTAAACCTAGAAATCGTAAGTTGATTTTTTTTCTTTTATTAAAGGAAATATTCATTTGTGCCTTAAAACAGATATCTGAGAATATAAATGAAAAATAAAGTGAATTTGAAAAAAACCTGAATTAATTTGAATTTTGGATATATCTCTCTCTCCATGATCCAAATTCATTCGTTTCCATCATCTTCAGCTTTTTTTTCGTGGTTTAACGTATAAAATTCCTTCAGTTTTATTCTTCATTGTTCTTTCTTAATGTATTATTTTTGTTAAATTTAGATGTAATCATATTTATATAGAGAGAGAGATGGTGAGAAACTGAGGAAGAGAGATAATTTTTAGATTAATTTCGTAAGGACATCAAAATTTGATTGTAAAGTCTGAATAAGTGAATTATATAAATCGTAAAACTATTAACTATGAAGAATAGTACTTAGTAATCATGTATTTTGATGTTAAAATTTTCCTTCATGAGGATATTATTTCTACTTTCACTTTGTATTAAACTTTTATGATTGTCTGCTGCAAGAAACCAGTTTTGTAATGTTTTAAGCATAAATCAGATGTGTTACGTAAATCTTCTTACAGTTGCTCCCAAGATAGACCGCACAAACCTCAAGCCGTTGACTGTGAAAAGTGGACAAGCTGTTCGTCTTGAAATTGACGTCAAAGGTGAACCTACGCCAACCATCGCATGGTCTCTAGACGGAAAACCACTGAAAGAATCATCTAGGATCAAACCCGAAATTCAACCCTACCACACAGTCTTTGTGATCAGCAAGGCACTGAGAAAGGACACAAACAACTATGTTATCACTGCTAAAAACTCTAATGGCACTGATGAGGCAACACTAGAACTGAAAGTGCTAGGTAAGTTATTAATTACGAGTTCTTCATCTAAATCTTAAGGAACCTTGCTTTAAGAGTATTTTAAAATATTGTTACGTTCATGCGGGTTCGTGATGGTTAATTACATACAGAATCGATAATAGCTTAATAAAATTTATTTTACCCAAAGAAACACTACATTTCTAGAACATTCCACAAATGTACTTGTACAGCTCTTCTCAGTATGACAGAGAACAATCAGCAGCTAGCTACCACTTCAAAACACTAAGAACATTAAACACAACGCAATACAAAGCGCATCCAAAGGGCGAAACGCGCACGGTGATAGCTCAGTACTCCGAAGTTGATTCAGAACTAAAAACTGAAAACGAATGCTCTCTCCGGTCTTATATAATTTTCCCTCAGCCGCCGAGAAATCTCTTTTACCTTCCACCTCTCGAAGTTACTGGAAGGAATATACAGTTAAATTTACATATAAGGGCTAGATATAGTTACAGTTACATACAGGGAGAAAATACAGTTATTCAGTTGCAGCACCAATGACAGTTATACAAAAACTGTATGAAACTCTTGCTAAAGTTTTGCCAAAATTTGCGATTTTTGGCGATTTCTTGCCACATTTCTTGACAAAAATTAGTTGCCTATTGCTAGCTTGGCGATATATAAGTTAGCGAGATAGCCATTTACTTTACATAGACTTGCCGCTGTAATCTTATTTTTCCGCAGAGTTTCGCTCTCTTCAGACGTTTTACGTTATATTATACAAAATTGGTATATATTTAAAACTATTATTCTTTCTAATGCCAATTACAATGTTTCAGGTAAACCAAGCAAACCTAAAGGTCCTCTCAAAGTACAGGACGTGCATGCAGAAGGCTGCAAACTGGCTTGGGATCCACCAGAAGACGACGGTGGAGAACCAGTACAGCAGTATGTGGTAGAAAAAATGGATACTGAAACGGGTCGGTGGGTACCAGTCATGACAACAAAAGAACCAGAAGCTGAAATAACTGGATTGATCCCTGGAAAGGATTACAAATTTAGAGTCAAAGCAGTCAATCCAGAAGGAGAATCTGAAGCCTTAGAAACAGAAAAGGCCACGAGCGCTAAGAATCCTTTCGGTATGAATTTCGATTTTATGTCTTCTCATTTAAAGAAAAAAAGTATTCTTAATAACATTAAAAGTATGAAATTGAAAGCGTTTTGCAACTTTTCAAAGATGCTATTATCGGGATTGTTCAAGATAACATATTTTATTTCATGTGAATGAAGTGTAATCTTTTTATTCGTGTTTCATTAAATTTTCATTCTTGTTTTGTTATTTAACAAACTAAAAACAGTATTTACAGTTTTGAATGATTTTCAAAGACAATACAACCTCTATCTGCTGTTTATGCAATGACTGTTTCCTTGCATATGCGTTTGCAAGTTTTGATTGCCGAATGAAGTTCTTATTTATTAACAAGCCTCCGATTCTCTAACGAATCAAATAAGCAAAGGCGTGAAACTCGCTACGGTATGAATGAATTGCATGGGAATGAGATTGGGAGAATTAAAATTTAGAGAATAAACCCAACTCTTAGAATTATATTTTAAGACGAAGATCAAGAGAAATTAAATAATGAATAAAAACTATAAATAAAAATTAAATGAAGGTGCCTCAATTACTTTAATGTTCTATTTTAAAATATAACTCAGGCTTCGGGGAACAATGAGAAGTAATGTTAACAAAATAAATCAACTTATGGAAATTAATGAAGAACTTCAACGCAATATTTTGGGTGAAAACCTTGTGAAACATTGCTAATCTTTATTAAACATTGATCAGCTGAATGCGTAAAATGCCATACAGATTTTTTCCCCTTCGCTTTTTCTAATATAAGATTTCTGCATTTATTCTTTTCTGAATTACCACTTTTCCGTATTAACCATTCACAATTACCGTTTCCGGGGAAGAATTTTCTGTATTGTTTAGGAATTGAAATCAAGTTTGTATTTCTGATTTGCATAATCTGTTGCTAGGATTATAAATCTCTCAAAACGGTGATGCAGAAACTTTACCGCACGTGGTCTTCAATTCCATAGTCATCCCGTTAGTTTTTAGAGGTTTTAGGGTATAATCCGAGTTTGGTCTGCAATGAGCTTAGAGATAAAACTAAACAAGAAGAGTTATTTCGCTTTATTGATGTTTAGGGTGCTTTACAAAAAGTTAAAAAGTTTTACTGAGCAAAGTGGAAACAATGCAGACCATGAAAATATTTCAGGAAACATCTCTAAAGCCTCAGGAAAACACATTTAAAGCCTCAGGAAAACATATTTAAAACTGAAGCAGATTTCAGCTCAGAACTAAAGGACAATTTATGACGTTTTTGCTATAAAGTAGCTTTTTCATACAGTATATTCGTTCGAAAACTAGTAAATGTTATTTATGTACAATACATTATTTATTTATGTGTAATAGAGTCTTGACTTTATTGCTTTTCCGCATTCATTGCTGTTTACCTCTATTTCCCTGAAGCATAATAGATCGGCGTTCAAGTTTAATATTTCCTTCCTTTGTATGAAACGAAAACAAAGCATTTTAACCAAAACAAAAGTTGAAAATAAAACTTTTTTTCTAAAATGTGTACCGCCAGAAGAAAATAAAATTTTTTCATACGTTTATTTTATTTTAACTTTTCTTTCAGATGAACCTGGACAACCCGGTAAACCAACTGCAAAAGACTGGGATAAACATCATGTGGACTTAACATGGGCTCCTCCGTTTAGTGATGGTGGATCTCCCATTACTAGCTACATAATCGAAAAGAAGGACAAATACAGCAGCAAATGGCAGAAAGCAATTGAGATTATTGGAGATGCATGCGAGGCTAGAGTTCCTGATTTGATTGAAGGAATGGAGTATAACTTTAGGGTCAGAGCCGTCAATAAAGCTGGACCAGGCGAACCTAGTGTACAGAGCGATATCATCACTGCGAAAGTGCGATTCCGTAAGTAGCCAGTATAATTAATTAAAATATTTTAATGCTGTATGAAGGTGATTAATAAAGTCCTGTAAGTTAATTATTAAAGCATTAAGACGTACTATAAAAAATTTTTATATTAACTTGAAAATTTGCATATAGTCCTCGTATTATTGTCTTAACTGCGTGTAAAATTTGCTGCATTATTTAGTCATACCGATACATGAACATTCATCATGAGATATGAAATTGCCATATGGAATTAAAATGATAGAAAAAGTTAACATTATTAGCTTAAAATACAGGAATGTATACGAAAAATCGTAATTTGATAACGCATGATTTTCAATTTCAGTAGTCTTTAATTACGATTCATTTGCTTCTGGGTCTTATTGTTGATTTATTCATTTAATCACGTCTAACTATAAAACACTGCTATGCTCTGATTTCAAAAAAGATATTCCAATAGAAAACAACTAACAATAAACAGCTAACATTATTTTATTAGTTAACCATACGCATCCATACGTCGCGAGGCTAGAAGAACTCAAGGCACTTTATAAATAATTAGGAAAAGCAAGACTAAGTTGAAACAGAAACCTGAAAATAGAGTCATCAAAACCGTGTGCTGTGCGCTGATAGGAGAAATAAACTTAGCAAGGAAAAGCTAGTTCTTTAATTAAAATTACAAGAAATAAAATATTATACAAAATACATAATGAAACTCAAACAGTATACGAAACAAACTAAAGGTACTAAAAATGGTATAAGATGCAAAATAGACATGAAGTGTTCAAAGCTGTAGCGCAAAATGCAGTGAAATCAAATGGAGAAATTGGAGTCACCGCTGGAGACTTCATTCCGTTAGCGGGTGAACCGCTAACGGAATGAATAACTGCAGTCCTCGACTAGAATGTTATAATTGTTGAGAGCAGTTAGCAATACAATTATTGAAAGCATGTGCACAGTTAATTTCTTTGTCGAGCAAATTTTTATTCCATTTCCTTCAGATATTCTTTGGTGATCTCAATTTCTAGATCCCGATGAAAAGTATCATTGCTTACATAAAAGTGCGCGTTGGTAATGATTCGCAGGAACCTATTGTGAATTAATTGAATTCTTCTAATGTCCTTTTTTGAGGTAGCTGTCCAAGTCGGCGATGCATATGTTATTATCGACCGAACAATGGTGATGTAAATAAGTCGTTTCTTTCGTATGTCCAGGTTTGAAAATTTTCCAATAAGTGAAATTAAGCTATTAATTACCCTAAAGGCTTTTCTTCTGATAAATGAACTGATATTAGACATGTAGGAGGGTAGAATAATCACGTGTCGTGAGGAAGTCAGGAACTTGTTGATTGGCTGCTAGAAGAGAAGGTAAGGCACCAGAGTGTACAGGCTATGTAGTGAGAGAAAAAGCAGGTAGTTGCAAGATTAAACCCTAAGTGGCAACACATTTGCGGGATAAGAATACATACAAAAACATTTAGTGGGAAACTAAATTGCTGGGAATAATTAATAACACACATAAATAAGAATGATTAATAGTTGATTCATGGACGATGGGGTGGAGGCCCTTTTCATTACCATTCATAATTGTGATATCAAATTTCCGAAAGAAGGAGGAAGTAAAAAAAGATTAACTAACTTAGGTTCCTAAGTACTGCATCAGCCATGCGCCTGTAATTATCATAATCAAACATTGGGATGGAATTATTTTCATCTAAGTCAATATTTTTGTTGAATGTCTTAGCAAGTTTTGCCACATATCTTGCAATTGCTTTATTGCCAAGCTCTTCATGGATTTTAATGAAGCTATAGCTTCTTAGACGGCCGCAAGCCACGAAGCACGGGTTCCTGGGCCGAATCCCTATTCCACACTAACAAGATATGTGATAAACGTAGCATAAAAATAACGTAAAAGCAGAATAGTCCTAGTAGCAATTCCTTGTAGGGTGAAAAAACGATGGCAAATTGTTCGTAATAAAGGCTATATGAAATGAAGCATGTCACTCTATGTCGAAACTTGTATGCACCGATGGATAAGTGGGAGCGTTGAGATGGGTCAAATGGTACACGTGACTGAAAGTTTAATGATTGGCTGAAGGCAAGGAAAGCACCAGAGCACCAGAAAACTACAGGCTTTGTTCCAAATAATAATGTTCAAGTAATAACACAAACAGAAATAACATTTGTAACAGCACACAAGAAAATGATATAAAGTAACAGGTAAAAAAGGCAGAAACCATACGTTTAGAAAGGGGTCGCCGACAAATGATAATTAGGGGGAAGGGGAATACAAGAAAAAAATAACAAATAAATAAATTAATTAGTCTAAATGTCTAATAAAGGTTCCAGGCCGTATTCTGTTAACTGCATGATAAGGATCATAATTAAGCATTGAAATTGAGGGATTGCAAACCCTGGAAATTCTGTTAAAAACGTTTTTAGAAATTTTTGCAATAAATACAGTAATAGATTTTATGCCAAGCTCTTGCTGTATAGTTGCATTACGGTAGAACCAGCGAGCACGAGCAGTTTGGCGTAGCGTAATGTTTTGAATAATTTTCAGTCTCTGAAACGTGGTTTTACATACAAAACCACATATAGGACAAGCATTAGTAATAATAGGGCACAACATAACCTTATAGATGAGTAACTTGTTATCAAGGGATAAAACCGAGTTCCGGCGAATTAAGGGGTGAAGAGTAGCTTTACACTTCCGGAACTTAGAGATTACATGTGTAATGTGGGGTTTCCCTGTTAATCTTCGGTCAAGTATGACACCAAGATAGGTTACTTTCAAGCTATAGCATAGCTCTAAGTTGTTTCTGTAAAGAGACGTGGCCAGTATTACGTCACAAAAAGGCGTGTCCAAGCTTAAGACAAATAAACGTCTTGTTTTCTGCAGCGTCTTCTAGGACTGAGCCGAAAGAATTTGTGAAAATGGGCAAATATACAATTATATGTTGGAAAAGAAATTTTCAGCAATGCAGCGCCCATAGCTATATAAGAGAAGAAAAGTCTTGGTTCTGCGAATTGGTTTAAATATCATTCCTTGTGGCACTGCGGGGTTCAACTAAATGGGGAAACAAAGAAACACAGATATACGGCTCACCATCACCTGGAAATTCTATTTAGCAAAGTTTTCAGGTACCAAGTCTGCCGTGATATTGTGCTTGAGGTATAATTAGTTGCAATTGTTGATCTGTAGCCACCAGAGTTTGTAAAACATTAATTTCCCAGTATGTATGTTATTTTTCTTAATAATTGCTAACACAGTTGTATACTACAACAAATTAAATACTTTAAAACTTCAGATTTCGTTTGAAAATACCAAGCATAATGAATTCTTGGCAAAAGAAAATTCCTATAGTGGCAGAGTGAAATTACATTTGTTTATTACACATGCGCAGACAGGTAACCGTTTGTTTCTCGCCAATGCAGAAACCCGCCAGATCATCATTCTCCCCAAATCCGCTGCAGAAGAAAAGTACCCTTCTGTTTTCATGTATTTATTGTTATGATTAGGTTCCTTATTTTTTAATATTCTAAATTTGTTAAACCAACTATTAATTACTCGTATAAGCAACAGTTACGGAATTAGCATGTGTAATGTTGATTTCTATTACTTATTGTTAACTGACTTAGATTTTATCTATTTAGCGTACTCTTGAACTCTTGTACTAGTATATTGAATTAATTTACAAAATTTATGTATTAATAATTCGCCTAAATGCAAAACATTTTGATTGATTCGCTTTTGGCATTAACTAATTCTGCACTTTTTTTTTCCAGTGGCTCCGAAAATCGATAGGAGTATGCTGAAAGATGTTGTAATCCACGCCAGTCAAAGCGTGAAATTTGATGTAAAAATTATAGGTGAACCACCGCCAAAGAAGACTTGGATGTTTGGAAACATCACACTCAAAGATGGTGGCAAAATTAACACGGAAAATGAACCTTACCGTACAAAACTAAGTATTATTAATTGTGATAAACGAGAGACTGGTACTTATACAATAAAAGCGGAGAACAGCGTGGGCTCGGACCAAGCTACGGTTGAGTTAATGGTTTTAGGTAAGAATAACCTTCGAAATATTGTAATTATATATGTCTTGTGCTATCTTAAAAGAAGTTTCCATTCTTCATTTCGCTTCAAACTTTCTTTTTACGGCTATTTCATTAGGTCTTCCTTATGAAGACCTAATAAAGGAGTCTTATTATTCCTATCTTTAATTTCAAAAATTTAAATGTTTTAGAATTAAATAACTGTTCATATCAGAATAATATAATTTATCTGTAATTAATTTATTCGTAAATTAAAGTTTATGTCACAGAGATACAAATTATGATTTTTAGGTAGAATTTAATTTTTCAGGTAGTTAAAAAACACTTTAAAGCTTCTTGTAATCTGAACCACGTCAAGAAATTCTAAAGCGTTTTTATTAGTTTAATTGCATTATTTTTAATGTCAGTATTTAAATTTTGATATGAATATATTATCCTGCATAATAGAATTTTTAAAATTATAGTTTTAGTTTTACTATCTTGTTCCTTAATCATATTTAATTTAATGAATGTTCAGAACAGGGACAGTCAACGGGATCCCTATCCCTCTTTTCGTAGTTAACCTGGTCCCCTAAAACTTTCATGGTGGGCAACCATCGGCGAAATTTCCGCCGACGGTCGACGGGATAATACATAAGTACTATGTTGCCTACCTCTGGTTTAGAATTAATATTTTATTTGTCACAACGTGATATATTTTAAATATTGTACGAAAAAAGTCTGAATAGAAAGCGGAGAAAAAAAAACTGGGCATAGATTTACGTAGTTTATTTTATGTTCATTGTTTATTTAAAAAAGGAGCAGAAAGGTCTTTCTATGAGAGAATTACTTTCTTTTATCGCAGTAATAAATGAAACACTGAGTATATCATGTAATAATGCTATAAAAAGCATGAATTTAGTATCGTGCTGTTTCATTCTGGAGATTTACCCTGATAGATTTGTTTAAGTATAAAAATAGAATGTTTCAAAAGCGCAAAAGTATTATTAGTAGTTAGAAGTATAAGTGAATTATATCGTTCCATCTGATAATCCATGAATCACTTTCGAACTATTGACGCTTCTTAAAAATGAAAGAGGATTAGCACTACTCACAAGTTATTTGTATCAATTTAATATTATTATTGACATTTGAGCAATTTGTAAATTAGATGTCATTTTTACTAAATGAGTCTGAGTTAGTTTCATGTTGCTGGAGCTTAAAGATTTGTAGCGTAGACAAGTGAGCTACGCAAAAAAGAACGTTGCTTGCTCTGCAATATTTTTTTTTTTTTAATTTTTAGTTAATCAGAGAATCTCTGTTAACATAATCTCTCATAGATCTGTAATTCGTAACATTATTTTTGCGTTTATATGCTATTTGATAATTTGACATAAGACAGTATAATTAACACATTAAACATTAGCCTGTCGATCAATATGAAGTATAAATAAGGTTTTTATCTCTATCATTTTGATAAGTTTATACTTTTATTGCAAATTTGAAATTAAATTTTTTGGAAAAATTGGCTCCCTCTTTTTACTTTCTTTTACGATGTAAAAAGGAAGTATTGTAATCGCGAAAAGTTTCACGCAGCATATTTCAACAAAAATATCCATTTTGACCGCTATCGAATGCAATTTAACGATGTTTTTGCTTGACATCTGTACGTAAGGACAGAATAAAAGACTTCTTCCTCCAAAAAATTATAAAACTGATTTAAAATGAATTCTGAAGAGAATTTTTCATGGTGTCTGTACGCTTGCACGTACGTATCTCGCATAACTCAAAAACGAGTAGCCTCAGAACGTTGAAATTTTGTATATGGGACTGCTATAACATGTAGATGTGCACCTCGTATTTTGGTTGCAATCGGTCGCACCAAACGTATATAAATATATTTAGATATATATTCACTCTGCTATTCGGCTCAGTGATCCCAGTTTCTTTACCCTTATATGTTTATAAATTGTGCATTTCTTGCTTTAAAAATGATTGAATTATGTTGTTCTTATCTTCCGGTTAATGTTTTTATGCCTTTAGTAATTCTGCAAACAATATTTATAGAATTATCAACAATTTAAAAGCTGTTTAAGTGCGGTTAAGCCTAATTTTTGAATAACATGACGAACATGTTTGTTTACATTTGAAACAGCAGAATGGTAGATTTTTTGCCAATCTAGGGAGACTAAGCTGCGCAACAACAAAGATGACGCCTTCATTTATTATTTCGAATTAACTCATAACCCTTTCTGGAATTTCTTCAAAGAAATAAGTGTTTAAGATTTACTTCGTAATTTTTAATACAGATATTTTGGATTTTTATGTATTTTTGCCTTGTCGCGAAGTGAGCACTGAATTAATTGAGTGAGAAATACTGAATTGTCTGTGAAATGCTTTTTTTTTTTTTTTTTTTTTGCTTAATTTTGTTTTGTTTGCTTAATTTCTTTTATACATCGTTCTAGATTTATTATAGTATTTGAATAGAACATGTGACAACGATTAGTTAATTCTTCAAATGATCTAAATTTTGTGCATTCTGAGTTATAATATGAACGAAATATAACGCTTTTAAGTGAACTTTGCGCCAGAGTGTCACTATGGTAAACAAATATAGTGAATTTTAAAGAGTACATTTATTCTATTGTGGTTTATGCAGTACCATGGAAGTAGATTTAATTCAATCCAATAAGTTTAAATGAAATGCAAGAAAAATGCGTATAATTTAATATTTCGTACAAGGAAGTCATGTGGTGTACACATCAGATTTTTTTTATTTAATTTTTGTGTGAATCTCCCCCCACCCCCTCTTGATATTTTTTAACGATTTCGTAACTCAAATCCAATAGCTTTTAGAATGAATTGTCTGTTTGAACAACAACGTATTGTCACAAATTACATAAAACGTTTCTGTGAAACTTGTATGAAAACTGTAATTTAATTTGTGAAATTTGGGCGAAATTTTTTGCTAATTTTTTTAGACTATTTAACATTTATAATTTTAAAATTTCATCGTTTAAAAATTTATCAGCTATAAAATTTTGAAATTTTCACAGAGTATAAACCAAACTTTTTGCCTTCTTTAAAACAAGAAAGATAAAAAAATATTAATTGAAGATTTTCTACATTTTTTAAAAAATGTTTTGCATTTCATTGTAATCTATAAAAGCCTGGGGCGCCTATTTAAATTTAAAAAAGGTAATAGATTTACAAATTAATGGCATTATGTTATACAAATACATAATATAATTTATATTATGTTATATATTTGTCGATGAAATTAAACTGATAGATTTTGTTATTAGCCTCCCCACGCTTTTATTATTCGAGTTATAAAATTGTAGACGGATTTTGCAAATAAAGGTATTTAATCTGTTATTCCCATTAAACTATATGAGGAATTATTTTTCCTCTTTTAGTGCATTAATTATCACATCAATTTAACTTTTTTAAATCATATTTTATTTGTATTTTTAATTCCAGATCGACCTGGAGCACCAACAGGTCCCTTGGAAATTTCTGATGTCCATGCGGAAGGATGTAAACTGAAATGGAATCCTCCAGAAGAAGATGGAGGTGTGCCTATTGAGCATTACGCTGTAGAGAAAATGGATACTGCTACTGGAAGATGGGTGCCTGTAGGCAGAAGTCTGGGACCTGAAATCGAACTCGGAAACTTAGAACCGGGTATGAATGCAAAGTTTTGTTAAAATTATACTTTTATTCAATTTAAATTCTGTTAAATGTTTTAAGGTATTTCTCCATTATACAAAAAACAGAATGCGTATTGCAAAATAATGGTATTAAACTGGTATACGTTTCAAAATCGTTATTCAATATTAATAAAAATTTTGACGAATAATTAACGAAGAAAAACAAGCTAGTAATATAAACGTTGTTTCTAATAGCATAAAAATTCATAATAATAATTATCAGGTAAGGTTAAGCGATAATTCTTCTCTGAAATATAAATTTAACGTTTCTGCAAAACATATATCCAGATTATTTAGTGGATTTTACGGTTATTACAGCTTTTTACAGTTTCGCAGTTTATTTAGTGCTTTTCACGATAAAAAAATTACATTCCTAATTTAAAAGCAAGTATTAAAAAGGGAACAACTGAAAATGCTTGCGCATAAACATCAGTTTTATGCACACTGTAATCAGTGAACTGATATTTGTATCAATAAATTTAAAAGTCATTTTAGTGAAGATTATGGAGCACGTTTCTGAGATGAAAATAATATTTAAAAATTTTCATTTATACCATTGACGATTTCAAATGTCTTCGTTAAGAATAAATTTCATTCTTCCTTATTTATTCAAAGTAATCTTCCGATTTTCGGCAGTTTATCTCTTCAAATTAAAATCAAATATGAGTTAAAATATTACACGCCGTATAACGATTATTAGAGAAGATAAAAGCAACAAGAATCAGCGTAATATTACAGATGGTGTACAAAATTATACAAATATCTGAGAAACTGTACGCTACATTTCACATCTGCAGTACAGTTTTGTCATATGCCACAGAAATCTGTCCGTGAATGAAACTATATCAGTCTTTCAAGAGGTGTCATAGATGTTGTGTGTGCCATGCCAGATCTATCAAACTTCTGACGATCCATGATTATTGGAAAGCATTTAGCTGAAATCCAGATTACAGAAACAGCAAAACATTTTAGATATCCAAGAAGGATAATATCAGTCATCATGACAACAGACTCAAAGAAGTGTAAGATGGGAGAGGGGCATCTTCAAGCAACAGCAAAATACAGAGCTAAATGATAAGGATAGATGAATGCAGAAGCTCATAGTGGTCCGAAAGCAGAGTCTTGAGCCCAGATAGCATCTGAAATAAACACTCTTCTCCTGGACCTCGTTTTTAGAAAAAGGAACTCCATGGAACGAATATTTATGTTAAGGTAGAAATTTTTAAACCGTTGATGAGATCACATAAAGTTTTCATACACATGTTGTCCGGAGAACATCATCGTCTTTACGCATGCCTGTCTCTTGTCACATGTGAAGCGTGGAGATGACTTCCTGTTGGTAAATAAGGTATACGCCCACCCAGCCTAGCGAATTAGATTCCTCCTTATAATTGCCAAAGGGTTGCACCCAAACTTCCTGTTGGTACGGGATGTGATATGTTGACACGGTTTCGGCCCACTTGTTATTTTGTATGGTAAGATCAAAGCCGATCAGAGCATCCCGGTTAATCATGTCTACTCTTACCCTTTTTTTCATATACTTTCTCCTAAAAAAATCGCTTTCTTCAAGATGACAACGCTTCTATTTACACTGTTAGGTGTGATCGGACATGGTTCAATGATGAAGTAAAGCATCTCATTTGGCTCTCTCAGTCCCTTGACTTGAATACTATTGAGCATTCGAAAGATATTTGAAGTCCAAACTTCGCTCTGTAATTTCAACTCTGGTTACATTTTCTGAATTAGAGACATCTCTGCAAGATGAATGGCTTCATATTACCTTAAATGTTGTGCAAGTTTTCTATACATGCATCTCGCATCGCGTACAATGTGTATTTCAGTCAAAGATTGGTTCAACCATCTACTAATAAAGGTTTTCTCTTATTCCACAACATGTATTCGTATTAATTTGAACTCCATTTGTACAAAACATGTCTAAGCTTCTACCAAAAGAACAAAACTCATCAGATAAATTTTAAATTCTGTAAATACGGTGTAACAGAATTTTCAGGCTAAGATGGTCAGAAACCTAGCTCTTACCTAACTTAAATTCTGGTACCAGTTAATATTTAATCAAACGTTAACCACAAGAGCTTAAGTTACAAACTTGCAGTATATTTGCAAATAGTCTTCTGCAACCCATAAACTATTCTATACATGGCAATGTTCTCTACTAGGTAGCATTCATTGTTTGTGCTTTCTTTTTGTACTTTTTATATTTAATTTCATCATACGCTTGCTCTCTTTCGCATTTAGCGATGCATGAGAGATAAGAAGAAGAAGAATTGCACTTAAGACATACATCATTAGAAAGTTAAATAAATTTTGCTTTTATCCATATTATTTTTATGTGCAAATATTATTAGTCTTTTCGTGTATTTTACAAGAAATGATAGATTCGAATTATATATTGTTACATATTCTGCATATTTTTGAAAGGAAAGCAAAATTTACTAAACACATTTTAATTATTTTATTACATAAAATCATATGTCTCTCTTCATGATTTATACTTGTATAAAAGATTCATTTCTGGATAGATATTATTTATGCTTATTAAAACAGATGTATCGCAATGGCAGACAGAGATAAAAGAAACAAATTTATTTTAATGTATGCAAATTTAGATCTTAAAATATCCTAAAATTTTTATATAGGTCATGAATACAAATTTAGAGTCAAAGCAGTGAATGCAGAAGGCGAATCAGATCCTTTGGATGCATTCGAGCCAATTATTGCCAAAAATCCTTACGGTATGAAATGTTTTCTTTTTTTTTATAGTATGTTGTTATAAACTTTTCTATGAACACAATGCACCAGTGAAAAACAAAGGAAGCAAAGTGATCGGCTGCAAATATGCATAAATTAAAATAGTTTCATTTTCCCGTTAGATCCTCCTGGTCAACCATCTATGCCAGAAGTGAAAGATTGGGACAAAGACAGAGTTGATCTGGCTTGGACTGCCCCAATAAAAGATGGAGGCGCCCCGATTACGGGTTACATCATTGAGAAAAAAGCGAAAGGAGATACTCAGTGGTCGAAAGCTGCTGTGATAGATGGAAATGTTACCTCTGGTAAAGCCACTGGTTTAGTAAATGGCGAAACATACCAGTTCAGAGTTCGAGCTATAAACGATGCCGGTCCTGGTGAGCCCAGCGATGCAACGAGACCTATACTCGTAAAACCACGAAAATGTAAGTCTTGTATTAAAAATCATCATCCTATAGTGTTCCTAATATGATTTATTTTATTGTATAACATTTCTTATAGTCACTGGTGTTGTATAATAAAAGATTATATCATTTTTATTGTATTATAACATCAATCAGTCTAAGCAATATTAAGAGTGCATAAAATAACAGTAAACAAATCACCTTTGACAATAGGATTTCAAAATATGAATGGGCACCATTCTTATTTCAAAATATGAATGGGCACCACCTTCATTTCAAGTTTTTCTGAACATCTGTGGTTATGGAAATGTTCATAGATTTTAATGCTTAATTTTGAGGTTAATGCCTTTAAGATTAATGTTGCCCTTTAGATTTTTCACGTGAATCTAATATTGCTAAATGTAAACTTTTATTTTTGCTGTTATACGTATCTGATACGTATACGTACCTGATAAGGTAAATATATAGATATAATAAATGGAAATATTTTATTTACATTTTAGTGGCGCCAAAGATCGATCGACGTAATCTGAACCCAGTGACAGTCAAAGTCGGGCAATCTTTTGCATTCGATGTAAAGGTTAAAGGAGAACCAGCGCCCACCGTCCGATGGCTTCTGAAAGATAAACCTGTCGAAGAAAGAAGTGACATGTCCATTACGAACATACCGTATCGTACAAAATTAGTCTGTGATAAATCGCAACGAATTGACTCTGGAATTTATCGAATCGTCGCTTCAAACGCTCATGGAGAAGACAGGGCAGATGTTGAAGTATCGGTGCTTTGTGAGTATCAAGATCATCCTCAAATCCTTTTCCATTTAAAAAATTATTTTTGTTGCTGAATTTTCTCAGAATTATCTCAATATGTTATCGTTACATTTTATTGTGTATATAAAAAGAATATAAACTGAATGATTAATTACAAAATATGCAGAGTTAAATTAGCAAGCTATAGATATCTGTATGCCATTAATTCGAAAAAAATTATTATATATGTTAATGTGTTCACATAAAACAGTGAAAATGGGAAAGTGCACTAGCAGATAAAAAATATTAGATCCTAGACATGCTGTAATATTTCTTCATTTATGGTACAAGAAATGATTTATCAGAAATTGAGTAATAAATGCCATCCAGAACACCTGTTAAAATATGCACAGATTTAACTTTTGTTTATATGAGTAGTAACTGTTCCATTCAAATATTAAGTACTCTCCTTTAATAAGTTATTTTAAATGAAATGATTATGCAAATTCAGAAATAAAGTGAGCGTAGTGCGCACTTTTTGGCATATAAAATTGGAACAAAAGTGCCGTATCTTACAAATTAAACAGCTTTTCAAAAATGAAAGTTTATTAAATTGACATATATAGTGTCGGCATTAAATCTCAAACATAGTTCCAAGCTTCAAGTTCTCAATCTAATTCAGATAACTATATACTTTGTTAAAAGTGAATGGAGGAAATCAAATTTCCTAGCTTAAGTTGCTACCAACAGCAGAACTACTTTTCGTAAATGTAAGAAAGACTATATATGTAAACCTAAAAAGGTAAAATTCACTCGCAAATATATATTTCGATTGAATTTCTAATGCAGTTTCTGCTACATAATAATACATCATTATTAAAGTAGTTCCACTAATTCTTAAAAAAACCTTATATTGATGTTGAGAACATAATAAAGACATAGCGTCAATAAATCAATAATTAACAAAATAGCATTTAGTTGGTAAAATCCTACGGAAGCAAAGTAAGAATTGAAGCTTAAAATAGCTGCAAAATTCAACTGAAACTTTTCTTTATGAAATATGGCCAAAAATTGTATCACATGATTTACTGCATGCGACAGCCCTAAGTTTATAAATTTATATCCGAATCTATAAAGCATAAATATAATCGTTCGTGGTTTCTTTTATTATAATTTGATCATTCATCAGTAAGTTTAATTTAGCATCATTTCCATACATCAAGAGTTTTTGAAACTGTTTAAACCCTGCGTATGCACTGAGAATCTCGGTTAAATGCGCTTGAGTTTCTCTAACAACAAATTTAACACCTATACGAATCATGCAAAGTTTAATTGATTATCTGAAACGTGTCAACTTTCTATTGAAAGCCGAAGATAAGAAGAATTCGTAGCTTCTGTTTCTGAATAATGCTATCTGAGTCTAGATATTTACAATGTTAGGATTCTAATGCCATCACTGTCTAATTTTAATCTGTTTTCTGATCCTCCCTTTAATTGTTTTCGAACTGTTCATACTATCGTAATAACATGGCATTTTTGTAAAACATTTATCATTGATTTAGTGAACATTAATTTGAGAAAGCGTTAAAATATTTTATATCTATTCTATTATACAGTATTACAGATTCATATACAAAATATTTTACAGAATTGCAGACTTAAAAGAAGAGAATTACATATTTAAAAAATAATTTCAGAATTCACAAACGCTTTTATACAGTATTGTTATACAGAATTGCTGATTTAAAATATATTTTCTTCTTAGAATGCCTTGTTGAAAAATTACTTGGATGTGAGAAATATTACTTAGTTAATAAAATTTCTATATTTTTTATATCGTCATCCATGTCTCAAAATCACAAATTTTCAAAGTAGTTGCTTTAAGAAAACGCTGTTAAATAGCCTGGCACTTGCTTAGTTTTAGAAAACTAAATCATAATTTCTATAATAATTGTTACACATTTATATATAACATCTTTTCTTTTCACATAAAGTAAAATATTAAAAAATAAAGGAAAAACGCTTGTTTAACTTTGTCATTGATTATACCGTTTGGAATTCTCAATGTTAATCTGCTATTGATATCCCAAATTATGGATTGAAATTTTATATCAATCGATTGAAATTTTACTTAACTAATTCGTTGCGTCAATGAAGGCAAGCTTAAGTTTTGAAAGTTAAATCTGGGACGTAAAATGAATTTCAAAATTGTAAACGTTAAATTAGCAATTATTTTTCGCGGAGCTATTGCCGTGGTTGTTAGAATTCACATTTCTACGACTGAATATTAATACATTATCATTTCTTTTTTTTTTTTTTCTTTTTTCTTCTTTCTAAATTTTTCTGAAGTTAGAATTTCAAGTCTTTACAATAGGTTGCTTTTATTAACATTCAATAAACATTATTAATAATTTATCATTGCATTAGAATCAATTGCTTTGTATTTCTAAACTTGAACTGAAAGTGGCATTAGGTTGTTTCGTATAAAATTAATTATTTTTAGAACTGACTTCGAAAGTTATAGTTAGATGCTGGTGATTAAAGTAATATGTAGCAAATGTATTTTTCAGTATTTACGAATACACCATTAATTTAAAAAAAAAAAGTCATTTCGCGCTAGGCAATTGTTTTTACAAATGAAATTATAAGAAATAGACAAATTATATTAAATGAATGTAGCAGGAATTTTAAGGGCATTTACAACAATATTTCTTGGGAGAGTTTGCTTTTTATGGATTCCACGTTCTTAACTTACCGATTTATACAGTTTAATGTTGCCATTGAATATAGATTGTTGTTTTATTTCTAATAATAAATATTGCTTTTAGCCAAACCTTCTAAACCGGAAGGTCCACTAATTGTATCTGATGTTAACAAACATGGATGCAAACTGAAATGGAATAAGCCAAAAGACGACGGTGGTGAACCTCTGGAAGGTTATATAGTAGAGAAAGAAGACCCAGAAACGGGACTTTGGATTCCAGTGATAAAATCTCACGTGCCAGAAGCTGAAGTAACAGGACTCACGCCAGGAAAATCTTACAAGTTCAGGGTTAAAGCTGTCAACAAGGAAGGAGAATCGGAACCACTGGAAACCTTCCAACCTGTAGTAGCCAAGGATCCATTTGGTGTGTAAAATCTTTGCCAACGTTCATTCAGTGACCTTTTATTCATGCATTTTTTGGAGGTGGCAGTTTGTTATTTAATTTCAGATTACAAATAATGAAATCATCCATGATAAATTTTAAAAGTTAATGATTTATACATATGACAGCGCAATTAAATTAATAGATTCTTTATTTAGCTCGCTTTTATTTTTCACGATACAAAATAATAGTAGATAAATTCTGTAAACAGAGTTATTTAATATATTTTATACCCATTAAGCTATATGATAAATTATTTTTCTCCTTTTAGTGCATTAATTAGTCCTTTTAAATGAAAGCCTATAGTATATATGTTATCGTCAAAGACCGAAATTGGAGAATGTCGACTTTCACCGGAGAATGTCAACATTCACCAAATACGTCCGTGAAAGATCGAATATTGCATTACATTCTTGTACATTCGGACCCTCACCAGTGTATGTCGACAATCACATATATACTCTGGTGTAGGTCTAAAAGAGAGGAGTCGACAATTCAAAGTCTTATAATAGTTTATGTTGTTGCAATAAATAAGATTTGAATCACATAATTTAGTAAGTTTTTTATTACTGTCATTTTATTTTCTCATTTAGAATGTACTGCATAATTATAATAATTATACATTATTATAATTAATACAATATTACATTAATATACACATTACAACATATACATTAATGATAATATATACATTAATAATATATTAATAAATATATTAATAATATTATAATAATATAAGTTTTTAACGTCTATTATTTTCCTTTCTCATTTTGAATGTACTGTGTGTTTTAAGGTCATATATTCCTAAGTTCTTATTTTAAGTCTCAAGTGCGTTTTTTCGCGACTAAATTACGGAGAAGAAAACATAATATTTTTATATGTTCAACATTCACCATTAGTACATGGTGACTGTCGACATTTACCGGTGTAAGTCATAAATAAGAGCATATTTCGGAAATACACCAAGCGACTATATGAATGTTGACATTCACCGGTGAAAGTCAACGTTCTCCAGATTTCGGTGTTTCACCGTAACATATATTTTACTTTTATCCCTGCTTTTAAGTTTGTATTACACGTTACCAATGATGAAATATTTAGTCATTATTAAAACACAAGCTAATGAAATCATCCATGAGCAATGTAGAAAATAACTGAATATCATTTCATAGAATAAAGAAATCGCTTTGAATGTTTAGTTTCGGAAACTGGATGTAATAACAATATTACAATGATCATTTCAGTTAAAGACGAAAAATAAATATCTCCAATTTCTCATTGAGTGCGCCAAGATGGCAAACTCAAAAGCATGCGAGAAACGCCTTTTTCTTCCGTCTGCATCAGACTGCAACATATATATATATATATATATTTAATTCAGAAAATTGCTGAACTAATATTTTTTTATCAGCCTTGTTTTAAAAGAGGGCGAAATATGTGAAAATTTAAAACTTACACCCGATAAATTTTTGATGTTAAAATTTTAAGAGCTTAAGCTTCAAATCGTCTAAAAAATCGAGCGATTTAAAAAAATTCACCAAAAATTGAGAAAATAATTTATAGTTTTTATATGAGTTTCACTGAAAAGTTTTTTCCCCTCTCTATGTGATTGTGCAAACAATAGAATTCTGGTATGCTTAGCTTCTCCTTAAACGCAGATATGAGACAAAAATCGCTTGAAAAATTCTAAATCGAATTTTGAAAAGGTCGCTTTGTCACATAGCATTGTCATCAACAAACCATGTGTACAAAATTTGAACTCGATAGCTTATCAGGAAGTAGGCTAGAAATCGCTGACAAAATTCCACTTACAGTGAAACATCATAAGTGAATTAAATAAAAGCGTATAATAAGTGGTAACTTGCAAAATAAATTATGAATCGCTAACTTGTAAACATAGAAACGTATAGATTTAGCTAACATCTGAGCGCCTGAACGCTGATGATATTATATATATGAAAAGGAGATATCAAATTTAAAAAGTTTTAATCATATACTTTTGTTTATTCGAGTTCTGTTACGGTAAATACTTAGGAACTGAAATTCGCTTACTAATTATTGTTTCTTTCATTTATTTTTAACTACTTTTACCACTTACATTTCTATTAAAGCATTATTATTTCATCCAGCTGTTCTTAATTATGTACAAATTAGTTCATAACATTAAAATATATAGTGTATAAATATATGAAGTGTACTTTTAATTATCCAAATAATACCGACGAAGGGTAATTGAAACAATACGGATAAACCAAACTATCAGTTTTCATGCACATTGTATGCGTTCATTTCTTAAACAAATCAGTAATTTAACTTTTTTTTTTTTTTTTTTTTTATGAACGTTAAAATATTTTTCCGAATTTCGCTGCGTATTTTTCGATGTGCTGTTTTACCACTGAATTTGAATTCCTTTTGGTCGACGAAGTCCGATAGAGTTTCAACAGAAGTCATTTCTGTCTCGGGATTAATGCAATTGTTAGTATCTTCTTCGCTTGTATTTTCAATATCACTCTCTAATTCTTTTGTTATTAAGACATTTGAAACGCTTAGTACTTTCAGTGTATTCTTTACTCATTTTTTGTTAAAATTTGAAGTCAGTTTCTAAAAGAATGAGAATAAAATATACAAACGAAACAAAAAAAAATAATAATAATAAGTTCTCGTGATCAACCTGAACGGTATCTTCGACTATACACATGCAGAACAAATATTACGATGCAATAGTTGAAACTAAACTAAAAGACGCAATTCAGGAATTTTAGAGCATGTGCGTGTTTGCTTTTTACGCCGTCGCGTTAAGAGTGTGTGCGTGGCAACCGTCACGCATGGGTAATTCGCAAACCGGATAACCCGCACCGGGATAATAGAGAGTACACTGTATAAATACTTGTTTTATAACGCACTGTTTCTAAATCTTATCCCTTTACCATTTACCACACGATAATGTATAACATACTTCGCTGTTAGTGAGTTCAATGTATGAAATAATTGATTTTCTACTTTTACCAAAATAAGATATTATTGAGTTCTTTTGCTTTGAGAATTAATGGAACAATTGCCGTGAAAATTAATATATTAGTCAATGTTTATGAAAACTAAATCTCAAATTCCTTTACTCTTTCCGTAGATCCTCCTGGCCAGCCTGGCACTCCTGAGCTCACCGACTGGAACAAGGACCATGTAGACCTGCAATGGAAACCTCCGGAGTCAGACGGAAACTCGGCTATCAGTCATTATATCATAGAAAAGAGAGAAAAAGGAAATCCCAAATGGGAAAAGGCGGCTGAAGTTCCAGGAGACCAAACCAAAGGAACCGCTCCCTTCCTCACAGAAGGAAAGGATTATGAGTTCCGGGTGATCGCAGTGAACAGAGCAGGACCCGGTGAACCCAGTGAGGCATCCAAAACGGTCACTGCCAAACCACGTTTCTGTGAGTAATTTATATATTTAATTGGATATTTTAACACAATATGATTAATTAATGTAGACAAAGTTAAACATTAAGTAAAACAATGTTTTAAAAATAAACAACTGTAATTTCAGCATTTAATTAAAAGAATGTTAATTTCCCTTTTCTTTATATAATTCATCAATAAATATTCAACGCCATTTTTATTTATACAGTAATTAATACCTATACTTTTTTTTTGCTTTTCTTCGAACGCCGAAATCTACACAACTATGCTTAAATGCCTGTTCGCTGTTATATACTCTGACATGCAATGAATAATACTTCTTTGCTTTATTTCGGTAATTTAATTTGTTCATTGTATTATGCATTAATTTTTTTCACCGTATTCTCAAAGATTAATTATCGGTATTCATTCGCAAGTTATTATTTGATGATTATCAGCTATTACTATGAATCAATATGATGATTTAAGCTTTTACTATAACTTTTCGTAGTCCTCGCCAAAATGCAAATTAATCGTTCCTGTATTTAAGCTTTGAGTTTTGAAGTTTAGATTAGAACTTCTGGCAACAGCGTCTTGCTGTTTCTAAATATTGACAGCTGTAACCGAGCACTATTCCGGCATTAGCACATTACCAGCGGACGTTTTAAAATACGCTCCGATAAGTATCTAAATGTAATCTCCGACTACGTTATTTACATCTGAAATTTAACTTTCTGTTATGTTAGTTTAAATACGCGCAAGACATCGGAAGTTCTTTTGTAGCACAAGCTGTGCTTTTCTGTTCAATATAAGCTTAGATAAAAAATTTTATTTTAACTTTCTTCCACCTTTATGAATATTTTAGACTCGGCGATTAGTCGCTATATATCTAGTGGGGTCTGCAGAGCCGTGACACAACCTTCTAAATACAGCAGAACCCTCTACATTAAAAAAAGAAAAGTTCTTATTTTCTGTATATCATCACAGCTTGCCATTATCTGTTTGATTACTATGGATCATCATCTCTTTCACTACTGAAACGAATTATATTTCCTAATCTGACATTAATTTACAAGGCATAATACTCCTGTCAAATATTGATTGAGACTATAATAGAAGATAATTCATTCAGTGTATTCTATCTCTCTTTACATATACATGTGAGAAGAAATGGATATCTGGGATTTAAGACTCTTTTCATTCTAGCATTTATAGTATTTTATTAGAAAACTGTGATCTGTTTGCTGTCCTGTAATGCTAAAAGTAATTTATTTTCAGAATTGAAAATATTTTATAGGTACAAAACGTACAGTTAAAAAAATTGTATAAAATACTATAAACTTTTATTTCAGATGGATATGATAATTAATGCACTAAAAGAAGCAAAATAATTTACCATATAGTTTAATCAGAATAATGGACTAAAAATTGTATTTACATAATTTTTATGCAGTTTTATATCGCCAATAATAAAAGCGTGTGGCTCCTAAATAATGAAATGTATTAAGTTAATTGAATTCTCAAATGTATAAGCCATTATCTTTTTTAATTTATCTTGGACGGCTCACGCTTCTATTATACGTGACATGAAATTGTAGAGAATTCTGTAAATAGTATTATCTATTATTATCATTAAACTATATGATAAATTTACCTTGCTCCTTTTAATACATTAGTTATCATATCCGTTTTAAATAAAAGCTCATTGCATAAAACTATTTTAATTGTGTTTTGTTTTCTGATTTTCAGTCTCAATTTCGGGTTGCCATGATGAAATTTTTATCTATTTTTTAAAATACAAACAACAAAGTATGAGAATTATGACATAGAGACAAATAACTGAACTTTCATTCAGAGAATGAAGAAATCGCTCTTAATATTCAATTTCGGAAATTGGGTGTAATAACAATATTACAACGAGCATTTTACTTGAAACTTAAAAAAAAAAAAAAAAAAAAAATGTCGCCAATTCGTCATTAAGTGCGCCAAGATGGCAAATAAACTCAAAAGCAATTTTATGAGAGAAACAAGAAACCTTTTTCCTCTCGTCTGCTTCGGACTGCAAAACATTAAAAAAAATGTAGAAAATCATTTAGTGAGTACATTTCTAGTTTCCATGATAGCTTTGTTTTAATTTTTTGATATTTTTAAAATGAAAATAGGTTGATGTGTACATGGACAAATTTAAGGCAATGCGCAATGCCTGTTTGTGCAATTCTCTGATGTTTTCTGAAGTGAAACAGATCGACGTGTATGTATATGGACACAGAGTTTGTGCAATTCTTTGACTTTTTATTTTGGTTTTGAGTAGCGGCCATCTTGAAATTGTGCCTTCCTGGCGCCGATCTTGGAGTCAAAAAACAAGGGACACCCATTTGTAAACTGTTACCAATTTGTTTTATAATGTATGAAAAATTCAAAACTTTAAATCTTATATATTTTTAGATGTTGAAAGTTTAAAATTATGAATGTTAAATAGTCGAAAAACTAAGCGATTTTAAAAAGTTCGCCAAAAATTCAGAAATTATGTTACATTTTCATAAAAGTTCCACTGAAAAGACTTTTTCCGCTGTATTTGATGAAGCAAGATGTAAAATTATGGTATGTTTAGCTTGTTCGTTAAACGAAAAATCATTTAAAAAATGCCATATCGAATTTTGAAAAAAAAAAAAAAAAAAAAAAAAAAACTTTATATCACATTACGTTGTTATCGATAAACAATGTGTGTACAAAATTTGAATTCGATAGATTATCAGAAAGTAGGTTAAAAATCGATGAAAAAATTCCACTCAGAGTTCAACATCATAAATGAACTAAATAAAAGTTTGAAATATGCGAACCATGTATAATTATAAAGATTTTAGATGCACAAAAACTACTTTTCTCTAAAATACCTACATCAATTTCAAGGCTGAAGACTTCTTTATTTTTCTATATAAACGGAATTTTTATCGATGAATTTCTGTAGATGCCGTGGCAGGTTTAGAACGCCCATGTCATACCAGCACGCCGCCATGTCCTTCGGGAAGCGTTGAACTTCATCTTTCACTTCGTGTTTGGAGCATTACCGCCGACTATATAAATGTTCTTTCAACCTGGGGAGCAGGTGATAATCGCTGAGTGTCAGGTCCAGACTGCATGTTGAATGGGTGATGACATTCCAACCAAAACTGTGCAGAGAACGACGGTTTGACGGGCGACGTGTAGATGGATGTTGTATTGGAGAATGCTTATGCCTTACTCAACATATTCCTCTTCTCGCGTTCTGTACTCCTTTCTGAGTTTCTTCAGTGTTTAAGAGTTTTACTGTAGTCCCGCTGGGCTGAAAGTCAACAGTAACTCCATCCTGTCCCAAAACACAGTTGCCATGACCTTCACCGGTAGACAGTGTTTGAGGGAATTTTCGCGGCTTCAGCGAAAAGGGATGCCGCTACTAGCGTGACTGTTGTTTGGTCTTTGGTGTAATGTGAAATGCCCAAGTTTCATAACTCGAGATAATCAAGTGCAAAATGTTGTCTTTTCCATGTGCTTTGGGGCGAAGAAATTCGAGAGAAGCGTTTGCCGTTTGTGGTCATCTGTCGGCATACGCGGTATCCATCTTGCGAAAACCTTCCGATAGAATTCCGTACTTTTCCGTTGGAATCCTGTGGATGGTGGTTTGGGAAACCTCAGGTACCAACATGCAGGAACATCAAGACTGATCTTCTGATCTTAACTCATGTTTTCCTCAACCTTTGCGACTCTATCTTCGAAACTGACTGTCTACCGCTCTTTCCTTGGTCGTGAATTTCGGTACGATCGGCAGTAAACTCTCTACCTTACTAGCGAACCTTTATGATATCCATGCACTGTTGTCCATACATTTCAGTCAACTGGCAATGCATTTCAACCGGTTTGAATGCGTTTTACTTTCAAAAAGCGATAACTATGCAAACTTCGCACTCGGCGGTAGCGTTCAGCGGGAGCTCTATTTTGAATGGCCTGCTAAGCCAAAACTGAGTATCCGGTGAAGGGCGCGCATGCTTATCTGGGAGTGTAGGAAGTGCTACTCACGACAGTGTGGCCCAAAACCACACAAATAGTTTCACCGTCTCCAGAAAATAAGAGACCTTATTTTTTGGACTGCCCTTGTATACAGCCATGTTTTCATATTCATTTATTCTTCAGTTTTATAACCATTGTTATTTAAGAACGTAATATAAACGAATTTTTTAAATGTCTTAATTCGTTATTAGATAATACGATTTCCAGTGCTTCTTTTTTCAAAATAATTGAATAACAAACACTATTTTAACAAACACTATGTTAAACTTTTATACGATAAATATAGTGCTATTTTATATGCAGAAATGTATCATAGCCATCATATTATTACCTTCTTTAAACTGAATACGTATTTTTCTCTCGTTAACTAAACAGTGGCACCTCAGATTGACAGAAAAAATCTGCAAGACATTACGATAAAGGCTGGACAGACAATCAAGTTCGATGTGAATGTCATTGGCGAACCTCCACCAACTATTGTTTGGACCATAAATGACGTAGAAGTGAAGCCGTCGGATAGAATTATGCTTACCAACGAAGATTACAACACCAAATTAATCATCAGGAGAGCAACGAGGGCGGAAAATGGAAAGTTTGTCATAACAGCAACAAACAGCTCTGGAAGGGATGCTGCAAATGTTCTTGTGACCGTGCAAGGTAAGCAAGCAAAATTCGAAAATAATTATTAACCGTATAAACAATGGTTGCTAGTATCTGCTGCCAAATAAAAAATTTAATAGATTAGGGAACTTTTAAAACGAGGAAGGGGAAAAAAGAAACTTAACCATTTAGGTGCACTAAATGCACTACGCACTACGTAGGCTTTCTTTATAACCAAAGCAGTTTCGTTGTTGTATTGCTAGAAATTTATGGAAGGAAATATAAAATTTTAATTTCATTGAAATCAACAATGTTTATTAAAAGACGGCTAAACTTAATAGCATAAAGGAATTTATAATTGGAATGATGTAGTTAGAGTAAGATAAGAAAGAAATTTTCAATAAAGCTGAAATCTGAATGTTATCAACGGCTATTGATTTAATATGCGTGAAAAAAAACATTAATTTTGATATTTTCACACAAGAATGAATTTTTAATGAAATGAATGCAATTTCAGTGTCAACATTCATTAGTATCGGACCGATTTATGTTAATTAATCTGTTACTAATATTTGAAGCTAAACTTCTTCTATTCGTAGTCCTGACAAGAATAGAAATAAGTTGCTGAAACTTCTTTTCGCAGTCCTCATAAGAATGAAAATTAGTTGTTGGATATTTAAGTCGAGGGTTTGAATGTTTCATAGTCAGAACTTCTAGCAGCTTCTTCTTGCAGTTACGTACTATCGCTAGCTTTTCCAAAGTTTATTACGGTATTAGCCATTTTGCTAGCAGACATTAAAAGTGCCATTGATGACTTGAGCCAGCTTAAGCATACTACATTTTATGTAGTCTCAGACTGCGTTACTCCAATTTAATATTTTAAAATTATGTTATTTTAAATACCCGAAAGTGGCGTGATTTCGTCTGTAGCAAACGCAGTGCCTTCTGTTAATTTCCGTAGTTCAATAAAAAGGTTGTTTAACATTTTTGAAACATTGTCGTCTTATTTCAAACTAGAATACTAACTCACTTGTCATTCTAGTGAAGTCTAAAGGACATTGAGTTAAACTTCTACGTATAGCCGAACCCTATACCGTTAGAGTAAATTAAATATAATAATGATAGAATTTAATTATGCCTCAAAGTAAAGGAAATCAATAGAAATTATAATACAATTTTGTGAAGATTAAATTTTTAATTTTTATTCTTCCACTTATTAGCTCATGGAATATGAAAACTGATTTGGTAATTTATTTTATAATACTCTGACACGTTAATTTTCATGTATCCAGACAAGCCATCAAAGCCTCAGGGGCCACTGGAAGTATCAGATGTTCACAAAGAGGGTTGTAAATTGAAATGGAAAAAGCCCGACGATGATGGTGGTGTTCCTCTAGAGGGTTATCTTGTGGAAAAAATGGACGAAGAAACAGGGGCCTGGGTTCCTGTTGGAAAGACCAAAGAGCCAGGTATACTTGGAACTTGGTGCATTGTTTTAAATGTTTGAAATGAACTTTTTAATTCTCAAACGTAAGACATTAGCTTGTTAAAATGTTCTTTAACATACATGTAACGTTCTTTAACTTACCATGATAAAAATTTCATAAACTTAAAAGACTAATTAACTTTTAAAAATGCATCACTGCTTAAAACGTTAACAAGCTAAATTTATGAGACTTCAGCTGGAACTGGAAGTTAGAAATATAATGCAGTAGGCGACACTTAATTGTTATCATATTTGTCCATGACTATTTTGTTAACATTAACCGAATAATAGCATTAAGCGCTGAGAAAAATATCCTTAAAATCAGCAATGGTATTCTGAAACTTCTTTTTTTTTTACAGGAATGGATGTGACTGGATTGACTCCAGGCAAAAAGTACAAGTTCCGCGTTCGAGCTGTAAATAAAGAAGGAGAATCTGATCCTTTGGAAACCAAAGATGCTATAACTGCCAAAAATCCATTCGGTAAGAAATTAAAATGAATTATATATTAATTAATACAGCATAATATATTTTAAAAAATCTGAAAGTTGCTTTCCCAGTTCCTTTTTTCTTGCAGTGGAAGCTTCCCTTTTGCTATGATTTGGATCAGTTTTTATATTACTTTTATTACGACAGATTTATCTTTTAGGAACACCGCGTATAGAAAATTTGGATAAATTTCATCTTTTATGCACTTCCAGCAAATTTTATCTTCTGTCAACAAATTTCCATTTTTAAAAGGGATAGCAAGGAAGGAAGAATTTGAGTTCGGAAAAGAAAAGAGAGAGAATTCTTAATTTGAGGAATGTAAATGAACATTTCTACAGGATAATTTTCGAGACCAGTGCGATTCTTCCAACTAAAGTGAAGTTCGCAAATTGCAAATAAAAACACGAGCACACAATTTTATCTCATACACAAAGTGACATGTTTTCTTTACAGTGATAAAGATTAATATGGTACACAAAACAGAGAAGAAATTTAATACTTAACAAAACATTATTCTCTATTATTAGTAAAATAAATTAAAAATAATATCTCATCAAATAATTACACTTATTGGAAAATTAACTTTAGAAAAATAAACAATCAGTTACTTAACAAAAAGAAAATTAAAAAAATTTTTATATATAAATTACACTTTTATTCCCCGTAATATGTTTACGACAAATGTTAACACAAAATGTTTCCAGCTTTCGTAGATTTGAAAAGAAGAATGATTTATTTAAAGCTGTGATTTTTAACCACTTTTGACCCGCGGCACAACAGATTTCTCTTTGTGACAGGTTATCATATATATTCCCTGACAATCAGGGAAAGTCAGTGACTTTTCCATTACATGTTTCTTTAACTTTTGTATAATTTGTCCATCAATTATTAATGTAGTACATACCTCTTTTTAGATTAAAGGAAAGCTAAATTGCCGTTTGGTTCTAGTTCCGATATAATTGTTAACAATATGGCATGACTTATAACACAAATTCATTCCTGTTTCCATTAAATTATTAAAAAATTATAAAAACTTTTGCATTATACTGGCTTCCGAAGTAAATCTTATGCAATAAGTCCCCAATGAGACACAGATAAATATTCGTTCTTAAATGTTGTTCTATTTCAATGCTTTTTAAACTGAAATAAAATTGTATAATGAAAGAGCATCCTAATGCCATGTTAAAGTCTGCAGCAGTGGTTCTCACCCATTTTTGCCCCATGCACCCCTTTTGCCATTCATTCCTCCCTCTTTCCAAAATATGAAAAATACATATATACATTTTAGATTTAGATTCTCTTTTACATGTTTTATAAATTAAGTGATAAAAAGTATCGAAAATGTTGGTAAATACCAAAACTTCATTAATTTTAATTTTTTGCATAACTAAAATTAAATCCTTAATAGCTAATAAAACGTTGATCGCATTCACCCGCTTTGAAATTGTGAAATTCTTTCCTAGTCGAGAACCCCTGGTCTGCGGTTAAAATATGACTCAGTTACTGGCTTTCGTTTATCCATTTTGTTTTTCCTTGAGATTGCAAATGAAAAGAAAATTTAGTGACGCTTAGATCTGGAATCTGGAGATATCCTTAAATTTTGTTTGTGAAAACATGTGCTATTTTGAAAATTTGAAAACCTCATTGGCACTTAAATAATGATTAATAAAATCACTGTCAAGCAAATAACAATGAAATCGTCTTCAGAATCTAAGCTGTATTTTAGTATCATTATATTTAACATCGATCATTCCACATTACAGATGAACCAGGAAAACCAGGAGATTTAACAGTCACTGACTGGGATAAAGACCACATCGATCTCAAATGGACACCTCCAGAGACGGATGGTGGATCGCCTATAACTGGGTACACTATTGAAGTAAAAGACAAATTAGGAAACTGGGAGAAAGCTATGGATGTTCCTGCGGGTCAAACTACAGCATCAGTGGAAGATCTTGTTCCTGGACAGGCCTACGAATTCCGTGTCAGAGCCGTTAACAAGGCTGGTCCTGGTGAACCTAGCAACACTACTCCATCCACTATTGCTAAACCTAGAAGGTGTAAGTATTTCGTTTGATAATGTTTTCATTTTTCTAATTTTTCATTATTTAATAATTATTTCAAAACAGCTGATGATTAAAAAATATAAAACTAATTTTCAGTGCCTCCTAAAATCGATCGTTCAACTCTGCATAAAATCCGAGTGAAAGCGGGACAATCATTCCACTTTGAAGCAAATGTAATTGGTGAGCCACCTCCAACGATGACCTGGACATTACGAGGCAATACAGTTGAAGCAGGTGATCGTATCAGAATAATGAATGAAGAATACAGTACTCGCATAAGTGTCCGTCAGTGTAGAAGAGATGACAATGGAGTGTATACTCTCATAGCCTCAAATGAACATGGAAAAGATGAAGCAGAAGTTGAAGCTGTTGTATATGGTATGCACACCATTCTCTAGATTAATATGTCTTACAATGTATGAAAAATCTAATAATTTGTATTTAAATATGGCTATTTAATTGGTAAGTTATTAAAGTGCTAACTGATAAGTAGCTTTTAGTAAAAGAATACTGGATGCCAAGAATATCAAATATCAGAAATAATTGTTAATTAAATTGTGCCTGAGTTTTGTCCGCAATAGCCCAAATTATAAAGATAAATAATTAATTACCCTGTCATATACGCTAAAGGAAATAACGGTGTTCACATGTGAATTAATTTTTATTTAATAATTATAACTGCAGTAACTGGTACTTATCATAAGATCAAAAACAGAGCTGCTTATTAATCCCATGCCACAAAAAAGGTCCTTCGAATTTGTTGCTCTGAATCGCAATACAGGGAGCAAATGGCTATCTGGATTTATCCTCGCAAACAATTACCTCTCGGGCACTTGGCCTATAGATTTTCAAATGGAATTTACCATGGATGTATAATGGGTAAATATTATTTGGCCAGATTATTCTGCGCAGACAAATCTAAGTCAGATAATTCTTGTCTCGCGTCTCGACATAAAGACGAAATAGGCGAAAAAAAATTCTTTTATTCTTCAAGACTCTCGGAAATAATAATTCATGCTGATGTTTCTAAGACAGCAACTTCGGTGAAGGATGGAGTTATAGATGATAACTTGTGGACGTTTAACAAATTCTTTTCATTAAAAAAGGTACTAAAAAGAACAAATTTCTTCTGAAACCGTTGAGTACAAGCGGAGAAGAGGTTTTTATAGCCATTCAAAACAAAACATCCTTTCTCTGTCTCGCCATTCAAAACAAGGAAAAACGGTCAGACGAAGTATTCACACCAACCGTCGCTGCCACGAAGTAGTTTAGAAAATCGGAGTGAAAAATGTGAGGCTTGCTCTCACATAGCTGAAATTTGTTTTCCATTTCTGCATATAGCCAAGAAAATCATCTCTTAAATAAAGGTACTTTATTTTAAAAAATTCTTTTATTATATGTGTTTGTGGAATGGAAGCATACTTATTTGATGTTTCTGTTTAGACAAAACTCAGGTCTTAGACTTGACGGTAGCTGTAAAAAGAACTAAAAATAGACATTCAAAAGATAACGCCGTATAGTTAAACTCAAGATACATAAAGGTTTTCTCTGTAGCTGTTACAAGTCTAGAGTGAACGTTGCTTAAATTGAAATTATGTACTTACTAATATTTTAATTTCCTGTACTGCTTATGGTAACTTAATTTGTGTTTTCATATAAGTCTTAAATTTATAATATTTATATAAATTATTTTAGCATTTTAAAAAGGACATAAAAAACTAAGTTGTAATCCCATGCTAGAGCAGTATTTTTGTTTTTTTCATTTCTGTTGGAATTCTTAATGGTGGAAATAGGATAACTACTTACATTTCAATGATGTGTTTTTATTGTAACATCTGACTGAAAATAAAAGAAAAAAATACATGCATTGTCAAGTGATTTTATGTATATGTAATATGATTGCATATACAAGAATGATTCGATTTCAAATTACGTATTTTAATACATCATATAAAACAAAAACTGTTAACACTTCATTTTCAAGTGATTTATGTGAATTTTTAGCTACACGACTGCGAAAAAGTAGATAATCATATTTTTGCACGTTTTCTCCAGTGTACTATTTATTCCCGCTTCTTAGAAATAGCACTGCAAGTTTTAGAGTTCAGGTAGCTTTGTGTAAAAAGTTTAGCAAAGATCATATTTGTTAATCACAATATCTTAATTTCCCTCCTCCGCCAAATATCGATCTAGCGACTTTAAGAACTTCATCATCATGTCTACTGCAATATAAGGTGCCATGGAGTGTATCAAATTGAGTTGTCTTTCAATAGTTTTACAAATATTTAATATTATATTTTTAATTGCAAATAGTTGACAAATTCTTTCATTAAAAACTCAATACATACGCAGCAGAAATCGTTTATGATCGCGGTTAATGTTATTCGAATATTGTTATCAAACTGCGGAAGTTCCACCGGTTTGTATATGAAAATATGCAAAATATAACTCTTATTGTGATCCGCAACTGAGTTAAGTTTATTAAAACGTCATAAAATGAATATTTCAAGTAAATCTCCAAATAGAGTCAAAATGAAGTTAAAAAATTGCGAAATGACTAAGAAATGTCATCAAGTAAGGGATTAAGTCAATAAACTGCTTAATTTTTACTCTAATTAGCCATTTTGGCACACATTTTTGAAAACTCTTTTGATTTCGAGAATGATCAAACAGTTTTCTCTTCTTCAAACAAAAGATTACAAGAGCTGTTTTCCAAGGGATTTCTGAAAAAAACAAATCCATGCACATCATGTTATTAACTTTCTGAATTACATCGTAAAGGGGGAATCGCGGAATTCTCTATAAATGCTGATATAAGGAACCTCCTCCGAGTATTAAGATTAAAGGTATCAAATAATTCCCAGAAAATGAGACGCAGTTCATAAATAAACTTTTGCATAATACTTGTAGACCATCCACTAATAATGACTTAATTTGCAGTTAAAATGTGTGAAATTAAGTATTCATATCTCTACTTATGTTTATATTAAACTTGTTCAATTCTATTGCTGATTTGAAAGACATTCTCTCTCATCGTTTAATATTATTATTCGGTTAATGCTATCAGAATATCATCCGCTGTTGACATTCCAGCACTGCCAAGTTTTTCTTCCTGCAGCTGTTTCCAGACTTATCCTCGCTGTATGATGAGAGGTACAACAACGACTACAGTAAAAGCATAATAAATAAAAAAGTAATAATTAATAAATTACAGGTAATAATCATAATAATATGCTTGATCCCATTACCTGACGCCTACTGTAATATCTTACGAGTAATTGTTTCTGATTATATAGATCATGATATTTACTCTATTGACTAGTTACATTATATTTTACTTAATATACATTTTACTAAAAGGGATGACAATTGTTTTCTTTTTTTAACTTTATTGATGAAATATAATAACATCACATTATTTCCTGCGATATATAAGTTTGTAAGAAACTTCATGTCCTCAAATTAATATTGTGTTTTTGTATTTCAGATGTTTACTAGCTTACTTTATGTTTAATTCGGTTTCTTGCGTACAGTTACAAAGAGCCAGAAATTACTGTACCTTAGTATTACTTCTCTTTTTCGTCTTTTGTTTTTGTATTTTAAATATACAATTATGTTGCAGATAAGCCCACACCACCTGGTGGACCTTTGAAAATACAAGACGTAACGGCAGAAGGCTGCAACTTGTCCTGGAAGCCGCCATCAGATGATGGAGGTTTGCCCATCGATCACTATTTTGTCGAGAAAATGGATCCCAAGACAGGAGTTTGGACTCCAGTTGGGGAGACTATTGGACCAGACACATCAATGAAGGTTATTTGAGTTTTCTAATTATATGCTTTCATTCGAAGCAATCTTTCTGTAATATTGTATTTATTGCCATATTTCCTCCCCCTTTTTTATGGATTTTACTGTCCAAAAATCGATAGGGGAAAATCATGCGAATTATTTAATTTCCCAAAGACACGACTGTTATGTCGTGGAGCAAAAACAATTTTACTTTACACCTGACTGCCACTAGCTCCGACATAGCAATGTGAATATTCTACATCTAAAATTTTAAACACCATTCCAGAATTTAAATTGTTTATTTAATAGAATTCTATTCATATATTTGCAAGTTATACACTATAAACACAATAACAAAATTTGAACTTATCTGCACCAGCGTGAATAAGCCTGGCATAATATTCTGAACTCGACGTAACTTTAGGAAAAAAATTACCGCAAATTCAAACACAAGGTTTCATCCTTTCCAACGCAGCTAATTTTCTAAATATATTTTACTAATATCTGCAGCGGGACAGCGGATTCATTTCATTCACCCAAAACTCAAATGTGGTGACGCAATAGTATCGCAAAAGACGCAAAAAAACATCGACTCAAAATCAAAATATTAAAATCTATAGAATATCATCCGCTGTTGACATTCCAGCACTGCCAAGTTTTTCTTCCTGCAGCTGTTTCCAGACTTATCCTCGCTGTATGATGAGAGGTACAACAAACGACTACAGTAAAAGCATAATAAATAAAAAGTAATAATTAATAAATTACAGGTAATAATCATAATAATATTTCTAAAAAAACCTATATTACTATAAAAATACATAGCGATATTAGCATTGCAGTATCTAATAAAATATCTTTATTTGTACTTCCCTGTAACTTGAATCTTTCCCGTCCTTATTGCAATGTCTGCTCTTTAAACCTCAAATCATCCACATAAAATAAGGGAAAGCGAATGTGCAACTGAGTAAAATCGTAGATTGAATGTCAGTTCGTGTTTGCTTCGCTGCGTTTTCTTGGTTCTTGTATTGAACTAAAATAAAGTTCAACGATTAAAGGGAAAATGTTCGACGTGTTATGCGCAGATAAGAGTAGTTTGCAAGTATATTTCTTTGTTGGTAAGACAAAAACAGTCACTGTATGGACGAAACTATTTTAAAATTTAGGGGAGTCTCGTTGTCTAAATGCATTGAGGATGGGAAATATTACAAAGAAAATGGTTTGAAAAAACTTAGCAGCTTGTTTGGACGAAATTCCAGGTCCTAAATATGCCTTATGACATATGTCTTATGACGGAGAAAGCCATTTTTTTAGATTTATAATTTAAATATTTTAACCGGGAAAAACAACTTAGCTATTTACCTTATTTCCCCCTTTTTGAATGAATTATATCCTCCGAAAATCGAGAGAGGAAAATTATGCGAGTAATTTAATTTCCGGAGAACGCGGTTAGTAAGAATATAACAAATGAAAAGAAGTCATGGATAAAACTACAGGTAACTACCCAAATATTTCTTCATTTAAAAAAAACCTATATTTCAATAAAATATATAGTAGTACTACTACATTACCATATTTGACGGATATGAGCCGATACTTCATGGATATCTGACGGCAACTGAGCTTCGCTAAATTGCCTTGTAAAACCCCAGGGCCATCTCATATGAATGAGTCTTGACAGCAGAAGAAGGAAGGAGAGGGAGGGGAAGAAAAGACTGGAATTTCGAAAGATCGAGCACATCTGCTCTAGGTAAAGCTACAATGAACTGGAATGTAAATCATAAAAGTATAGTGAAATCACATGCTTAGAAAGTTTGTTAAGTGTGAGAACACCCGCCATGTCCGGGTAGCTTAACGCAGAATCTGCACAAAATTTTAAAATAACAAATGCAAGGACGAATAAAATATATACAAAAATACAAATACAAATTGAATATACTGAATAAAAATAAAGTAGTCAATTTACCAATAAATTAGCCCTCAGAGGGAAAAGGGAATATATATAATAGAGGAAGTTGAAAATTTTGCGAATACTTTCTTAATTTTCAGAACCTAGCAGTAAATAGCGGGGATACGAGACTGAATATAGTGTATTCTATAAGTTCTACATTCTATGAAACAGTTAATTTGTCTATTATTATTTATTTTCTTTGACACTGGCAGCTTATATATTCTTTTGAAACGCTTTTATAACATACACCTAGCTACAAAATTTACATTAGATTTACATTATTTGAACTAGGAGATAATTTAGTTTTCCCAAATATCTTCCTATGTCATCGTTCAGAAGAATTATCTATATTATTTTCAAATCAATCATTAATTAATTTTGTTATTAAGCTATAAATGCTAATTAAGCTTTGAGTTTAATTAGCATTTATAGCTTAATAGCTTTTTAAAGTTTTTATATTTAAGCTTTGATTAAAGCTTTGATTTTTTATATCGTAATTTAAATCTATCTTAGTGTTTGAAAGTTCACAACTTGCTGTTAGCTCTTTAAGTGTGTTACCTTCGTAAGTCAATGCTTGATTTTTAAGCTCGAATCTATCGATGGGCTCAGTTTTAATCAAAAGCGTTAGAAATACCTTTTTTGTGATTTTTATTGGTTTTCCGTTTTTGTTTTAAATAATCATTTTTACTTTTTGTATTTACGTCATGAATAAGGTAAAAAGAAAGCTAAATATATCTAGAATGAAACCCAAAACTAGAAATACGTTTTTAAAAGAGAGAAATAAAAATACATTGCAACAATCAATGAAATGAAGATGTTCTTATAACATTTTAACTTTTTCAAAAATGGTGTTTTTCATTTTTCAGGTAAAAGGACTTCAGCCAGGAAGGAGCTACAAATTTAGAGTACGAGCTGCAAATAGGCAAGGCGAATCGGAACCATTAGAAGCAGACAAAACCATCGTAGCAAGAAATCCTTTCGGTTAGCAACACTGAAAATTGTTTTAAATAATTTTGATTATTACTCAGAAGCAATGCATTTTATACTGGTGTTTTACAGATAAACAGTTTCGTAGTCAGAGAAGAAATCACAGTACTTAAAAATTAATATTATAATTTTTTAACAATAATGTTTATTAAAATAATATAATAAGCTATTTCATTATGCTCGCTTTTAAATAATCATTGACTGAATTCATTTAGGTATTTATATGATCATTGTATTAATGTAAGCTTGCGTGTGTTTCGAAATAATGTCTAAAGAAACCTAGAGTTACAGAAAAAAAATCAGATGGCTATATTACCAATTTTAAGTATCGAATTCTTATTTTTCAGTCTTTTAAAGTAACTAAAATGCGGAAGAAAGGGGATAGCCTTATTATTAATTAAAAGCATCAAACTCCACATTTATAAAACAGTAATAGGAGTTCAAAATATTTAAAAGATTGTATAAAAAGACTGCTAATTTTTTTATTTATGAAAGCGTTACTTAGATGAAATATTTTCTCTTCTATTTTTAGTAATGAAACGAAAAGTGTTAAGGAGCGGGGAAAATATCCAAATCAGCATTTTGGTAAATTTGCTTTCTAATACAAGAATAATATTCAAAATTTGACAAAAGAAGACTTAAAGGTCTTTTTCTCCGAAAGATTTACTTATAACCTGAAAAAATGATAGTTATGCTCTAGCAAAACTATAACTAAGTATATTTGAAACCATAGACATAACCTGAGCGGAAAAAACTCACCGAATAACGTTTATTATTGAGTACTAAAGCAACAAGAATCAGCGTAATATTCATAAATTTGAAAGACAAGTTCCTAAGGCTTAAATATAGAACCATCTTCTTCTGCTGCAGAAGTGCAAATGGTTTTGCAGAAGTGCAAATGGTTTTGCATGTGTAGTCATTTCTACGTCCCAGTTTTACAAATTTGTAGTGAGTCATTTGCACTTCTGCAGCTGAAGAAGTAGCTGTATATTTAAACCTTCGAAACTAATTCTGCAAATTTACAAATATTGCTCTAATTCTTGTTGTATTAGCACCTCCAATAACAAAGCAGTAAAACTCAATTGCATATGCCTGCTAAGCGCATTCAGATTCAATATGGATTACATACAAATTAATGTAATATTCTCGCTAAATAAATTAGCCTTTTACGTAAGTTAAATAAAGTTTTTACATCAACTGTTAAATAGAGTGGTACATCGGGCATATGTTAATAATCCGCTCCAGACCTTTGAACGCATACTAGACTACATGTTTACAAAATGAAATTTTCCAGTAAGGAATAAAGGGAAAATTATTAATCCATTCTCATGAAAAAATCATGTCGTTACTATTATAACACCGTTTAATATTAAAATACAAATGCAGCGGGTGAAATATATACTGTACATAAATGAAGCACTGCTGTATCACACTATGTATCATACTGTACATAAATGCTTTTTTTTCTCCAGATCAAAGACAGTTTGAACAGCTTTAATGTCTCTAATGAACAGCTTATTTATTTAATAATTTAATCGATTTCATCTCCATTCGCAAAGTTAGCCAACTTAATACCGGCTTTGTTTTCAGTCTTATATATATTTGCATTCGGCACATGGTATGCAATGCGGAAGAAATGGTATGCATTCGGCTAAGTCCTGGTTACGCATGCCATCTTTATACTTTTCAAAAAACCCTTTTTTAAACTCCTAGATAATACTAACCATTGTTTTTATTGCTTGGCTCTTCTCATCAGCTTTCCTAAAACTCATTTTTAATGATTTTACAAAACATTTACTTGAAAAAACACAAAATCACTTGAAAATTGGGACTTGCAATTCGGGTTGTTTACTGAATAGCATCAACAAGCGTACTAACGCTCTTGGGCAGTCATTGCACTGTCTAAAAAAACGTAAAGAAAGGTAGTGCGTGCAGTCGAGATTAATCAAACTCGAATCGTATTTCAAGCAAATATTTTGTAAAAAAAAAAAAAAAAAAAAAAAAAAAAAAAAAAAAAAAAAACATTTCGCCTCCAGATAGGACGTATACAGAGTTAGATGTATTTTAAAGCGACGTAAACCGGGATACCACATTATATTAGTTCTTATTTTGAAGCATAAATATTTCAGTTTTCCTGTTTACAGATTAAAGCTTAACAATCTGTAAATATTCTGAAATACTGCAGTTTGACAAGGAGTATTCTTTTATATTCTTGCCATTTCAGGAATTATTTCATATTCATTTTTTAATATAAAATGTAATTCAAGAAATTATAAAACAGTTCGATAAAGCTGTAAAGAATTGTTGTAATAGAAACTTTTACCTTTAGATGAACCCGGAAAACCAGGTACACCGGAAATCGAGGACTATGACAGAGAATTCGTAAAACTGAAATGGACCGCTCCAGAATCAGACGGCGGATCTCCGATTACTGGATACATTATTGAGAAAAAAGACAAATTAAGGTGAGAACCATACTTTATCATAAAACAGATAGAAATTTAAATCTTAAACTAAATTCAGGGGAGTAACAGCCCTCAGTGAGCCATGGTCTGCAGTGCCCTCTTCCATCCGTGGAACGGTGTTTGGTACACCAGGGTACCTGAGCGACAAGGCTTTACCACTTGTAGAACAGTTTAAGAATTGCGAATAGTATGATGAAATAACCTAAAAGATATCTAAGGTAATTTGTTTTTCATAATAAAGTTTTTAAAGTGGATAATTAATAATTTAGAATTCATATTTAAGCCAGGAGTTAGAGAATGCTAATTAAAGTATTAAGCTATGTCAAATGAATGCAGGCCAGAAGTCGTCGAGCTGGTGAGCATGTGGATAAAGGCGAGGTTAGGCGAACACTTGGTAATTTGAATCCGATAAGTAAGATATAAATACTATGAACGTAAGACTAAAAAGAATGCATAGCAGATACAGTAAGAGAAGATTAACATAAACCGTAAAGGCCTTATAATAAATATTCCATAATATATACATTCAGTTGGCCCACTCGCCTGTCCTTATTTTCTAGGTCATTGTAGTCATAATTGCGAATCTTGATGGACGAGTTGTCAATTGTTTTTTGTCTATCATGAAAGCTTTTAGCAAGTTTTTAATAATGTGAGCGTAGCTACTCCATATCCAGTTCTTCATGAATTCTATTGTTGCGGATATACAGTGCCCTGAAATCTGCTTTCTGGACCATAGGCCCCAGGATTCATGAGCATATACCCTGGACAAAGAGATCAGCTTGTCGCAGGACCCTCGGTGCTAAGTCCCCAAGCAAACCTGGTACTCATTTTATCTACCCACTCAAGGGATGAAAGGCTGAGTCAACCTTACCCAGCCCGGGGTTGGAATCCCAGACCTGTGGTGTTGCTACGCGCCGCGATAACCACTGTGCCACCAGGCGTGCAATTCAAGTCTTACTGAATGCAAATTGAAAGTTGATCAATTGCCTGTCTGGTGGAAGGAAACTACTGTCATGTTAAACTGACAAGAGCAATCTACCAATTACGTATAAGTTTGGTAGTTCATACCTGTGTCCATCTGCCTATACTTTTATTAAGAATTATTTCATGTTGTGTTTCCTAATTGTGTGGCCCAGCCCGTATAGCGATTAGTGACCCTGACTGCGTAGCGATGGGATGGGGTTCGAATCCCGGGGAAAATATGGTTGTAACTGTACGTTTCTTAAAAGGAGGCAACGATGGCCACCTTTTGGGTGCTTCCATAATGAAATGGCTACCACTTCCAGCCTTTGTAGTGGCGCAAGGCTAATGGCTGTTAAATAAAAAGACCGGCCATTAAAAAAAATATTTTCTAATTTTCAGGCGAAATTCTTATCTACAAGAACATCTCGTAAGGTAAAGACTTCGTAATTAATAATTATATTATGCGTTTCTCGTACTTTCAGAAATATCTGTTCCCCCCCATTACAATGTTAGATTTGTCTACGTACAAAATGGAGAAAATGTCTATACAGTAATTTAAACATCTAAATTTCTATTACATATCAAATATAAGTAAAATATTTTTAATACAGAAATATTTTAGATTCAGCATAACAGTTATCTGGGAGCAATAATGGATGGTAATTTGCTTTATTCTTACAGTAGACACCGTGTAAGGTATTGTATTAATGTTTTCATTCGGATATTGTTATCGTTTTGCCGAAGTCCCGCCCGTTTGTGTACGAAAGCATGGAAAATACATCTTATTGTGATCTACAGTTTGTTTAATATGATTCAAACCATTATAGAATACTTTTTTGAATTGAAATAAAGTCTCTAAATCAAAATAGATTATAAAAGTTGCCAAGTTCAGAGAAATGTCGCCAAATAAGGGTGACCAATCCGCAAATGAAAGATAGGTTCACCAAATAAGTTCAAAATGCATTGTAAAATTTCCACTTTACAGAGAAATACCGTTAAATGAAGTATTAAGTTCCCAAAATATTGGTATGGATTTTAGTCAACCATCTAAAATTAGGGTGAAAAGTATTTTGACATAGATTTTCCATGATTATACCGATTTTGAGGTGATCAGATATAGGTCCTTCATCTTGAGGAGCAAAAACAGTTCTGCAGAATTGTTTCCCTTAAAAACAATTCCCTGATAACATCTACGCCAAATTAAAGTTGCTTTTTTGCCTAATTTTAAATTTTACACTGGCGAGTTCTCTTCTGATGAGAGGTGACCTCTGAGTATTCGGATTAAAAGTACAGCATCAGTCTAGCAATTTCAGAAACGTGAAAAAGAGCTTGTAAATAAACATTTTCATTATAGTCATTATGAACCATTGCGATGCTTTTATAATATTACATTTAAAAAATTGTATTTCACATATCAACAATATTAAAATTGCTAATCGTTTTTAATGCCTCATACATTCATCTAAATTAATTTACTAGCTATTGAAATAAATGTATATTGCATTATAGGTGCATCTTTATTGTTTAAATCAGTCATTCCTGAAGAATGGTTCATGGCCCTTCAAGGGGCCAAGATACAATAGTTGGCAGGTTGCGGAAAATTAAACAATTTTTAATCGATTTTCTAATTATACAAATAATTAATCTAATATCTATATAATTCAAGGTTATTAATAGTAAACTTATTCTCAGATTGCTTATCCGTTCAGACTACTAACGTTACTGACTGAAATGAGAGACAGTACAATTTTCGACCACGTAGGAAATCTTCAAAATGGCCTTTGATGAGTGGCAACAATATTTTGCAATGAGTCGTCCTTTGGCAATACTATATTTCTGAAACGATGTTACTAATTTGGAAACGCACTATGCATTCTATTAAATGTAAACATCATTATGCATAAATAACTATTAATACTGGAATACTAGAAAGACGTAACTACGAATATTTATAAAATTATGTATAAGTAATGAAATGAATAAATGAAAGTCATGCGTAAACGGAAACGAATGTTATTTAAAATTCATGTGCAAAACTTGTCCATCATTTGTTTAATTACTTTTTTCTACAGTCCTGATTGGACAGCCGTACAGGAAGTTCCAGGAGATCAAACAACGGCCACAGTGCGTGACCTGATAGAAAACGGAGTATACGAGTTCAGAATACGAGCTGTAAACAAAGGTGGTCAGGGAGAACCTAGTGATTCAACTGGACAGCATGTTGCCAAACCTAAAAACCGTAAGTAAGAGTGTCATGAACTAACTCAGATGTATAGCCTTTTGGGGCTTGAAATATTTCAAAAATTAGATGAATATTTAATACACATTCCACCATCACAAAAGGACTTCACAACAGAGAGCGTAAAATTAGATTAAATTATTATTTCATTTTCAAACCTTCAAATTCCTTATAAGAGATTATGTTATATAATTTCTTATAAGAGATTATGTTATATAATTCCTTATCAAAGAATCTTTTCATTTTATTCATTGAAGATGAAATTTTAACAAATTATAAATGTTATCATCACTATTGTTCATAATATTCATAACTATTATAATCATATATATAGCAGATAATAAATTAACATGATATATAGATAAATTAAATTACTAATAATATTAAGTATAACAGAGAAAATCATCGAAGGTAAAAACGTGGCGGAGTAAACAACACAAGGGTAAAATATACTCATAAGAAAGATTGCCGAAGAAAAGAAAACAAAAAAAAAAAAAAAAAAAAAAAAAAAAAAAACATCGCAGTTCTAAAATGTCGCTGTGCAAAACATCATCGTCAAAAATAAGGTGATTAAAAATATCGCAGTTTTAAAACATGGTCGTCGAACATATCGTGGCAAAAAAATAAAGCAAGTACAAATCATTGTATGGCGATAACATCGCAGACGTGCTTTTTCAGGTTTTAAAAATTGTAACTGCGTATTCGCATAGTGATTTGGGAGCGTAAGAAGTAATGAGGAATATTTTTACTTTTATATTTCATATTTTTTAATTAACGAATAATTTTTATTCAAAAAGTAAGAAGGAAAAATCAGCATTAAAAACGGAAAATAAGTAAAACATTATGATACTTTTAGAAATTAATAGAATGTTAAACTTACATAGCTAGCTAATAAATGTTATTAATTAATTAAATTTCCTTTGTAATGTTTTATTGTTAATTTTCATAAAATATGTTGTCCAAGAAAGATTAGAAAAAGTAACATAAGTAACTATTGCGTCTATGAAAAGTGTTTAATTAGTTATCAAAAAGTAAAATAATTTTCTTTCGCCTTTGGTATTTTTTTTTTTTTTTTTTTTTTTTTTTGTGAAAATTAAACCTTTCTTTGTTACACTTCATTCGTCTTCTTAAAATCTAATTCACTTTTTCATGTACTGCGTGCAGTTAAATTTATTACTTAATTAAAAAACATGAAATTACAAAAGTGAAAATATTCCTCATTCCTTTTGCCCTTCCAAATAATTACATGAATATGCGCTTACGACCTTTAAAGCTTGAAAAAACCATGTCCGCGATGCAATCTTCGGGCAATGATATATAGGTGCTTTAGTTTTTACCACCACACTTTCGAAGACGATATTTTCAAATTGCGATGTTTATGAACGGCTTTATTTTCGATGATGTTTTAGAACCGCGATGCTTGCTTTCTTTTCTTCCGCGATGTTTTCGACGACGACGTTTCGCCTTAGAGTTGTTTTCGCAGCGACATTTTCGTCCGCGATAATTTTTGCTGCAGTGTTTTCGACGAACACCAGAGTAACAACTAACTTCATATTAAACTCGAAATATTTTTTAAAAAATTCTGTGATATCATAAAATATTGTAATGTCATAATATAATTATGAATTTTTAAATTCTTAATTTTGGTTTTGGAAAGGTAGAATGCTGCTAAGGTAAGCAACTTTCCAGCTACCGACTACTTAAAAATGAGTGTTCTTCAATATCATTAGAATATTTAAGAAAACTTTATTTTCTTTCATAATATGCCAACCTATTATAGAGGTTCTAAAGAACTAACTTTACGTGAAGTAGATTAAGATACATTAAACATATCATGTTCGTTTTGACTTTTGCCTCAGAATACTACTACCTCAAAATACTGCCTAAAATTTTCTTCTATTCTTTATTTCCCTTTAAAAATACGAAGTTTCTTTTAAATGTCTTAAGCTTTCAGTATTGTAATACTACAATTAAAATCTTTCATATAATTACCATAAATAGTTATAGTGAGAGGAATTTTAATAATTATTTATATAAGTACGATAACTCTTACATTTGTCCTATGATGCTGAATACCAGCGTATGTTGAACTTTTTTTTTATTTATAGTGGCTCCACGCATTGATCGCAATGCAATGATTAATATCAGACTTAAGGCTGGCAAGAGTTTCGAACTGAATGTTCCAGTATCTGGTGAGCCTCCACCGAAAAAGACTTGGACATTGAATGGAAAATCTATCACAGACGATCTCAGATGGTTCTTTACCTACGAAGATTATCGAACCATTGTAAAAGTGAAGAAAGCTCTAAGAGAAGATTCTGGTAGTCTGATGCTAACTGCTACTAACAGCAACGGCAGTGACAGTGCCAAGGTTACTGTCGTCATTTTAGGTACGTATTAACTTACAATAATAAAGATCTTGTAAAAGTGTAAATAAAACCTGTTATTTCAATACTCTAAGAATTATGATGATAAAAATACCTGATAAGAAAATATATAATAAAAATTCAAATTTGTTGCAATAAAATAAAATAAAATATATATCATCCTTAATACATAATTAATACTGAAAATTAAAGATTGCAGTAAAAGTTTTAAATCCGTATTAAAACATTTAAATGGTAATTTGTAGTAAAAGAATAAGAAAGTTTCGATCTCCTTGCAGTTTGGGAAAGGTGTACGCCTTTCCCAAACTGCAGTTGGATGGATGGAGATCAATAAAAGTTCCAAGTTCAATATACCCAATAAAATACTTTATTTTTAGAAAATGGGAAATAGTTTAACATACTTAGAGCAGGTAAAAGTTCCGATTTAAGGATAAGTCCTCCATCACTTGTTCTACACCACCATAATCTCTCGATGAAAATCGTTATCACTTTCTCACAATCTACTTATCGAGGTGACTAATGACATATTTCATTTCTTCTTTAAGTTCTTTTATTTCTGCTCTTTGAGTATTTATTCTTTGGAACTTGCAATAACACTGTCATGCACAATAGCAATGTTTCTAACAAGTTGGTTGGATAGCAATTTTATGTTATCAATCTGCGATTTGTTTTTCCATTATATGCATTTTGACGTGACAAATTGCTCTAAGCTTTCTAACAGCCTGTGCATAACATTCATCCTTCTTGTAATGAGTTTTCAAAACTCGCTGTTCCTATGTGTAGCGCTCAAATTCGACTAAGCTGTGAAGCTTCGAGATGAACTGGCAAAGGAAAAAAAACAATCTTGCTAGGTAATGTTAAACTCAGCATTTTTAAATCGAAATATCTGTCAGTTGTTAGTATGTAAAAATATTTTCCATTTTTTAAAAATAAATGCTCATATTAATAATATGCTCATATTATTTCCAGTGATTTTGTTGGGACACTATATTTACAGATGCACTAAAATAATTAAAGTACTAAACCAAAAAATATAAGTAAAGGGAAGTTATATTTTGATATCTTGTGATATTTTCAGGAAGTGTAAAGTACCTGAAAAATTTGAATTTTATAGTAGTTGCGTAATTCATGATTTATTATAACAAATAAAATTATAGCATCTCAGTGACCACATAATTGGTATCAAGTTTTAGATCATTTAACAATGCGTAAAGGGGTCCTTAGTAGAACAATAGACAACTTTATTTCCATCATCATAAGGAGTATGTATTCAAGCTGATATATGATTTAAAGTAAATTAGTCGAATCAAGTTAGTATTAACCAAAACTAAAAATACAAAAGTTTAAGTTGTTGAGTATTAACCTGTATCATTTATTTATTTCTGAAATGATAATTCACTTGTTCAGATAAAATTTTACGTTCTAGAATAAAGTATTCTTTGTATGTTTAGATATTCTACTTTCTCAAATAAAACAAATCCTTGAAGAAGGAGTGGAAGTTTCAAAATTTTAGCATTATCGCCAAGTTTAAAACGCAAGAACAAAAACAACACCCATATGATAAACCGCAGGACAGAAAATGGAAACATTTATTACTAATTATTTTTATTTTTTACTTGGATTGCATTGATAACAATTATTTTCTTCTCGCCAGATGTTCCGCTGGCACCCAAAAATCTCACCATCAATGACATCACAAAGGAAGGCTGTATGGTTTGCTGGTCTCCACCAGACGACGATGGTGGCAGTGATATTCAACATTATACTGTTGAGAAAAAAGATATGGAGACAGGGCGATGGGTACCTGTGGATGAAACTGTCAACACTTGCCTGCATGCAGATAAACTAATTGAAATGCATGAATACATCTTCCGAGTGAAAGCTGTGAATCGAGAAGGAAGCTCTCAATGGGCTATGACCAGGCAGCCAATTGTCGCTAAGAATCCATTTGGTAAGTATTGGAATTTTGTAAAATACTGGTTTTCAGTAGAAAATATCAACGTCTGGCCTGTTATCAAAGTAATTACTTTTAGGATTAAATCCAAAATGCTTATTTTATCTAGAATCACTAACTTAATTTTTCATTGGAATCTTTAGTAAAAACCACAATTTATTACTATTCCTGGACATTTTTATTAACATTTTCCCTTAGGCTATAGGGGCCAATTTTGAACGTATTATGGCCATTTAATTCTAAAATTCTAAGCTTCAACAGCAGGCAAAGAACCAATTTTTTAATTTAGGGTTTTAAGAGAATATAATGTATTATAATTTTAATCACATAATATTTTAATAAGATGAAAGAAAAATAATAATGTTAAACATGTATTATTTTCTTAACTAGCGTCATATGTTTGGATAAAATAGTTATAATTTTATACTTTGGAAGCATATCCAGATTTGAGATATTTTTAAATCAGAAGAATATTATATACGAATATAGCTTTAATCATTTCCGTGTTATCAGACTTCGCATGTCAAATTTATTTCTGTTCTAGAGAGGAGATTATAAAACTATAATAAAAAAACTGTATAAACCTGAAATTTTACTTGTAATCTGTTAGAATATTAGTACATTTTCAACATTATTTTAGATTCGTTATAGTCACATACGCAAAAAAAAAAAAAAAAAAAAAAAAAAAAAGAAAAAAAAAAAAAAAGAAATCTCTATGTATATAATTCTGAATATGTCATTTTTAGTCATAAGACTAAAGTTGAATATCGTTCTTTAGGATACCTCAAAGACAGAATTATGTGGAAAGATTTTTAGCACCTGAGATAAATCTCCAAATTGCTCCTGCCTTAACTATTTTTTTATTATTTTCATATTAATATTTAATTCATTATGTTTTGAGTCCTTTCTTATTTTTAGCTTTAGGCAAATGCCTCATCCACTCTATTTTTAGCACAACTATGCCCAAATATTGTAAAATATAAAATTAAATCTTCAATATGGCATCTATAGTCCTGATTAGTAGTTTAATGTAATAATATATAACTATTCTATTAGTCTTAATATATTAGAAAGCTCTTTTCATGTTTCTTTGATGACTAAAATTCATACTTTATTAATGCAGCAAATTCGTTCTGTTTTTTTTTCTTAAATTATCTGAATATCTACACTTAGAATTTAAATAAACTTTAATTGCTGTTAGTAATAATGATGCATTCTATGTTCATCTTGTGATAGAAACTCAAACAAGAAAAAACATGTTTTTTCCTTCATCCATAAAGGGTATAGTTTCTGTTAGTTATATTTAGTAACAAAAATAGAATTCTTCATCGGCCACAATAATTTTTCTGCTGTCTTCCAGATCCACCTGATAAGCCTAGCCCACCTGTTGCAACAGATTGGGACTCACACTTTATCGAATTGGAATGGCGTCCTCCTAAGAAAGATGGTGGTGCACCAGTCCTGAGCTATGTCATTGAAAAGCGTCTGAAAGGTAGCCCCCTGTGGGATGAAGCAGCTCGGGTAGCAGGAGAAGTCACAAAAACTAAAATCTCGGATCTTGTAGAAGGAGAAGAATACGAATTTAGATTGGTGGCCATCAATAAAGCTGGTCCCAGTGAACCAAGTGACCCAACTCAGCCAATAACCGCCAAACCCCGATTTTGTAAGTACAAAATATGACTAAAGAACAATAACCAACTGTGTTCAGAATTTTGGTTTTTTTCTTGCATTGGTAAGAATGATTCGGAAATTTGAAAAAACTCTTTTGCATTGAATGTAAAATTTTGGATAGCCAGTCACAGTGGCTTTATTTTGCATATTTCAATTTATCATATGTAACACATTAAATCTGTATAATGACGTAAAATTAAAGACATTATATTATGACTAAATACAATTTTAAAAAACAGAACTATTTTATCCCCGTAAATTACTTCTCATTAAACGCAATTAATTACTTCTCATTACTTTTAGTATGCCTAATTTCACACAGCATTAATCGATTACGTTTTATGCCATATTAGATAGTTTCTTCTATTTATATTTCAACTGTTACTTAATTATATGATTTTCCGCGTAGTAAATTTCAGTTTTTGCATTCAATGCCAGATAAGTCTGCTGTTATGAGTAAAATATTCAAACAAATTATTCGAAGAGGAAGGAAATTAAACTTAAAACACTATTTCAATCCTTACATGCTTCAAGCAAATAGGAAAAAAATACTGCACTTTCTAACAACGAGGTGTTGCACCCCCCAGCTGATTTGGTTTATTTGATTACGGCATGCCATGAAAACACCCAAGCAGCTAGCCCATCTGCCTAGACTCGAAACCAGGCCGAACTACTAGAGTTCGACGACTAGAACCACTCGGCCGCTTTCCTTCAGCAATTATTAAAATCTGTGGCCAGAATTTCCACTGATTAATGTAATATTAACACGATCAGATTTAGAATTCTTCAAAAGTTCCAACTTGTCTCATTTTATTGTTTTAACATAGATGACTTTAAATTCTAAATAATATCATAACTAAGTACTTTTATGTTAAAAATGTGGCATTCTAGCCTCATCGTTAAAATCTCAGCAGAGCAACTACAATAATGCATTTATTTATTTTCTTTAGAAGATGTTTCACATAAACATAGGGTATAGTAGGGAAACCAAATAACTACGTAATTATAACCAAATAAAGATGTAATATCGTTATTTTCTGTAACTAAATAATGACTGAGGATCCTGAAATTCTTCTGATGCTTCATTTCATTTTATTATAAGGTACAGAAAAGCAATTTGTTTGAGCCCGCTGAATATTAATGTAGTTTAAAAAAATATAGTTTTATCAACTTGGAAAGAACTTAAAAAAATAAGCAATCCTTGCCTCAGAAATAAAGATATATGTTTTAATGAGAGTTAACGTTTTAAAATTCTAAATTAAATTATTATTAAGAACACATTCTTCACAGCTATTGTTTCCACTAACATGTATGAGATACGCTTTCAAACTAAATGTTAAATTCAAACTAACTTATGGAAAAAAAATATTAACTTGAAAAGAAAATAATTTACCAAATCCTTTATGCCTTCCGATTATGTCTTTCTTGTTGTCATTGCAGCAGTCAAAATAATCGAATTTAAATGTGAACGATTAGTTTAATCTAATTCCAATATTTATGTATGTGATTACAGTGGCGCCAATTGTGGATCGGCTCACATTACTCGACCAAAAGGTTCGCGCTGGCCGTCCAATCACGTACCAGGTAGCCATCAAAGGAGAACCGGCACCGATTGCATCATGGTCGATTAATGACCATCCTGTCATTGGCAATCCACGAGTGGAAGTACGCACCACTCCAACTCTGTGCTTCTTCGAAATTCTCGTATCTGTCAGATCTGACACTGGAAAGTATACACTTAATCTTGAAAATAGCTCTGGAAGGCTATCGACTTCAGCTACAGTGACGGTCGTGGGTAAGTTTTATTCTCGTTTTGTCTAAATTTTGTATATCTGATTTTTCTCTTATAGAGATGTTGTTTAAAAATGACATTTTTCGCTTCAGCTTTAATCTGGCAGTTGTACTTATATATTATTCCTTTCTGAAATTATATTTGAGGAAAAAATAAGGTTACTATGTTATAATCAAATTGTTTATTTTAAAGTATATTAATCACCTTTCTTTTCTTGTACAGATCGACCATCACCACCAGAAGGTCCTCTGGACGTAAGTGATGTCACCAAAGAATCAGCTGTGCTCACATGGAAGCCACCTAAAGATGACGGCGGCACTCCCATCAAATACTACCTCATTGAAAAGATGGACGCATCTCGAGCGACTTGGATGGAAGCAGGCCAGTCAACATCCCTCAGCTATAAAGTAATTAGATTAGTGCACCACAAAACATACCAATTCAGGGTTATAGCAGTGAATGAAATTGGAGAATCTGATCCTCTAGAGCGGTTAGATGGAGTCACTGCAAAAGATCCATTTGGTAAGCTTATTTCTATGTATTCTGAAGAATAATATACATAAAAAATTTGCTTCGAATATTTTTCTACTACTTTCTTGTTGTTTACTAACCATAGCTCACGAACAAAATAATCACTACATAAAAGTGCTGGATTTAAAACAGAGTATTCCAATTCTTGCAACGTAAAGTTTCAGCTAAACTCATCTTGGAATACAGTGCATCTGATAAGCCTAACATTAAATTAATGCAGTTAAGTTCATCTTGGAATACTGTGTATATACTAAGTCTCACATTAAATTAATATTTATTTTAAATGATGACATGTAATGTGCATGGACATCGAAATAATGCTAATTAATTTTATGAGAATTTCATAAAAAAATTAATGCTGCGTTTTTAAAGAAATAGAGTAAATAACTGATATGAAGTATTCACTTGTAAGTAAACACTAAAGGAAAATGAATTTATTACACAGATACATACTTTGAATTGAAATTTTCATGCCATTTTCACTGGAGTGTGAAATATTAATAGAAAAATGTTTTTTGTTTCTTGGTGCATAAATCAAAAGCTGTTCTAAAGAATATTTATAATATATCCAAATTGTATGTACATTTCAAGTAGTTAAATATTAAAGCTAAGTATTATCTTTAGCATTTTTATGCAATTCAAGAGCATTGCTGAGCAAATAATGGCAGTAGAAATAGTTTTGCTGCTTATATTTTCCTTATCTACTTCTACGAAATCATCGTCCATTAACTTCTGAATTCTGCTTACAGTTGACGTGCTGTTACTCAAGATTTGTATAATATCAAAATCTAAAATAGTGAGTATAGAGCTACATTATCTTTTTAGAACCACCAAGTACTCCAGGCAAGCCTGAGGCAACAGACTGGGGAAGCGATTTCGTAGAACTCCAATGGCCTGCGCCAAAAGATGATGGAGGCTCTCCGGTATCGAGTTACATCATTCAGAAAAAAGTCAGGGGTTCCAATCTCTGGGAAAAGGCCGCTGAAGTTCCTGGCTCTGATTCAAAGGGCAAGGTACCTTACTTAATCGAAGGCCAAGATTACGAATTTAGAGTCATCGCAGTTAACAAAGGCGGTGAAAGCAAACCGAGCGAGCCATCTGAGTTTATCACAGCTAAGCCCAGATTCTGTAAGTAGCTATCATTTATCTATTACCTGAAAGATTCAAGAAAGATTCAGTTAAACAAATATAGTCACGTAAAAATAAATTATTGATTTTGCAAAATGTCAGCTTAAGAAACATCCCCACAATGGCATTGTTTGTTGCTTATCAGAATAAATCCTAAATTTATTTCTTTTTTGTACTGTTTTGGATGTTATTTTCTCACAAATTATTTAAATACTTCCTTTGAAAGAATCTTTGTTACATACAAAATATCGTCGTTCAGTTTTGCTGAATGATAATAAATCATTTTGAACACAATGATAGCAATGCAACAATATTTATTTGAATTTCTGAGCTCAAAATTGATCACACTGGATAAGTACCGGTGTATCTGTTTATTAATTACGTTCATATCAGCCCGAGAAGAATCTCTTTCAAATCTCTTTCAGTGCATTGTAGCACTGTTACGAAAATAAAAAATCTTACCATTTTTTTCATTTTGTTAAATGTTCTTGATTGTTTATTATGTGACTGTGAATTTATGAAGATTCCTAAAATTAAAACCCAAAATTGTTTTGCTAATAATGGCGAAACATAAGACATAATAATAAGAAGCGCTACATTTGAGTATGTCTGGATATCGAATAGGTTGTATATTCAGCAGTTTGTATTTCGTTAATTAACATAGTATAAGGACATGTAATCATTATTACATATCCTTACATTATATTACCTTTAAATCAGGGGTTCTCAGCAGGGTCAGTAAAAATTTGAAGGTGGTCAGAGATGATCAAGGGCTCAAGTGGGGGCTTGATAGCCGAATATGGATAGACAGTTTATCAGCATAACGAAGATCCCATTGATTCAAAAAACAATGTATAATTGGTAATAAATTGTTTACTGATATAAAGCTATATCATGCAATAAGATAGAAATCATAGAAAATAAATGTAAGAAAAGAATACACAAAAATTACCTAATATATTTTTAAATCAATAATACTTTTGTAAAACGTATAAATGTTTTATGCAAAAGTACAGTATGAAAGAGTAAAACGCAGGAACACGTGAAAACTCAATAAACAAACATACGAAGAACGCAAAACTTCCTCAGGAAATATATTATTAAATATAAGCCGCTTGCAAAATTAAAAAGATTTTAATGTTCGCTTCGAAAAATTTGAAAATTTGAATGTGCCAGCATGGCTCACAGAACCGTTAACCTGCGAGATATCTGATCTTGATATTAAGATGTAAAAACAGTTGATTGCACTGAAGGAAGGTGTTTGAACGCAGGTCTTATTCAAAACACATATACACTAAGTTTTGAAACTTAAAAGTCATCCTAAAGAAGTATTCCAGAATAAAATTGTTGCCAAACAACAATACTCAGTTTTCTTCTTTCTTAGTTGGTAAAAAAACGCTTTGATAAAGGTAATAATTTACTACAGAAAATAAGAAACAAGTTGAATATTTGAACGTCATGATTTAAGAACTAAGTTAAGGAATTTTATGTCAAGTAATTAAATATTACATCGATACATGAAGAGCAACCATCGCATTAGTTAAAACTGAACATATATGCTATGCGAATTTATGATTATGTTAATGAAAACTTGTTTATGTTTGTGAAATTAAAAATAATCCAAAACTTAATAAAAATAAATCCAATAAACCATTTTTTTAACTTTTGTTCATATTCGTAGTCTAATTGTTTCTTTTAAATTATTTATGTGCAATTGTTTGTATCATGATTATGTTGCATGCTGTGTATTATATAAAAAATTTAAGAAGGTCAATAAATAAACTTATTCTTTTAAGGGGAGTCGGTGCAAGAAAAAGATTAAAGAATTTCTGTTTAAAATTATTTCTTTATAAGTCAAATGTATTGCAAATTATAGCTGATTATTTGAGAACACCCATATTTTAATTATATACATAATTATATGCATAATTAAAGTCAGTTGTGCATCATTAAAATCAAAAATATAAAATAATAATAATCTACCGATAAATTTAAGATTTTAAGAGATTAATTATTCATAATAATTATTACAGTGGCTCCCAAGATTATCACACCAATGAAAGATATCGAAATCAAAAATGGTGAAATTCTTCACATCGAAATCAAATTCGTGGGGGCTCCAACACCAGAAATCACTTGGCTAAAAGACGACAAACCTCTGGTGGCGGATAACAGAGTATCAGTATCTAGTTATGAGAATTATACTCTCATACATATCATCAACACGAAACGTATTGATTCAGGCCGATACTGTTTGAAGCTCAAGAATGAATCTGGTAGTGATGAGGGCACGATGAAAGTAGTTATTCTAGGTAAGATATTGAACTTTTTATTATTAGTTGTAATTATGAATGATATTGTTATGATAAAATTCGAATCCAACGTATATTTAAATTAGCAGTTATTTTCATTCACATGAACTTGACTGATATGCTTTTTTCTACATTAAAATGAATAATATTTTTTAGTAACAGAATAAATAATAATACGTGATGCTGACAACTTTGTATTATCTGCTATTATATGCTTATAGAGATATTGACTTAGTGTAAAAATACAGTAATTATGATAAATTATTACTGTTATTAAAATTAAATTATTACTATTAATGTTCATAAAACGAAGTTACAGTTTATACACTGCAAAATTTGAAGAAGTTTAAAGGTAATAATTTTAATAGTTTTTATTCTTATATACTTTAATTTTATGATATATTTTTCACCTATTTCAATATATTTTTCAGATAAGCCGGGAGCTCCAGAAGGACCCTTAGAAGTCAGTGATATTCAAAAAGACAGCGTAACATTATCTTGGAAACCACCTAAGGATGACGGTGGTAGCGAAGTAACGTAAGTATTCTTACGTATTATTACGCATCCTACCGTAAGTATCCTTACGTTTTGTTACGTGTGTATTTTTACACATATCTTTTAAAACTAAATTTTTGCTGCTGTTAGAAAAATCGTGTGCTTTACTAAAATATCCAAATTTTGTTGTTAATATTAGTTATTGTCTTAACTTGAATAGCATTATTAAATTATTATAGGTTTATTTATTTATTTACCTAATCTATATGAAGTTTGTTATAATTTTGAATGCGCTTAACTTTGATTTAAAAATAGTGCTGAAATAGTAAAATTTACGACCTCCGTTGCTAGAATTTTTGAAATATTTTCAGTTACTGTTAACTCCTACGCTATGCTGATGGCGTTTAGATAATAATTATGAATACAGAATCATCACTGTTAATAAAGTTGAGATAAAAGCATGAATAATTTAAGTAATTTTTATAAATCTTAATATTTCTTAATTTTTGTAACCCTTTAAGCTTAAATTTAACTTTTCTATATTTTAAAATACCATTGAATGTTAAACCACCCAGAATTATAAAAATTTTAAATCCTTTCATGTCATAACAACAACCTGCGTCATATAGGAATCTTTCTAATCGCAACGCTCTAATCTTTCACCGTTGTTACATATTGTATTCTTTGAAACTATAGTTTTGAATATTTTAATTTATTTCGTAAACGCTGTACAATTCAGTAACAAATATTATGTTTAATTTAGTCAGTTACGTCAGAGCCTGGAACAGGTAAAGAGCTGAGTTAATTTGATTATTCCATTTTGTATCGAATATACTTCAGAAACAGAAACAGAAGAATAATTTACTCCATCACTTTACTTGAGATAGTAACAGAACCTCTTAAATAAAAACTAATATCAAATAAGGAAATGAAAAGAAAAAAAAGTAAATCTTAAACTCAAGGCGTTAAGCAGAAACACAGAATGATAATTCAGCAACTGTTGCTTTTTTAACATTCTTGCGGCATATTATGCCACTAACAATTCTTATAGAATTTACAGCTGACGACTTTCATCATAAAGAATGCACAGCAGTCTGTATCTTAGACGCGGAAAAAGCATTTGACTGTGTCTGGCACAAGCGATTAATTTATAAACTGATCAAGATGGACATTTATCACGAATCTTCTGCTTATTCATTCTTTTTATCCAGCAGAGTTTTTATGTTTAATTACGGTGATGCATTTTCCTTTAGAGACGAAGAGAAGCTAGTGTACCTTGGTATTGCTGTGTAGGACCACTCTTTTATATTCTTTATTCGATTTCTCTAAGCAATATCTCGACCGTCATTCATCGCTCCCTTGTTTGCTGACAATGAAGTTGTGCAGCTAAATCCCTTCAACCTAAGATTGCAGTCGAAAGATCCCAAAATTATATTAACGACATCGAAACTGTGCGCAAAATTAAGAGAGTATTTATTAACGCCTCCAAATCTCAGATTCTCCTAATCAGAAGGGAAAGAACTAAAATATCTTCGTCACCTTTGTTTATGTTTAGGTATAAAATTCGAATGTTTCGGAAGGTCAGTTACTTATGAGTTATCATTAATCAAAGACTCACCTGAAATGGGCACATAACTATACAGGTGGGAAGGCCATAGGTATTATGCAGCAATTTTTTTCTGTATTCGGGCCTCATTCAAATCTTTCTCTAAATAAAAAAATTCAATTATGGATGGCTATTACCTGTCCATTTCTGTACTATTCATGTCTAGCATAAGCTGCTGCTAAAGACAAGAATATTTAAAATTTACAGGTTGTTCTGAATAAATTTTATGTTTCGTCACTTACTCGTATTATTTATACCGGGAATAAGCTACTGCACTGAGATCTTAAAAGAGACATTCATTGAATTTTTTTCAATGAATGAACGACAAATTCTGTATAAAAGCTCTTACCAATAACGCTACTCATTTCTCACAAAATTTTAATTAAAAAAGTATAGAAGACATTTTCACATGTCTTCCTTTATATATACGTGCATCCTTCGGGATCAAAACTTTGCTGCTTTAGCACAATTGCTCCGCCTTGTATATAATATTGAATATGGCTGCATATGTTTCGTTTATTTAGTGATATTGTAGTTTGTTTATATTGTACATATTTCTTATTTGCACATTTCATTATTACTCTATAGTGTAGCTGGCATTTATTCCTCAGTCTGCAATATTATGTTTTCATTTTAACGTATGAAACGTAACAACAGTTACATCCTTTCCTTTCTCTTCTGCTGGCGCCCCCCAAGTGGGACTTCCTTGGCTACCTCTAAGGTAACGTGCGCCTACAGGGTGTATGAAAAGGCATGTCCGGCTAGCAATCAGAAGGTTTGGAATTCGAACCCGGGAAGGCAGTGAATATTTTTCACGTCTCCTGTTCCGAAATGCATAATGGTATCTAAAGCCTAAAATGATCTGCCCATAAAGGCTTTATTTCGTTTAAAACAGCCTGCCTAGGAATAAATATTAAACGTACGTTTAAGCATACCATGCACGCACAATGCGTTTGTGCGTGCATATGTATTTAGACAAGACTCGAGTGAGCACCCTTGCTTCATCTACGGTCAAACTCGATTTATGCTGAAGTTGGAAAGGTGTAGTTTATTCTAGAAAACGGAGAATTTTTCTCCTAAAGAATTTATTGAGATAATAAATGAACTTTCAAGTATTTTCAATATAGTAAAGTTTTTAAATTTAATATTTTGTTTAAAAGAAAAAAAACTGAAATGTTTCAAGAGCAAAACGTTGCTGAGAAATTTTTTATTCAAAACTTACGTCAATCTGAATTTACCTTTTTCTTCATAATTTTAAATTCTATACTGGTATATGTCCCTCTGAGTTAGACGATATCTGATTATGGAACAAATGTCCATTCAAGTTTTAGTTACATGAACTCAATTAGATTAGGATAGGTTGTATTTAAAGCTTCGGTGATGGAATCTCAAACTATCATATAAGTTTTTATGGAAATTATTACTTTTAAAAGCTTATGTGTAATATAAATAATAAATAATGAATGTATGTTCTTTACTTACCTTATTTTGTGGCATCTATCTTGTTTAGAGCTTACGTGATTGAAAAGAAAGATAAGACTCACAATGGTCCTTGGGTCCCAGCATTAACTATTCCAGCAAGAACAACCAATGCTACAGTTCCTAAATTAGCTGAAAATACTAATTACGAATTTAGAGTGAAAGCTAAAAACGCTCAAGGTCTCTCTGCTCCACTTTCTACAGACAGATCTGTTCTTGTGAAAAATCCTTTCAGTAAGTATTAGTTATTTTAAATTTAAAATTTACTTCATTTAGCGTATATATGCATAAGCTGATAGCTGGTATGATTTGATTTAGACTTTTATTGTTACAAAATGTTTCAGAAGTATCAAATAAGCATTTATGACACGTTTAACAGATATACGGGTTTCAAAGGACTGTCCGTACTGCATAATAAACTGGTATGTAGGTCGTACATATTATGTATACCTCTAAAAAATTAAGTATATTTGATCAAATGATGGTAGTGGATTCCTGGAAAATGTTAGTGAAGTTATCAAATTTAAATCCATCTTTAACTGTAGAGTATAAAAAAGAAAAAAAACCGACCATTTACTACACGTCGCGCAGCATTATGTAATTAATATTAATTTATATCTAGAAAATATACTTCCTTACAATTACCAGTTGCACATCATAGCTTAGAAACCGTATTTTCTGACGTATTCCCCCCTTTTTTTTAAATAAATCTGGATTTCAATAAAAATACGTAATAATATTAACATTAAATTATCTGACGGATATTGGCCGATATATGACAGTAACAGAGCCTACTACGTGCTGTATCCGGCTCAGTTACCTTGTAAAACCCCAGGGGGAGTAATCTTGAATTCTGATCCCAAGAGGGACATCGGAGAACGAAGGAGAAGTGCATGAACAAGAACCAAATTTCGAAAGATCAAACGCATCAGCAGTAGATGAGGCTACAATGAGCTGAAACGTAAATAATATAAGTAAGGTGAAATCACGTTTTCAAAATTACTTATGTGTAGAACACTTGCCACGTTCGCGTAACTTAGCGAAGAATACTCGAGGTGTATTCAAGGGTTCCTGATGAGGGCATTGCACATTTTTCTCGTCTCCTGCTTCAAAATAACCTAATGACCCTACAATCCTAGATCCGAAATCATTACTGAGAGGTAAACTTTCATAATACCCTTTAATTTTGGACTTCTTTTGACTCTTACATTGCAGTCCAAACTACCAGATCACTTTACAGTTTAAGCATACAGCATCCAGGTTTAATTTGATATTTTGTACCATATATTTCTTAGGATAAAACAAAAGCTAAACGTGAAAACTGAATTAGTTACTTTAAATTCGCTTTCAATAAGTATTTCAAATTGCATTTTTAAAAGCATAAAATTTTAAAAATAGATCTATAAATTACGCTGTTACAATATAATATATTTTCAGCCAACAATGCAAAATAAAGGTAAGATTACTTTGATTGTTTTTCTGAAATTATTTTATATTTTAAACTTTAATTTGTGTCTTTAATGGTTCAAAACTAATATGATTTATTTACTTCTTTCGATGCACTACCCCCTAATGATAATGCAGCGAAAGATGAAAAATTTCTCATTTCATTTTTTCATTTTTGGTTTGGGCATATTTCCCCCACTTTTTCATGCAATTTAGCACTGTGCTTCTGGGTTTTGATTTTTGCATGTATTTTATTCTGTAATGCATAAAAGATGAATTTTAAACGTATTATTTATTTTATTTTGCTCAATCATTACCATTTGTTTCTGTTTTTAGCGCGTAGTTAGATTAGGTTTTGAAGTGCTTTTTTCTTTGTGTTTATTCATTTTTCAGGAAACAATGAGATATTAAATCTTAGAAATTCTGCTTATTTTTCTAAAACTGGATACCGCAATCACTTGCCAAAAATAAGAAAATGACAAATGAATAGACATTAATAAAATTTTCCCAGTAATGTCAAAAAGTTGTAATATCCAACTAAAATGTTGTATCGATTGTCCCTCAAAAACGAAAAGAAATGAATTAATTGATTGCAGTTAATGAGTTAAAATAGAAAAAGTTTTAAATTCTCAGAGCATGAAGAAATCTAAATAAAATGTCCTGCTAATGAAACATATTTCTTATAGATTTATTATATTTCTTATATGTTTATATATATAATATATTTATTATATTTTCATTTCGTCGAATAATAAACTATCAATTCTTTTATCTCCAGAACCACCAGGTCCTCCAGGTCAGCCCGAGGCTGTGGATCATGATCGCGACTTCATCAAAATTAACTGGTCTCCACCACTGAAAGATGGTGGATCAGATATTATTGGTTACGACGTAGAACGGCGAGACACAAAACTTAATCGTTGGGTTCAAATTAACAAGGACTTGGTAAAGGTAAGATAGAACACAACATTAATTGCTCAGTTTGATTGTTTTGTATGGAATTAAAAACCATTCTTTTTATTTGCTCTTTTCGTGCAATGATCAGCATATCAGTCTTATAATCTCGAGCATCGGGTTCAGTTCCTTTTGAGGGCAAAGTGATTTTGTTTTTACAAATTTCCATTCACCCCCTCCTAAAAAAAGAAAATTAATAGATCATCTTTGCAGGTAAAATTTAAAATAAATTGTCAATTCGATTTTTTTTTATCATTCAGTCGTTGGTTTTTAAGTCTAAAAGGGGCTTTGTCTCTGAAAAACTATTGTTTTCGTTTAGCAATTTTGCGTTGGTTCACTATAAATGTCCGTTTCACTTTTCAACTGTTGCCACCAAATGTTAGAGTCCTGCATTATATTTGAAGAAAGTAAATATGCATAAATTTATGTATATTTCTCGCACTGTGATAAAACAACGATACATAGAGCCATCGAATTTTGAATGACGTGATCCTACTGCGAATATGAGCATGTGGAAGCCCAAATTTGAAATTTGGAATTTGCTTTATTATCGATTTCATATTTTGTAAATATTTAACGAATTTTTGATTAACAAACTCAAGGATTTCAAAGCGAGCAATGGCAACGTTGTACAGAAGAAACCTTTTTATCTCCAGCGCGCGAGATTGTGTATCGGAAATTCTAAAGATATGCTCAATTTAAAACTATTTTGGGGGTATTGCTCCTGAACTGAATTATATGTTTTAATTGCAAAAAACGGGATATTTAATAAATAAAAGTAACAGACAAAATGTTCAAAAAAACGCCCCTTTGGACGCAATTTAAAATCTGAAACCTTTCAGATTTTTATCTCTTTATTTATTTTTTTTAATTTAATTTTTTTTTTGTGAATACATTGGTATTAAAATAATGAAAACACTTTTTTTTTTCATACTTTTAGTTATCTGTATTATATTGTCATTTATAGTTAGTCATTTCCTTTCTATTTCTTTACAATATTTTTTTTACTTCGGATAGTTAATGCATAACATATTATTAAACGGCCATCTTACTTTTTCAGTGAGCCACATATCTTTATGTATTCATCAAAATAACTAACTTCAACTAGATAAGAAGAAAGAAAACTCAATGATGTTGGTTCGGTAACAATTTTTATTTGGGAGATATTCCTCCCGGATGAATTTCAAATTCTAAAACTTAGTGTACCCATGTGTTTTGAATAAAACTTAACATCGTGTGATATAACTTTTTATGAATAAAAATTAACTATCAATATTATTAATAACAAATTTTTTTAATCAATTATATCTTGATTATACTGATCAATTGCTGATTCAAGTTTGGCTATCAGCCTCCAATCAGCAAAGTCATCATCGAGCCTCTAAAATTTTAACAGTCCTCAGGGGATCCATACCGACTCCATTGGTTATGTCGGTCTAGATAATGAAAATTAATTAAAATTATTAGTTCGCTTGTGAAGTAAACAAAATGTAGATCTGAAAATAAATTAATGATGTTTAGGAAAGACGATATTCATACCTTCTTTTACTATGTTGTGCAAAATCATGTTTCTGTTCAATTCTCTCATGTTTATCTTCCTTGCTTTTAGGAATCTTTAAGAAAATATTTATTACGGAACTGCACATCGCGATTTCTCATATCATTTACAAATTTCGCATTAAAAATTATAAAATAACTTTCTTACAGGGAGCTCAATATACAGATCACACAGTAACTGACGGCCATTTGTATGAATATCGAGTCATCGCACACAATGTTGCTGGCTCTAGTGAACCTAGTGCAGCTTCTAAACCAATTCCTGCGAAACCAATGAAAGGTTTGTTGCATACCCTCCTCCCTTCAGTATTCTCATTTGAATATCATTTTCTTTGTAATATATTCACAACTTATTTAAATGTGTATTCGTAGAAAAGCCCAAGCTTCATCTGGATGGTTTGTACGGAAAGTTGATTCGCGTCCGAGCTGGAGATCCAGTATATATCAATATTCCAATGACTGGATCACCTGCACCGACCGTCAGGTGGACATTCAATACACAGCATTTGCAGGATACGCCTCACACCAGGCAGGAAGTAGGGGACGAATATATCAAACTGACTATACCCAAGTCTGAAAGATCTGACAGCGGTGTGTACAACATCACAGCCAAGAATGCTTATGGAGAAGATTCTGCAGACATTACACTTTTGGTATACGGTAAGAATTAAAAGATATTCACTTTTCTTATGTGAAATTGTCTTTTATCACAATAGCGCTACATAGGAACGAAAGCAGGTAAAAAGTTTGGTAATGATATAGTATGCGATGTACCATTTTTAGTTTGTTAGTTACTTCTTAGAAAGCACCGTAAAACCGCTTTTTTTTAAATGTGGAAAGCTATATAAATAATTAGGAATACAGGCGGCTCTCGACGCTTGCACATAATTGATTCCTGAAAATGTGTGTGAATGTTCGAAAATATAGAAATATAAAGTAAGAATTATATTTTAAAATATTTATTTATCAGTAATCTTATTTATTTGTCAATATACATATTTAAGTTAATAAAGCATGCTTGAGCGTTTTCGGGGTTTTTCTTTTAAGGGCTGTTCAGGAATTAGTTGAATATAACCCCCCTTTTTTCCGAGCTCTCATTATGTTGTCAAGAACATTTATGTCAAGAACATATATATGGGTTGTTCTTGAAGTTCAAGTTCTTGTTGTTCAAGTTCTTGAAGTTCTTGTTGTTCAAGAACAACCCCTATATGTTCTTGACATAAATGTTCTGCATTGGGATCCTATTCTTCTATGATAGTAAAAAATTTGTCAAGATGCATGAAATCTTCATCTGTATTTGTGATTTTCATAGTCTTGACGATTTTATCAGCTTTTTCCCCCTCATTTGTACTGTGCGTTTCATTGAACTCTTGCTGCTCAATTAAGTATTCATTTGACAGAGATACTGAGATTAAACCTGTTCATTAACATTTTCTTTGTTGACGTCCAAGTTTAGTTCATTCGTTAGGCTAGTTCAGCTGTGATAGTTTTCTTTGTTTCTTCAAAATTTATAAAATCACTCATCATTTGTGGACATAATTATTTTTAGGAACTTTTCATTGGTGACCTTTTTATTTTATCTTAGGAGTCTCCAGTATTATTTATTTCTCTCTATGTATTATATAATATATTAATTATATATTGCATTTATAGCTATTCCAAAAGTCTCTTAATATAGGTTTTCACCTCATCACTGATCATTAAGATTAATGTTAACATTTTGCAAAATTCCTTTCAACATTTAAATACTCATTTTGATACAACTAAAGCTTTGAAGGAATTTTTGTTTGGGATTCAGTTTTAAGATCTGATCACTGCAAAAAAATTCTCAATTTAATACAAATAATATAAATCGAATGAATGTTATTTATTATCTGTATTAAAAACGAGGCTTTTATGAAACATAATGGAACATTTATTATTTGAACTATCCACGAACATTCCAATAATATCTAAATAATGGATCTCGGGATCTGAAAGATACGTTAAGCATGCCTGCTAAAATTAAAATATGTAGTCGTTTTAATAATTTAAATCATTAAAATTAACATTCATAACAAATGTTATGCCACATTCCCTTATTAGTTACGGCTGTTGAAAAGTGTAAGTGACATTTAATGATTAGAAAACTGAACTATTTTAATGATATATTGCATTTATGGCAACCAACTGTCTTCTCAGAATACTAATTAGACACTTTGAATTTATAAATTAAAAACATATATATTGCTTCTGTTTCAGACAAGCCTGGGCCTCCAAAAGGACCTCTGGAAGCAGCAGAAACTACAAATTCCTCAATCACATTAAAATGGCAGAAACCAGATGATGATGGTGGATCTGAACTAACAGGTTTGTCAATCAAAGAAAAAAATTGTATGATTAATCTTAACTATGTAGAGGTTAAGTAGCAAAATGTTTAGGTTTTAAAAAAATGCTGAGGGTTTTTTTCTTTTTTTTTTCATAATTATTATTCTATTCACTTTCCTTTACCTGTTCTATCTTTATCCTCTTTAGTACAGAGTTCTTTCGCAAAAATAAATAACCTTAAATTAAAAAAATGAGAGTGCGAATTTTCGACTCTTGTGCAAGGCATCACTGTATAATTTTCTTTTCCTTCCCTTACAGACGTAACATTGGTCAGACCTTCCGGTGGGCCCTGGACAATGTTCTTGCAATAACACAGCTATGTGAATGATAGGTTCTGCCACTATTTCTAGCAAGCCGTGCATTTATATTAGGCATTAACTCCCCGAAAGAAAGCGAATGGCATTTTTTCCTCCCAAATATTTACTGAATAGAAAGGCAGAGTTACGAATGGCCGCCTTTTAGACATTCTTTGAAAGCTATTAACATCCTCATGATATTATTAAGTAATTCATTTCTTTGGTGTAAGACAGGGATGTCAAACTCATAGGTACACTTGGGCCAAACAAACAAGGTTTAACTTTAGGCGGGCCGAAAAAAAAAAAAAAAAAAAAAAAAATCAATATTCATAGAAACGTAGATTTATTTCGAATAATACAATAATAAACATATATATATATTTATATAGAAAAGAACAAGAAAAATTTAATGTTTACGTCCTGATACTTGACATCTCTTCTCTGCTATTATCTTTCCTATTTCGGGAGAAATTTTGTTTGCAGTGATAACTTTCAACGCTGACCCAAGGTGAGCATCATTAATACGGTTTCTAATAGGAGACTTATTACCTTTCATGACTGAAAATAACTGCTCGCACCGATAAGTGCTACCAAACATGGAAATAATTTCATATGCGAATTTTCGAGTATTTTCAAACCTGGCTGGTAAATATTTGTAAAATTCAGGCACGCCCACTTCAATGAATTTTGCTTTCAAATTTGAGTTGCATTGAATCTCGATCACCTCCATTTGCATATGGCTGGGTACTGAGTCAATACTTATTGAGAAAATCGAAGAAAACAAAAAAAAAAAAATTGTCTTCGAGGGAACTAAAATCATTAAACCTCGTTTCAAATTCAGTTGTTAAATTTGCAATTTTTTCTGCGTATTTTTGATACGAACAAGTATCATCTAAACTTGATTTGTTCATGCTGCACGTCGGGAAGTGCGTCAAATCTTCATTTTTAAGTTGTTTTTCCCAAAGAACTAGTTGACATTTGAATGCTTTAATTATGTCAAACATGTTCGTAATGATATGATCTTTTCCTTGTAACGATAAATTTAAATCGGTTAAGTGTTTGGTTATATCAACCAAGAAAGATAAATCTTGTATCCATATTGGATCGTAAAACAAACTTACGTCTTGATTTTTCGTTTTTAAAAACTGACATATTTCTTCTTTCAAATCCCAGAATTGTTTGAGAATCTTGGAGCAAGATAACCAACGTACCTCGGTATAGTAGGACAAACCCGAATATTCACTATCTATCTACTCACTTAAGAAAGCAGTGAATTGACGCTGATTTAAACCTCGAGATCTTATAAAATTTATAACTTTTTTTATATATGACAAAACATTCTCCATATTATATCAAAACATTCTCCATATTTATTACTTTCGTGCATAGAACTTCTTGATGTATAATACAATGCATATGATGAATGTTTGAACCGTGAATTTCAATAAGTTTTTTTCTTAGTAATGCTACGAAGCCCTTGTTTTTCCCGGTCATTGATGGAGCGCCATCTGTAGCTACAGAATTTAATTTTGCCAAAGGTAGATTGTATTTCTGCAGAAGTCCAAAAACACAAGTAAATATATCTTCTCCTGTGGTAGTACAGGCATCGGTATTAGTTCCAGTAATTCCTCAAAAATGTTAAAATTCTTGTCACAAGAACGAAGAAACACTGCTAATTGAGCTTTTGCCACTAATGTCCGTGCTCTCGTCACAGGCAATGGAGAAACTTTCGAAACTAGATGATTTTGCTTTGATCTGATCACTTAAATTCGCGGCTAAATCAGTAACTCTTTCCGCAACTGTATTTCGCTACAATGAAATTGATTGAAAAGCCTTCACATTTCCAGGACAAACAATTTCTCCAGTTTTCATTAGGCATTCCTTGATGAAATCACCGTCAGTAAAAGGCTTCGAATGTTTAGCTATCAACTCGGACAAGACGTAGCTTGCATGTACCGCCGCTTCACTTTCTTGCAATACTTTACTAAACATGGACTGTTGCTTTTTCACTCCTAACTTGAGCTCTTTCAACTTTTCTTCTCTCATTAATCCTTCGTAATTGTTATATTTCGATTTGTGTTGTTCGTAATGACGTTTAATATTATATAACTTTGGTACATTAATAGTATTATTACATATCAAGCAGATTATTTTATCTTTTATTTCACAGCAAAAATATTCTAATTCCCATTTTACTTGGAATATTCTATGTTCGTCAGCGATTTTTCGTTTAATTTTACTACCACTTGGTTTTGATATAGACATACTGAATACAAAGGGCTGGAATAAAACACGGTTAACGTTAAAAAGTTAACAAAAATTTATTCTTTCCACAAGAGATAAATCAAAATGCTGAAATATTTCTTCAAAAATATTCTAACAATATCACAAAATGTCAAACGTTTAGCAAAAATCAATTCAAAACAGAGAAACTAATTCTATCTCACAGCGAAATCGCTACAAATCAATCACAGCATTAAGTAAACAAACAGTTCGCTAGAACTACAGCTACTACTGAGATGAGTTGTTTGTTCTCGGCTTTTATAAGCTTTATAATTAATTTCTCGAATATACTGGAAACATCTATAAATATCTGGATTTTTGTGGATGGCAACAGCAATTACGAGATATTTATTTATTAGGTATTAAATGCACGCGCTGTTCTATTTTTAACCTTCCAACGCAGCTGTCTTTTCAAAAATCGTCTGCGTTGCTAAGGCAACATGAAGCAAATCTAATTACAATTCTAAATAAAAAAAACTAAATAAATAAATAACTATGAAATCCGTAACAATATGAATTAAGTAATAATTAATAATAAAGCAAAGTGCATGCACATGCATGCACCAATATATCGTACAAAACTATGATTGGAAAACTGAGACCATGAGTTCGGCCACATTCGGCTATCGGGGGATGCGTACAAGTTCTGAGTGCACGTGTCCCCCAAAAGCCTGAACGCAAGCTACTCACACGCATTTGTAATTTAAGTAGTGTGTGTGTCAGCTCGCTGTGAGTAAGCTAACAACACTGAATAAATTATCGTTAATTACTTAGCAGTAAACATATCATTTTTTTTTCTTCGTCGATATGTTATTTTATTATTATATATTATTATTTGCCGATATATTGGCCGGGCCGCAAAAATATTTGTTGTGGGCCTCATGCGGCCCGCGGGCAGCAAGTTTGACATCCTTGGTGTAAGAGAATATCAACCCCCTATTCATATTTTTATTTATGATAAAATTATGTATATAAATTTATTAATATATTTTAATATTATTATATAGTTGAAAATTTGTTTAACGATTAAACCTTAAATTCTTGTGTCTTAAAACTGTAGTGCATGAAATTAAAATTAATTTTATAGGTTACAGTTGCTTGTGGAAGACGAATTGTCTCTCAGTACCCCATTCTAAGATTATGCGTTTGATGAAATTATTCAAACAAGCTCAGATAAGAAACATATAGAAAATATAATTGTAAAATTAAATCAATTTAATTTTATGTTTAACCCAATAGTAACCCCATAATTAGTATACACTTTACGTATATTACATCCTAATTAGCTTCTTAAGGTTCAGTTGGGGAATACCGAGTATATTAAAAGTTATCAGTGCTTATAGATTTATGGTCAGGATTTGTCGGTGAATCTTATAAGAAGATGATGCAATAAAATAGTGACTTCTAAACAAATATATCAATAATTTTCTTCCGGGATCTTTTATAACTTTGTGATTAGAGTTTGAAATCTAAACTCTAATTTAGAAAGTCATTAATAGAAAGTTTTCTATTTCGAAGTGAGCTGCTTTTCCATTTACCTTTCTTCGCGTAAAATGTAATTAATTAAAAAACTTCATTAAGGAATATAGTTAAATAATTTAAATTGCGTTAAGTAACTCATAAACCAATTAATGATAAGTTTATGAAATTAAGTAAATTCTCTCAAACCTATATTTTGTATTGAAACGCTTGAGTCAGAATAATAAAAAATATAAGATCACCTGAAAGCCTTTAATTTGTCAAAACAGTGTGAAAAAATTTTTAGCACGGAAATTATCAGAACGAATTTTGGATCATAACTTACTTCTATCTTATTATTGCAGGTTACATCGTGGAAAAATGCGAGATTGGAACTGATAAATGGTCACCGGTCGGTGGTTATTGCCCGAACACGACTTTCACTGCAAAGGGTTTGGATGAAGGCAAACAATATAGATTCAGAGTGAGAGCTGAGAACATTTATGGTATCAGCGATGCCATCGAGAGTAAACCGATTACAGCTAAAAATCCTTTCGGTGAGCATTTTTCTTCACAACCCAGATACTTTATTTTCGTTTTTTCCCCACTCTTAAGTTTTGCTTTTCCTTTATATCTGGCAAATGTACTTACGTTATTTTCAGGTGACAAACTTAATTTTTTCTCTGTCGCTTTCAGATCCACCAGATCCTCCCAGCCAGCCTAAAATTCTCGACCATGGACCAACCTTTGTCTCACTTTCATGGCAACCTCCTGCTCATGATGGTGGAAAACCCATAACAGGTTAGACAAAGTTTAAGAAGTATATATATATATACTAGATATTAATCAGGCCTCATCAACTTATGGCTCCCTGGTCACCAAGTGACCCATTTCATAATTTCATGTGACCCACTTCAGTTCCGAAAATAAAATAGAATACATATAAATAAATTATAAACCATAAATATGAAGCGAGTACTCTTAAATACATAAATACATAAAAATACATAAAATACATAAAAAATAAATATAAATACATAGATTGCGATGTAAATACATAAGAAAATAAGCCTAAAATAACTAATAACACTTCCGTTTTATTATAAAGATGCTTTTTAAAAAGCATTTTTAAAGCGAGCATTTTTAAAAGCTGTAATATAATTTCAAGAAAGAATTGATAAATTTGACAACGCGATCTGTAATACATAATTCGAAAAAATTGGCTTTACCGATTTGTACGCATTCGATTCGACTTTAAATTTGAGCAAATATTTTCGTGTGAGCATATAATTTATTTTAAGTAAGAACAGGAGCAGCTTAAACTACCAAAACTTCTGGTGCTTGCATTCATCTTAAAACGACTTACTTAAATAAAAATTAACCAGACTTAAATAAATTGACGTCACAAGTTTCTTATCATGGAAATCATTAATATCGATGAGGAAAAGAAAGTTCATTCATGTATGTTTGTTTTAAAAATAATTATAGTTTTCATTTCAGTTTTTGTGCTTAAAGTGTGTTGTAATTATTTTCTCAATAGAACTGATCTTATTATTTACCAAGAAGGACTGTTCTAAAATGAAAATGCCAGTGACCCGAAATATCTTTTTAATACGCACATTTTGGCTAATTTTGACCGGCAACCAGAAAAGGTTGTAGGCGCCTATTACGATGCATGGTGTAGGAGAACGTTGGCCACGCATTTTACTTCCTTAAATAAATAGAACAAATAGATAAATAAATAAATAAACATAATAGTGACCTTATACATGCGCTTTCAACTATAAAGTTTCTCAAAATGAGGTAAAAATTTATATCGAATCATTTCATGCAGCATTAGAAGTAGAGGGGTTCTTTAAATGCAACCCTAGGTCAACTAGGAGCAGGAACCAGAATATGATCTTTGTTTATCAAGAATTCTGATTAGTCAAATGTTCATTATTTTTGAATAAGTTCCAAACTTTCATACTTTTGGATGCAAAATTCAGAGAGATATCCAAGAATGGATTTAATGGTCTAGATTTTTTTTCGAATGATTTCTGTAGGTTTTGGCCAAGTTTAATAAAAATAAAATTACAAAACAAATGGTACTTGTTTTGGTAATGTATTAACAATTTTACTAATTAGAAGGTTTTGGTTTTGAAAGAAAATATAAAAAGTTAATTTTTGTATTTACAGAACGAAATATCGCATGCTGAAAGTAATTCCCTAAAGTTTTCTTGCTTATTATGGGAAACTATGTAACCGGAATTAGAGTTACCCTTTCTGATGTCGTTCTGAGTTATTGCATTTTATAAATTTTAACCTGTTTTTATTTAATTCGGAATTTTACATAACATTTTTCAAGAAGAGTCAGATAGGAGTAATAATTTCATTATTTCTGGAAGAAATTTAATGAAAATATAAAGTTAAAATAATTACAGTCGTAAGGAGTATGAGAAGGAGGAAATATGATGATATATTCAAGGAACATTGCTCGTTGTTCATGTTTAGCCAGAAATTAAACACAACTGTTAATAGAACTATTGCTGACCAATAAGTTCTAATAATAATTTAGTTATAAAATAACTAATTATTTCTAAGAACAATGGAATATGCATTTAAATATGTGCATTTAAATAATATAGAATTTTGTTTATGGGTTCACAGAAATCATTATACCAATCACATTAATATTTATCACCAACTAATTAAATATACAAGGAAGTTTTTTGCATAGATAAAAAATTGCTTATATATTTAAAAATGCTTTCAATATTTAATCTCTTAATTTATTTCGTTTTAGTTTTATATCGAAATTTAAAGAAAAAAACAAATATAAATCAGAGGTTCTGATAAGTAGTTGAATGAACTGCAATAATTTACGTATTGTTTTTGTATTCCATTGTTTTTATATTGTTTTACTTTAGTTTTACAAAAATTAATTAGACATATGAAGCAAGGCACTGTACAGATTTCACACTAGGGAATACAGCCTGTAAACATCTTTTCCGAATATCTTGGATATGAATGCAGAGAAACATTTATAACTATCTGTATATTTCAATAAATATTTTTACGCTGTTTTTAATACATGACAGGTGTTTATATGTGTACACAGATGTATTTGAAAGCTTTCTGAATATATTAAGACATGTTACATTGAAACATAATTGTCATCATTTGCATTGGGTCTTCCTTTGTTCATATTAGGCTACCTGGTAGAGAAGAAGGAAAAAGGAACTCAGGAATGGGTTAGAGTTACTCAGTTCCCTATACCTACAACTGAATTTGTTGTACCAAGCTTATCAGATGGCCAGACATATGAATTCCGTGTAATGGCTGTCAATGAAGGTGGCATCAGTAAGCCAAGCAAACCAACTGGCCCAGTAATGGCTGTTAGGAAAATGTGTAAGTATAAAAATGCTTTATATATTTCAGCTAATTAGATAATGAGAATAAATTTTAAAAGTACGTGCTTTGTTATCGTTTAGAATACGACAGTGAATGAGAACTTTTCAGGCGCAGGTGCAGGATTAATTTTGAAAGTTTAAATATAAATCCTTCTTGAAGAAGATTATATATTTAAACCTTCGAAACTACTCCTACAAATACATGAATATTACTCTGATTCTTGTTACCTTAGTACTTCTAATAATTACTAAAAGCATTAGTCAGCGGATTATTGAGAACATTCTGAAAATCATGGATCGCCTAACTAAGATGTTATCAAATTCTGGCACCATTCCACTGCTAATATTAGCTACGAATGAAAGAAAAAAAGCTGTTCAAGTTTACCATGCATGTTTAACTCATCAAATCTAATTTTCTACCACGTAAAGGACTTTTCACTTTTATTACGTATGTAGTTCTCCAAAAGACGTGAAATTCTGCACAGAAAGATGGCTTTTAGATTCGTTACACACGAAAATTTCTGCCAACTCCTGAACAATGAGTTATTGGACTGATGAAAGGTGTAAAAAGATTTAGTGCAGGAAAGGAGAAAAGTGCTTATCTCAAACGTTTTGAAATCTCATCTGACTGACTGAGAATTATGCAAATTATGGAAATTTTAAATGAATTACGGCTTGTTTTAAATAGAATCTATAAACGTTTCGAATTTAATTCTGAAAAGAGTATCCCATATAGTTGGTTATTGTCATAAAAAGGGAAAATGGTTTGCACTCTTTATCCACGAATCATTTTACTAACGCAATCCCATTAGTGTCGGCGACGATAATTTAACTTGCGAACTTAGTAGAGAATAACTCAGTAAAAAGAAACGTTGATAATCGCAGTACTTTTGCAATACATTGTAATAATTTTTTCAGTATTTTTAAAGCTACTTGTTTGTATTATTTCTTTCAATAGAAATGAAGTTTAAATACGATAATATCCAGTTTTAGTTTTCTTGATAGTAAATTTTTGAAAGATACATTCCTATCATTTAATCATTTGTAAGAGTAATGTTTTCAGTATACTAAATCAGTGCTCTTAAACTCGCCAGGGCTCCGAAGCGATTTTATGCGGCCTGCGAGTACGTTTTAATATGTATTTGTTGCAAATACGATGCTTATAGTTTAGAGACATAAAGATATGAACTGGGCTCATGTGCGCGACTGTTGTTGAAAGAAAAAAGATATAATAAATAGGTTGGGTCGTTGCCACTGTATACTTACCTGTGCACTAGGCAGCGTGACTAAGGTAAGGTAGGAGAATTACCCAGGGATGGTACAATTAGTAAATTTAGTTTGCCAGCTGGACAACGTATAGCGCTCCAGTATTATGAAGTGTTTCCGATTTAGGTGCTTATGGTATCCCAAGTACATTAAAAGTGGAGTCATTCGGTGGTTACTGCGACAGTTTATTTTGGAATTATCTGAAATAAATGTCACTACAAAATTTATTATTTAGCTGTCAATAAAATTGAATTACAAAGTGTAGTAAAAAGCATCTTGCAGATAGCAAACCTTAGATGTCGGATAGAGAATAAATATAAATTTGAATTTTTTACATTGCGTTATTATTATTATTATTATTGTTGTTTATATATGTTTTGATAAATATTTAGTGAATGCAGTTTTAAATTTAATTTAATCTTTTATGTTTAATTAAAACTGTCTTAAAACTTTGTTAACAGTTTTTCCTGGCATGTCATCTGCTTTCAGATCATGCATGCGGCCCACATGCAGTTTGAGTTTGAGACCACTGTACTAAATGATTACCGATGATCCAATGCAAGATAAATCATTCATAAGTTTAGAGAAAAACAAATCTGAAATTTTTAAACATCTGATAATTTCATAGTGCATTATCGTATCAATACCGTATGATGTTATTTATTTTACTGAGTTTTAGGGAATCGATATCCAAAGTGTAGCGAAGCAAACCATACAATGAAATCGAAACATGTAATTTTATCTTACAGATCCTCCAGAAGCGCCAGAAGCTCCTCATATTGATAAAATTACAAAAGACTCCGTTACATTATCGTGGGCCAAACCGAATGATGGCGGAAGCAAAATTCTTGGATACTACATTGAGAAGAGAATGAAAGATGCTAAAGAATGGGATATCATAAACAATATTCTTCATGTGGACAGGATTTTCACAGTAAGGCAACCATATTACTTCTATGCAATTCAGTAAAAGCCTCTTAATTCCAGCTAAAATCGAACTGTAACTAGTTGTTAATAGTAAGCAAATTAATAAAATAATAAGAAGGAAAGTTTAGCTTTGACATTTTATAAAAGAAAAATGAAGATTTAATTAATTACTCAAGAGAATGAAAGCATTAAGTTAATTCGCTAAGGTAAATTATATTTCTTATTTTTCAAATAGGTGCCTGAACTGACAGAAGGTAAGGAATATGAATTCCGTATCATTGCTGTCAACAACATTGGCGAAAGTCCGCCCAGTAAACCAAGCGCGATGGTACTAGTAGAAGAACAGCCTGGTAAGTTTTCAGCTTCCTTAATTGAAAAGTAGCTAAACAGTATTCATAATAGCTGAAGTCAATGAACATGATCTAATGGCAAAAATTATTTCTTGCATCGTTAGACAAGCCAAGGATCGATGTAGGAGCTGTTAAAGACATTGTAGTGAAAGCTGGAGAAGAATTTTCTATTACAGTGCCATTTACTGGTTTCCCCAAGCCTACTGCGACCTGGACAAAGAATGATAAGGACATTGATGAAAAGGATCCAAGGATTTTTGTGAAGGTAATAAAAAGATCAAATTTTAAGTACTTATTAGATGAAATAAAAATTCAGTATCAATTTCAAGTATTGAAATACATGTATATATATATATATTCAATTTTTTAAAAAAATTTTATCCTTCGTGGTTAACAAGCCTAAAGCCTAAAATTTAAAGAAAAAACTTTTTTGAAATTAAATAATGGAAATTGCAATAATACAAAAGTGGAATGATCACGGGAAATTGTAGCTGTTCCTGAAGGAGCTGATCAGAATTCTACATGATCAACAAATTTTCTAAATTTGTTTCTAGAAGAATTTTAAAAAAATTGAATAATATATTAGAGCACTCTAGCGGTAATAATTAAAGATAAAAACTAAAATCCATTCCAGAAACGTTTATACTCCAAGCGAACAGAGCAAACAAAGCCAATGTCTAATTACAAATAACCAAAAAATGGCAAATAATACGAAAAACCAAAATGTTTTATTTAAAAACAAATGCTATTGTTTGAGCCGTATTATAGATCAAAAACTTAAAGTTACAAAAAGCGCAAAAAGAAAAGACACTTTTAGCCATAAAATAATAAAAGGAAAAAGCAATGCTAGCCATACAAAGTTTCAACATACATGTAATTGTTTAATTTATGCCAAGATAAAAAATAATCTGTAAAGATAAAAAATGGAATTAAAATGTAATTTTTCAACATTTAATTTTACAATTTCAGATTGGCTTTGTTTTCTCTGTTCATTTCGGAGCAGATTTATTTCTGCAGTGGAATTGGAAATTTTATTTTTAATTATTAGCTTTAAAAATTTATAAATATTATTCGTATTTTAATAACTTTCCAGAGATAAATTCAGAAGAGTGGTTAATCATGTAGAATTGCAGTATGTTCCCTGACGAAGAGTACAATTTTGAATCCTTCCATTTTTTTGCATTCTTGCAGATTGCAGTTTCCATTATTTAACTGTTTTCCAATTTTGTCCTTTGCCTCATGGGCTTGCTAATCATGAACAACAACAAATTTTCTCGCTTCGTCAGATTATTTCTAGTAGCGTTTAGTTCAAAATTAATGGAATTTGTTTTTATTTTTGAATTTTCATTTCTATTGTTTCTATTACATATACATGCTCAAAATACCATTTTTAATAGTTTCCTAGATTTTCGCTCAGACACATGCCAATATCTGTTACGATATTTAATTTCTTAAGAAGATCTTAGATAATAAATAAAATCATCTAAATAATGTGTGTATTTACCAATAATCCTATTACATAAACATAATTTATAAAACAGAAACATATTTAAAACTAAAAGTACTTGATACAGCTAGTGTTTAAAAATATCAATAACTTGTATATATGATAGACATATTTAGAGTTAAGGTACTTGAAAGAACCGTGTTTGGGAAAAGCAAAATCTTCGCAGAAGTGTAAGAACTCAAAATTCTAGCTCAACATGTCAATTTTGAAAATTTATCCCATAATAAATGACACGAAAATTGCATTTGCTGGAACACTACTCTGAGTAAGAGTCTCATGTTCAGATCTGGAGGGCTTCAGTAGCACTCAGTCGAAGCACTCAATGAAACGCCCCTCTTTCTCATTGCTGCAAACAGTAACTCACCGTCGCACTCCAAATAACAATCTGGAACGGTTGTCGGTAAAAGCAGACCATCATTCTGAGAGAAAATATAAATTCGTACTTTGTCGCACTCGTTGTTAATGGTTCGGATCGTAAAGTGATATGTCTGATGATTTTTATTCAAAGATAATCAACTCCTTCCTTTTATGTCATAAAATAAATAGACACTGTAATGTAATTTACGAAGCAGTTTCACTTAGGACAGGACCGGACAAAAGCCGACTGCATGCCGAACACGAACCTTTTAAACTGTTTAATCCGGCCCGTTAAGAATTCTTGTATAACGAGATTTTCATCTCGTTACTACTCCAAATCAGCAGAACAAGTGTGTATATATTATTAAAGTGTAAATGCTCATATATACGCATGACTGTTTTAGCAATTTACTTAAAATGAAAACACTAGATATACTAGAACGCATGTGCATCCACCAGAGAGTATAGTTCTATAATTTCTAACAGCTTCAATTCAGAAACTAAACAATGAAATATGGATATTGTTGAGAGAAAAAAAAACTGATCAGGAAAAGAGAGCTTAGGAAAAGAACATCACAGCTTTAGATTTTCATCTGAAAATGAAACAGTTTACATGCCAGTTATTTGATGACCAATAGGAGCAGATTCTATTTTTGGCGTATTTGTAATTTATTTTCAAAAAGTTGTGATTTTTTAATTTTAACTGTAATTTTCAAAAAATTTCTACCGGGAAGTGGTATTTTTCCATTGCGCCCTGCAACAGTAGAGGTACCTGAAAGGATTGTCCCTGCCCTGCTTGCATGATGCATTTAAAAAGATCTTTTGGCCTGCGGTTAAAAGTATTTGCCCATCCCTGTCTTAGAACGTCCTGCAAGAATGCATTCCTCTTCTTAAATATATAGTCTTTATGTGTTTTGCTATATATAATTTATCTAACCAAACCTTCCTTCGTTTATATTTTTTATTCCTCAATTTCAGTATACTCCCGCCGTCAATGCGAACACCTCTCTTAATTACGTCTCATTATTATCTCCTCTTTATTCTTATCAGTCTTTTTTTCCCTTCTTTTTTTCTCTTTCTCATGTCGAAAATAAACTAATCATCAAATCTCAGTTTAACACATTTAAATTAAGTTAAATTCTTTAATCTTTTCTCTCCTCATTATGCTAATTTGTTTGTGATATACTCATCTCTGCACATTGTCGTCATCTACCCATCTCTGCACATTGTCGAGTTTATACACTTACGATATATATTCTCAACATGAAGAATAAACAATACACTTATTTCGAAGTAACAAACAAACATATATTTGCATTTTTTCACAGTATACAGCATATTTTTTGCTGGGTCAACTGAAACATTTTTAAGTTCTTAACAGCAGCTTTCCTTTTGACAATACACTCAAGAAGAACCCTTGAGTATCTCTACTATATTTCAGTTCAAGACACGTTCTTGCACCACCACCACGTGCATGCCGTTACTCCTCCGTCCACGCTTTTTTTTCCTCTTGTCGATTGCCTGATTTCCTTTTCTTTTCGGATCTTGTCAAACTCTCCGGCAGGGCTATGTCGATAGCTTTTCAAATGGAGCATATACATGACACAGTTCTCTTTTCTCCGCAATATTTTCCTATTTATGCATTTTATTAATTATACAAGGTAACCAAAAACGTTCTTGCCGTTTTTGATATGACCTGGCGATGAAGTGGTTAGGATGGGAGTGCGGACATTGACCAAGAGTGTAAAAGCGCTTTGCATCGGTATTGCAAACATAACACACAGCGACTGATTGAAATGGACTTGTCAAAGGCGCTTGTTCGTAGTTGTTTTCTGTATGATTTTAAAGTGGGCCAGTAAGCAGCAGAATAAAGTCGCCGAATTTGCCAGTCCTTTGGAGATGATGCCCTTAACGAATGAACAGCTAGGCAATTGTTCCATAAATTCAAGTCAGGGAATGTGTCTCTTAGTGGTGCACCCCGCAGCAGTTGGCCACAAGCGCTGGACGATGAGGCCCGAGAGCACCCATAGAGAGTGACAGTAGTCAAAGGTGTGGTGAGCTTGCTGCACACTTCCAGGTAACTGATGAAATGACCAGACTCCATTTGTATCGCATAGAAAAGGCATACAAGCTGAGCCAAGTGGGTACCCCACTCACTGACCGATGCAAATAAGCAACGGCGTGTCGCTGCCTGTTTGTCATTGCTTACTCGGCACCGCAATGAATCCATATTTGATCTAGTGTTTACCAGCGGTGAAAAGTGGGTCCAGTATGACAAACCCAGGCGTTTCAGACGGGAGTCAATGCCTCACACTGCGAGACCTTCTCTCCACCCACGCAAGATCATGCTCTGTATCTGGTAGACTAGTCACCAAGTGGTGCACTATGAGCTCCTTCCAGTGGGCCAAACCATCACGGCAGGCCTGTACTCGCAGCAGTTGGACCGTGTGCATCAAGCACTGATGCATAAAGAGCCAGCATTGGTCAATCGTAAAAGTGTACTTCTCCTCCATGACAATGCGAGGCTGCCTAGGAAGGCCAGGGACACCATCCAGCGACTAGGCGGGAAGGCACTACCCCATCCACCATACTCCCCAGACCTCAGGCTAACCTAAAGGACCTTGGCAAAAAGCACTGGTTGCCGATGGTGATTACTTTGAGGATTAGCGGTGATTATTATTTGTTTTATGACGTTTTCTTTTTGACTGTCCAAAACGGCAAGAACGTTTTTGGTTAACATGTATATTAAAATATTTTTAACGCAAGCACGCCTCACTTCATCTTGCATTAATAAAGAGGAATATCGTACCAAATTCTCTAAAGCCAATCAAGCCCACTGCCGAGGGGTCAAGTCGCTGAATACCAGTACTTCGGTCCAAGGTTCGAATCCCGCAAACGAGCTGGCTGCTTGGGCGTTTTCGTGGTTTTTCCTATGTGTAACATATATGCGAGCCAGTTGCCCTTAGAAAGTCATCCACAAAGGCATCCGTTCCCTTAGGCAGACAACCGAGGCTCTTTGCCAATATCACATAAACCAAACTAAAGCCTGTCGGAAACCACGGGGGGGAAAAGATGCAAAGTCAAAAATGATACAACTACGATTCTATCCTTATCACCCGACAGAGATTATGTTTTTCTAATACCATCTCGACGCGAGGGAGACAAAAGCAGTTCACAAAAGAACTCTTAGAAACTAATAAATAGTCCACATAGACCGACCCTCTCTTTATTATTCAGCTCCTAAACCCTAGAGGAGTTCTCAGTATTAAATGGAGTATAAATGAAACATATAAATGAACATATAAATGAAAATGTTTTGCAAAACTGCTCTTTGACAGCACCTCACGAACAGAATTGTTTTCCCTATTTTATTAAATCTAATTTTTTAACCGCCAGTCCAATCGCATTCGACAATCGCATTTCGCAAAACATAAATCGCATTTATGTTTTGACACCAACTTTCGTGCTTTTGCATGGAATCCTCAACGATTCTGAAACAATTTAGATCATTAGAACACCAAGAAAATAAACAAAATTCTCTTTTACGTTAACAGGGATTTAAAGTGTGTTTGCAAGTTTTTTTTTTTTTTTTTTTTTTTTCCTTGAAGCTTTTGTCGACTTTTTTTTTCTCCTGCAGGACGCGTACCTATCTTCTACCATATATCAGAATTACATTTCTTTTATTTCAGTGAATAAAAAATAAACTGAGTTTTGCCATAAGAATTATTTCACCTTCCCTAAAATCAGATTGCTGCATAACAGTACTATGGAACTTTATAGTTTGTGTAGCATTCATCCAGAATTACTCATTGTTACATTTATAAAGGCGTGTAAGTTTATTTACCGTAGGTTCTGTATCTCCTTTCGTAAGCTTTCACAGATAGATTTATAAAAATATAAAACCAAATATGAAAAAAGCAATAATTGATTAAATTATTTATTCTGTACAGGTCTCTGAAAACACAGCTGTCTTGGCTGTAACAAATGCAAAGCGAGACGACACGGCTACTTTCAAGGTTCAGCTTAAGAACAAATCTGGTTTTGATACGTGCTACTGCAAAGTAACGGTATTAGGTAAGTTCATTGCATGTATTATGTTACATCTAACAGAGGATTTTATATAATCCATTATTTATTTCTTTTTCAGAAAACTCTACACACTATTTTGTAGTCTTGAATTATTGTTATAATAAAAGTAATTCTTTTCACGACTATGTTTTCTTGATAATAACTATAAGTATTATTATTTCTTCCGGAGATACTTTTTCAATATTCTATACGTATCGCACTTAAAAAACACGCCATCGAGTGACTAAATGTTTTGAACTATGAAATTCCTGTCTGATGCGACAATGTTGTACAGTACTTTTAATTGTTGTTTGATTTTATTAAATTGCGTGTTGAAATGTAAATAATGCAAGAAAAGTGATTTCACTTTTGACTAAAAATATCTTAAATTAAGAAAAACGTTAAATATAATGAACAGCAGAAGACTGTCATTTTAGTAATAAGATTTCACATACAGTGTGTTTTCGTTTATCCGGGCTTATGCCGGGGAAGCAGATCACGGATAACTGAAAAAACGGATAATTCAAACTATCAATTTTCATACATGTTGTATGCGTTTATTTCTTAAAAAATAATTAATTTTACTTTGTTTGTAAAAACTTTTTTTCTTTTGTTACGTTTTCTGCCTATAGGCACTACGCAGCGGAAAGGGAGAGATGTCTCGTAGAGGACTTTTTAAGGGAAACTGGCTAGTATCCACGTTACACATGAGGAAAAGCAGAAAAATGCCCATGCAGCAAGCCCGTTCTCCGGCATTCGAACCCCGAACTAAACCGCTAGAGTTTAGCGGATTTTATCGCTTGGCCGCAAGTGCTATTTTATTATTGTATTCTATTCCTGTTTGGTCGACGAAGTCAGCTCTGCGTTGGGACTAGTGTAATTATCAATATCTTCTTCACTTGTGTTTTCAGTATCACTATCCGACTCTTCTGTTCTTGGGATATTTGAAACGATATCCGCATCATTCAAACATTGAAAGCAGGCTCAGTCGAATCGCCATCGAATCATTCCTCGATGCTTCGCCGATCGAGATTTGAGAAGAAAATTACATTTTAATTTTTTTGGCATACAGCTTCAGTTATTGCCTCGACTACAATTAGATTGTATGATTGTAATTTAAATTAAACTGTTATTATGATTTGGATCTTTATTTTAACTTCTTCCTGTCTGCTTTTCTTACCAGAATGTAAATTTGATAGCTAATATTTAAACTGAGGTTTTTGGATTTTAAGAGAAGGTTTGTTTCTGGCCCTCCCGTGCACGGTACGTGTAATTCCTGCCAGCACGGATAGTTATAATTATTCGGCTTTGCGTTATATCGTTTGCGTTATCTACATCTTTAAAATTTTGACGCTCCGCTTAGAATTACTGAGCCAGCTTATAGAAAAATTAAATTGTGTAATGTTTACTACTGTTCCACATAGACTGCTCTATTTATTTCCATCACCACGAGCTATGGCTCATATAGCTGTGTGTCTGTTTTGTCACATCACCACGAGCTGCGACTCATTAACGCACAACAAGGTGCGTTTATATCCTGTATTTCTGTTATTAAAACCGTATCATGACTTGAAGTTACATCAGATCTAGCGATAATTCGCTTCACATCTGATAGGGTTATTAGTTCCAGTGGCCAAACCATCACGGCAGGCCTGTACTCGCAGCAGTTGGACCGTGTGCATCAAGCACTGATGCATAAAGAGCCAGCATTGGTCAATCGTAAAAGTGTACTTCTCCTCCATGACAATGCGAGGCTACCTAAGAAGGCCAGGGACACCATCCAGCGACTAGGCGGGAAGGCACTACCCCATCCACCATACTCCCCAGACCTCAGGCTAACCTAAAGGACCTTGGCAAAAAGCACTGGTTGCCGATGGTGATTACTTTGAGGATTAGCGGTGATTATTATTTGTTTTATGACGTTTTCTTTTTGACTGTCCAAAACGGCAAGAACGTTTTTGGTTAACATGTATATTAAAATATTTTTAACGCAAGCACGCCTCACTTCATCTTGCATTAATAAAGAGGAATATCGTACCAAATTCTCTAAAGCCAATCAAGCCCACTGCCGAGGGGTCAAGTCGCTGAATACCAGTACTTCGGTCCAAGGTTCGAATCCCGCAAACGAGCTGGCTGCTTGGGCGTTTTCGTGGTTTTTCCTATGTGTAACATATATGCGAGCCAGTTGCACCATAAACTAAATTTCTGACTTCTATATTAGGAAGAGTCTTCCTCCATGATCGAATCTGCGAGTCTTTATTTTTTACACACTCTGCAGCCGAATAATCGAGATTACACTGAATTTTTCCTCTAAAGTCCCCAGATGCAACTCAGTAGAAATGAAACTTTATTTGCTTACGAGATGTCATGTTGAAAATTTATCTGATATCTAAACAACCAAATACTTTGATGTCTCACTTTTTTTTGTACGTGACCATGACTCTAAGTGCAATTTGAAGTAGAAAGATAACTGCAGAAATAATATTGTTGCGTTTTTCTTCTGACACCAGTTGTTAGGTTATTTTCTTCACGGGTTCGCGCAGATTTGGAGTGAATAACGACGACAGCAATTAATGAAATATCGAAACACACTTTATTTAGCCAGTACTAAACAGGACAGCTCCAAAATCACGTTACAGTCGTCGAAGAACTACTATAAACACGCTGACACAATCAGCGACACAGCCTTCAGGTTATCAGGCTATAACGGTGGAGGCAGCACTGCAAAGCATCAGAGTACAGCTCCCGACTCTGCTTGGTCGTTCTTGGAACTCCACGTACTCTCGAGACTCTCCACGCTACAACTCGCGATGAACTCGACGAAACACAGAGCACAGCTCCCGACTCTTCAGTTCAGTTGTTCCTGGAGCTCAACACGCTCTCTCGACGATGCACTGACCGCGATATACGAAGAGACTCTTTCGATGCACTCGAAAAACCACTCGGCACTCGCTGCGCAGCTGTCAACTCGATCAACTCCACACGGACTGACTAACTCGAGACTAACTATCTCGCACTCTAGAAAAGGCACTCTCTCTGACTGCGGACCAGCAGGGTTTATATAGCTTTCGGCTTGTGTTCGAAAACATTCTGGGCTAACCGGTAAGAATTCGTTCCAGAAGGTTCTCCATTCGTCCATCCCAATCTCCAATTTTGTCGCCAAGTTTCGCCAAATGGGCGATTTCTCACCAAATGTGGCAACCCTGCCTTCCGTTGCCATTTTATGGCAACCCTAAAACTGCTTTGAGGGGAAGCTATCTAACCGTACCTGTACATTTCGTAATAATATTAATTCACATACTTTTCAGAAGTTTGTTAGTAAACAAACCATATTTTTATGAAGTTCAAATTTGTAGTTCTTATAAGAAACTTTCGAAAAATCAAGAGTAATTAGAAGAACGTCTATTCAGTATTTAAACTGAATAATAATTAATTTTAATTTAACTTTGATAGAAAAACCCATAAAAATGCAGAGATTCGAAAATATCTAAAACTTACATATAAATTCTGGAATCCATATTTCTTAATACATTGAAAATGTTAAATGCTTGTAAACGCTTTGCAATTAAATTCAGTTGGTAATTTTTTTTTAAAGTATGCAATCAAATTTTATTGGAAAAAGACTAAAATTGGATACAAGTTTAGTATTTTAAGACGTTATGTATACCTGCTTATGTCATGCAACAGAGTAAAATAACTGACAAACTTAAATGATAAAGAAGTTTAAATTTTAATAACCACTTAATTCTTTTTTAATATTAAGTTGTCCAGTCTTAGATGTGCAATGTAAGTCGCTCTGTTATTGTTACAAAATGCACGCTGGGTTGAATGCGTTTAAATTTTCAATAATTTACCGAATTGAATGTATTTGAAATGCGAGTAATTTGGTAATTAAAATTTGAAAACCCTGAAAAAAATCTCTTTCATCACTATCGATGTAAAAAAGTCCATTACCCTCAACACTAGTTAAACATATGTATTGAAAGTCTCAGTCTCTATGAGAGACATAGCTAAGTTTATTTATATTGCAGTAATAAATGCTCATGAAATCTGACTTTTGAGGAAAGAGGACTGAAGAGCAACTGTGGCAGAGTGCTCGCATAAGTACATAATGTAAAAATGCATTTTTTTATGTGTGTGTGCGTAACAATCTTTTCGCGTAAGTGCATAATGTAAAAATGCATTTTTTGTGTGTTTATGTATGAATCCTAAACTATGCAAGCATCATTAAATCGAAAACATGTAAAGTTCATGATACAAATTCAGTAGTTGTGCATGGGCACATATTTCAAAACTTATAACAAAGGGTCTTTCAGAACTCACAGACAGGGTCGGAGCGCTTAATACATTTCCAACATGCCGCAACAATATAACTTTAAATAACAATTATACAGTCAATAATGCAGATTACTTAATCATTTATGTTTCTCTTATTGTTTCAGATAAACCATCACCACCAGAGAATGTGCGTGCCGAGGAAATAGAAGGCGAATCTTTGACTCTTTACTGGTATCCACCTAAAGACGACGGCGGTGCTGAGGTAAGCAACTATGTTGTTGAGAAGAAGGAAGTTGGCACTTTGACATGGATTCGAGTGTCCAGCTTTGTAACCACAACGGCTTGCAGAGTCCGAAACTTGACTATCGGCAAACAGTATGACTTCCAGGTTATGGCGGAAAACCAACATGGCACGAGTGAGCCAGGAAAGACCAGAGAACCAATTTTGGCGAAATTGCCTTTTGGTAAGAAACATTTCCATCTATTTTGTATAACTAGTTAAACTATTAACTCCTTGATTTGGAAACTCTCGCCAAGCACTGGGATTTAGCACCAGGTATGGGTAAGCATAACGTACCAACACACTTCTAACATCTATGCTTTTGTTTGATATAACTCCGAAAGAATCCCGATAAGTCATCTTTAGTTTTTACAAACAAAGATAGGGTCAGTTTGAATGCCTAGCAGACATCAGACCACATAAATTAACTCTTATAGCTGTATTTTTCCTTACATTGTGAAAAAACGGAATCAAATTTGGGACCTGCAGCTAGCAGTGAGTTATTTTCAACGTTATGGGATTTTATCATAAAAATGAAAGTATTAATGGACGCAATATGGCAGAAAAAAACAATAATAGATTGTCACAGCTACCTGCGGTATGTGTATTGCATGCTAAACAAAGATTCCGATAAAATCAGACAGAAAAATCGAATAAAATTGTAGAAATCGACGAAAACATTTCAACGAATCACCAAAACGAAGGGGATTGAATACTGATTTCTGCTGAGTAAAGAGGCCTAGATTCTTTCAGAATTCTGCAGAAGTGTTAGGCTCAACTTCGCCACCTTTCATGATTGGCTAGTAGGCAACATTCACGGTCGACGGAATAATTCACAAATACTAACTGAATTAAGTCACTGTTGTTATAGGTAAATCAGAATTCTAACTCCTTTTCTAACTAGCTAGAAATTTGGTTGCTAACAAAACTCAGATTTAGTTTTATCAGATGAAAGTACTATAAATTATACCAACTAATGTGAAGCCATCGCCAGGTAATTAGTATCAAATGTTATGGAATGCTTCCTTATAATAAGAGTAAATTCTGCAGTTTTATAAGCTCGTAAATAGAAGAGGGCATATAATGCTTGAACCAATCAAGGCAACAGATAAATAATTTCTTTATTAACATAAAATTGTTTATTTTCTTTGGCAAATTAAAGAGCATATTTAAGGTCAACGCAGAAGCAAAATTAAGGGATCGCACTTTTGAGGTACTATGCATTCCAATGTGACTTCAGTCATTAATTAAGTTTTAAAAAATTATAAAGATCCCTGCATCTTAAGAGATCACCTCTCCCCATTCAAATTTCAGAGTAGAGTACCTTCTGCCCACTTAATAAGTTCACCACTAATTCTTTAATGTGGATTTTAGATAAATGATTACGATTATCTAAGTGTTTTACAGTTTCTAATGGGGCATATACGAGTAATATTTTAATACTTAAAATTATTGATTTAAATTTATGTTAACAGAAATGTAAATAAATTATTCCATTGAAAACAGAAATGTAAACAAATTATTCCATTGAAAACAGAAATGTAAACAAATTATTCCATTGAAACATGCTAACTGTGAGAAATGCTAATTTTGTACATTTCTAATAATAATTTAGTATTAAATATGATTTTAGACCTGAACGATATAAAATTTCAGCAATTTTTAACTTAAATTTCACCAGTACCTTTTAGATAACTAATAGCTGTAATACCGTAGAGTGATTTATTGCATTTAAAACTGAAATATTCTTAAAATTATCTCAAATTTTAGAAAGAACGTAAGTAAAACTACACAAGTGTTTTTACGCATAAAAACTTAATTAAATTTTAATCTGATATTTTTCATTTTATATAAAATTTTCCACTATCAAATGATATATTACAAAAGTGCTGTTTATAACAATCTTTACTCCAGAAATAGCATTTCATATTGTGTGGCTAAAATTCGGTAAATTTTGTTGCAGATCCACCATCAGCACCTGGGGCTCCACAAGCCGTGGAAACAAGTATCGATTCAATCACGCTCACATGGCACAAACCCAGAGATGACGGTGGCAGCCCAATCACGGGATACATCCTGGAGAAAAGAGATAAAGGTAGAGACAGGTGGGTTGCTGCCTGTCAAACCACCATTTCGGACCAAACTTTCAGGGTGACTGGGCTAAAAGAGAACCAAGAATATGAATTCCGTGTGGCAGCTGTTAACGCTGCTGGACAGAGTCCTTTCAGCTCTTCTTCAGATGGTATCTTCGCCAAGCCACCACCCTGTAAGTAGAACAAATAATTTGGAATGTTTCACTGTAGTTATATTACAGTGTTTTTCGGTAATAATTTGCCAGTGCTTTCAAAAGTATACTAAGAAAATACGCAAAAAATGAGAAGTGCCATAGGTGAAATTAAGTAAAGAAAGGAAAATGCCTTATTCAGATGTAAGAAACAAGAGAGCAATAACTTTAAAAAATGTTTTCCGTTGTAAACTTATAATAACTTCTGCCATAATTTGTTGAAATTTTGCGGAGTACTTGTGTAAACGTTAAATATGCATGTTTATAGTATATATACATAATACATAATGTAATAATTCTGTAGATTACCTGTATGAGTTGTAATGAATTTAGGTTGCGTGGGAGAGAAGACACCAATTACTTTTTAGCCATGGCCGAGATAGTTATAGATGTGGCTGGTATACTGATGAAATACATGGTAGAGGAAGAAACTTGCAGACGTTGACGAAGATAACAAGACACCTACTATTAGTTCTTGATACTTTGCTTGCGGTCCTCATCATTTTTGGATAACAAATCCCACAATTTTGTATATCTGACATATCTTTGAAAATGATTGAAGCGGAGTGAGTGGCAACAATGCATGGCTAGCACCAAGCAAGGTGAAGCAAGAAGAATGAGCTGCGCATTAGTTGGAGTGATATTTATAAACTTGATGTCTTTGTTTAAATTCTGAATCTGAATACGAGTGGTCACATTGAAGGAGGATTACATAAGCAAGCATGATCAAAAAATAGGACTGGCCAGAAAAAAAAGTATAAGAAAAAAACATATAAAGTCCAAAATTTGAGTCTCAGTGCCGAATTCCAATTCTGTCTTTGTTCGTATTTATAATCTTCATTGTTGTCTCTGCAAAATCTTTCAAATTTGAATAGTTCCTTTTAAAATTTTCCTTAAAATTCTTTCTATATTTCTCTCTTGCACTCCGGGTAAGCGTACATTCATTGACGAAGTGCCTGGCGTCCCCAAACTTATCACACATTTATCATTATTCTGTAGATGGAACCGATCAAATTATCCAGGAAACGCCCATGATTAGTGTATATCATCGAGTAGTGTGCCCTCATGTCTGGGACCTTTTTTACCGGGTGGAATCATAGTCTCAATATACACTGAGAAGATGGTTTACGATTTGCTGTCTTTCCTGGATTTGTATTGCTACCTGGAGTGGTAGCATCGGGTAGATGTGTATACTGTTAGAAAGGTGAATTCATTCTGAAAATATTGTAAAACATTCACCATAATGATGGATATGGAATTAATTATATGATAATCTCAATTTTATACATAGTAAACTTTTATTGTGAATTGGCCATATTGAGAGGCGAATGAATTTCATCGCTATTTTACATTACTATATCATGAGGTTTCTTAGCAGGGTCATTTTAATGCATGGGCCCATTGAGCACTCGCCTGGAGGCCTCATGTTAATTCCCATAGAGGCCCATGTTAATTCAATTACATTTCATTTATATTACGTTTCTGATAGTGGTGTTCATAGATGCCAAGCACACCCATTTGCCTGGGACCCATTGTGGTGTTAAGATGAGACTGTTGCTTAGTGCTTTCTCGACTGTGTAAAGTTGTTGAATGATATTTAGTTAAAATAGCCTCTAAGGGTTTCACAAATTTACAGTTTAATCATGGGATAACTTAGAAAAACTAAACAAACTGAAATTATCCCTTTTTCTTACCTGGGTATGACAAAGATTTCTTGTTATTGAATCAGACAATAACTTGTTAAATCTGCTTACATGCGATGCCTTGAAGAACGAATATGGTTGTTGCATGCATACTAAATAAAACATTTTCTTGTTGCAGGTTCGCCGAAGATTGATGCTGCCTTCAGTATGAGAGATATTACTGTGCTGGCTGGAGAGGAATTCACAATCCGAGTACCATTCAGCGCGTTTCCTATTCCTACTGCATCTTGGACCATAGTGAGTAATATTTATGCTTCTATCAATGAACTTCTATGCAGATAATGGATGTGAAAAAATACAAAATCATAAAATAATTATAAACATAGGCTTTTAATTAAAGAACTGTGGTTTGCATGTAGGATTCCTTTACTTTTCTGCCAACTTTGGTTTTTTTTATTTAATTTTGCTTCAAAAGTATTATAAAATGCATTTTAATGAATAATATTTAGTTACAGTTTAAGTTTAAAAAAATTCACACAGAAAATCATTAAAAATGCAAAATTACAAAATTTAAATATAAAAAAATGATACTAATTATTTTAGTTATGTTTTGGCTGATTAGCAAGAAATGTTCCCAGTCGACTCCGATGATGACAGTAACGAAATCTTACTCTTGGAATATCAGGGAAATCTGATGAAAACGGAACAAGCCGATTAGTTTTTATACAGAAACTCGCCTTAACGTCAATTCAGATTTCATAACACAATCTTCTAAACTTCCTTGATAATCCATTTGACATATTGCTCATCGCCAGAGACTATCCTTATGCTAATTATTTAACATTTCTTATACAAGGGAATGTATCGGTATATTAAATATTTTTATAATCATATCTTGATGAAGTACAGTTTGAAGTTCGAAAAATCTATCGTATTAGCTGTTTTCATATTTTTGGGGAGGGGGTGAACCCTAGACACTTTAATATTAGTTAGTGAAATTCTGTTACACACATACACACACATATATATATATAATGTAAAATAATTAAAATTAATATGTTTAAAATCCATCCCATATTGAATTCGGAATAAATCGTATTCAAAAACCAAAATAGATAAACTCCAAGTACCTGAAGCTTTAAAAGTCTTCAAAAAGATGGAAAGAAAACAGCATAAAATGAAAAGAGATAGAAATTCAGCTAGAATTAAAAGTGAATTGTAATAAATACCTTACTATAGGTCAAGCAAACAACTAATTGCTAATAATTATTTATGTAATTAAGACACAATAACACGCCGAATAAATACTAATTCAGAAATCAAACAACAAAAATCAGCGTCATATTTACAAAATTTTATATATAATATAAAAAAATATTTTTATATTATATATAAAATTTTGTAAATATAACGCTGATTTTCGTTGTTTGACTTCTGAATTAGGATTATTTATGTGTTTTCAAATAAACATTTTAAAATTTGTTGCAGAAAACTACTTTAAAACTTATACCACATTTCCCCCCTTAGAATGGAAAACCTGTTGTCAAGACAGACCGAGTGTATAGTGAAGTTAACGTCGCTTTTACAGTATTAATCAATAAAAAGGCAAAGAGAGACGACTCAGGAAATTACACACTAGTACTCAAGAACCAACATGGTTCAGATAATGGATCATGTAGAGTACTTGTTGTCGGTAAGTGCTTAGCAAACAAACTTTACCTTTAAAATTAATTATTATATATGCATAAAAATTGGACAGAAAATAGTTGAGCATTGTTATACTGTAATTCAGATAAACCTGGGCCACCTGAGGGACCATTAGAAGTCACTGACATCACACCAGAAACATGCTCGTTATCTTGGAGACCCCCGAAAGACGATGGAGGAAGCTCTATTACCAATTATGTGGTAGAAAAGCAAGATGCTACGTCACAAGTAAGGATATTGATCCAAATATTTTCTTGAATTCTTGTTTTATATATTTATAGAAGAATTTTCATATTTTAAGTTTATCTATTCTATTCAAGCCTTTGGTAGCGGTCTTATTTACAGCTTTCAACTCATCCTTGTCACACAGGAAAAGATTTATGACAACTCCTTTCTCATACAGTCTAGTATCGCTTGGTGAATAATTAAAATTCAAGTTGTCCGTGTAAAAAAAATGATCATAAAACTACAAGATGACATTTTACAAAAACTTATTGCTTAAAATATTTTTCAGAATATTTACCAGTTACTTAAAGAAGTTTCATTTTTGGTCACATTTATTAAAATAATGTGCAAATGTTTCGTTGAATGTTATGCTTTTTACAATGCTTAATACTTAGAGTTCTTAAAAACACATCACGTTTCTTAGAATGTTCCGTTTGTTCTGTAGCTTTATTTTTTATTACTTCAACATTATTGCAGAACTCATTTTGCACCGGAGATAACTGTAGCATTCTCTTATGGTATACTCTTAAGTTTCATTTTTGATCGTATAAAAATATTATATATATACCATATAAAATATTCGAATTGACCATATAAAATGTTAGGGATATGAAAATGCTTTTTCAAGTGAAAAACTTCAAAAGTAATTAATGTTTATCAAATGTTAAATTAGTTAACGATACATGAAAATGTTGTGACAATCTCGTGCTTAATATCCATTTTTCCATTACTCATCGAAGTATGGGTTTCATTGCGTATGACTGTTACAAAATCATTTCTTTCTATAATGTAAGTATACCTGAAACATAAACAGCTGTGATGAGCTAATTTTTTTTTATCTGAATAGTATACATCTATGGATTATTTCAGAGCATGAAAATATGAAGTTTCTCTAAAGCGCTTTCGTGGACGCTTCTATAAAGAATAATTTTATTCAGCATTTTACAACCATGGGTTCCCAGCGGAATTGGTACAGGTTACCTGGGAGTTGGTAAAATTTTAAAGGTAGCTTACGATTACTAAATAGAGAATTGGGGGTCCATAGCCGAATATGCACCAGTAGTTGATTGGCATAATCACCATCCCATTGATTACAAAATCCTGTATCTGAAACCTTTCAGATTTTTAATGCATTTATTTGGTATCTTTCACTTTTTATCGCACATTGTATGTTATCTCATGTAAATTATTCTGCCTAAATTTTGGGACAAAGTGCTATTAATCTGGTATTGATCAATTGTTTCATTTATTCAAGGTTTGGACCAAACTGAGCAGTTATGTCAGAGGCTGTCACTATGAAGTCATTGGACTCGAACATAAAAAGAAATACCACTTCCGAGTGCGCGCTGAGAACAAGTATGGTGTTGGTGCTCCATTAGATACCGATCGTTTAGTGACTGCTAAATTCTCATTCGGTGAGTTAGATGTTAGTCATCTGTTTGCACAACCTGATAACTGAATTTGTTGAACGAGTCTGATTAAATTTATTCCGCTTCGTTTTGAGAACGTACAAGTAAGCTATATCTAAATGTTCTAACAAAGTCATTATTTTCATATAGACACTCCAGGACCACCAAGCACTCCTCTCATTACTGATTACGATGGTGCAAATGTCAGTTTATCCTGGGAGCCACCTGTTCACGATGGTGGATCTAGAATACAAGGCTACCAAGTTGAGTATTGTGACATGGCTGATGGAAGGTGGAGAATCGGCAATGAGTACTTGGTCAAAGAGACACACTTTACAAGTGAGTTTCATATATTGAATGATATGAATACCATTAAAAGCTTCTTGCATTATATGATGAAATGTGAAGCATATGATTTAAAATTTCCATGAAATATTAGAAATTAAGGCAGAAAAATATCAATAATGAAACTTCTAATGAATAATCAAGCGATAAAATTATGCCTACTGTGTATTTCCGTGTATAAGCCGAAAATTTTCGGAACTTTTTTCTAAAGCTTGTAAAATTCTCACTAGTGCATTTCTCAGTTACTGTAGAAAGTGACGAATCTTAGCGAATAATCGCTTAAGTTCGTGTAACAAGAAACAACAAGAAGGAAGGGTAACCAACTCTTTATTATTCCAATAAGATTTAACAAAACTCCGTCTTGGAGTGTACACTAAAAGCCGACACATGGGCTTGAACTTAAGAGACTAAGAGATAAACTAAAACTAAGATAACTAAAGAAATATAGCCGAAGCTATCAAGATTCTAATTGAATTGGCCCCATAACTCTATTTGACTACGAAGCTTATCAAGGGCCTGATTACGGCCAAGCGTAATAACAGCTTTGAGAGAGAGAGTAGCCAAAAGGCAGACGCGCGCAAATCAGAAACTCTGATCTCTCTAACTCTGCAAGTAGACTTCGCGGTTGAAATACCGCTCCTCCTCATTAAGTATTCAGAATGATTCCAAGACTACGTTCTGACCGGAAGTAGTAAGCTGAAGTTAAGAATTTGACAGGAAAGGAACTTAAAATTTAACTGTTAATAAAATTAACATAATCCTTACAAGCTAACTGACGACTATCGGCTGATATACGAACCCGTTAATCTCACAGAAAACACAAATACTTTTCGTGAGACGGCCGCAAACGATAAATCGTTAATTATTGGACTTAACTTTATAAAAATGTTAATTTTAAATTAAATGAATTATTCGTTTTGTGAAAACAGGCTATTTCATTTGCGGAAATATTTTGTAATGCTGGCTTGTTATGTCGTCACCAAAACGAAAGATCAGATGTTGCCGAAATTTTCAGCCGGCGTTTGCCACTCTCGAACTTATTTTCCATTTATAGAAAAATACTAAGCAGCCATACTTTTGTTAGAATTTTCAGAAAACGCGATTACCTAGAGTTTGAAATTTGCCGTACGATATTTTCTCTTCCCGCTTTTGTTTCAGAGAAAAATAAATAAATAAATAAATAAAAATAAAATGGCACAGAAAATAAAACTATCACAGATACCACAGACCATATATTAGATAACAAATGAATGGAATTAACGCACTAGTTTCAGATAGGATTATCAGAGTTTTGAACGTTGCAGAATTTTTTTTCATTTCGTTTTACATACGGGTTTTGAACTTTGTATAAAGTTTGAAGGAAAAACTTACTCTCGTCTTATACACGGATCGTCTAATACTATACGGAAATATACGGTATTTATGCACAGCGAAACAAATATTCACCAAACAATGCGTAAAATAGATCAATACATTATATATAAAATCATACATCATACATTTATATAAAATATGTGATGTAGCCGTTCCTCAATAGACACTAATGCCGGCTAGCTTTAAAAGGATTTATTAACAGAGCACACAGGAACGGTTACAAACAAAAGAAATATGCATAAAAAATGAAACATATACCAAATGGAACATCAAACATTGAGAATAACATAACATAGTAAGCTATCATCATGGCGGCTGGAGGTCGACTGACGTTTTTTCATATCGCCACGAGATGGCGTTTAAATAAAATAGTTCGGTTACAGTTCATGAGTTCATGGCGTGAATAAAATAGTTCAATTACACTTAAATAGGTCTGTTACATCCTCCCCCTCTGACTTCGTAGACGTCTCGGCAAGAAGTCAGGAACTGACATTTGTCTACTTTGTGCAGCGGGCGGAGAATCAGATGGACGGGCTCCAGTTTGACAAGCAGGAAATTTAGCGTCACCAGCACCTTGTGCAACAGGTGCAGATTCGGGTGGTATTACACGTTTCGGGCGTCCTCTTTTCTTTAAGGGAACCACTGGAGTTACACGAGCTGAGTTTTGAAACTTATTTCGATCTTGATATGGATTCAAGGCTGAAACATGATACTTGCCGAGAATTTTGTCTGGTTCATGAGGATCGGCAATATCATAAGTGGTTGGAGATCTTGTAGTCACTATCACATAAGGACCATCTCTCTTGGGCATGAATTTAGCAGTTTTCTTCAGTGGACCTTTGCTGATTGGATGGAGGGTGACCCAAACTTTATCTCCAGGAACGAATTTCGGTGTTTCTCTTCGTTTTCTGTCAGCATAACGTTTCTGTTTATCTTGATGCAATTTGACTCTTTCTCGTACCTGTTGTACATTTCTTGCAAAACGTTTCAAATATGGAGTAATTTCGGGAACAAAATTATCGTTCTCAATTACGGCTTTTATATCATGCTTTACATCATCTAAGGTTCGTAACTCTCGTGCAAATTGAAGAAAAGAAGCAGAATGTCCAGTTGAATCACATTTGGCTGTATTCAAAGCAAACCTTATTAATGGCAGTTTATCCTTCCATGACTGATGGTCGTTACCAACAAGTATTGCTAAACGTGGTTTCAGATCTCTATTCTTCCTTTCAACTGGGTTAGATTGTGGGTGATAGACAGGAGTAAGACTTTGATCAATGTTCAAGATATAGCATAGTTGTTGCATAACAGCACTAGTAAACTGGGTACCATTATCACTTATTATTTTCCTGGGTAACCCAAATCGAAGGGCGACTTCCTCCAAAAGAATAGTGGCACATTCTCTGGCCGTGGCTTCCTTTAAAGCAAATAGTTCTGTCCACTTCGTAGCACAGTCCTGCACAATAAAAATCCATTTTTCACCAGACGGTGTTTCAGGAAGGGGACCGAAAAGATCAATTGACAAGGTCTCAAAACGTTGAGCATAGACTGGAGTTTGAAGTAAGCCAGATGGCTTTTGATTAGTGGCTTCTCCCCCTACTTTGAAGACAGTGTGATATTTGTTAAGCAATGCATCAGTTGCAAGCCGTTGGGCTGTAGTTAATTGCTGTCCTTCATTTTCTCGTAGTCGGCAGTTGTTTACAACAACTGGGGTTTCTTCCAGTACTTGGGATTGATGAGGTTTCACACGAAGCTATATTTTCTTCGAGGTTCATCAGAAAAGTTCCACTTATTTTCAGCAAGATTTAAAACAATTTTAGCTTTTTGAAGAAAGTCAATTCCTAACAGAGTCGAGTTATTTTTGGCATCAGGCAACACAAGGAGCGGAGTTTTGAACTCTCTGCCTTCGAGAAGAATGATTTGTTCGGTGCGAAGTACCTCTTTTTCAGATACCAAACCATCAGCGAAAGACACCTGTAGTGTTGTCTTTTCAAATACTGCATCTTGTTTTTGCAGAATATGATAGAGGGATTCACTTGCAATTGAGTGACTAGCACCAGTGTCGGCGAAAGCTGTACCGGAAACACCACCAATACTAATTGGAAATACAGCAGTCCGAGTGGAAGATAAACAGGATCGGATTTGGATAGTGCCAAAATTTGATGAATTTGAACTCTTTGGGGGGGTTACAGTCTAACATTTAGACTTGATAAAACCAGTTTTTCCGCACCCATAGCATGTTAAAGGAGGTCGCTTTTCCTCTGTTTGTTGCTGAACACGATTTGAAAAGGTTTTATGAGTTCCCTGTATGTCACTTGTTCGATTTTCTACTTTGTGTTTGGATGGATTAGTCGGTTTGTAAGAATAGTTCCGCCTGCCAGGAAGTTGAGTTTTATAGTTCGTATTTTTAACACGTACAGCTTCATAATCATCCAATTTCTGTACTAATTCAGATGAACTCTTTATTTTTCCCCAAGTATCAATAAAATGCTCCTTAACGTCACTACTGACTCTTCTTTTAAGCTGATCCGTCAGGACCAAGTCTTTGAGTGATTCAAAGTCTGTAACATCGAGACTATGGAGCCACTCTTCGAGATAATTGTTTAATTCGTAAGTAAAATCTTTCCATAAAGACCCAGGGTGTTTTTGGTGTGTAGTAAGTTTAATTCGAAATGATTCAGCATTTAATTTGAATCTTTGTAGCAGAATCTTCTTGATGTAAGAATAATCTTCTAATTTGTCTTTTGGTTCTCTT